CATTGCGAGAATAAAGCTCGTCAAGGTCGAGGACGAAGTATCGCTTCCCGCGCCAAACAGAGAACCAGTCGCATATGCAATCTCCCGTTCGGAAAGAGCTTCTGGGTTCTCTTCTCGCTTCTCCCACAAGGTCTTCGTAAAACATGCTGGTGCATCTCCCGTTTCCATTCGATCCCGAACATCAAACGCGAGCTCAGAAAGCAATTGGGTGGACTCTTCAGCCCGACGCTTGACTTCCCGCTTCCAGGGGGCGAGACAATCAGGGATGAGCTTGAGTACAGGGAACGACTCCGCCCAAAACGCACCCGGTCTAAAGTCAAAGCTCAGTTAGGATTATTCTTTAATTTATGGGCTGACAGGACAGGTACACCCACACATTAAGTGTTGCCATATAGGCCATTCTCTCATAAATCCTCTTAATTAAAGGATCCTCCAGGTTATCCACTCTCTGCCCATACGCGACACAGACCATCAATGAGGCAGCATATCTTTCCAGGTGTTTGCCAAAGTTCTCTGGGCTTCTAACTAAGTCCATAACAAGTCTTTGTGATTCGGCTACCTGTATAGGCTTGTAGCTATTGCAGGCCTTTGTGAGAAGTCCACTATGGAAAATCTTGCGGGTCTTGCGCCATTTATCGCCGTGAGGCATAGTGAGGAGGGCATCGTTGTTTGTAAAAAGTTCTCCTGTGAAATTTCTTTAGCATTATATTTTTTGAGGCCGTGTGGGAAAGATACTCACCCATGATCACAAATCGTGGGCGAGACGAATATATTGCTGAGCGATGATCCAAAAGGTCGCAAGCTACTTGCGGATCTCCGATAACAATAGTAGCACGGCGTCCAGCCCAAACCGTAACTAGCTCACCATACTTGTCTGTCCATTGCTTAAACTTGTACCATGGCTTCTGAGGTGGTAGATGCCATTTATTTCCTAAGAATGGAACAGGTGATGGTCCCGGGGGCCTATGGAGTTGTTAGTTTGGTGTATTGAAAGATTAAATGGATAAAAGAGACATACATGATAGAATGTCGTCTGTAATCCTGAAGGACGATAAGAAGGAATATCGTGACAACTGCATAAATCAATGACGTTCCCGCTGTCAAACTGGCAATTCCGTGAAAGTGTGTTCCCGCCTGGTCTAATGGGACAATAACATTCTCAAGGCCATATTCAGGAAGCTTACTCCCAGCTAGATGAAAACTTGATATAAGTGATGCTAGCGGGGCTTCAACAGTCGAAGTGAATGGTGAACTTTGGGGTACTGGCAGCTGGGAAATCATGATTTCCTTCATATTGAATGAACGAAGCACTGTTCACGACAATATTCGTTGATGAAGTGTATTTGTTATTATGGTGTATTCGTCATATATACCAAAGTCCTGAGGACTGGCGGGTCAGTCTTTATACTCATTATTTTGAACGCCTCCTACCGGGGCGCCGCAAACTGCGGGCACAGTTGTCCCATGTTCTTCGGAACAGAGACACAAGGACGTAGTGTGGTCGGCGCTCAGTGCTCAGCCAGGGGTTTTTGAGACCCCACTTAAAGAGATCGATATTTACAGCTGTTCGGGATAGGCATCGTAAGGCGAGCTAGAGGCTGGCGTACGCATAACCTGGCGCAGGGTCAAAATATCGCCGCAACTCGCACAGTGTATATGTATTACAGACCGTGCAGGTAATCTTGCGCTACTGTATGCAATGTATATCACCCACGTTCAAATTCCGGTATTGAGGTGTGACACTTGTGGAGGGGGTTCACGTTACAATGCTAATGCTTGTTCATGAGGAGGCTTGAGATGACCCTCCGACAACACCCACCCACCTGCCACTTTCCTCTTGTCTTACACCAGAATCCTTTTTTTTTCTTCGGGGAAGAGAAAAGTTGCCAGTTCCGGATCTTTTTTCGATTTGCGGCTTGAATTTCCGCCTAATGACTATTCTTGCAAGTAGAAAAAGGATATTCTTTTTACACGCACGGTACGCCGGAAACACAGTGCAAGTCATCTTTATTGTTTCCTTTTCTTTTCTTGGAGAAAGAAAATCGAGATATAAGCACTGAACCCGATCTCTAATTCATTGGCATTGATCCAGGGTGACCCTGCGCACTTCTTGACCCCATTATACTAGGTGTGCTACGTATTTGTTTAATTGTAGTTACTATATTGTTTCCCCGCGTGGTATCCCACGCGCGCACGCCCCGCCGGCAGTTCAAGACACTCATGAAGGGAATCCGGTGGCTTGGAACGACGATGCCGGTAATTGGTACGGTGGGTTCCAAGTTTCTAAAACGTGGTACAGCTACTCCCAGAAGAGCCTTACTCTACTACTATTCGAAGGGGATTGATATCCTCCCAATTCATGGACTTCTATTTCCAAAACTCCCTGTCCATATGAAGTAGTGATGATGACAAAAAATCAAGGACGCACTCTTGTTGACTTTTATCACAGCTGATCACTGGCGTAATATGATAGAAGATTCCCCTATACTTCCAAACCTGTTTCATTACCCAAAGGAGGATCTTCTTTATTTGCCGTACCCGCTTGCCGTTTACACAAGAAGAGAAACTGATCCCTTGAGTCAATCGAACAGTTAACGCTCAGCTCGCAAAGTGGCTGTTACTACTGACTGCCGGTGCTAGCACTAGATACTCTTTGTGTCGGCAGTCAGGACCCACGACCGTGAATAGCGTGCGTTGCCCCAGTTTATACACCCAATTAAGTCAACTGGAATCAAAGGGGTTACGCCTGCCACTGTACTCTTCTTACCCTACAGTGCTCTGGTCCCCACGGCACAGGCCATGCAAAGATCTGTTTTCTTGCAGTGAGCCGTCTCATGGTCTAGTGTCCGAGCGTCTGCAGGAATATCAAAAAAAAATTGGCTCAACCGATCACCCAATCACTCCTGACACTATCATTTCAGTTTCAGATGTACGTATCTTGACGTTTTCGAGGAGATCATTGTCTGACAACTCCGATTATCAACACTTGGAATACCGAGTGAGAAAGGGGGGAAGAATGTCTTTGAATTATGGATAAAAAGCAAATAGACATCGGGGAAAGACATCGCACTTGCATCACCATGTGCCCAACATAAACAGTATTTCTCCAATGTAGATAAGGAATTCCCTAGTTTATTGGTTTACACATGTAGTCGGGGAAATTTCCACTGCAATGACAGCATTCCATCTGCCGTGTGATTGTTGATGGCTGTGTTGAAAACAATTAAATTTTCATCAACCAGCAAAAAAAAGTCCGGGCAGCATCGTCAACAACAATTGTTGCTTCGTGGGCTCCTCGTCAGTCTCGCATGTCCGGATTATTTCCCCATCGCATCATCAGTAACAGAATCCTCGTGGGAATCGATCTCTCTGCATTTAAACATCACAAGGACAACTCTAGAGCCTGCGTGATACTGGTGGCAGCAGCCGATTTGATTGTAGCCCATGTAGTAAGATATCATTGTATTGGCCAAAAGAATCGTAATGCTCAATTCGACCAGTAATCGCTGTTGATGAAAGCCAAAGGTGTGTTGTAGTATGTATGGCTACAATAGTTCTTGATTGAGCCACTCATGATCCAGAATTAGGCAACACCTGGAAGAAACCCGATTTCCTAGAAGAGCTTGTACCAGTTTATTAAAAAAGATTGGCAGGGGTTATTCCCATTAGTGACTCGGGTAAGTCACTTTTTGTTTCCTTCAGAAGAAAACCCTTGTTTCCGATCGTAAGCCTCTTCTCCCAGGTAAATGGTGCGTCAATCGCGCCTGGTAACTGGTTCCCTTCGCCGGTACGATCGGGCACAGTCTTACCGTCATGTCAGTGGGGGTCTAAAACCTCATTTATAATGTAGATCGGGTCTGTCTTCCCATTCCAGAACTTGCGGGACTGCTTTTCCAAAATAAAAACAAAATCAGCACAAATATCTGCCACGGCGGAGGAGCTCGATGTGTTGTGGTTTGCTGAAAGGCAGGGATTTCGAATTTTTCGCAACGATTATATTAAATATAGTAAGCATTAAATCTCCACACTCCAGATCTGGCGGCTTGCAGGAATGTACAAACAATTTCTCTGTATTACTTGTAGAATATTAGTGGACGAAGAACGGGCTCGTCACTATTGCTAGAGCACGTGGGCACGCTTGAGTCCGAACACAACTCCAAGACATATTATGTGCCTTATTCCCGAATACAATGCGTATGTAGTACTTTGCTGATAAACTCACTCTGTATCATAACTTCCCCTGGCATCCCGATATTCAGAGAGTTGTGATTTTCTCGTCATGCAGGTGCCGTCAGGAAGGTTGATTAAAAGGGAAGGACGAGGCGCTGTGAGCGACGTTGATAACATGAATGCTTGGGGCCCTTGAGTTGACGAAGTGCAGACGACAACAGATCAGTCCAGTTCATCTGATTTTTGCCTCTTTTCTATCTTTATAAGAGCTCTTGACGGTGATAAGTGTGAGGAATCGGATGTCGTTGACGTGAAGTTGCCCTGTGATGCAGCTGCCTAAAACGATTATTTCAGGTACAGAATAGTCATCAGGATCACGTTGAAGATCCCACTCCTACCTAGGGATCCAAACCAGTAGATGTTACTTCTTGTCAGCAACGTTGGCTTGTGAAAAAAATAAATCCTGACGCAAGGTGACGGTAGAGAAGATAGAGGAGCCCAGCCGCCTGGTGAGTGGTGTGGACCCTGTCTGATCTTCGCCCACGATTCCCCACAACCAAAGTCTTGGTGCCTCTTAACCAGCCCGGCACTTGAGTCCAACGTATCTAACCGAGCCAGGCTCTCTCAGGCACTGCCGTGTAAGCTTATCCAGGCCTATTTGCGATATTTCGGGGGGGGGGCTGAGAGCTCAATAATTAAAGATTTCTGAAAAGAATTCTTCCGCGGAGGCGCCCGCTGGAGAAGCCATCTTTTTTTTCTTCTCTCTTTCCTCATTTCTTTTTCCTCCACTCACGTTGCGCGTTGCGACCTAACATCGACCTCACCTCGCCATGACACGAGTAAAGAAGCCGAAACGGACCGGATCGATCCTTCTGTCTCGACATCGTAACGCCGGGACTAAGGACAGCGTGCTTCCCGTGCCTCACGCCCACCCCGTTACCACGTCAGCCTTATCGTCCAAGACCGGAAGGACTGTTATACGAAAACACCATACTCTACACAAAAGGCTTTCCCAAGCTTTGAAAAAAAATGACGTCGATACAGCGGCGGCTATACAGGCAGAGATCGAAGCAAACGGTGGATTAGAAAAATACCAACAAGCAAGTGTAAGTTCACGATCTCACGATACCCAGCGATGGTGGTCGAAAAAGAAAATGTTGCTTAGAACGCGTCATTGTAGATTTGTGGTCAGTCGAGCCAGCGGGGAGGTGATTCATCGAAAATTTTTATTGAGTGGATCGGGGAAACTCGGCGATCATCAAAGTTAAAGTCGGGCAAAGCCGACAATACGACTGGCCATGTCGGAGGGCAAAGATTCAGACTCCTTGAAGTGGGAGCTTTGAGTCCGGATAATGCTTGCTCCAAGTCGTCCATGTTTGATGTGAAGCGGATTGATCTTAACTCTCGACATCCGAGTATTGAGACACAAGACTTCATGGAACGTCCTCTTCCTAAGGACGATAGCGAGCGGTTCGATACCATCTCACTGTCTCTGGTTCTGAACTACGTGCCTTTGCCGGCTGCAAGAGGAGAAATGCTTCGACGGACGACAAAATTTCTTCGAGACGTATCTTTAGCCCAGGATGATTCTCCGATTTCAGAGTTATTTCCATCTCTTTTCTTAGTACTTCCAGCCCCTTGCATCACAAACTCGAGGTATCTCGACGAGGACCTCCTTGTAGAAATTATGAATAGCCTTGGTTACACTCTCGTGTGTTCGAAACTGAGCGCTAAACTGAGTTATCAGCTGTGGCGTTTGATGAGGAAAGAGTTAACGCAAGTCTCAGGGTTAGAGAAAAAGAAAGAAGTGAATCCTGGCAAGACACGAAATAACTTCGCAATCTTATTGGATTAGCCATGTACTTAGGATTTTGGTAGAATAGATACATGTTGATTACATGTATTAGTGAAATAGTAAGATCACAAATTACATGTAGTTTGATACCTTCACGTCGTACACACTTAGATTGTATCTTAACGGTCTCTACTATTGCTTGGACTTGTAACCTCAAACTATAAGAGGTGCAACTATACGTGACGTCCGCAGTGCCCCAGAACCCGGATTGATCTGAGACTCATGGCAACCACTCCAGATGTCACGAGTTACAAAGACTTGAACATATCATTACACGTTTTCATCTTATGGCATTTCTAAGTCGGTAAGTTCTGATATTGTGCACGAGGATATCACCCACCGAGGTCATGCACTTGGTGAGGGCTTTTTGCTTGCACATGCTTGTTAGGTTTACATACTAAATTTAATAGATCAGTCTCGTGGTTCAGAATCTTGAGGTTCAGGCACCAATTATCACTTACACTGAGAACGATTAGTCACCGGCGTCTAGGGTCTAGGGTTAAACTACTAACGGTAGGTATCACCAATAAATCAACCTGCTCCACCGCATCCATTACCACCCTTGGCTGCTTATGTTTGGCGAGAAGAAATCGAATGGAGCAACTCCCGGGACTAAAATTTAGCAAGTCGGCGAGTTCCCTAGGAACGATAAGTAATTAAATAGCCCTGAAAGCCACGATTTCCTTCGGATGAACGGACCACATATTCGCCTTCAAAGTGCAAAACTTAGGTAATAAAGAGGCATATGCTGGTCATGGGAGATTTGAGGTCAGTAGAGTAAGCAGCCCCCCTTCTCTTCCATGCATGGTTCCCTCGCGAATATATCTCATTCATCCATTCGTAAAGCTTTTGGCTATCGGAGTAGTCTGTGAGGCTGTCTGTATGAGTGATTAGTGGTGACACAATAAAGATAGAAGGATTTAGAGCCGTTCTTAAGCCTAAGACATTGAATTAGAATTAATGGGTTCGAAATAGCGGAGCAGCTCCGAAAAAAGCTAGATTTGGTATCGTTCGGGAGAAATATTCGTAACGGGTGTTCTAGTGGTGGCGTCCTTCCGCTGTCCAGAGCTTTGTTTTTCTTGTTCAAGACATGCCTTTGAGTAGTTCCGGAGATCTGTCCGGCTCTGCATTTATTCGCCCTGCTTTGAACCGAGTGCCGATCTTCATTCCTGGCTCCGACGACATTTTGTTTCAACTAAAATTTGCACACGCGTGGCTTTGGCCTTTAATCTTATGTTGGTTCACAGGATATCACTCGGTTTTTAGAAATATATTCAACGCACTCCGAATATTCTAACTTATACTTTTCCAAACTAAATAAACGCCAATTTAAGATTAACTAAGGCCTTTCCCATCCGTTACAATTCATCCCTGATGTTGGAATCATGACTAGAATCTCTATTATCATCTAGAGTAACCTCAGGATCGGCATTAGAGGTATCCTCAAGATCAGCATGGGCAATGACACCTGGGGTTCCCTCAGGATCAGCACCAGAAGTGGCATCAGAAGACCCCTCGGAGGAAGTTTTCTCGGGGGAAGCGCTCTCAGGATCTGCGTCTGCATCTGCAGTGACATCTGGAGTGACGTCTGGAGTAACACCTGGAGTGGGCGTAATTGCAACGTGCTCAGGCATGTTCATGATTTTGACCACAAGCGATGTCCAACCCAAGAAATGTGCAGTTCTCTGGCCCTTTCCAGTTTCCGAGTCGTACTGCTCCCACGCATATCCCGTGGTTTCCCATTCGCGATAAACGTTTTCTACCACATTCTTCCTTAGGCGGGTATAAATTCTCGCTGCCTGTGCTTGATGCGGGCCGGAAACAGAGCCGTACTCCTAAAGTTCCAAATTGATCATCCGTTAGCGTGTGTCCCGCCAATATGCATAACGAGGCAAAGGAAAGCGTCGCACAGATAAAAGCGCAACAATTAGGATGGGCGTTTTACCTGTAATCTCTGAATAGCAAGGTAGTTGATATTTATCCACACAGGCCCTTTCCAGTAATTTTCTCCTGCTCCAAAATATTCATCACTTTTGCTCAAACTTCTCAACCCGTGCTCACTCCATATATGCTCAGGGTCCTCAATCAAGTCTAAGACTTTTCCCAATTTCTCCGAGTCCTTGTCCATAAGACCGACTAAAAACGGGAAGATCGAAATGTATCCCTTGTGGCACACATGCACACTCTCGTCGTAGTCGTCAATGGTGGCGTCGCAATATGTGCCGTGCTTGTCTGACCAGTGTAGATCATCCACGTTTCTTGTAATAGCGTAGTCGAATTCGTCGAATTCCGCGGCATCTTCCGCCTCGCCAATTTTCACCGCTATGCGCTTGATACAGCGCGTCATCATGCCGACCCATGATAGTAGATCAACATGGAGTTCTCCTGTGTGGGGGGGACGAGCACGGGGATAATCATCCAGTCCCGATGTCAAGCAATGTTCCGGAGTACGGCCTCTCCACCGGTAACCCTCTTTCATAGAGTATGCCTCTCTATCCCATGTTCTTATGTCACCCGATTGGGTTTTACGGTACCAAAAGTAGTGGCGACGTAGTTGTGGATAAATCGACCGAAGATACTGCAATGCGGCCTCCGAGTTTTTCAAATGTGCCGTGGGAAGGTCAGCCGATGAGAACATATTCCCAAAGGATTCTTGGCTAAGCATTTCATCTACTATCGGTCAACACTCTGTTGGGTCCCATGGACTGAACTTGAACTTACCCGGGCTCTGAAATCCTTCCAATTTATCAATAAATTTTGTTAGTATGAAGAAGAGTGTTGGTGGGTTTGCATAATGCGGGTATTGAGTTTGAAACTCCACCGGCACCTTGGTTCTAGCTTCATCTCCTAGGATTTGTTCTCGCCCAATCCAACCATCCTCATCTACCAGGGAAAGCCAGCTCTTCACAATTTCTAGGGTTAAATCCATATCCCAATCGCTGATCGGAATCAAGTGAAACCCTTCGTCCCATAGGAATCCTCTTGGGAAAAATGGGCGAGAGGGAATGCTTGAGAAGAGCTCTGTTGGGCCTTCTAATTTCGCTGCACCAGGGCGTCTCTGTGCTTCTGCAGCCTCTTCCCAGAATCCCTCATTTTCTTCCACATATTCGTTTGCGTATGTGCGGTCTACGACAGAGGTGCCGTGAAAGTACCCAATACCGCCCAAAAGATTAGAAAATAAAGAATGTGCAAATTTGGTATACTTTGATTTATCAAAAGGTGCCTCGCGCGGGAAGATCTTTTCGAAACGTTCAGGAAATGATGAGCTCACAGACTTGATTGTCTCAGTGAGTATTTCGGCTACCGAGATATCAGCAATCGACAATTTCTTAAAAATAAAAAACTCGGGTAATTGAAGCCGTACAGCTCATGGGTTCCAATGCAGATGCTGATGTATAAAGAACGTCGAACTGTAAGGTTACTTAGCTTCAAATCCTCCGCATATACAGGATAATAAGTGTACTTACCTCAAAAGCGCCTTCGAAGACCTTCTGAATGTAATGCAAATTTCCCGGCCCAAATTTGTTCTTGACAGTGAAGGTCTGACATGGAGGTGGATGATTTTCTTTGCCGTATCTTTCTTGCAAATCCACGATATTGTCTCGAAGGGCCACAAATAAGAATTCTAGTAGGTAGTAGTACTAGTTAGAATTTGTCTCATCTTAGAATAATAAAGGCAAACCAACCTTTCGCATTCCAGACCTGATCCTCGGGGACTTGAACAGAGTGGTATAAAGTCCTATCGAGTGGTTTCTCAGCCCAATAAGCTGGGTGAATCACTCTAGGAGCTTTATTTGTTTCCGGACCAGAAGTGACATCAATTCTGAAATTTCCAAGGCGCGGGATAGAGCCTTCTAGCTGCACTGCACCCTCAAGCCCACTTCCATCGGGCTCATTAACTAGAGAGACGCTTCCAAATCCCTCAAGGCCAACATAGAACCAAAGGGCAGTTTTGAGGTCAGCGGGCGCTATAGTTGAGGGTAAGTTAGCTGAGGTCTTATATCGGTAGTATTGGATCAAGCCACTTACCGTCTTCTCTTGGTGTTCCACTGATACGAACACCCCAATGACCACCTAAGATAATGCCACCTGTGTAAGTTTCTTCGCTCACAAGTCAAATAAATTACTGGCAGATATGGCTAACCGTGCTCTCCGCCTTCAACTTTGACGAACTGAGTCTGGATATCGATCATGTTCCCCTGATCGCGGATAACCTGATTTCCTCCAGTTCGGACATCATACTCCTCCCACCCGTATCCGGCCATGTTATCACCTTGTTCGCAGGCATGCCTAAAACCTGAAAAAGAATTGAGTCAGCTTTGCCTACCCTATTCCATATGCGTGAGAAAGCATAGCTCAGCAAAGGGTAGATGTGGCTATCCAAGCTAATACTGACTGTTCTGGATACTCTTAAAATCATCCACTCTGCTCCACATTAAACCAGCAATCAAGCTATTCGGTATTCTTGGTTTGACCCCAAAATACAGATTCGGCCTATATGGGCCCCATAACAAGCTCTGGTTTGAAGCTCTCGAAATTTCATTAACAAGAATCCATCCCCCATCCTCACTCGACGACGTTGTATCTCTGGCGTTCGTAGTAGTAGTAAATAGTGCAGAAAGCACTGCAAAAAAGAATAATTGTAGCATCGCTAAACGAGGGGATAGTATCGCCATCGTGTGCGATTTTTTGAAAGAGAGATGCCAATTGCTGGCGGGTTCCTTCTTTCCTCGGAGACGACACGTTTCGTGAAGCTCACTAGCAAAGTCAGCAGTATTTACTGCAGGACCCCTGACGGTTTCACCGCGCTTTTCTTGGCAACTGATGACGAGTACATGGTCTAAGCGCCTACCGCGCTCGTAAATAAACGTTGCGCTTAGAAAAATCGGGTCATGATTCGAAAATCATCACTCCTCTAGAGCTAGAGGTTAATTGCGCCTTTAAGTCTCGATAAGCTCAGATGCCGAGGTGTCTCTTCTCTAATCGATCAATAACTGGATCATCCTGTGCGAGACTAAGGCCGTCCACGTACACATCCCTTCGTGTGTTTTCACGACCAGGCGCTAAGGGCAGCTTTTACTTGGTAATAAACCTAACCCTCATTCCGTGAGCCTTTTGCTGTAAAGTCCTTCTGTGACCCCTCCTATACCTTTTTCAGGTGTCTCCACAGCCTGTAGGTAGCTAGAGTTTTTGAATATCACCACGCCGTCGCGGGCCTAATATGTCTCCGATTTTTCTCTGACGAACGAAGGGATAGGTTCGGGGCATACATCTTTGGTGGTGTCGCAGGGTTAGGGCTAAAGTCAACTGTCCACTGGAGCCAGCTCGCTGACAAAGGATTAAACGCCATGCTACATGTACGTACTGGAGCTGCAGTGCGCTACGCTTAGCAACGCCCGCGCCCTGAAGCATACAGCCAACTCTAGACTAGTAGAGTAGTAAAATAATACTTACAGTCGACTCTCCCTATAAGGGTACAGTTACCCTTATAAATATTTCAGGGTTAGGTTTGGCAGGTAGGAAGTTCACTTTTGGGGGTGAAAGGTTCGCTCAACACTGAATTTAGTACAATGTGAAGTTCGCGGAAGCTCACTTTTGGCGGCTAAACCATCACTCTTTGGTGATGGAGCTTTTTAGTTTTGGGTAGTGTAGTTTTCAAGCTGGTTAGTAGAACATTTTTCACTTTTTGAGGGCGAAGGGCCCCAATTTTCACCAAAAAATTACTAAGGGTATTCTTATAGCGAAAATATGAGCATTTACCCTTAACACTACATACTAAAAAAAGTAGCCTGCGGACCGGACTCCTTATAAGGCGAGTATTCTTATAGAGGGACCCTTATAACGAGAGTCGACTGTGCTCTGTAATTAGCGCTCCTTTCTCGACTTGCAGCTTTGCTGCTTCGCCGGTCTAGGTTCTCAATTTTGCCTTTGCAGTCAATTTCGTATGCAGATTCGTGAATTACAATGAAGCTAGTACATAGTCGATATTAGACAATCAAATATTGACAAAACTCATTAAGGTCAATGACTGATAAGGACGGATCGCGGAGGATGGAAGATCTCTATGAATTATTGAGCTGAGCGAGCACGATGATGACTAAAATAAATGACTAAGCAATGCCTGGAGACCACTTAACTCCAGGGCATACGTGTACGCCCTTGCACGATATCTCGTGCGCCAGATACGGGCAGCATTTCTTTACAACGGTTTATCACTACTACTTTCATATTTACGATAAACTCTCAGAAGCACAGATGCAACCCACTTCAATACACATGATGGTTGATGAGGCCGCGGCCCGTGTGTGGATACGTATACATATATGTATATATGATTCGAAAGTTTATAGTTATTGTGGTACTGATAGCCCAGGGGATTGGTGGGGGTCTGGCTTGGGGCTAGTGCTTTATCCGGCCTCAGTTGGGCCTGGAATTGGGCCAAGGGTCGCTTTTGCATTCCTTCTCTTCCCTTTGAGGAGTTCCCAGGTTGGAACAAAGAACAAGGCACTGATTGCCACAAAGCCTACAAAAAAAAAGCCAAAAGCAACCATCCTTTACAACAGAGAGTATCGACAAAGAAAATATACACTTTCTCTGGACCAATGTTGATGTATGCTGGCCCAATTTAGGTCTTCAAATAGAGATCAATAGGTCCTTATTGAACGTAAAATCTACTGGTGGTCAGAATTATTCTTATTTTCAAAACAGGACTTTAGATCTCACATATTGATACATATTTCTAAAATTGGTAATATGCAACACCAAGAAAGCAGACCCACGATGGAAGATGAAGAAGTCATCTACTACTCTTCGCCAGCTCCCCCTCTCGATAACGGGTTCGAAAAGGACATAGACGAGAATGAAGACTATGAAAAGACACGGGATACAAGTCTCCCATTATCAGAGGTGAATAGGAAACTCCCAAACAGATATTTTGGACGGAATGGTACCTAGGTTTTGAAACCAAAAGAGTAAAGAAAGAAAACCTTAAACATGGAGGAGGATACCATTATGTCATATCAACAAAAAGATCAACAGGGCTAACCGAAGACCATTAATACCCAGCGTGGCGATGCACTGACGCGCATATGTTTGTTTGTTTCCCGTGGAAAGCACAAAATAGACGCAAAAACCTTTCTAGAGATAGTATTCCAATACTTTAACGAACTGGGGAATCCACAAGCTGCAAGCATCCTGACCGATATTCTATTCGATGCACCACCTGAGGTAATAATAAGTCTCAACGCACAAGTATCAAAAAGAATCATCGAGATTGACTGGTAGCGTCCATAATCCAGGTTAGTGGACTGGTAATGACCAACATTGGCGTATTCGTCGCCCGAACCAATGACAAAGATTTCGAGGCCATAATATACTCCATCGCCGAGGACCTTGACCTACGTGGCGAAAAACACGAAGCCATCCACATTGCCGCGAAGCACCTGATGAAACACTACTCCTCACAATTTATACCAGCCATTTTTGCCCCTGGGAGCATTGCGAAGGGGTCCCTAAAGTGGTTGACTGGAAATTACCGCGCCCTCAAATTAGAGTTATTCGGCAACGATTCTGAAGCCGGCGCGAATGCAGATCGGACGCTAATGACAGCCTTGAAATCGGCTTCATCACATCTTACAGATACCATTGATAAGACAATGATTTCAATGGATGCATTGACTACAGTTGTCAAGTCTGTACAGTCCGTGCTGGGGATCTACTCAGATCTTCTCCGTACTTCGGGAGAACCGGGGATCGCGATTTTAAGTACCGCATTAACCTCCTCTCCAGGAACTCAACCCCAAACTCCTAGGAAAGGGGCATTTGTCTCTACCATCAGGCGCTATGGCCGTGATAGCACGTGCTCGCAAGTATCACCGACAACGTCAATACCAACAGCTCACTACGCGCATGAGAGTGGTGCTTCGAGTCGCCAACATTCAAAGAATAGTTTTCGTGATAGCACACTCTCTGCTCGTGAGCGCGGAACGTCTTCTGCGGCAGATGCTTCCACTTCAACCTCAACTCCTGATAGAGAAGGACATACCCGCTCTAGTTCGGCCCCACCAACGCCAGTAACTTCAAAGCGTACATGTAGCAATCCTAGTACCAATGAAGAGGAAAATGTATCACCGAAGCGCCCCAAAAAAGATGGCCACAGCCCGGCTACCCCAAGTCCTCCGAGGCATAGTAGCCAAGCGGGGGCTAACCCATTGCACCGCGGGGGTAGTAGCGGTGGGAGAGGCTACCAAGGCAAAAATTTTATTCCAGGGTATCGAGGGAGCTTCCGTGGCAGACACGAATCGTTCAGATCTAGTTCATGGCGTGGTAGACAGTACTGGAATGGCGGTAGGAGTGATTATGGATATTCTCGTGGCGGATCGGATTACCCTCCTAGGATGAACTACGATTAATATCAATGACACTCTTTATAATATGTCGGTTTCCTATGGGAGGCCGTTTTTAGCGTGTTACTGGAATTTCATTTTCTTTGCTTTTCTCGGGGGGGCAGTTCTGCGATCGAGTGAGGGGTTGTGATGCGGATGTTGTGTTTCATTGTGGGAACGTTCTAAAATAATACATGACTTACAAGGCCGTCATAAGACGTTCCAAGTGGGCCGCCTATGTGCGCATATGTGCGTACCCTTTAAGGCGGTAAATGTCCACCAATGTCCACAAGCACGGGTCGGTAAGCATGATGGACGGCGTCTAGATTGCAGTCACAGCGTCACACCATTAAATTCAATAATTACAGTATATAATACATATGTAGAGGGTGTATGTGCTTGTAAACTAAAAAGTACACCACTGCAATGATTGCTTTTGGGTAGGGCAATGTTGCAGTAGTTTGATCCATGCGAATACCTGCATGTGCGAGGTAAGTAGAGTACAATATGCTGCTATATTTGAAGCAAAGAGTTTCTGGCTGTCCTGATCTATCACGTGACAACAAAACCGGAATCACTCGTGTTACAACACACATGATGAATTAACAAGCACGTCATTCTACCTGAGCCAGGGGAGGCAGAAAATGTTTCTAAGTCATGTCAACATATGTTACACAGGAACAGACCCCTCGCCTTGTTTTTGTGTCTCGGGGATCTGTGAGTACTTCTATACTCACAAGCACATATACAGTTGCATCTCGCTATGGGCGGAACTCAATATGCCGGATCCCTTGCTGTCCCGTATAAAATTCCTTGAGAATTAAATTTTTCTACCATAAAATCAATTTACTATCCCAGATTTCTTGGGAATATTTGCTATCCCGTACAAGATTTGGTGAATCTTGGCCATCCGGCATAGCGAGGTGCGACTGTACCTACTTCTAATCTGCAAATTTTGGAATGCGGGGCGGAACCTTCCAATAAGGATGCACCCACATATACTTATGTGGATAATCTATGTGCACACATATACATACCAATTAATGCCTTGATTTGTAGATTATTTATAATTTATTTTTGGGTATGTACTTTTACCGATACGTACATCTATGAGGATAGATGCTTTATCTTACAAGATAAAGTGACTACACAAGGGCAATTGGATCAGCATTGTTATCTTGTAGCTGTAAAACGGAGTTACTACATTTATCCCTAGGTCTTGTATCACTATACACATAAGAGGACTTTAGGCGCGTATTATAGCTAAGTATAGAGATAGCTATCGAGTACTATACGTGCCTGTTTCTAATATATATATGCCCGAAGTCTTCAGGGAACATATATCTACATATACTCCGAAATTCGACCTCTTTGACTGCTTGGTTATATATAATTCTCTCACTATCACTCGTGATTCAAGAATTATTTAACTTAATGATTTTTACTCATAAACTACCCCTCATCATAATCATCCAAGCTCCGATCCAGAAACCAAGAGACTAAGACACATTATTCAAATGCCACAGAAACAATATAAAAAAATGACCGGCGCAGAAATCCTTCTAGGTGTTACCAGACTTCTAACACCTTTACTAGCGGCTCCTATTGGATCCACACTTCATAGCCGCTTCCATAAACCGCTTTATGACTATTACCCTGATCGAGAACAAGTCTACGACTATTTTATCAAATCATGGTCTTCTCTCAACAATAACGTTTTCAGACTCTCCATGATTCGCACATTGGCGCACGATGACCATGACCGTCGCACCGCGTCGAAAGAACTCGAGCTAGCAACAAGGGCTTTCCAAGACATCAACTCTCGATTGATCGCGTGCAATACAAACCCATCGGAACCGCGCCCAAGCTGCAAGGACCAGGAGAAGACGGGGCTGTTTCTGGATGCTGTGGGAAGGAAGATTGTAAATGCAAAGGAGGGTATAGTGGAGATGTTGGATTCAGTTGTAACAGCGAAGCTACCACAAAACTCGGGCAATATGTTCGGTAGTCTGGGTAATTCAAAGCATTATGTCAAAAAGGGCCGGGGCGTTTCGAAGGTCAAAAGTCAGTTAGTTACGCACATAACGGCAGACAGGGCATAAAACAGTCTCGCAGTACATCTCATTTTGGATCCGAAGGCCTATCAAACCATTATTGTCACCGAAAACGATCACATTACTGCAGCTGTTCTACCGGTCGGCTTATATCGTCAGATCACCGATACCATAGGAGTGGTTCAGAGGTTAATCTCCTTGAACCGAGACATCAACGATTCTGAGTGGTAACGGCAAATTCAAATATGTCTCTCTAAGTGAATTGAGATTTCCTTACACTAGTACCTCTATATTCTTTTCCTTGGGCTATCTGTTCGATGTCTTGTCTCGAGGGTTTTTGATTAAATCCTTCATACCAATATTTCCTTTCCCTCGATTGTGTAATGGGTTTCTACTCCTGAAATTCCAATTCTCTCTTATAAACTTTATTGAACGTACGAGCAATTTCTGAACACTCTCAGTATATATGAGCAGCTTTGATCAACCTGAACGTTGTAATTGATCAATCTTGGCAGGGCATTGAGAAACATGATTACATGTATTGTATGCACACCATGTGATAGAATGAAAATTAAGAGATGAAAAATTAAGAAATGAAAAATTAGCTCTAGAAAATATAGTTTAGGAAGTGTAACCTACTAGATCTAATCGTGACGTTTTTATACGGGCCTAGCACTTATGGCTTTCGAAAACAACACAAAAGCCTCATTTGCGTTTCAGTTGTCGTGACCTTCTACTTGAACCATTTATTTTTTTACTTATTCCAGCTACGCGCCAGCACTACCTTCCAGACAAAGCCGATAGCCCTGTTGAGGCTAAAAGTCTCGGCATCGAGTGATACCATATAAAGGCGAGCCACATGCTGACATGCAGGGGTGGGTTCTGCTAGGTACTTACTAAATGATGTATCGGCCAATTGAGAACATTAGTTTACACGATAGGCATATATACTATATACATGCACCAATTATTGTGATCTCTCTCTTCAATTGAGCCTTGACGTGGTTTGAAGGAGTACCGCCGCGCCTGTCTTGGACGAAGATATGTCCATTCACGTACATACATAGCAAGAGGATTGGCTATTAATAGTTAGCTAGTGATGGGCACGAGACAAGTTGTCTCGAGACTTTCAGCAAGACAAGACGAGACCTGAGGGTTGACAAGACAAGACAAGACTAGGTCTCGTGCCCATCACTATAGTTAGCTCGAGAGTATTGGGGTTCTCTGGCACAAAAGAGCATAGACAAGATGCGGATGATAAGTCGTACGTACATGCTATATACAATTTGCATGCAATCAATGAATTAAACAAAAAAAAAAAAGCTATATACAGCCACTCGTCAAAAGTGTTCGTGATACAGTTTTAATGTCAGTGCGCAGTATGGCGCACCCGTAATACTGATGTTATTAAAGTTGAGATTTAAAACAAGGAAAAATATATAATATAGTTCGTGACTATATATAAAAAGAAGATAGGTCATTGATCTTATTCTTCATTAATTTGGGTGCCATTGGTCACTGGGAAAGTCTTCTCTTGGGGTGTTCTTGATGGTCCGCCGCAGTTACATATGGAGAAATGTCTCACTCTGAAATCGGAATCACGAACACTTTTGCAGAGTGGCTGTACAATCATGGGGCATCACTCGAATACAGTCCTATAGTAATGTTAAAATACAGCTTCTGGCTCGTGCAGGGTTATAATGCTATTAACCGTGTTGAATCTAAACTCAAACCTGTATGTAGTCATATATAATCCTGATGTACATAAGTATACATCTGCATAAAGTTTTCGGTTGTGATATTGTAGCCAATCAAATCACTTGACTCCATAGATCCAGACGCTCCCGCCACGCGATCGAGAGAGAAACCCGAGATCTCCTCTCGGCCTATAAATATATTCTTAAAACACTCCCTGGAATGTACCGTACTCTAGAGCTTCCGCGGAAGGTATGTACTAGGGTATAGCGAAAAGTGATCAGAATCTGATAAGAAAAATACACGTATTCACCGCAGCATTCACTTATTAGATTCTAATCACTTACCCTCAACACCCGGTACTCTACTCTAACTCATGCTACATATGCTGGTGGGATTTCAAGCTGGGCGGCAGGTTGCAGATTCGAATGATTACATGTAGCTAGTATTCTTATGTTACTTTATTAATAATAATATGGGGGTTCTATCTATATGTACCCCCACTCTATAGATAATGTACTAAGGCACTCCTCCAGTTAGACTTGAGTATTCTGGGTATTATGCCCCGCAGCTAGTAGATGGGTTCAACACTTAATTTACTCGTCATACCTAAGCAGAAAATTGGAAGGCTTCGTACCACTTTCCATAATCCATATCTCAGTCCTTCGCGCATAAATTAACTCTTTTTAATTCGCAGGACCGACTAGAACCACGTGTGCTAGAAAAGGTCGTCAGATAACAGTGGCAAATCAAAATGCTCTTCATTTTTTAGTTTATGACATGTTCCAGCCATCACCTTCTATGAGAGGGATAAAACTGCAACACCCAAGACAATAATTTGAAGCACAACTCCTATAGATATAGATTCTAACAATTTCATGAAGATCCCCAAAACCTAAACACACCGGATACCCACCCGGGCCAAAAATGGAAAGAGAAAAATGAGAAACACAAGTGATTTAAACATTTAAAGAAAAACCAAAATCAAGACCAGCTTGATCAAAGCAAAACGCCCTAAATTTTCCTCTATTCATCCTCGCACGTTTCTGATTCATCATCCTGATCCTCAAAAAGTCCATCTAGGGCATTAACAACTGCCTGTCCAACACCCCAATGCTCCATATCCGTGAAAAGACTCCTCATCCACCTAAGAAACCTCCACTCCAAGCTCTCTAACCCCTCTGACTCTTCATTTCTCAACTCCCAGCGCATAAGAAGCCCCAGGAGCTCGTGTCGAAAGTTCTCCACAGGTGGTAATGATCTCGGGGGCTCTTGATGGCCGCTCCCAAGGAGATCATCCCAATTGACATCGTCGACCATCAACATCCAAGTCTCGTTCGTTTGCGGTGGGTCATACGCCCAGTTATACATAGCCACATTTTCCATCATGTTGTACCCGACAGACCCGCTGCTTCCCTCCCCGATTCGTACAAGAACCTCCCATACCACCATCAGTGCTTTAAAAATCATCACGGTGACCACGGGAAACTCTGTACTTCTAGCACTATCTTGATATGCTCCTAAAAATCTTATAAGTCCGAGTAAATGTGGCAGTAAATCGGTCTCTTCCAAAACCCGGGTGAAGGATGTATGTGTTGAAGCGTTGGCTGTGACTGAATAGCATCGCTCCTTTGCTGCGTCCACGATGTTCGATAAAGCCGTGTCCATGTCCATCGGAACATCTTTCTGATAGATTGTCACACGATCCGGAAGGATGATCTGGATCAAAGCCAATTGCATCGATATGTAGAACGCTCTCTCGCAACCCTTGAGCCTCCTAGACGATTGTAGTTCCTTATCAGCGTCCGGACTCAACGCAAATGCACTAGGTGTTTCATGTGCCGTAATCCCATGCCCGGAATCGAAAACGAACATATTTGCAATTCCAGAAACCTGCCCAACGGTGTTTAGGGCATGCCGCAACCTTTGTAGCTCGACGCGGCTTTCTTCAGGAAAGATTTCAGGTAGTCTTCCATTCTCGTAATCGGCTTGGCTCAAATTGGCCGGTTCTTCAGCGCCGACATCAAAATCCTCTTCTGGTAACCTACTCGTAATATCAAGAATCTCCATCTGGATGGCTGCAGCCAATATTAATGCCGAGAAGTTACTTCCCAGACCCCCAGCCTGTAGAAGTTCGCTATGACCACGACCCTTGAGTAGGATACGGAGTGTCTTCCCAAATAGAGGTGGTGAAACATTTACGGAGCCGTGGAGTTGGCTTGTTTGCCACAGATGGTTCCAGGCCTGGCAAGTTGGTGCCTCAAAGAGTTGAGCATCACACGGCAATGGGAGGTTTCGAAGCTCCATTGAACGAAGAAGGCGAGGGGTATCAAAAAGGAGAGCCATGTAGCAATCAACTAGAAACAGCGTAAACGCAACCCTAATACCGTTTTAGTAAATATTTGCAGAGTCGAAAATATTATATGTAATTACCTCTTTCGGGACTCTCTGTAAACAAAAAGTTCCCATTGGTGCTGTACGGAGGATCCCGTAGGAATGGGTTTTTCAACCTCATAGAAATATCTATATTCCCTTGCGATCTAAAAATTAAGGTGTTAATCTAAGTCCGGAGGTATTGGTCATGTGATGCGAGTGATAAGTTATGAGTGCCTAGAAGTGTAACAATTTGATATACCTCAACACATCGGGCAAGTAGATTTCTTCCTTTCTTATGTTTTTCTTTCTCGCCCGAGAAAAGAGCATAGATCGAAAACAACAAGAGTCCTTGTAAGACACAGAGTCTTTCTTCACGTTCTTTACGCTCCGCGTGTTTCTTCAAAACCAGTTTGGCTGGATCTGTGGGCTCATCATCGCTGATTGTTTCACAGGGTTTAACCATTCCCTCAGGGATTGCATAACTGCTATCTCTTCGTACTTTCATCCTGTAGATCCCTTCTTCGCCTATCGAGTTCCGCTTTGGTCTTTCAAGGTCGACTTCGTCAGTGTCCCCAGGTCCTCTTTCAATCCATCTTTCCATAACCCTACGTGCCATACTAGTTAGTATAATCACACAAAAGAAACGTTCAACATTTTGGTAAATTTACTTAACCCCACTCTCCCAGAGTTGTGGACTTAATGTCTTGTTGGTAGGATCATATTGGCCTCCTAGAGCACAAACCGCTCTGAGGAAGCTTGCTAGGACTGAGCTAGGTTTGAAGGTCGCCTTATGAAGTAAAGGGAAATATGGATGAAAAGCCTTCGAAGAAAAGTAATAGTCCGAGTAATGGGATAGTAACTGCGGAGGTAAACTAAGAGATCCGGCAGGGGTATTTATTAGTAAGTGAACACTTAATCATGGCACGGATAAGTTACAATGGCAATTTATCTGGTATATAATAAGGCCTAAGTTCAGGTACTGATTTTGCGGGAAGCTATTTAGCCAGAATTTGTCAGCCTCATGATGGTTGGTAGTTATCTCTCGAACCCGAACCAATCAGGAAGTGGACAAGTAGACAAACGTCAGGAGCAGTTGGAAGAACGAGTTGAAAGCGAGCAATCATTTCCTCCATTTCTGTACTTGGTGAGCTGTTACGATCTTCATCTGGCTGTTCCATCTCAGGATGGTGCTTTTTTTGGTGCTTGACCAAGTTATCACTGAAAAGAAAGAAAGGGAAAACAATCAGCCTTTGCAAGAACAAAACGAAAAGGGGAAGGCAGCATCCAAGAAAGAATTTACCCTCGGGAAAAGGCCAGTTTACATCCTGGAAATGGACACCGTGTGATCTTCTTGATGGAATGCTCTACAGTGGGACGTTTCAGTACTATGCTATTTATATAATACATCCTATTCGAGACATACTATTCAACTTGTGGCGATTATTGTTGTACTACAATATGATATAAAATTTAGTACAGACCCACCAATAGATATCAAGGAAGAGTTGATCAACTTACTCTTGTGCTAGATCTCTCTTTGCACTCATCGCATTGATATGGTTTTGTGGCCTGCCACAACCTTTCATCCTCCTCTGTCCAATTTCCTCGAGCGGACTCCTCTAGAACATCTTTAAGTTGTATATCAATATAGCGTCTCAACTTGAGAGCTTGTGAGATTGCCTTGGTGCCAGGCTTAGCCACCGATGAAGCCGGAAAACTAAGTCCCGAAATGGAGTTTTTACGGTTGCTCTTTCGCGCCATGAGATTCTCGCCCGGAGAAACTTCACGGTATTTTGAATTGCTGATTCAACTTGGGATATCCGGATTATTCTGACTTGAGAGCTATTCCATCCGGTGCAAACAACTCCTTCTTTATACCTAGCAGGCTCCACATGATACAGTATGGGTTATTCCGGATTGTGTTCGAGATATCGATAACTAGCCCCTAGATATCTTAGATAACTCCTCTGGAGGATATGTAGCTTGAGGATAACAAGCTAGCTGGCAATTTCAGAAGTCGTGATAAGAGTCTCGATTCAATTGTGGCTTTGGTATGCATAAGTTCGGCTGTGAGGCCTAGGCGGGATTTGTCAGGTCCGTTTAACCTCGCGAGCGAGGCTCAACTGCGGGGATGAGCCGGGATGTGTCCTCCACTCAACGTGCAGTGAGGGTCTACGCCGGCCCAGCGACAGTTTCTGCGAGATAAGCCTTCGCCAACCAACCTAGTCGACGTCAGAGATCCTTTTGAAACTTGACGTGCTACGCTTTGCTGGCGCGTTTTGATCGATCGAAGTCGATAGATAAGAACCTTCACCGCGCGCCGCGCCGGGCTTGAATAAAGTCTTCAGATTCGGAGAAAACGTGTAAATCGAGGGAAGCAAGCAACAGGCAGGGGGGGTGAGGGATAGAGCACTTCTGAAGCCAGATCCCAGGGCTTAAGGTACCGTTCGAGAAAAGCTTTCCCTGGTAGTACATATTCAATAGCAGGCTGAGTCGGAGTGTGAATTAGGCTGGCACGCGACACCATTTATAGAAAGAAAGAAAAGAAAGAGATCATAAAAGTACTGAATCTCTTTAGATATTGATTGCATACATAGCAAGCAGTACTAGTATATCCCACGTCTTCCATTTAAGTAAGAAATTCGAATCTAAATTTCAAAAATATGAATAGCGACTTCAATCAGTTACAGCAGCAGCAGCAGCTGGGCTCTTCTAGTACGTCGGCTGAAATGCCGTCCGGTGCCCGGCCTGCTCTCCCGAAGCCTAAGAAGGCAGCAGGAAGAGAGCGCGGCAACTCGCTGCTGCAGCATTTCGTTAAGGCGGATATCTCGATTGAAGACCAGCTAAAATATCGCCGGCACTTGTAAGCAAAACTCTCCTGGCGATGTCTCATGCCTATGCTTGAACCTATGCACATCTTGATATCTTCACTTTCCTTTTTTTTCTTTTTCCATTCTGCTTCGAAATCTCAAGAAGCAGGTTTATATCGGAGTAGTCCCAACTCCCCCACTCCCCCCCCCCCCCACAACCCATGTTCAATGTCGAGATAACTCTACTATCCCCTTCACTGGAGAATACATTTGTGGGTTTCCTAGGTCTTGATCTCCTGACCTCATATCAAACTCTTATCCTGAGTCAATAAAGCTGATATATCCCTCAAAAGGCACACAGCCAGTCAGAATTTCGTTGGTTTCAACAAGGACAATCTACATATCATCGCGACATCTTTCGAACACTTGTGCTTGACCGAGTCAGAAAACAAGGTATTGATTGATATTCTCAATTCGAGGGTCTCCTCCTAATCGTGATCTGTCCTCAAGAGGGAATACAAGGCAAAGATCCGCGCAAAGTTGCGTGAATGGAATTACGAGGATTTCTCTGAGGACGAGGAAGCCGATGGTTTAGCTTATCAGTTACAGACAGCTCTGCAAAGGTGATAACTACCACTCGATCGCACATATGTCTAAGAACCAGGGAAGAGACATGCTTACACTAAAACCATATAGCTCTGAATCTATGCAAACAACTACTCTTATCACAGGCGAGAACCTCAGCTCCCTTCCGAGCTCTTCAGCGTCTGGAAGCCATGTTCACCGCGCCCCTTCTGAACGAAACCCAACTCCTCACAGCACTGGATCCACTGCTTCCAAAAACTCTTCAAAGTTAGGGAGATCATCCTCCTCGCGCCCACGGTTACCTTCCCCTCAACAATCCTTCCCATATGGATCCTCATCATCAGTTTCATCCCTCTTTGATCCTGTCCTTCTCGATAAGACCAATCTCAATGACCCAGCTGTACGGGCAGGCTGGGTTGAGGCAGTTTGGCATTATTTCAACAGCGGTGGTTGTCCTCCACCCCCATCAGTGAATATAGGTAGGGTTAGGAGCTCTAGCTTTGCTTCTATGCCCTCGCCAGCAAGCCCCACTACTCCCACGAATGACCGTTTCAGGTCTTTAGCAGTTTCAGACCATCGCCACCATCACCACCATAATAATCAACCACAGCCACAACAAGAACAACATATAGAGAGTGAATACGAGGTTATGGAAGGTGTAGAGACATATTATCAGCAAGGACCAAATCAGCAACATGATATCGGTAATCTAGGACAAATGGTTGATCTTGGAGCACTACCTACGGATCCAGAAGCTTTATCCTACGTTCAGCTGGAGCAGTGGCAGAAGATACAGGATCAGAACATCGGCAACCCCTAAAGAGACAATATTTCCTTAACCTTTTTTCTCTCTTCAAAGGAGATTGTCGTCGATTCGGCTATAATTTGGTCTTGTTTCCCATATTCACGTTTATTTAACTTAGTGAAGTATGCTTTCCTTTTTCGAATGGCGTCTCTTAGAATTTCGGTACATTTCCTTAAAAAAAATACCTTATTACCCTAGCTAGTTGATGATCAAAAATAAATGCTCCAAGTTGTAATCATAGATTGTTACTCCCGTCACCTATTATCACTCGTAGACCTGTTGGATAAGCCCACAACCGACATAATTAATGAGCCCGTGAAGCATGGCACTCATAAGCAGCCGGTGGAATTAAGAGCATAACTCACGGGTATTGATAGAGGTATTGCCGGTTACAAAAATAACTATGCACCCTCGCATAGCAACCAGACACGGTTCTCAATCCGTTTCATTCAGCCATGGACAAGAGTACTACATATAGTTCCCTAACTCTAGATTCATGGATATAGAATCGTCTTTTTCATATCTGTTGTGGTTGTCGAAATACACTTACTTTGGTGGTTGTTGGTTGTCGTTGGTGCGTAGTTATTTTTGTAACCCGACAATAGTTGCGCTATCGGAGGGGAAAGATTCTGCTCAATACTGAGATCGCTAAACTGGGCTAATCTCCCACCACGGGGTATGTAGACAAAAATCTGTACAAAGACAAAGAAACATGCCCAAATTTTGCTGTTTGTAACTAAACTAACACGAAGATCTCGATCGTTATGAAACGCCTAAACACACCCAAACATGGAAAGAACTGACAGAAACAGGAAGAAATCAGACAACTCCCTTTAAGCTTAATTTGAATTCCCTCCACCCATAGTATTCGTTGACACTAGGCCTAGGGACTAAGATACTTGGAATGGAACTCCATCCGGACATCAAACAATGAGCCGATATCCTGCTCGTTGCGCTTGATGCGGAATGTCTTGAAGGCGTTTCCATTCGGGAGCTTAGCCGGGGGGCGGCCATCTTCTCTACATAGAAGGGTTTCGAGCGCAGTTATTGAGAGAACGCCAGATACAATTTTATCGGGCTTCCCATCAACAGAAACCTGTAGTCTTCCAGGTGGATAGGAGAATGTGAGGGAGAAATCTTCAGGGTCGATTGCTATAAGCTATATTGATATTAGCAAGGATATTAATATATACTAACACGTAACACAAGAAATAAGAAGCATACCCTTGCGTCTTTCTCAACTAAAATCGAAGCAGTCTTTTTGCTCTTTTTGCTTGTACCTTCAGTGGCAGTCTGAAACGACCGACGCAAGCTAAAAACATCACCAACTCGCAAAGCAGAGTGTTTAGCGAGCGTTTCGAGCTTTACATTTGTTGTATCGCCTGCAACAGCGTTGTAGTCGACGCGCTGTTTTTGTCCCCAAAAGGCCTCAAACTTGTTTTCCTTAAATGCGTCAAACTCCGCGGACTGGGCCAATTTACGTGCTTCCTCGACGATCTTTTGTGTTTTCACAGTGTACTTCGCCTCAGAAATATCGTATTCGACTTGATTAATTCGAGAAATGAGTTGACTATTATTCCAGAAGCCATCGACAAGTTGGGCTTTTGGTGGAGTGGGGTCAGTGACATCTTCAGAAGCCTCGTATACTTTATCGCACTCAGGTAGATGCTTCATGAGGTAATCTTTATCTTCATCAGATATTTTATCCCAGGCAGCAGAGTTGAAAATTTGCTATCATGAAAATTAGCAATGTAACCTGAAGAACAGTAACATACATGAGAGGTGAAGGCATATATACACGTAGGTTGATAGCATAGATACTGTTAGGGTTCGTCATGAGAAACTCCTCTTCCCAATCACTATCGTCATCGATAATATCATTTAGGACAGTACTTTGGATCGTGGCTCTCTTGGCGATTGTCCTTTTGGGAACAGGCACTTCCGCTGCGCTCTCTCCTGAAAACCCTTGGGCATAAACCCACCCCATTAGTTCGGGAGCCAAACGACGTGAAAACCCTTCATAGATCATTTTACGACCACGGCTGCCACGGCCTCTGCGCGGTTCAAGGGATCGAGAGGAGTCTTCTTCTTCAGCGATTGACCCACCTCCGTTATTTACGTCATGCATAGAGTCACCAACATCATTTTGGAGAGTTTTCGAATCTAAATGATCATCGGCATCAACGGTCGCTTTACTGCCTTCATCGGCCTCAACCTTTACAGCTCCCGGATCTAGGTCCCGAGGCGTCAGCTTAACTTCACAAGCAAGAGCGCAATCGCAGCACCCACCTGCTTTCACTCTAGAAGAGCTGGCGATCTGTAGATTCTCCAAGTCTTCTTCATTTACGTCAAGGTCCTCTTGTTTGGTCGGGGACGCCTCATCATCCGACATGAGATCAACCACACGACGCTTTTCCCCAACACGAGCCCTAGACTTCCTTTTCGGCGGTGGAAGCATAGCAAGAGGCTCATCATCGGCAGGAGGCCTACCGCGAGTTCTTCGTGTACCAGCCATTGTAGCAGGAGTTGATGTGGACTGGAGATTAATTCAAGGTTTGCCGAAATTAGAGTCAACTAGAGGTTGCCCTGGGGAAACGCGCCAGCACGCGTGTGGTGTTGTTAGCCGCATTTAGATTTACAGGGATAGCCACACTCTATCTCTATTGTGGCAGTGCACTCTATAACGAGGCTCTGTGTTGTGTGGGAAAGCCGCAAGGACGGGACAAAGATAAGCACCTCAAGAGTCTACACATCTACAATCAATATGTCACTATCAAAAATGAGATTATTCGGCGGCTACAGCGGTAGTAACTGATATCCTGACCCGTTGGCTTCAAAAAGAAAATAGGGTACATTTAAATACCTACATAATAAAAATGTAGGTACATACATGTACCTACTGTTACATGTCAATACAGTTCAGTGTCAGGTTTGCAAAGCTGCTGCGCATGCGACTGCTGTAAACAACTGCTTTGTGAGCTCGATGTTTTGTTTTGGGAGTTCCTAGAAAGATCGGGGCGGCAAATATATTGTCTCAGCTCGACTGTTAGCCATTTTTGTTCTGGGGCGATAGGCCTTGCATATATCACTTTTCGTTTCGTTTCGTTTCAATCATACTCTTTTCCCGTTTGGTGAGTTCTGCAAGGGGAATTGAATACCCGGCGAGGATAGAGATGGGTGGTGTCTTCTGGTTCGGGCTTATACATGTAATGTAAATCTCGACCCCGCGTTGATCAATTTACCGGTACAAGATCATGACGCGTTTAGACATGAAGTAATTAACATCTAGTTGGTTCTGGGGAGGTATGGGGATATTCTACCGGGGCATCATACATGTAGACATGGGGGGTATGTAGGTGTGGTATGCTTCTAAATGGGTATTCGTTTCGTGTACCACACGGATCCCAATTTAAAAAAAATTTCATCGATTTTCCGGCGGTTTTTCGATTGCGAGATGAATTTCATCTTCCCTTGGGTGCAATTAGTTGGGCCATGGAACTTGCACTTGCGGCTGCTTCATGTATCGATACGCCAACGTCGGATTATTTGGTAAGATTTTCGTCGCAGGAACCAGGTTAATACCTCCCGGCGCGAGTTTTTCGGATTATTTCGTAAGATTTTCCACTACAACACCAGGTTAACGAAGCCCCATCGGCAATGACAGCTCCCTGTACTAGTACATACCCATCCTAGTGCAACGCTGCTGAGACCTCTTCTCATCATGGTAATATAAGACGGCGGTGATATGATTTATTATTTAGCCTGTGGTCTGAAATAAAAGTCTCCATCGGAACCGCATATATCTTGTTGGATTCTTGTCAGTTTGTGTGAGTACCACCGGTAAACATTCTCTAAACGGCCGATACCACGATCGCTAAGTTGCTGATGTGCATAAACACTGCATCCAAGACATCCACACTGCTGAAAAATGAGATTAAAAATAAAATAAAAAGTGATAATTCATGCAGCGCAGTAATGATCTCCAGAGCCTAAGGCCAACTTTACAACGCCAAAATAAAGACGTGCTCAGCTATTCACGTCGTACCTGACTACTTTACATGTAATGCTCAAGGGCTCCTCCGTAAATTATCGAACAGGAACAGGGCTTCTACTTCTTCTCCTCCTTTTCTCACCCCCCTCCCTGTCATCCCGAGCCCTATCACGCTCCCCGCGTTCCCTGTCATTACCCCTGTCACCCCGCCTTTCTCTATCCCTTCTACCGTCCTTCTCGTTTCCCCTGTCGTCATGATCCTGCCGGTCTCTGCGTCGACTTACCGAACGTCTTCGCTCACGGTCCCGTCTGTGCCTGTGCCTTTCTCTTTCTCTTTTCCTATTCGGGCTCCGGGACCTACTCCTATGTCGTCGTGATCGATGACCATCGCGGTCTCGATCTTTTCTCTCTCCCCTATCCCCTCTACCACCTCCCTCACGTTTCTCATCTGCCGGTCTATACGACCCCTCTAATTTCCCCTCATCTTCCTTTTTATCTGGTGCAGCTTCTCGTTTTCCGCCTCTTCCAAAGCCCACACCTTGTGCTTCTCCCTTTGCCTCTTCGCTGTCTGGTTGGCCACCAGCACCAGCTTCCTTGATTGCACGCTTGATATCATCTTGGTTGACGGCATCTGTGTGCCGCCGTACAACCTTGAATCCAAGGGCTTCAGAAAGGGCATCGTTCTCGGCTTCTTTGATACGACGAATCTCTTCGAGGCGTTGTTGTTCGGCCGTGAGGGTGCTATCGGAGTCGGCTTTGGCGTACCAAGTCAAATCTCTGCCTTTCTGCCAACGGCCGACAGCTGTGGGGGTCAGTTAATAATCAGACTCGTGGTACTCTAATAATGGAGAGGCTGGGGGATCTGCCGGAGAACAAGAAAGTGGGGAGGAAGCTAGAAGTTCTAGACATACGAGCCATTAAAGAGTGCCCGAGATAGTTCTCGCGGTCCTTATCCTCTTTCACATCCTCCCATTTGAACTCAGCGCGCCCACCGCGGGAGCTATCGCCTTTACGGAGTCCAGACAGAAGATCCATTTTGCGTGGGGTTCCTTTACAACTATTCTAACGTTCGTTTGCAGGGCTTCGTGGAATTGGAGATCGTGCGTAGATGTCGTGTCACTGATAGTCGATTCGTGTCAGTCAATTTGCCGTGTACTAGTATACGCAGGGCTGGGCTGTTCGTGTCAAGCGTGATGTGTGATGTATCAACAGCGAAAGAAAAAAAAAATCACGAAGAACAGAATAGATACAGATCTGTCGCGTATCAGAGCAAAGCAGACACGAGAACGTAAAGGCAAAAAAAGGCGCCAATGCAGTCAATAACAAGCTAGGTAGAGCGCGCCGACGGCCAAAGTGCGAGAGGTGAAGTTGATTCAATACCCTGTAAACCTAACCTTTAGCTCCTTGGTATCCACAGAGCCGCAACAGAAAAGGTTGGTTCCGATTGCAAACTCAAGTCCATGCCGGCTGAAGGCCGACTCCTACTCGCTCGTTCGTTCGTCAAGCCAACCTCCAACCTACCTTCCCTGCAAGCCATACTTGGAGCGCTTGCCTCCCCGGGCTTTTCTTCCCCTCCAGCCAAAGCAAGAAGAGTAAGCCAAAGTACGTATGTACAGGCATACATGAGTCGACGTTAACCTCTCAGGACTTATGATGTGCTTCTCTTCCTTGGTGCTGGCGGCTGCAGTTCAACGAAGGGAAGAGTAATGTATTTCGTCTGATCTCGCTCCTCCTTTTGTGATCTCAGACAGGAATGAACAATGAGGAAAGAAAAAAAAGAATTTTTAACAAAGTAACTGCTTTCTTTTTCGCCACCTATGGCCTCCCTCTGATCGCCCGTTTCTACCTACCTGGCTGGCAGTACTGGCCGGGTACTCAAAAGAATTTAAATTTTTATTTTTTACCCTTACCTTGTCAGAATGAAGTGAAAATAGCAATTGGGAATATCAGAAATCTGAAAAATTTTCCTTTCGGCCCCTCCATCCATGGCCACCGACCCCATGCAATTAATATAAGCGACAAGAAATCAGAACATGGTATCCACATGCGATCCATCGGTGGGAGGAAATTATCGAACAGCTACGAAGAAAACAAATAAACTTTTCAGCTCGGTGGATCACGAAGCAAGTGGAGCTCTGTGAAAAAAAAATATAATCAATGTATGAGCTCACCGCCGCTCAGTGGATGAGCCCACCTTGTGACCACACCAACCATGTTACCCATGTGTTTACCGGCGGCGACGCATCTTATGCAGGACGCGGGACTTGCTTGACTTGGGGCGACGAGTGCTAGTTGCCGGGTGCATTTGTACAGGGTGAGCTTTTCAAGTTTTTTTTTCATTCCTTTTTTCCCTTGCCCTATCTACCTCCTTTCCCCATCGCTTTTCTGTCATGAATTGACCTACATTGAATTGAGCATCCCTGCGTTCTGCGGTTGTGCACCTGCGGCCTACCGTACCCCAGCTTTTGCCAGCTTGAGGGTTCTACAGAAAGGCGACTATCGTCACATTCTGGGATGGTTGATACACCTAGACGAGTTTATGTTGCTGGAAAGGGCCAACAGTGTAATACCCTACCTACCGTAGGTGCATATTCGTCATTTCGTGGCCAACCCTGGGGGGGAATTTAAAAAGAAAAGAATAGGGAAAAACGAATTCTCAAATCGAAACAAGATGAAAAAAATGAAAATATAATATCACAACCTTAGCTCCAATACGAGAGTCGCGTTGATACACTGGGGGGGGGGGGGGGGGTTGAACACTGTACTGCCCGATTCCAGACAGCTAGCAATGGAGGAGGAGGAGGAGGAGGAGGAGGAGTAGGAGGAGGGGGGTACGTTAGACGAAGGAGGCTTGTTGATGTCATTATTTTTTCGAGCATCGTCAAATGAGTATGCTGGAATGGAGGAGAAGCATCTGTCCTCGAGACCCTCCTCTCTCCACACCCGGACTCAAAGCTCTGGACCTTCTCTTTGCTTGGCGCATCACAGACACAAGATCAGCATACAGCTACGATTCCTGGCTGCCTCTCCGCAAAGATTCGTGGAACAGGCAGGGCTGGAAACAGGCGATGTCAGTAGACAGCACGGAGCCAAGTAGTGTACCGGTACTCGAGGCGAACTGTGGTTGAGCTCTGTTGCCCAGGCTAGTGTTATTCCAACTGCTCCCCTGTAGACAACGGCCTGACTACTAGTGATAGTCCCCCACCTGCAGCATGGGTGCAAGAAACCCAGAGCAAAAGCAGAAAGCAAAGCGAGGAATGGGGGAACCCCTCACTAGTCTCAGATGGTTATGAGATCCCGTGCTAATGCCGGAAAGCGTCGGCCTTCCGCAGCAAGCTTTTTTTCTTTTACTGGCTTGCTAGCATGCGTGCGCGCTTGCTTGGTGGAGTGCACGGAGAGGAAGAATGAGAAAGGTGGATGTACCTATCTATTCGCCTCCGACATTCTCGTGGCTACTCCTCCCCAGGGACATATATTTCAAGCCTGGGGGCCTTCTTCCTCTGGCTTTTTTTCCTCTCGTGTTGATTTGCTCTTCGACAGCTATCCTCTGCTATATTCTGCTTTTTTGTTTGTTTGCTTTGTCCTGCATTGCTTTCTTCATTGCTTGTTCGTTTTTTTTCCTTCAGGCCCTTTGGCAGTCGATTGGGGATCGTGAGATTCTTATTACGAATTGTTGTTTCTCCTTCGTGGTAGAAACAATCCGAGACGCAATATATCATGACTTCTCCTGCTGGTGGTAGAAGAGACAACTTCGAAGGCTATGCTTCAGACAGCCCAGGACCTACTCCAAGCCCTACGTACAGAGCTTCCTATTTCCAGGACGTAAGGAAGCAATCTGACGACCCGAGCATTTCTCCTTCTTCAAGTTCTCCGAATGTCACCATTCCCGCTTTACGCCCACGACGGTAAGCAATCTCCCAGTTTTTCCGAGTTTTCCCTATCAACTTTATTTCCCTACTATCTTATTATCCCTCTTTCTTTTCCCTATTCGTTACTCCCCCCACTTTTGTTTTCGCTTTGGAGCGCAATTCCGAATGATGAGGAGTTCTTTTCTTTCTTTTCTTCCTCCCGGAATCAAAAACAAAGTCTCCGGTTGAGTTGCGGATGTGTTCGTTATCATCCTATCATAGCTTGTTCTGGGCGAATCTACATCGTGACCACTTTGATGATGTCAACCAACCAAGACAAACTTATCGACCTACCAACAAGAGTAAGAAATTAAAAGAAGCTAACGATGCGCCACCGGGCCACAACAGATCTTCCCTTTCACTAGGCCTGGACGCAATCCGCTACGCCGGCGGTGTAAATTCGCTAGATAATTTCGCCCGCTCTTGGACCCGTGCCGCCGGCTACTTTGAGATCGCACCGTCTCGCCAACCAGTGGTCGCTGTACCTGGCTCAAGCCGAGACGAAGAATCCCCGGAAGACAGCTCTGCCATTGACGATGATTACGACGAGTACCATTCTGATGCGACAACTACACGCGGACGCGGGCGCATTGATGGCGCAGCGAGTAGTTTTGGCTCCTACGGGAGCTTTACAAGCCCATTGAGTCGGTATGGGACAATGGACTCGTTACCGCAGACGGGGCTACCGATAGGACGTCTAGGCGGTGCCGTCAGGCATGTGCCAGAAGTGCAGGATTTGCCGGCGAGTAACATTGGAGTTGTTCCGGCGGATAAAGAGAGGGAACCCTTGTTGGTGAAGGCAGTAGTGACGGAAGAAGGGAAGGTAGAGCATGTTATCGTGGGGCAGAGCACACTCCCGCAGACGGTATTTAACAGTGTCAACGTGCTTATTGGGATTGGGCTATTGAGTTTGCCGCTGGGATTGCGCTATAGTGGATGGTATGTTGCAAGGTGTCCCGAGATCAATCAATTGGCCCATAGCTAACAAACCTGCGCACGCAGGCTGATTGGAATAATCTTCATTCTCTTCTCTGCCGGCGTAACAAAGTATACCGCTAAGCTTCTTGCACGCTGCCTCGACAAATCGACCAACCCCCATCTTGTCACATACTCCGACATTGCCTACATCGCGTTCGGTCACAAGTCGCGAGTATGTGTATCGGTCTTGTTCTCGCTTGAGCTTATGGCGGCCTGCGTTGCGCTTGTCGTCCTGTTCGCGGATTCACTCCATGGGTTGTTCCCGCAGATTGACAAGTTGCAATGGAAGATCATTGCAGGGGTTGTCTTGACGCCGTTGAGCTTTCTACCTCTTCGAGTGTTGAGCTTTAGCTCCATCCTAGGGATTGTTAGCACGTTCAGTAGTAAGTAGTCCCCGTCCCCGTCCCCGTCCCCGTCCCCGTCCCCGTCCTCCTTTGCCGAGGCATGGCTTGGCAAAAACGATTGGGTGCTAATGCGATCATTACCCATTGTCAGTTGCGATGATTGTCTTTATGGACGGTTGGATCAAGCCAGAGGCACCGGGATCATTGCGCGACCCTATGCCGACATACCTCTTCCCTCAATCATGGTGGACTGTGCCGCTGTCGTTTGGACTGCTCATGTCGCCCTGGGGAGGTCACTCTGTGTTTCCGAACATCTACAAGGACATGCGACATCCCAAGAAGTACAATAAGGCCGTCGACATCACGTACGGGTTTACTGTAAGCTCTCTCCCTTACCATATCTATCTGCGCGACTTCTAATAAGATATCTACAATCTAGTTCTTCCTTGACATGGCCCTCGCGATCACCGGAATCCTCATGTTCGGCGATGGCGCAGCGGACGAAATCACCTATAATATCCTCGCACTCGACGGTTACCCCAAGGGACTGAGCGTGGCCATGGTAGTCTTCATCGCCATGATCCCACTCACGAAAACACCACTGAACTCTCGCCCGATCATCACGACGATTGAGATCATGCTCGGTGTTGATCCCCGTGCCCTGCCTGAAGGCCAGAGGATGACCCCGTTCAACGAGGGCATCATGAAGATTGTCATCAGAAGTACTTACCCCCCCCCCCCCCGGGCCATACTCTTACCTCCGTGACTTCTGTTTGCTAACAGGGGGAATAGTTATGGTCAATATTGTATTTGTCATTGTCGCGATACAGTTCCCGTCGTTCGACAGGATCATGGCGTTCTTGGGGAGCTTCCTATGCTTCACCATCTGCGTCATTCTGCCGCTCCTCTTCTACCTCAAGATCTGCGCTGCCGAGATCTCGCGCAAGGAGAGGATCTCGTGCTGGGTGTTGCTGGTCGTGAGTACTATATTTGCGGCCATTGGAACCGTCGCGGCGTTTGTGCCGAAGGAGAGCCTCGGGCTGGGTGTTTCTGTATGAGGAGAGAGAGAGAAAGAGAGAGACACGGCCATAGCCACAGCAACAGCTAGGTGGATGGATGGATGGATGGGTAAGTATTTGTACGACGTTACAAGAAAAAAGCGGCATAAAAAAGGTTAAAACGGAGCTTTAGAAAAAAACAGGGACAGTTTTATGGAATTGGCGAATGGGTTGCATCTTGATTTTTTTCTCCATTTATTGCTCCTCTCTTACTATCGTTTCCCTTCCTTTTATTTCTCCCTTTTGTTTTTATTTTGGGTTTTTTCTTTTTCTTATATCATTCAAAAGTTTTTGGCTTTTTTTATTATCCCTTCCCTTTGTCTGGGTAACAGTGGGCTGCTGATTTTTATTTTCCTATTTTTCCTATTTTCCATTTTCATTTTGGCCCCGGGGGGGGGGGGGGTGCTCAAAACTGGATATGATATTGGTGGTGGCCCGCAGCGAGCGGAATCGACGCCAACCACCACGTTTACAAAAAATAATTCAGTATGAAAGAAATATTGTGGGGTTTCTTCTCGTGAAGCTAGCTGGAGTCGATGAAGAAAAACTGCGTTGTAAAGGTAGCGGGATTTTTTTTTAAAAAAAAAATAACAAGGCAGGGGGTGCTAATGATGTCTTGACTTTTTTGTTGTATATTACATATTTATAAATGGGGGGGTTCTTCACAAAGTACATAGATTGGTGAACTCCTCTTCCAGGTCTGGCTTTCTATCTGTCTAAGTTGGTAGAGTAGATACAACGTGCGTGCGCTGAGCTATATGTAGCTTTGTAGTAGTACCTATATACATACAGCTGTTGAGCTGTTGAGCTGTAGTTGTTCAGCGCCACGACCTTGCTCTGCTTAGCAATCCCACGCGCAGCCTCGGCTGTTGCCATGATGAGTGTTCTACTAGCACGTTCACGTTGCCTGCATGGAACTTGCCGAAGTCCGGGGTAACCGTTCAGCAGCCGAGGGAAGGGAAGGCCGCCGAGTAGAGTAGAGTAGTTAGCCCCTCCCAGCCCTCTTCTTCGCCCACAGCACAGCACAGCACAGCGCATGAGACAAGACATTTGGTGGTTGGTGGTGCTGCTGATTAACGGCAGCGCCCGTTGGGATATAAAATGTAGAGGAGTCCCCCCATAATTGGACACCGTTAACTGTCCAATCTCTGTTCTGTACCCTATCATCATCATCATCATCATCATCAATCAGTCAACTTTTGTACCTTCCCCACACAAACCCTTCTTCTGTGAGAAACTTGAGAAGCTTGGATAGCTACATAGCTGTATATCGTGTCTTCATATATTCGCAATGGCTCAGGAAAGACTTAGCAACATCCTTAACCACATCAGAACCCCGACGGGGTTGGCGGCTATGTAAGTTTGGCCAATATGTTTGCTGTAGAATTAAGGTCTAGAGGAAGGGATCTCGAGATGCTGATTGTGATATAGCATGTCGAAAAACCCGGATGATATCGTGATCACATACTGTGCCCGCACGCCGCTCACAAAGGCGTTCAAGGGCAGGCTCAAAGACACCCAGCTGGATTACCTCCTTCTGCAGCTCTTCAAGGTACCCCCCCCCCCCCATCCCACCACCACCACGGTTTCCAAACCCACATAACTAACATACCCCCCAGCACACCATCTCGGGCTCCAACATCAACCCCGCCCTCGTCGAAGACATCTGCTGCGGCAACGTCAACGACGGCTTCGCACCCTACAAGGTCCGCGCCGCCGCCCTCGCCGCTGGCTTCCCCAACACCGCCGCCGTCTCCACCGCCAACCGCTTCTGCTCCTCGGGGCTCCTCGCCGTGCAGAACATCGCAAACCAGATCACCTGCGGCTCCATCGACATCGGCCTCGCCGTGGGAATCGAGCAGATGTCGCTGTCGCCCAAGGCCGTGCCCGACTTCAACGAGACCGTCATGGCCGCCTCGCAGGAGGCCACGGACTGCCAGCAGCCCATGGGACAGACGTCGGAGAATGTAGGAAAGGATTTCGGCATCACGCGCGAGGCGCAGGACCGGTATGCGGCGGAGTCGTATCGGCGTGCGGAGCACGCGCAGAAGGCGGGATGGTTCGATGAGGAGATTGTGCCCATTGCGACGAAGGTGGTGGATCCGAAGACGGGGGTGGCGGTCGAGGTGACGGTGAATAAGGATGATGGCATCCGCTACGGGACGACGTTTGAGTCGTTGTCGAAGATCAGGCCGGCGTTTACGCAGTGGGGGGACCGCTCGACGGGGGGGAACTCGTCGCAGGTGACGGATGGGGCGGCGTCGGTGCTGTTGATGAAGCGGTCGACGGCGGAGAGGCTGGGGCAGACAGTCATGGCGAAGTTTTGTGGGGCCACGGTGGCGGGGGTGGCGCCGAGGATTATGGGCATTGGGCCGACTGTGGCGATCCCGAAGTTGTTGGCCAAGTTCAGGCTCACGAAGGACGAGATTGATGTCATTGAGATCAATGAGGCGTTTGCGAGTATGGCCGTGTACTGTCTCAGGGAGCTGGGCCTCGACCACCAGAAGGTCAATCCGAGAGGCGGTGCGATTGCCTTAGGGCATCCGCTGGGTGCGACGGGGGCGAGGCAGATTGTGACGGGGCTGGCAGAGGCGAGGAGACAGAAGAAGAAGATCTTGCTTACGAGCAGTATGTTCCACCCTCCCTTTTCCCTCCATTCCCTTCTTTAGCCGTGGTGGTATTGTAGTTCGTATACTGACTGATTGACTGTGAATAGTGTGCATCGGAACTGGTGCCGGCATGGCTGGTCTGTTTGTGAATGAACAGGTCTAGACGAGTTTTCTTTTTCTCTCTTTCTTTCTTTTTGAGCGGGGTGTAGGTAGGTAGATCGATGGTGGTGTGTGGTGGTGGTGGTGTGTACTGATATATGATACTTGTATTTCCTTTTCTTTATTTACTTTTTTTTCTGCTTTATGCGCTTCTTGTAAAGGCACGGTTGGACAGCATGCATACCGCATACCATACATACATACATCATGATCTTACTTAGCTTCGGGACACTATTGAAATCGAAAAAATAAAAGGCTCATTCTCTGTTGGATTACATGTATATTCGGATAGTGTGTTCTTCTTCTCCGCTGTCTGTGTTTCTGCCAACAATTAAGGTAAATAGCTCAGCGATCTGCTACCTAAGCTATGGACGTAGTTAGAGTACAAGTACGTACCCATCAAGGTTGATATGACCCAATACTCAAACTACCCCCAGAACAGAAAGTACACCCGGATCCAGTCCGTTCCATTATTAGAATTTAGAACCAGACACTTGTAACGTTATCACGAATTAAGCATTTGCTTTGTGAAACATCCGATCCCCATCAGGGTCTGCGTCCGCTGGGTGGGTGCGTGCGTGCTTACGTGCGGGGTGGGGCAGAGCCGATATCATGCTGCGTAATGGTGCCACTGCGCGGGGGATGTAACGGAGCTGCGCGTTCTGGGAAACTAAATAGGTTGTGGTTTCCTGCGTCGCTGGATCGATGGTAGGACAGCCGCGCTCCTGCGGATATAGACGGGATCGAGGAATATATAGCGCCGCGGGATATATAGCGGTGCTGTGGCGTGTTGTTCTGGTCGCCGTGAACATGGGTGTTGGGTTTTGGTTGTATTTAATAGTGTATATAGCTCTTTCTGATTCATTTGTGGGTGGTGGGTGGGGCGAGTGATAGGTTGTGATCGGTGTGTGTTGTGGTGGTTTGCGTCTGTGGAGGGGTTTGTGGGAGGGTGTGGATATGCCGGAGGGTGTATGGAGGCATGGCATGGAAGTGGATAGGTGTGGTGTTCTTGAGTCTGTAAAGAGAGGTTGTGATCGGTTGATCTGCACTTGATTTCTTAACATCCAGGTGGTAAAGTGCTACATATTTGGCAACTCGTGATAACGGAATCTATCAGTAGTATACTATAGGTTTCTGTATAGCGAAGATAGAAGACTTGACTGATTGATAAGAGAGGTAGGCCCTTTTGTCATATACACGGCTCATACATGTATGTACACATACATGTATCTACGACTGCTACCTAAAGTCACTCGTCACTTGTGGCTTGAGATACCCGGTTTCTTGTATGGGCTTAAGGCTTTTCGGGATATGTGGCATTGTTTGAATTCTTTTTGCGAAGGATACAGATTTATTAGTCGTGTTGTACGAGGCAGTAGGTGTAAATATGTGGTGGTCTTAGTGAGTATAGTGTCCACAGTCTAGCAGTCTAGCTAGCCTACATGTAACTGGGCATGTCAGTTTTATATGTATAAGTACAATTAGATACATGTAGGCCTGCATCCTCCTTCGTAATAGAACAATCCATCCTACTAGTAGATTGCCTATCATCATTGAGTCTTCCTACACTATGGTGCTGGAAATTGGAATTGGTTAACGCCACTGGCTCAGAACCTAGCTACGTCTTATCGAATCCCTACAGTATCTAGGTACCTAAGTTCTAACTGCTCTAGCTAGCTCTACGTACGCCCAGCAGCCTCCCTCTCCCTCACGAGCCTCTCCAGCGCCATCCTCGTCCCATTCACAATCTCCACATGCTCGACCTTATGTATCCTCTCCTCCAACTCGGCCAACCCCTCCCCCTCCACCATCTCCACCTCCCTCACCACGATCGGCTCTCCCCGATCCACCTCGCCAATCACCCAGTGCACCATGATGCCCGTGCCCCCAATCTCACCCTTCTGGAAAGCCTCATACGCCCTTTCTATTGCCCCCGCCCCATCAAACTGCCCCGGTAGCGCGGGGTGCAGGTTGATAATGCCCACCCCCGCCTCCACCAGCGGCTGCAGCGCCGCGTCAGAGAAAATGTGCATCCACCCCGCACACACCACCATGTCAGGCTTCTGCTCCAGTATCAGCCGCGCGAGCTCGGCGTCGTAGGCCCGCCGCGCAGCGGCGATGTCGCCGGCGTGCTGCTTCTTGTAGGGAACCAGGTTGTGGTAGGTGGTGGGGATGTTGGCGTTGGCGGCGCGGGTGAGCCCGAAGGCGGCCTTTTTGTTGGAGATGACGTGGATGATGCGGGCGGGGAGGGTGGGCGGGGTGGAGGTGGTGGCGGAGATGAGGGCTTGTAGGTTGGACCCATTACCGGAGATTAGGACGAGGAGGCAGGGGGTGGCGGCGGGGGTGCTGGTGGCCATGTCGGGTGGGTGGCTGCACGGTAAGGTGGGTCAATGATTGTTGTGTCGGTTATTGGGCGTAAGGTCAATGATGGGTTTGAGAAAAATGGGCCCCCCCCGCAGTTGGGGCTGCCCTAACCCTAGGTGGAGAGATGTCAAGAGCCGCAAAGGATGCCAAGAAGATGGGGTTGTGATCATTGACAGCCTCATCCACTGCGGATCATCACCGGCGCAGTCAACTGATCAGAGCATGAGTACAGCATCACTTGTGAATCTGATTCGCAATTTATCCCTCTTTTCATATGCACAACTAACTTACTTGACACAATTTAAATCAAGTGGAAACGTTTTTTTAGAAATACATACACCTTGCAAATGCCCACATTTAATCACAGCCCACATTTAATCACAGCCCATCACTCGAAAATCCCACTCCCACTCCCGCTCCCGCAGTATATCGAATATGTGCAGCCAACCTTGAAAGTCTTCCCATCCTGCGTAGCCTTAATTCCATCGATACAAAAAACCGTCAAAGATAAAAAACACCTGCTGCATAGTATGCACACCAACCCCTGCGCTCTCAGGGTAAGGGTTACACGCGCGCCCCAACAGGCCAGCTTTCGATGGAGATGTCAAGCTCCCACAGCACGTACCGTACCCACCCACCTGCAAGCTTTCCCAGCACAGAACCCCCAAACACAAACCACCGACAAACAATGGACCAACTACAGAACGTGATCGATGGCTTCATCGTGAGTGCCCCCCCAATTCCGCTCCTATAATTAAGCGCTAGCTAACGAGTGTGTGCGCCCGCGCAGGACTTTGAGGTAAACTACATACTGAGCGATCACAGGCTGCTGGCTACCTAGCTACAGCTGGGGGAATAACGAGTTAATGTTTTGCGCGCGCATAGGGACAACGACTAGCTGAGCAGCTCACAACCGTGCTACTGGGCCTTGCCGGGGTATGTCCTCGTCTCTTCTTTTGCTGGTTAAGTAGGTGTTGGGGTTGGGTGTCGCTAATGTGTGGACAGATCGTGGCGTTCCTGGTAGGCTTCGTCATGAAGGATCTCTCGTACACGGTGTGGATCGGGCTGGGCGGGACCGCGCTGACGGTGCTGGCCGTGGTGCCGCCGTGGCCGATGTATAATCGGAATGGGCTCAAGTGGTTGCCTGTCGAAGGCGGGCAGGGGAAGAAGACGCAGTGATGGTGGAGAGTGGGGGATGTAGGGGGCTTTTTTTCTTTGTTGTTATGGGGAGAGATGGGCTGATTGTTGGTTGCGGTTTGGATAGTTGATGGTCTTTTTTTCTTTCCTTCGAATTCGCGATTGGGTCTTGTTATGGATTGGCAGGATTTCGGTAATAAAATTTGGTACCTATGGGCTATATATGAGTTGAGGCTTGTAGGAGTCGGATTGAGTGAATCAAAAAAAAAAAAAAAAAAAAAAAAAAAAACGTGGATAATTCGAAGATTGTGCTTTGCTTGTGTGGATGGAATATTTGAGTATTTGGGGGTTTAAATCTCACTTCGACCCTCGGAGTAAACTAGATGTGTAGCATGAACCAGAACTACCTCCAGTAGACAACATGTAGATTTCAAGCGCAAGATCAACCCCAATATCAATTCCTCTTTCCTTTATGCCTTATCTTCAAAGAAACCTCCATCACAAGAACCTCTCACCACCGCCCCCCATTCCCATAAACCCTAATCTAAGTACTGTTGATTGTGGTCAGTCATTGCGGTGGTGGATGTTGTTAATGCATTTTTTAAACACCCCATTATGTAGTTTAGACTTTGTTCCAAACTATCTGTACTTTTGTATTAGAGGTAATTTGGCCTCTAGTTAGCTAGATTGTAATTATAAAGAGCTTTCGCTCTCTCTAGCTCTAGACTTCGTTTCTTCTCATCAGTTGCTACAATACATTCCCTACATTCTCGGTTCTTGATCACTTTGCTTCGCAAAGATCCTCTCTGAAAACAAATATGTCCCTCTCTATTATCCATATTATCAACACAAAGTAAACCCCAAGTGCCCATCCTCAAACCAAACTCTACTTGAACCGCCTGCATGCGGCTCTGCGGCATTCTCCGCCCACACGATCTCGCGAATCGTCGCAGCACACAACCCCTCGTCATACCGATTCCCTGGGTCCCCACCACCATTCTCCCCTCACCTCCCGCCACCATCTCTTTTGAAAAAAGTTACTCCCACACACATACACACATATAGAGAAATTTAAATCTCCCCCCAAATCGCCCTCATATAGAAAATTAGAGAGAATGGTCGCCGAAGCACCCTCGATCCATGTCAAGGACTTGACCTACAACTTCCCGGACGGCAGTGCGGGGCTGAAGGATATCAATGTCGACCTCCCGCCGGGGTCGCGCACGCTGCTGATTGGCGGTACGTATCAATTTTTCTGTTGGGTATTTTAGCGCGCGGGGGGGAGAGAGAGAAAGAGACATACTAACGTACATGATCACCGCCTAGCGAACGGGGCTGGAAAAACGACTCTCCTGCGACTTGCTTCTGGTGAGTTTACTCTGCATACTCTGCAGCTGCTTCTGGGTTCGATTGCAAATTTGCACGCAGGTAGAGTACTGACAGACGGCGGCGCAGGCAAGAAACTCACCACCAACGGAACACTCCTGATCGGCGGTGTGGACCCGTTCAAAATGGGTCTTGAGGGCGTGACCTATCTTGGGCTTGGTATCATTACCCCTCTCCTCTCCTCCTCTCCCGTATCCCCTATCCCCTATCCTCCATATATATATCCTCTATCTATCTGTGTGAAAATTACATAACCGGCTCACTCCGCGGAACCCCTCCCCCCGCCCAACAGAATGGGTCCTCAACCCCATCGTCCGGAACGACATCTACGTGCACGAGCTGCTCGCCAGTGTCGGCGGGAACGCATACCCCACGCGCCGCGACGAGCTCATCCGCATCCTCGATATTGACGTCGACTGGCGCATGCACCAAGTCTCAGACGGTACCTTCCCCCCCTCTCCCCTCCCTCTCCCTCCCCCTCATGCCATCCACTAACACCCCCACCCGCACGTAGGCGAGCGCCGCCGCGTGCAACTAACCATGGGGCTCCTCCGCCCGTGGTCCATCCTTCTCCTCGACGAAGTGACCGTGGACCTGGACGTGCTCGCACGCAGCCGGTTCCTCTCGTTCCTGGCGCAAGAGACCATGACGCGCGCGTGCACGATCGTGTATGCGACGCACATCATGGACGGGCTCGCCGGGTGGCCGACGCACCTGGTGCGCATGACGCTGGGGACCATCCGCAAGTTTGGGCCCGTCGAGGCGTTTGATCTGCCGCCGCTCCCGACGGGGCGCGAGGTGGGCGGGCTGTTGAGGAATTCGGCGCTGCTGGAGTTGGTGTTGGGGTGGTTGAGGGAGGATCTGGAGGAGAGAGGGCCTAGAGGGAGGAAGTCGGAGTTGAAGTCGTATGAGGGGGTGCAGGAGATGGGGTCGTGGTAGTGCTGGGAGGGGGAGGGGAGAGGAGGGGGATGGAAGGTAGGTGTGTAGGGTGTGATAATCTCGAGCTTTTGTGCGCCTGGCTTAACCCAGGGTCGAGGTAAGAGTGCGTGTGAGTTTCCTCTTTTTGTTTTTGTTTTGGCGGCCTTTTCCTTTTTTGTTCTTTGTTTTCGGTGTTCGTGCACAGTAGGTATAGCTAGGGGGGTTTTTGGTCCGAGAAACAGAGGTACGTATTGCTACTATGATGATACTACCCCCCTAGTACTACTATTAGATAGGATGCAGCAGACAGGCAGGTAGACAGGCAGACAGACAGGCGTAACGGTGATTCAACAGCACCTTTTTTACCCATTTTCCCCACGTAGTTAGTTATAGGGAATGAGGTTAGGTTTTCCAGTTCTGGTATTTTGGTCATCTATGAGCAGTATCTACATGTATGCATATGAGGGCAATAATGAATATAGGTGATAGCCCATGATCGTGATTGTGCAGCGCAGATCCGTAACACCAAGCAAGCAGCAACCAGAGTGAGTGACACCCCATGACCGCCACACCAAATCTCACCTCAACCTCACCGCAACCAACCTCACCTCATCTCAACCAGTGCAATGCAAGACCCCCGCGGTACCCCCCCCCCCCCTTCCTCCATCCCCCAATCACCCCCATACTAACACACACCCAGAAATCGCACTACAAGCACAACACGACCACCACTCACACAACAACGCGATCCACGTCGCCTTCGCGCGCCTCTACGCGTGCGCCGTGCCCACGCCGCGCGTCGCCGCATACTACGACAGCCGCCTGCCGGCCGTGCAGGCGTGGGCTGCGGCCAGGATCGCGCGGGAGAATGAGCCGGGGCGGGGCGGGGAACGGGGCGGTGATGGTGGGGGTGGGGATTGGGATGGGGGAGAGGATGATGGTGGAGGGGAGGATGGTGGTGGGGATAATGGTGATGGAGAGCAGGCGCAGGTGACGAAAGAGGCGGGGGTGGAGGAGAAAGAAAAGACAAAGGAGAAGACGAAGGAGAAGGGGAATGAGAATAAGAAAGAAAGGACAAAAGCGGGCGCAAAAGAGAAGGAGAAGGAGAAAGCGAACACGAACACGAAGACTGTCCTCGGGAAGCGTAAAGCCCCCGCCGCCACTGCACCCCCGCCGCGGCGGCAACCAGCACAACCGCCACCCGCCCAACGCGCTCAAAACAGCGCCGCACAGAAGTCGAGCGCCCCCTCATCAGCAACGGCCACTCCACCTCTCTCCCTTCCATCCCCCCCTCTACTACTACCACCTCCACCACCACCGCCGCTGCCGCCGCCCCCGCGCCTCTGCGCGTAATCACAATATCCTCCTCACCTCCCCCGCCGCTGCCGCCACCACCTTCTCCTCCCCCGCGAGAACACAAAAAGCGTCACCCCCCCGCAAACACCAAGTCCAAGCGCACGCCCAAGACCGCCCCCACCTCCACCTCCACCTCCACTGCCCCCAACCCCCCCGCCACAACCGCCACAACAATCACCGCCGCCGCCGCCGCAGCAACAGCAGCAGCAGCAGCACAAGAAGAAGACTACGAGATCCCCCCATACGTGGCAGGCCAGACGGAGGTTATCGTGAACCGGTATCCGCTGCCGCGACGGCGGCACGGGTGTGTAGGTATAGGCGCGGGGAGGGCACGACTAGATATTGCGCGGCTGGGGATGATGTGCATGAAGGCTGCGGGGCAGAAGTGTGCTGTTGCTGTGAGGGCCGGGACGGAGAATGGTGTTGTGGGGGGTGGGGAGGCGTTGGTGTTTTTGAGCAGGAACCAGCGGAGGGTTAAGAGGCGGTTGGGAATGGGGGCGGGGGGGAGGAAGTAGGTGGGTGGGTTTAGATTGGAGGACGGGTAGGAAGTATGTGGGGACGGGTAGTAGTGTTTGATATGCGCTTTGGAGTTTGGGGTTTTCGGTTTTGGGATTGCTGGTATTTTAGAAAGGGTAGGGCCGTAATTATACTTGGCCTGGTGACATAATGCATAAGCCTGGAGGAGAAGCATTCATCCGGAGATAATACCATCATTCAGGGAGCGGTTTACCGGGAGGAACACCAGACAGCAGAGCATTGCATCTGTAATCTTTAGAGGACACAAGCTTATAGACATTGGGCAAAGTTCTAGATACCGAGGAACAGTGTCGAGCAAAGCTCCAAAGGAATCCAAAACTGCACTGCGCACCCGACTTCACACTAGATGGAACAATAATTCATAGCTTGAATAATAATATATTTAACCCGATAATCATGTTATCCGCATAGAGCAGTCCCCCCATTCAATATCAAGACCTAAAAAAAAAATACAACACGCCAGTTAACATAACAGGCAGACAACATCCCTTCACCCACCACAATCCCATGACTTGAAACCCTTGGTACATGAACCAACTTTTACACGAATTGAGTAAAGCCATTAAAAAAATGCAAGAATCCTCCTTTGAACTCCAATGATATTGGATTGTCCCACTTCACACATCAACCGTAAACCTTGGAGGCTCTTTTCAAAAGAATTGTGTCCCTTTAGAACGGGATACTGGCAATTAAGGTGTTGGTGTCTTTCGTAATCTCTTTCCGTTAAACGGCTCCTCGACTTCCTCGGAAACCTTCTTGCGTTTATCAATCTGGTAAGTCGTCTCCTTAGCAAAGTATAAGGGGGGCGACTGTAAAGCCATCCTACATTTGAATAAACCAGTCTCCTTCCAACCAAGATTGATAGGCGGTGCGTTTCTGCAGGACATGCATGTGACCTGTTGAAGATTGACACTGATAAAGAACCGGTTACACATCAGACAAATCAATACTGTACTTAAATCGCGAAGTCTTAGCCATTCAGGGTGTCTATTTGGTAGAAATATGTGCTGTTCCTCATACTCCACAGGAATCCCCATACAACGGTAACGCTTGATTTCTCTTTCCTTGGATAGACCTAAATTGGAGAAGAGCCGCGAAAGAAATCTCACCAATTTCTGATCGGGACAACAGAGTGATAAAGGCGCAAATCCTCTCTCAGTATTAAATTTTTCACCTACTATCCTATGGACGAAGAAATCAAAAAGTTGCCATGCTATCAAGTCCAGCGGGAACTGAAAGCATTCTCTTTCTCTTTCTAGATAAGATTTCGTCGTGTGATCTTCGTCGATGACCATGTCGATAAAGTATCTGAGGCTAGTCCCTGGTACATATATGAAAATGCCAAAGCCATAGGCTGGACACTTTGTAAGCATAAAGTGCCATTCGTTTGGAACTGCAGTCATATTGCGAACTCTGTAGGTAGTAGAAACCCGGGGCGGGGCGGGAAAAGTCGTTTCTGTCGCGTAACGAAAGTCCAGGACCAAAACACAATCCTCCTTCTTGTGGCCAATATTCTTCCCCTTTCCTGGTAGTCGGGTGGGGCGCCTTAGATACTGTCTAACAGTAGTAGGGTCGAGCTCTGAAAATGGAGCATCCTGGGCTTCAATCACTACGGAAGACTCTAGTTCGACAGTAATTGTTGAGGGAGTCGGAAGATTTTTATATTCCCTCACAAGCCGCTGAAACCCACTGCTAAAGGACACCATTAGCAATTTAACCCCCCAACTAGAGAAGTAAACTAACGTAAATTGTTGCAGTTTTTTATCCTGTAGGTCGCTGCCTGTAATGCCAACCGTGATAGCCATACCAGTTCCATGGTCATTGGTTTTGGGGGATGAGTGGTAGGGTACAGACGCCATAATCGACACGCTCTTGCCTAGGAGATAGACGTCGTAGGAGGAGGATGAGGAGGATGAAGATGATAGTGTGGCTATTTAGTATAACTCGACGAAAGTACAACAGGATAAGCTGTATAGAGGCCAACACAACAATCAAAAGCGGCATCCGAAAGGATGGTTGACGATATTACAATAAGATGAGGTAAAGGATGTTTGGTCGGGGTTTGAAAAGAGAGAGGTATAATATATACAGTTTGGGAGACTACACTTCGCTGCTAATCTTCCATTAGGTGGCTCTAAAACTAACATATTTATCTGTCACTTTGGATGATATATACGTGACACTTGACTGCCCTTTGCAACTCAGCTTGACACGTATGGGAGCATTACAGTTGAATCATGATATATCACTCGATGAGTTCAGAGCGACGCTGCGTCGTAATCGAGCACGGACACACGCTACAGAAGGCTCAAAGATTGACGGCTGTTTATGGCTGCTCGCTGTTACAGCGTGTAATAAGCTTAGATCACTTTTAATCCCTCGGACTGCGCCCAGAGATTAATAGTGACCTTTGCTCACAAAGCAAAGAAAGGGACAGAGGAATAGAGCCTAAAGGCTGCAATTGGCTTCTATTTACTCCCCGGGGAGGGATAGACAAAGGATGGGGAGATCACTCTCAATCCCTCGGACTACGCCCAGAGACTGGTAGTGATCCCCACCCCCTCCGTGAGGAGGGTGCAGAAATAGGGACGGAGAGAAGCAGCCAGCAGACCTAACGTAACTCAGGCCCCTCCTGGCTCTGGGACAGAGCCCAAGAACCAAGAGAGGCCAAAGAAGAGTCCCAACGTAACTCAGGCCCCTCCTAGCTCCCAAGCAAAAGCCCAGGAACCAGGAGAAGCCGAAGCATGGTCCTAACGTAACTTAGGCCCCTTCCGGTCCCTGGGATAACCCTAGGGGCCAGAAGAGGCCAAAAGAAACGCCTCCCTCTCAGGGCCAGCGCAAGTCAAGCTTTCCCCGACCCCTAGGCAACACTGCCAATCGGGGCGAGGGGGAGCCGGGGACTTACGCCGGCCCACAAGGGGGCCACACAAGCCGAAGTCCCCCGACCCTTGCTGAGTGGGCGCCGGGGGAGGAACGGCCTGCACTGGCCCACAAGGCGAGCCAGACTCTGGGGTGGTGGGGGTCGGGGTCGGGGTCGGGGCCGGGGTCGGGGTCGGGGTGTGGGAGGAGGGGCATGGCAGGGCGGGGCGGGGCGGGGCGGGGCAGGAGGGGCAGGAGGAGGGGCAGTGGTGGAAAGACGGGGCGGGGGGGCGGGAGGCACACACCCCAGGCCGTTGCACCCCCTCCTGCCACTGCTTCTGGTCCTCTCACGACGGAGGACCAGGGCAAAGAGGGGGGAGGGAGCCAGAGCACAGCCATGCTGCTTGACTCTTAGTGGCCAACACAAGGACCACTGAAGAGCTGCCTGCTCCCTGAGTGAAAGAGTTTTGGTGGGGGGGAAGAGCGATCTTATATACCACGGAGTTATGGTGCCAAGCCCCAATTTTGGCCGACCGTAATGGTGGTTAACGGTAATCTTGGCTGGTCTGAATTTTGCTACAGTAGGGTTAAACCCGGTGGTCCTCGGGCACCCTGGTGAGTATTTAGCCATAGGTAGTGTTTGTGTATGTAGCCATGTAGCCAGCCAGGTACGGCCCTGGGTGTGTCGGTTTATCCCATAAACCCCAATCTACGTTCTCTTTAGATACAACTGGACTCCTGTCATTGAATACAGAAGTACATGTAACTATTTCTATAGGTTCTACTTAAAGGGTATCACCAGTGCTGTAAACGAAGCTGGATACCTCGAGACAGTTTCCTAAGCCTCAAAATCACTCCTAAGATTTCGTCGAGTGATATTTGATGATGCTGGTCATTCCGGAATAAGAGTCTGCTGCCCCAACCTCCACCTCTTCTCCTGTGTATCTTCCGTGCCTGAATAACCAATAATATTGATTCCACAAAGATTTTAAGCTATATTTGGTTTTTAGTTGTGAAGTTTCGAGGTTTTCGATCCCCCCAGTGGAATGACCATGAGACGAGAGAAGGATTACAGACAAAGCACTCAACTAAGTAGCAGAACATGTAGATATTACTTTACACATTTAAAAAAAGCCGCACACCTGGATATCCGCACAACCACAAAGCCCACGCCCCACGCCTCACGCCCCCACTAATACTCCGTCCTCAGCATCTTCTTCAACACCGCAATCTTCTTCTCCGCCTCCGCCACCTTCGCCTGCGCAACCGCCACCCTCTCCAACAAACACTCCACCCTCCCCTTCGGCTGCTTCTGCAGCGTCGCCAACACCTCCAACTCCTTCTCCGCCTTCTCCATGACCGTCTCCTCCGCCTTCACGATGGCCTTTAAGCTCACCAGATCCATCTTCGCCGTCAGCACCCTATCCTCCAGCAGCCGCTGAAACGCCGCCTGATACACCGGTCTTCCCGGCTTCACCGAGTACGGCCTACCATTATTAACCACAATCTGTATCATCTCCGCCTGCTCCAAGTTCTGCACCGGCTCCTCATCCAAGCGGAACAGATCATGGATCACCACCTGATTAAACGGGATCTCGCCCTGCTCCGCCAGCGCCTTGACCAAGTACCACGCCTGCTCCGGCGCCCACGTGCGCTTCTTCCTGTACCCGGCCTCCTCGAGGAAATACAGCTTCAAGATCTCCGCAGCCGAGGTCTCAATGATCTCCTGCACGGCCTTCTTGGGAGACTCGCCGGTCTTGATGCGGCGGGCGAGGGACTCGAGGTCGGTGAGGCGGCCGCCGAGGGCCTGGATTGAGCTCTCGAGCTCGGCGAGGGCCTTCTCGTTGCCGGCACCGGAGAGCTCGTCGTTGATGTGTTTTAGGACGAAGCGTTTTGCAGACTCGGGGGCGGCGTCGCCGAGGAGGATGGAGCGGAAGACGCGGTCGGGGAGCGACTTTGAGAGCGATTTGGCGAAGGTGGTGTCGTTGGTGAGGAAGATTACGTGGGCTACGTTTGCGGAGACGAGGAGGGCGGCCCTGTGGGGTGTTTGTGGTATGTCTTTAGTTTTTTATATTCATCACTGAGTTTTTTTGCTATGAGCAGAGTAGGGGGGGGGGGGTGTGGGTGTTTTTACCAGCCGGCTAGTCTCTCGTAGATGATGCTGTTCCCCTCCATGTGCAGGAAGTTGTCAATGACCACCACCGGCCGCTTCTCCGGGTGAGTGCTGAGATACTCATCATCACTCAGGCCCATATCCTTCTCCGACTCGCCCTTATCCTTCAGCGCAATCCTTTTCAGCGCCGTCCCCGTGTTCAGCAGGATCTTATTAAACTGCATTTCCAGCGTCTGGCTGAAGCCCGTGGAGCTCCCCAGCGTCCCCTGTGCCGCAAGGTCAAGGAGACTACTGATCGTGTTCAGCCACGAGAACACCGGGCGATATCCCACCTGTGCAGCGGCCGCCGCAATAGTAGCGCTGTCGCCATGCGCCTCGTTAATGGGCTCACAGTCAATCACAAGCACGTTTTTCCGGCCCTTGAGGACCGTGTCGACGACCAGATCCCTCTTCCCCGATCCGCGGGGGCCCTGGACTACGATGAATGTCTCGACCGTCTCGCGCAGCCAGGCCTGCAGCTGGTTCACGGACTCTATGCGCTCATCCCATACGGCCCACAAGTCATTCATCGTCTCCTGCTTCCGCCCGATCGGCAGCTGTCCCACCGTATACTTCTTCATCATGACCCAATACGAGGACTCCGTAAAGTTCAACGCCCTCGTAATCTTGGCCTCAATAAACCACGTCCTCACTGGATCAAATATCGCGACCGTGACCGCCGCCAATATCGCCGCCACAATCGGTAACACAATCCTCGGATGCGAGAACAGCCAGTCGCGGATCCAGTGCGCCTTCATGGTACGCTCATACAGGATGCGCAGCGTGAGCGGCACCTCCTTCCCCGTCGCCGTCTGCGTCCCCGCCGCCACAAACCCATGCAGACAGTTGCGTGCCGCCGTGGCCGAGCGGATGGTCGAGTACTGTACCGTGGCGTAGTGCGGCAGGTCCTTCGACGCCGGCGGCTGCGGGACTATATCCACGATCTTTCCGTATCGTCTAAAGAGGACATAGAGCTGCTCCTGCGAGAGGGCGCCGTCGCCGCCCGTGAACTCCACTTTGATCTTGGTGGTGGGGAAGATGCGCAGGTCCTCGAGCCACGGCTTGCCCTGGACGGCATAGGCCTTGACGCGCGCGAACGGCGAGTACCACGGCTTGATGGCGTTGTCCTTGAGGTGCTGTGAGACGGCGGCTTCGACGGCGGCCGGGGAGGTGGAGGTGTATTTGACGAAGGCGCCGCCGTCCTTGATGCGCGGGATGATGGCGGTGATCTTGAAGTTGTTCGGCGAGTCGGGGGAGGTGAGGGAGGGGGGATGTAGGTGTTGCGGATGCGCGACTCGAAGGAGACTTTGTCGAGGCGGGTGATGAGGTAGCGGATGTCGAAGACGGCGGTCTTGAGCGGGAAGATGTCTGTACGTACGCTGCTAGTTAATATAACATAGCCCACCCATTGAGAGCACATATAATGCAGCAGCAGGTAGTAATTAATCAATGCAACTAACTATCGAAAAACAGCAGCCCTTCACCCGGCGCCAGGTCAATATACCCCGTCTTATTATACCCCACCGTACTCGTCTCCCTCACCCACGTCCTTGCCGGCGTACACCCCCTAAACTGCGTCCTCACTGCCCTAGAACCGGCCAATCCTTTTAGAACACCGTACTGCTTCGGACTCCCAGCTGCAGTGCCGCGGGGCCTCTCGGTGTGGAGTGCCCGCGAGAGGATCGGGCTGCATCTTGTGCTGCTGCTGGCGGCGACGGACTGCCGTAGGTGTGGCGAGAGTCGCCGGTACATTGTTGGTGATGGCGGAGGTCAATGATTTGTTGTGCCCTTCAAAGTGAGTGCCCGGGACGAGTGCTGGCTTGTGGTGGGTTGGCTTGACGATGATGACGTCGGCGGGGATGTGGTGCCAAGAGTTGGTGGGTTGGCGTGCATGGGGAACAAGCTTGGGCACGGTAAGAAGAGCTTTATTGAGAGCAGTCCGTAGTGAAGTGTATGCGATTGGTATGTACTCTATGTAATAGTTTGTAGACTACTGCAAGTAGAGATTCGAGTAGGAAGCCTGGCACAATCTTGTCGAGCTCAAGGGTCCACTTCAGGTCTGGCAATCAAGTGCTGTAGCTGTGTACACTGTAGACACTGTACCCTCACAGGTCTTTCCTTACCAAGGTCAATCCAGAGCAAAAAAGTCTATTCTATCGTTAAAGTATCTGGAATATACTCTAGTGCATAGATGCGGGATTTTTCAATATGAGCACTCCTAATAATATCCCGAGGGTAATGATAGAAATGCCCTATTTCCAACCTGGCCCTCCAGATCCATCCATGGCTAGCTAGTTGATCATTGGCACTCTACACCCAACCACTTCGATACTCACGCTACATAAGCACTCGCCGATACCTACACATTCATGTTGACAGTAGCTTAATTTCCAACTCCAACACTAACACTTTACCACCCCCTCCACCCCGCCAAAGCAGAGAGAAAAAAACCCCGCGCATAAACTTCATGTCCTAGCCCATTCATTCCATTCATTCCATTCCATTCCATTCCATTCCACTCCATTTTCCATACACACACATCCTCACAAACCGAAAAGAAAGAGAAAAAAGCCCATACAAAACACACCCAACAAAAAAACACACCAAAGAGAAAAGAAGAAAGAAGAAAAAAAAGTCCATGGATGCTAATGCCTGTCTGTTGTTACAACGACCCTACACGACAAAAAAAAAATTGGCTCTGGTCATTACCCTTCCCCTTCCCCCTCTCCACCCCTCCACCCCCTCCCGCCTTGCCTCGCGCCCCTTGCCACTTGCTCCCGCTCCCGGGACATGACCTAATCTGACCAGCCCTCTCCCTACAAGGACAGGTTATAAGTGTAGTCCTCCTCGATATTCTGCGACAGCCACAGCGAGACGCAACTACCCACCCACTCTCAGTCAGTAACCAAACCAGGCCCACAGCACAGCACAGCACAGCGTCGGGCCCAGAGTCTCCTACCTCAGCATAATGAGCGAGTTCGCAATCACATTCGCAACGCCAAAGTAGAGTGTCGGCCACGGGTACTCAGGGACGATATAACCCAATATCAGGAAGCACTACACCACACACACCGCTCCCATCAGCAACCACATACTACCACCCCCAGAATCGAGAGAAGAGGAAGAAGGCACATACCACCGACCCCGCGAGCCCGCCCGCCAGCATCGCAAAGCCCATAAACAGCACCAGCTTCGCTTTCCACGCCACGTCGCCGCCGCTGTACGAGAAGCTGTCTGCCATGAGGCGCGACTTCTCAATCGAGTTGATTCTATCCGTCCGGCGCACACATTAGCCCCTCTTTCCCCTCTCTCTCTCTATGTCTCTCTCCCAACTACCCAACAACCATGAGGGGGCCGGGGGGGAGCAACATACATAAGCATTCCCAACACGCTACAAATCAGCGGGATCCACTCCGGGAACTTTATGTGCACGTCGCCTGGGTTGGCAACCTTGCTATAGGCGGCCGCATCCACAAAGAACCAGAACCCGAGCGAGAACTACTTCTGTTAGCCTAGAAGCCTTCCACCTAGAAGGGTGAGGGGGGTGGGGACTGACAAGAGCTCCGGAGGTGTAGACGCCGGCGGAGCGGCATGTGGCGGATGAGGGGAGCTTGACGGGGATGCGGAAGGGGTGCGACATTGCTGGTGGTTGGTAGTGGGTAGTCGGTGTAGATGTGGTGGTTGGTGGTGGTGGTGGGTTGAGGGCGGGCGGGTTGGTAGGTATGAGGTTGTAGTTAGTCGTAATCGTGAGCTGAGTGAGTAAGGCTGGATGGGTGGTGATGGGCGCCGCGTTGTGTGGGTGGTGGATGCGACGGGGGTGCATAATGGTATTGTATTGTATAGAGAGCCCTAACCCTGCTTGGCTCATGGGCTCTCACTCGGGGCTTGGGTTTGAGTGGAGCGGGCCCTGGTTTGTCAAGCCGGGCAGAGCGACAAATATTGTAGACCCATCAATGTCTAATATGGTAGTGAATGTGACGCTTGTACCATCCCAAATACCAAAGGACTCCTGTTCATATCGTCCCGAGGCGCTAGTGGGGCGGTGTTTCGAGCACAAGTGCTTGAAATAAGGTTAGCGAGCAAAGAACAACGTGTTATTGGTTGTTTGAAACGTCACTGTTAGCCAGTCTTAAATCATGATCAACCAACCGTCATCCTCCGAGTCTGTTCAACATTCTCCTATCATACGATAGACTCCTTGATCTTTGCAGCTTCCCCTTAATGCTTCTATATTCAATACTATATATCGGTGGCTTCGACGCGTCTTTCTACTATTTATTTAAACCATGGATTGGAAATGCTGTCATTCGGGCCTGTTTCCATCAACTGCGGTGGGAAGACAGGCTGGAAAGAGCAGCACGGACCATTCTCGTCACAACCGAGTCCGCTTGATAAACGATATATCGCTGATATTATCTACTGGTACTTAATTATGTGAAAATTCGGACCCAGTGAGCTGGTCGGCTCGAGGAGATCCCGAGGCCGCAGCCGCCGTTATTCACGATTGGTCACTCGACTATCCTACACTGCCACAACTCACTGTTTCACTTGCATCGGGAAAAGCCCGTGTCTACCAACGAAGAGTGAGTGCCCACTTTGGGGCACTGGGGTCAATGACGCTATAAATACATGGTTTCGCGGCAAAAGCCTTCCGCAACCCTTGCAAATCCGCCGCCACGTCGCAAGCATGGATGATGGATAAAACTTTGAGGTCCATTGCGGCAGGAGCATACGGTTGAAAGATTGGGGGTTTGGATATATACTACTACTCTGGAGGATTACTGTGTTCGTCCTCGGTAATCCCAAGATCTCTTTATGGTCAGATTTTTCTCCGATATGCTTAATCTATCCTGGGAAACTTAGAATACATGTATATATACATGTACATATGGAGCTTCAGAATGCTGTTAAAACAAGCTTTTCCTTGGCCCTTGGCTGCGTCTCTGGATATCTTGGTCGCTCATGGTTTGGTGTTCCCTCCATGCATAACCCTTGACCCTGCAACGGGCATGAAATCGTGGGAATATAATCGCTCAGCATCGTGAGCAACCACTGAGACAGAGCTTCAGAGGGAGACGATGGCCTCAAAAGGACATCCGGCACCACCACAACCCCTATCCCCGCTTAGATTTTATCCACTGATAGTGCTTTTGGTGTAACCAAGTCATTTCCTTCCCTCGCCTCTGCTGCTAGTGTGCTGCTGTGCTGCTGTGCTTCTCCTACTTCTGTGATTGTTGTTGTACACACATGAGACGTCGGTCCCGAGGGTCATGCCAGAGCCGGTTATTGGTCTTTGTTACACCACTCTATAGTGTCCCACAGATTTAAGAGGTGCCTCTGCTGCTGCTGCTGCTGCTCTTGCTGACCGTTGGAAATTATTTAATTTCGACCATCAATCTTGGTAAACCGTTGTCCTATATCTCTGTACGACACTGCTCAGTTTCAGGATGCATCTTCTCGCCGTCTCTAGAAAGTCACTGCTTGTACTCAGTGGCGTTGTTGTACTGGGAATCATTGACGTCTGCCACGCCGCAGACGTAACAAAGATCTCCTCAACCGGCTGCGTCGATAAAGCCGGCTTCGAGAAATGTCTCGCCGACGCCGTTGATGCAGAAGCAGCTTGCATCAAGACCACCTCTGGCGATGCCAGTCTTATCGTGGGCTGTGGATACGGGAACCAGATCAACCAGATGAACTGCTACATGTCGAGCTGCTGGAACAAGGTATGTATACCTTCGATCCATCCCTATAATAACTACACGTAGTTATCAAGTATCTATCATAATTAACGCAATGCCTCTCTGCAGATTTACTCCTGTGAATACTCCGCCCTAGCAGCCCAATACACCACCGACCGCGACCTCATGACCCCAGAACCAATCCCCTTCTGGCCCGCCCCCGCAAACGCCCCCGGCGCCTGCTCCTGCAACATCGGCGAGGCCGTCGTCAACTCCACGCAGGTCTACCTCGAAAGTATCGGCTGCATTTCCACCTACCAGAACGTCCCGGACCTCTTTGGCTGCACCTGCTGCTCCTTCGACGGTGCTCTTTCCGCGTACGCATTCCACCCCCCCCCCTCCCCCTAGTTCTACCTAAAGTACATCTTAACTAACACACACGAAAAGCCTATACGCAATCTGCCCCAACAACAATCCCGACTACCTCGGCTATGCCGACTACTACAAAGCCATCAAAGACTACGAGAGCCAGCTCAACCTCGGCACCTGCGCCGAAGCCATCAGCGGCTCCAACTGCGTCTCAAAATGGGGTATCGACCCCCCCGCCGGCGGAAAGTTCCTCGACCCCGACTCTTTGTCAAAATCGTTTGGCAACGACGCGCTGTCGACCGTCAGTGGGACACTTACAGCGCCGCCGGGCGGGCCCACTATCACTTGGTCAATCCTCGGTGTCGAGTGGACGGTCACAGCCGCGAGTGCTGTGGCCGGCAGCGGCGGGAGTGATACGGCGGCGGCGCAGACGACGGTGGTCACGACGACGAATAGCATGGGGGAGACGGTGGTGAGTACGGGGACGGTGGCGGCGGCGACGGGGTCGGGGTCGGGGTCGCCGAATTCGGCGGTGGGAAGGGCGGTGGGGAATGGATGGGTTGGTGCTATGGTGGCTATAGGATGGGTGATGTGGGTGTTTTGAGAGCTCGAGGGATGCTCGCTTTTGTCCAATATACTCTGGTAACGTTTTATGTATGTAGTTAGGATAGTTCAAAATCTAATTTTTCAACAAGAATAGCTCCTTTCTTACAGATTATCGTTAAGGCGACCTGTTACGAGGCTAATGTTAAAATACAAACCGTTCGCCTGCAGCGTGGAAGTCGAGTGATAATCTATGAAATAGCCACTCTATTTATCTCTACAACCCCACTCCCGATACTCCCCGTGTAACTCTGATCCCCAAACAAAAAGTGGGCGACACTATGTTTACACGGAACTTGATGAAATAAAACATGAGGTAATCCAGGGTAAGAAGGCCATACCCACACCCTAGGACATACATAGAAAGCAGCTAGAACCGTCCACACACCCCAACGTGAATCGATATCCCAGCCCTAGAATATTACTACCGTGGTGCTGTGTGAGTGATTTTATATAGCGGATGTATATTACTTAGATGTGCTAAACTGCGTTGATTAAGTTGCCAGTGTTGTGTTGTATTATTACTGTGTGGGTGCATCATGAATTATCACTCGTATTTGTCTCCGCCTCTAGACGGGTCGTAGCTTAAACCCTGCGTTGGACCAACACTCGCCTTTCTGTAAACCAGATATACCAACAAGTCAGTAACCGGCCTGGTAGCCCCGGGGAAAGAATACTATAGCGAAGTGAGGGGACGCCGGGCTGCGGGGATGGGAAATAGGGCTCGTGGAGGGGGTCGAGGAGCTTCCGTTCCCCCCACCATTATATTGAACCTCGTAGTTCCTGTGGAGAAGGAATCATTTCCCAGCTGGCTGCTCAATAAACCATCTGACAAGCCTGCCTACACCCAGCTTCAGAGTGTTAGGCACTCTATATAGAATGGGGTACTGTTGTGATTACCATCGAGAACACTGGCAGTCTAGACATCATCGAGGTTCATAACAATATTGACAATAACGGAGCTAGCTGGACAAGAGACGGGCGGTACCATTACCATCGCCATCGCCAAAGTTCTTGCACGCCGAGTCTCGGTGTGAAGACGAAATCACGACCATTACCATTACCATTACCACCATCCCCCTCTCGCCGCGCCGATAAATACACATACAGCCTAGGTATCAGCAAACACGCCTGCTCAAAGCACCACCATTCGCCATCCATCATTCACCACTCATCACTCGCCAGCCAACACCCCCCCGCCGCCGCCAAGAACGCAAAAGCTTAACCTCACCTCCAGTCCCCCGGCCAGCCCCCAATCACCCTCATCCCCCTCATCCTCACATGCTCACCGCCCGCCTGCCCTGGGTATCTCGCGCAAAAACACAAAAACAAAACAAAAACAAAAAGGCATAGCATATATTATTCCATTTACTTCTTATCACCCATGCACATGAAAAAAGACCTAAACCACCTTTCACCCCCCCCCCCCACCCCATAGCTACTATAAAAAAAATAAGAATATAAAAAAAATGATACAAAAAGTTATAATTGTTTATGATGACGCCCGAACGGAAACAAAAAACACCGACAACCATCTTTTTTTTTGTGCCCCTTCCCCTTCCCCCTTCCCCTTCCCATCTTTGCCCCTTCTCCTCTATCCCAGTTCTACCCCCCAAAACCCACAACGCACAATACCTCCTATTGTATGTATGTCTATTCTTTTATCATATTTATGATCTAGAGGCATCCCTCATGCTCTGCGAGCTTGCGCTCGTGATTGGGTTGCTGACTGGCAAGACACCGGCCTTGGCCTGGGTCTGCTTGACCTTTGCGAGCGCATAGACGATTCCACTCAAGAAACCGATACCAATGGCCTATAAAATTTCATTAGTCCCAGCACAATTAAAGCCATACCAAGGGGAAGAATGGACATACAGTAACACCGGCGAAAGTAACCGGGGCATCAAAGAATACCAGCCCAGACAAAGCAATGGGGAGCTTGTTGAGCGCTCCAACCATGGAGTAAGTGGTCGACGAGGTAACACGGACACACCACGCAGAGGTGTACGAGATGAACACCGACGAGAGACCGGAGAAGATCATGGCGAGGATGAGGCTGTTGCGGCGGTCCTCGGGGAAGTTTGCGCTGATGTTGGTGTATGACCAGTCCTCAAGGAAGAGGGAGCAGACAAGAAGGACAGGGATGGAGAGAAGGTTGTTGTAGAACATAGCTATGGAAGGTTAGTTTGGTTATGGATTCCTGCATTTGCGATGTGGGAGATGACATACTATCGAAGTCCTTGAAGTTGGTGAGCTTTATCCTCTTGCGCATTCCGAGCACGTAACTGGCAGAGGACAGGCAGTTGACGAGAACCCAGATGTATCCAGCGTTCAAAGTGCTCAACTGCTCCGCGGCCTGGGCACTACCACCGTATGAGCCCAACGCAGCGCTGATATCGGCCCACGCAGCGACGATACTGGACACAACCATGAGCCCGAAAGAGAACAGAGCCATTCCGCTGACGGAACCGCCGAACCACAAGACCTCACCATATGCGATCAAGATGATGGTAAGGTTCTTGAAGATGGTGTACACGGGAATGCTGAGGAACTGGAGAGCCTTCGAGGAGGTGTAGATCATAGTGATAAGGAGAAGAGAGATAGGGAACCATTTGCGAGCCTCGTCGGCATTGAAGTCGCGGTATGTGATTATCTTTGCGGATTTACAGAATTGGATCGCGACTACACACACTACGTTCTGTAGAGAGGATACTTGTTAACATCTTGATACTTTGATATTGCTGTACGCAGATACGGGGGGGAGGGGGTATAACTACTAACCTGGATGCATAGCAGGAAGAAGTTCAGATTAAAATCGACTCCTCCGAGGACATATTTGTTCGTCACGGTCATAAGAATACTCGCCGCGCAATACGCCAAGATGGGGACCAGAGGGTTTGAGGGAGCCGCTGGGGCCGTGTGGTTGGCCGCGTTTGGTCGTGTTGGGATAAAGGGTTTATCGGAATCATCCCCCATATCGACGCGGAAAGAATCTTGTTTCTCCTTTTCAGCCATTGTTGTGGTAGTGCTGGTGTATCGTTAAGCTGATGGGTCGAGGAGAGTGTTAGAGCACAGGTGAACGAAGGACTGTGTTCAGAGGGGAAGGAAGGAATGAATGCCTTTTGGGGTCGTTGGTGAGAAAGGTTGTAGTAGGATAGGGCGATAGGATAGCTAGATATGTATGTAGGGGGGTTGTTGGCAGTTTTTAGGGTAGGGCTCAAGTTGCTGGGGGGGGGGGGGGGGAGAGAAGCGGTGGTAGGTTGGAATAGGAGGTCAGAATAAGCCAACCAAGATAGGAGAAAACAACTGGGTTGTATGGAGGTTTAACTGGGTTATCTACGCTAGGTGTGTAGATACTCTTTTACCTAGAAGGGCCAGATGAAAATAGCAGAACAACGAAGATCAGGGAGAAGGGAAAAAGAATATTCCCTCTTTCAAACTCGGACGGAGATTTGTTACTGCCGTTACACTGTTACAAACATACAGGGGAGGGGTGGATACGACTCGGAGGAGGGAAAGCTGACGCGGAGGGAAATTTCGTGCTGGCAGCCCACCATCCGAGACCGCAAAACGGAAAGGGATAGATAAAGGGGGGGCGCTGTGGCGTGCATATCCAATCGGCAGGGGTCGACAATCTGTGGCTTGACAGGCACCTACAGATAGCCGTCTGTGGCTGCTGCCTCAAGCTGGTGTGGCTGTTACATCACAATTGTGCCCCACGCTGCAACAGAGCCTCACCCCGCCAATGTAAGCAAGCACCTGCTAAGAAGCATCTCTCCCCTCCCACACAGACCATGGCGCACGTCGACACGGAATTTATAGCAATCGGGGCCAACCGAAACCCCACAGCCGCAGACTGGTCCCCGTCCGGCCTGCTCGCATTCGGTGCAGGACGTTGCATTGCGCTCTGGAACCCTTTGGTAAGCAAAGCAAGCACCGCGCGTCCTGTCCTGATATATTACAAGCTCGATGATCAATGCACTCACTCACATATTCAACCCCCTCCCCCTAAAACACACCGAAATACCTGAACCCCTAACGAGAAACTGAACTGCAGGACCTATCCCACCGCGGTGTCCACGCAACTCTCAAAGGCCATGCAGACCGCGTAAACGTCGTCCGTTTCCTCTCATCCCAGCCACAAGATGCCGATATCCTCCTCACGGGATCTGTTGATAAGACTGTCCGTGTGTGGACGCCTACCCCGGACGGTTTCAAATGTGCATGGGCCAGTACCGACGTTCACAAGGGTTCCATAAACGCCATTGCGACATGCGCCGCCAACCCCAACATCTTTGCTTCTGCTGACGCCTCAGGAACTATTGCCGTCTTTTCGATCTCCATCTCAGGAGATGGGGCACAAGTAATACGTTTACAGTCTTTTAGTACAGCGCCAAAATTCTACCCCTTAACCTTGGCTCTGTCAACGCTTCCCTCGTCGCCCACAGCTCTACTCCTCGCTGTTGCTGGGTCTGCATCATCAATATCGCTCTACATAGCACCTTCTGCCTCGGAGAAGTTTACACCACAAGCTACTCTCTCAGGTCATGAGAACTGGATCCGTTCTCTCACCTTCACTCCAGAGTCGCCCAACGGCGAAGGAGACCTTATTCTTGCCTCTGCATCGCAGGATAAATATATCCGACTCTGGAGAGTTCATGCTGGTGAGGCACTCCCACCGGCCACGGCAAACGACGAGACAAAAACGTATGGACTCTCAAACAGACTTTCAAACAAAGCGCACAAACTGCGAACCGATGGCGGAGGTGTGTGGAGTGTGACGTTTGAGGCCTTGCTCATGGGGCACGAGGATTGGATTTACACCACCTCTTGGAGGCCAGCTGGTAATGGCCTGCAGCTTCTAAGTGCTTCTGCGGACTCATCGCTGTCAATATGGACACCGGAGCCTGAGAGTGGGATCTGGTTGACGACGAGTCGGCTCGGAGAGATCAGTGACACAAAGGGTGCTAGTACGGCAACGGGCAGTGTTGGAGGCCTATGGACAGGGCTATGGTCACCTTCAGGAAATACCGTTGCCGCGTTTGGAAAGACTGGTAGTTGGCGACTGTGGCACCATGATGAGAGCTCCGGCCGATGGCTCCAGGGTGTCGGTATCAGTGGGCATGTTAAGGAAGCAATGGGTGTATCGTGGGGTAAAGGTGGTGGGTACTTACTAAGCACTGGGTTAGACCAGACCACAAGGCTATTCTCGAAATGGGCTCGTGACAATCAGACAAGTTGGCATGAGTTCGCAAGGCCCCAGATCCACGGATACGATATCAACGCTATTATAGATTTGGGCAAGGGTAGGTTTATTAGTGGAGCTGAGGAGAAGTTATTGCGGGTCTTTGATGAGCCAAAGGGAGTTGCTGGAATGTTGGAGAGGATGTGCGGGTTGAAGGAGGAGTCCTTGGTGGGTTCCGTTCCTCTAAGTCTTATATTGATCGAGTGATATTGTGTGACGCCGAGTGATAATACGTGATTGGTAATGTTTCACCCGTACTAACGCCCTTGAAGGACTCAATGCCCGACGCGGCGAACGTCCCCGTTCTTGGTCTTTCCAACAAGGCCATCGAAGATGACGCTCCCCCAACAGACCTTGCAACTACTGATCCAGATGCCCTCCCCGCCTCTGTTCCCGAAGAATCTGGGGCAGCTCCATCGTCTAGTCTCCTGGACCGTCTCAATCATCCACCGCTTGAGGACCATCTCTGCCGTCACACTCTCTGGCCTGAACACGAGAAACTCTATGGCCACGGTTACGAGATCTCCGCTGTCGCTGCTTCTGATGACGGAACTGTTGTGGCAACAGCCTGCAAGGCTAGCACAGGTGAACACGCCGTAATCCGCCTTTACGAAACAGCACAATGGCGAGAGGTGAAGCCATCATTGGCAGCGCATGTCCTCACTGTCACGTCACTTGCATTCGCTCCCGGTGGACGTAAACTATTGAGTGTAGGCAGAGACCGCACATGGGCTGTATTTGAAAACACCGGTGGCAGCGGATTTGACGGCGACTGGAAGCTAGTCGAAAGAAAAGAAAAGGGGCACGCAAGGATGATACTGGATGGTAAATGGGCACCTGTGGAGGATATATTTGCCACTGGCGGACGTGATAAGATTGTGCGTGTTTGGTGCCGCCGTGAGGGAGGATGGGAGTGCACCGCTACCCTTAAATTTGAGGTTCCTATTACTGCAGTTGATTTCTATGGCACCGTGGTGGGCGGTAAATGTGTTCTAGCTGTAGGTCTAGAAGACGGAGGGTTGGAGGTCTATAAAGTTGGCGCCGGAGGAGAGTGCACAGAAGCAGACAAAGTGCTATTCGACCAGAGGTTAGTTTATTTTAAGCACTCATGAGAATGCGAATGGGACTGACAGTTGAGTTAGGGTTACTCCGGATAAGGCGGTGACACAAATCACATGGTGTCCCAGTGAGGTTGATAATGGGAAGTTGCAGATGGCCGTGACGAGCGAAGATGGGAGTGTTAGGATTTACGGACTTGCATTAGTGATATGAGTGTGATTGATTGTTAGGCTCCCGGCGTAATAAAAATGTACCCAAATTCGCATTAAAAAAATATATCTTTGTAGTAGCTGAGATACATAGAAGCTCACTTACTCTATTGTATAGCATGGTGCATGCATGGGTTTAAAGTGAATTTGGGGAGATTTTCTCTTGCTCCAAGCTCCGCGCATGAGCAAACGGGGGTTTATCGCTTGCTTCAGATTTTCCACTAATGAGGAGACGTAGATACCGGGGTTCTCGTTCCAACCGGCACTACTGTAAAGTCAAGATTTCTCAGGGGAGAACACGTTTTTATGATGGCTGGATGCGGGCAGGCAGACAGTTATAAACTGCCACATGTCAGATTATTCATAAAGATTCGAGAAAAGAGCGATCTTTGTTCGTTGAGGTTGTATATCGCGTAGCCAACGTTTTTTGCACTTACCTCAGCAACCAGTTGTAAAAATCCATTCATATACTCCGACATTGTATAATTGATAACTACCGACATGCATGATCCATACGTATGGAAACCAAATAGAGGCCACTTCAATGTTTCCTATATAATATATGTCCGTTGTCCATATTCTGAGCTCCCGAAGTACCAAAGCGTAAAGTCATAAACTCAGCGACAAAATTGAATCTACATTAGTATAGATCGACACAGCTAATTAGATTGGCTTAAGTATCACTGCGTACGCTACGCCCAATAAAGACTCGCAGTAACAATTGTTCATTGTATATTACCCACTTTAACTGGATACATATAACCTGGCCTGTCATCTTCCAGCCCCCGGCAATATATTCCCTGGAAAAAATCCCTGCTTGCTTGAGAGGGAGCACGGGGCAGCGCAGGGTAGAAGTGCAGATGCATACATATAGATCTGGGCTGTCTGGTTTAATGTAGAATTGACCGGTATCTTCAGGTCATGTGGTTGGCGATTACATCTCAATCGAAAAGTTACATTCCTCATGACAAACCACTCGCTACCGACTGCCTTGCAGACAAAATATCGAGACTCAGCACTACTATAACCGTTACAGGTGGGGTAGTGATAATAAAATTCGGTGATAGAAATCCAGAGAAGGGAGAAAAAAGAAAGCCGGTCCCTGGACACACTAAAGGTTCTCGGAAGTTGAAACTTCACAGTAAAGTACATCTTCCATAAATTTGCTTTTTTTTTTTATTCCTACCAAAGTTAACGGAGGCTCTCCCGGGAAAATTCCGTCACCTCTCACCAGTTCACTAGGGAGCTTTCTGTCAACTTTGTGAACCGGCCTTAACGAATGGCCCACAAAACTACCTGAAGCGAGTTCTGTAACCCCCCGCCCAAGGTGCCTTGGACAAGAGTTTCAAGCAGCGTTGCCTTGTGGGCCACGCGCATTTTTCCAAAGAAGTTTGACATTAGTCTTGTAAGGATCGAGTGTATATATGGATCACACCAAATACATCTCACATGCTCGACATGACCACATCCTTAGGTACATGTATGTATTAAATCTTTGATAAGTAGATATCCAGCCGAGTGATTTTCTATGCATACAAGGATTCCGAGAAGGTCGATGCAACCAGCAAACCCCTGAAATAGATTAACCCACGGCTCTTCCATCAACCACTCTAGAATAATGCAGTCGATAGACCCATGGCAATGGGTAAACTCAGGAGTTATAACTACATATACAGTAGGTACGGATTGGACTTGAGATGTTACCCGTGCTCGAGCCCGCAAAAGCGAAGACGACACGTGCGTTTAATAATTTAATATTCTAGAGTACCAGCAGCTGCAGCAGCAGAGTTGTGTGCGCGGATGTACCTTCTCAAATATGCCAGGCAGCCCCTGACGCTGACTAACCAAACCATGAATGCACGGACCACTGGTGCCTTTTGGCGTAGCAGAGGATAAAAGTCACTTTATGCCCGGCGTCGCAACTTTGTTGACTGCTATTACAAACCTAGAATTCATGATTTTTCGAGAAAGTAAAAATAAATTTGCCCAGTCGCCGCGCCGTAACCTCAGGAGCAGAAGCTTTCAGCTCCAAGAAAAGGAACCTTAGCCTAGATAAGAGATTACCCCCCCAAGGTCCGTAAGATTATCAGGGATTGCCAAGCTGTAATTGTGCCCGTGCGACGTTCAACCCGGTAAACATTTATATTGATAGAGAATAAAAAAACGTAAAAAGGATATCGAGATTCAACTCTGAGCAGCGTGATGTTTCCAATGAAGGAAGGGTGTGCACCTAAGCCTTTCAATTACAGACTATGACTGTGTTAGGACACCTTTGTAATAACCCTGCATTCAAATATCGTTATGTGAATGTGGTAATATTGCGGGGTAGGTATGTAATTATAAGTGCAATGTGAGAAAGGGAGACCTTCATGTAAATACTCTGCGTTTCTCGAGTGCTCTGACAGTGCATGAAACAAATTCAGATGAGGCTGAAGAAAAAAAGGCGTCTGAGTGATAGAGCACCACTAATCCAGAATGCTCACCATCACTCTCGCATTGCTCAAAGAATAAGCCTCAAAAGAGAACCAAGAATGTCTTGGTGGTGTCAGCGCTTGCGCTTGAGATTTGTATGATGGAGTAAGAACATCCTGCGATGTATTTATGTAACAGTACGGAATGATGAACTCCTTCAATTTTGTTCCCATATTTTGGTCATATTCCTGTCCCTATGGCTGATTCCGCAAAAATATGACGGGAATAGACTGAAGTGCGTATCCTCAATGGAGCATCAAGTGAAGGGCAACACTAAAAAATCCCTCCACTATCTCCTATCATAAGCTAAATGCCTGTAATTGTGCAAAGTGCAACTATTCACAACACAGTTATTTCCCGTGCGTTACCATTGTGTAGATAGAGGGAAAATATTGATCTGCGCGCTTCAACCTCCAGTTTTAATTATCGTGTAGAGTAAGTGTATGTATGCATACTCTGGAAGCGAGATTCACTTGCTCTAGAGTAGAAATTACACCAATTGTGCAGCTCTTGGCAACACAGCATAGTTATCGCATACTTGTCGGACGTCTCCCGGAAAGAAGACAGGTGGTGGTAGAGTAGTGTCAAGAAGCTGGCACGCTAAGTGATTCAACGGGTCGGTCTTGAGGATACAGATAGGGTTCGGCAACGCCTTACGATCTTCAAATCATGTCAGTATTTATACGTATCTTCTGTAGATATGATTGTGCAGGAGAAACAGCGCCCAATCGTTAAAATAACTGCCACCGATGCGCTGGTACACCCGATTTTTCCTAGCTGGCAATCATGACACTCGTCTTCCTTGTAAGCCCAGTGTAAACGCGGGTGTAAACCAGTACAGTCTGCATACCATATCTTCGTCAGGTTTAAGTTCAATTTATTACAACGGAAGCTCCCAGCCTCATAGATAAGTGTAGTGTTTATGGCGGCGAAGAGTCTATATTATTGAGGTTGTCAGGGGCAATGCCTAAAAAGGAGTTTTTATGATGTCAAGGTGGGGATGTAGCTCTTGAGGTTGCAGGGAAACTGGAGGAGGAGGCGGGTATGGTGGTTGAGGTGTGGCTGCGGGCCTGCGGAGGTGGGTACATATTCGTTGGTTAGGAAGAGGTAGCTTTTACTTACCCCTGTCGGCTTCCTCCACCTAGCCATTCTGCTCTTTTTTTTTCCATTCCTTCCCTGGGCCCTTCCATTGTTACTTTATTCATGAGGTCTGTTAAAGTAGGTGCCTGCCTTAACATATCTAAATTTCCAAAAGGGATTGAATTCACAAGGGCCTGGCAGTAATAAGTAAGCAAAAGGAAAGAAGAAGTCTGACCTCTTCATTTTTTTTACTTCTTATCCCTTTAGCTGCAGCTGCTTCCCGTCTCCTGTCTTTTTCTATGTACTTGCTGTCTCTGCCAGCCAGTCCTTAGCCCGTTCTTCGTCCGCGCCTCCTACTTTATCCTCAACCTCGCCCGTCCTTCCTCCTTCCTCCTTACTTGCTTTTCAAAGGCCCCTCTTGTTTTTAACATCTTTCTCATCTGTGGTTCTGCACTCACCGCCAACACGATAATCGATTCTCGTTTCTTTGCTTCGGTGCTTGGCTGTGCACGTCGAGTGTAACTTTACGCGCCGCTGTGCTTGTCCCCTATTTGGATCTTTCAAATCTGGAAACCTTGTTTGCGACACTGCTACCCACGTGTTTTTGACGTTCCCTCCCTTTCCACCGGCATCATAGAACCCCCTTTTTCCTACAACAAGAACAAATTTAAGAGTTTTCACATCATTCACATCATTCATCTTCATTCACTACCATGGCTTCCAATTCAGGGTACGTTTCTGCACTTTGCATTCGCTGTTTGTGAGCTTTACCTGACATCCTGAAATTTATAGGCTTGGCTCTGGGCTCAAGAGCTTTTGGCATGCCATGACTTCAAATGACAGGCACGCAAATCACGATTCCCCTTATCGCGTGCTGTCGACCAATACCCATCAACCCCTGAATGGAGGTGGAGGAGTTGGTCGTAATCCCCCGCTACAAGGAGTCTCATCACCGGGAATGGAAACGGGCCTCAACTCGAATTACCACGAAGAGAACCGTTCTACAGCTTCTCTTGCCGGAACACCAGGAGTTTACCCACCTCGCTCCCCCGGGGGATCCATCAATGGCCCAAATTCCCCCTATACCCCTGGGATGAGGTCCTCCGTGATTACAAATGAAGCACCCCCCGGTGGTGGAATCGCAATGCAAGATTTCGGTGCAGACGGGATGCCTCCTCCCCCTCCAATCAGCCACACCTGGAGCCGGATTGATAGATGGTGCGAGGACAACTACCCTGAGCTCTTTGATCAGATCTGCACACCCGCTACCGTGAACGATATCAACGAACTTGAATACAGCTTGGACTGCTCGCTTCCACAGGACTTACGGGAATCATTGCTGATTCATGATGGCCAAGAGCGCGGTGGAACACCTACAGGTCTCATTTTCGGAGCAATGTTGCTCGACTGCGAGGAAATGTTGGATGAATGGAAGAACTGGAGGGTAGTCGAAAGTGAATATCTAACTCAGCCACCATCAGGACAAAAACCTCCGGTTGGAGAAGCTGGCTCGTCAAAGGCCGAAAGTGCTGCTCTTGGCCGTCAGGAACTTCTTGCCCGTCAGACCTCCCAACCAGATGGCTCCATTCAGAAAGCATATGCCCACCCAGGTTGGATCCCTGTAGCAAGAGATTGGGGTGGCAACAACATTGCGGTTGATGTGGCTCCAGGTCCTAACGGAACTTGGGGTCAGGTGATCCTGTTTGGCCGAGATTATGACTGCAAGTACGTTGTCGCAAAATCATGGGCACACTTTATGGCCATGGTAGCAGATGACATGCAGAGTCCCCATTGGTACGTTGACGAGGAGACTCAGGAATTGAAACTTAAGGATCCCAGAGCTCCAAGGTCAGAGCCAGGTTACATGGATATCCTCCGAGTACGTAATGAGCGCAAGTACGGAAGACGTCGCTTCTCGCGAGGACCACCTCCAAGGCCCAATTCTCTTCCCGGATCGCCAAGAGGCACAATGTCACCAACCTCCTTCAGTCCAACCAACGGAGCCCGGAGTGGCTTGACACGACCAGCAAAGGAAGAAAACTCATTATCAGACAATCACCTCAAGCCACCTTCGAAAAAGACTTCCAAACCTCTACGAAGCGTTGCAGAGGAGATCCCCGCACCGGTCGCTGTACACACAAGGCTTGAGGGTGAGCTGCTTAGAAACAACTCTAGCAGCAACCTACTCGGTGATTTGGTTGAAGAGAAAACATCCGCTACAGTCAAAGCACTCGAAGAGATTGCTTTAAGTGACGAGAAAGCTTCTGCAGGAGATGAGATTTCTCAGCCTCCAACTGCAGTCAAGAAAGTTGAGGCCTGATTTGAATGAGCATGAAATTGGAGTCGTGGAATTTTCCTTATAGAGCTTACGAATTTTTCCTTTTTTTTTCCCCCTTTACTCCTTGACTTTCCTATGTTGATCAGATACCAAGCGGGAATTGCATATGGGCGAGTGATTAAGGTGGAATTATTCGATAATCTGGTTAGGACTTATGGTCTTTTAATTTCTCCCTCATATCTCTTTCTTTTGTCGGGTGGTATAGTACAAATCACAAGGTTGCATCGTTAGTTTAACTCTTCTTTTTTCATTTTAGCACCATTACATTACCCCTTGGTGGTGTCAACCTTTCTCTAACTTGAAGGCTGTGGAGCTGGCTACTGTTTGATATGAGAAAGCTTAGCACCTCTTTATACCCCTCTCTTTTCATAAACACTTTTGTATACATCAGTTTTTTTGACCTTTGTTTTGCCTGCTTCTCTTCTTTTTCTCGTGCTGGTCGGTGAGCCCTTCAGATGGTGGTGGGTGTTCTTCATATAACTTCAAAAAGGTTCTTTTATTTTTTTTCTCTTCAGGGGAGGGGGGGGGGGGGGTATCTGGTAGGGAAAGAAAGGAAGACTTTACAGCATAGCGTGGAAGTCAATCGATTCTTATGTAGCGGAGTTTCTCTGATCGTAATTTATTGTATGAATGATTAGTGAATGATTGATTACTCACGATTTATGTCTCTTTTCATGTGTCTTTGAATGCCTTTTTCTTGTTACTCGGATCTTTGGCTGATGGAAGTGAAGTTGAGTTTATTGTCTGTGTATAATATGCGGTTATATGTCGGCCCGATGTCGGTAATAATAGGACGAGTGATGCTGTATGAATTTCTCCCCCAATGTCAGCTCTCTCCCCACAGAACTATTCCGACCCGGTGTTGGCCGTGTGCGGCTCACATATAAGCTTTCTGCCAAGTTCAACACCACCACGACCACCAACATCTACAGTATTATACTCATCCACTATCAAGCGCTTCACCATACCCCACCCCCTCTTCAGAAGTAGAAATATTGCCCAAGATGTTCAAATCACTCCTCCGTCCCCTCAACAGATACCCAGTCCGAATGGTGACTCGTAGTCATCATTTATACTCCCGTTCCTTCCCACTCATCCACGAATTCATATCCCCCCAACCCTCATACCTGCTCAATCTCACCCTCGCCCCCCACCTCAGCACCCCACCACTCCCCACGCAACTCCCCACGTCTGGCGAGCTCCCACCTGGCCACCACATGGTCTACTTCCCCCCGCAGCTCCCCGAATCCGAACTCCTCCCTGATGGCTCTGACGCCTCTCAAAACCCCGGCCCCGAGTGGGTACGCCGCATGTGGGCTGGCGGGTCCGTCCACTTCCACCCCACCAAGAAAATGGAACTAATGGACCATGCCGTGCTGCAAGAGAAAGTCGTCGACCTCCAAACACGCGGCAAACCTGGCAGCAAGGACGAGCGTATGTTCGTCTACTTTGAGCGCAGCATGTGGTCCGGCAAGCAGCCACTGCAGCCGTCAGATTTAATTGAAGGCGAAGCGGCTGTGGTTGAGAACCGATGTCTCGTGTTCTTTCGGGGAGCGAAGGACGAGACTGCGGTTGCACGGGTTGTGAAACGTACCATTACCTCCGCGCCCGCACCCGCATTATCATAAGCTGACAGTCAGAGCGCAGCACCGCATGAGGCGGACTTCTCATTGACCTTCATGCCGACGCAACACCTACTATTCCGCTTCTCGGCGCTGACATTCAATGCGCACAAGATCCACTTCGACCCGCTGTTCACGCAACACAAAGAAAAGTACCCGGGGCTGCTGTGCCATGGGCCGATGTCGCTTGTGCTGCTGCTGGAGCTGTTGCGTGTTAATGTGCTGGACACGGGGAATGACAGGACATGGCGGGTGAAGCAGTTTGATTACCGCTGTTTGGCTCCTATGTATGTCGACCAGGTGCGTACACATCATTTCCTTGTTCTTATCTACATCCGGCGCAGCGGCGCTCATTGGTCACCTGAGGATCCCGTTGACAAACATGGCCGCCGGCTGGCTGCGGCTATCGATAGCCGTATAAAATCTGTGGCCGCAAGATCAGCGACAAGACGTATGAGCTGTGGGCAGAGACGCCGCAGGGCGGGTATAGTGTCAAGGGCATGGCCATGCTGGAAGAGGAAACTTCATGAGCAGCCCCTCAAAGAGCTCCGGCATGGGTTTGTCCCAAATATCGACGATTCCTTTCAATCATTACTTCTCCCGGATATTGCCAATATGGAATATAAACTACCTACTATATCTGAAGCTCCAATAACAGAGCTCATGGTTGCTACATCGACCCGGCGATCTAATATAAGTCAGGAATACTATACTCTATCTCATAAATCAAGGTACTCAAAAATCAGTCAAGCAAAGTAGTAGTTAGACCGAGTGAGCTTCATAACAGGACACCGGTAATTGAGGCGGCCTATAACCGCCCATCACGCAACTAAATAAGACGTCAACCACAGAATCTAGACTAAAAGCACTGTCCAGGCCGCCTTGGTTCTAGTTCCAGTTCCGGCGCGGGCCTCATATGCTATACCGTGCACACACGCACAACCCACCTGGCCGCCTCGAGACAACCCATAAAATACATGGCAATCTAAAATTGCTATACCCGAAATTGGCACATCCTAGGAAATGAGGATCATATCGCTTAATGAGCCGGGGGGTGCTTGACCTCCCACTCCCAATTAGGCATCCCAGTAAAACAAGAAAATGAGGGTAGAGTAGAAAGAAAAACGTAACACTCTCAATACAAAACACCGTTGGGGGGGATGGGTTCATGGGCGTTTTATATTGGTCGAGGGCGGGTATGAGATTGGCGATGGGGTAGGTGCTGATTCCTTTCTAGATCTTTTCCGGTGGTGCGGTATGGCTTTGTTGGTAGTGTAGGCCGATCTTGTAGTTGCAGATAAGTGAGTATATCGAGGTCTTGGGTTCTTAGGACACACGCAATATTTCATGCAATACCGCTCATTGACACCTAATAAAATAGTAGTAATACCTTACCAAAGCAACTCCCAAAACAGGCTTATATTTCTAAAAGCGCTGTGCGTGGTACTAAAAATGTAAATCTACACGACCAATGACGGAATCGTCACGTAATTGTACCACGAAATACAAAGTTAAAAAATCTATTGCACGACCATCACTGTAGCGGCAGCGATGATGGAGTGCTAGGTCTGTACAAATAAGCTGTAATAACGATATGAGACGGGACTGGGGAAGATATCAGGCTCAACAGGGGAAGTGTAGTAGTAAATATGGGCTGTATGTCGATCTTATAGTTGCAATATATACCGAGGTGGTGAGGCCTTATGAAACTTGAAATATTCCATGCAACATTAATCATTGACACTTGACAGAACAGCTGACAAAAGCAACCCCGATTTCAAAACGAGTACATCATTCTGAAAGTCGTGTGCGTGATATGAGATACACATATAATGCAACCAATGACAGAAGTATGGCGTAATTGGGTTAAACCCCGTAAGCTTCGACAAACCACCTGTATATCACTAGGTATTATACATAGATCTTACAGGAAGTGCTCTAATAATCAAGACGCCAGGAAAATTTCATGCAAAACGCTCATTGACACCTAATCGAGCGGATTGGCAAGTGCAAAGTAATGCCCTCCCAAAACGATCACCATTATAAAGCCATGGCGTGATATAAGATACACACACACGTGGCAGATGACGGAGACACCATGTAATCACCCCACGAGCTTATGGATGCGGGGAAAGCAGGGGAAGAACGCCTCTATTGCATATATGGCGAGTGCCGAGTAGTATACTGCTGGTGATGGTGACGCCGCTAGCGGTGTTACTAGCGGGTTTCATCAAGAGAAAAATGATGGTGTTGGTGGTAGTGTGGTCGGCGAGTCGGGTCAAGTTTTTCTATTGGCTTGAGCGCTGCTCTGTTCAACTCGTGGGATCACCTCTGCTTGTGGAGGAACTTGAATTTCCAATAAATATGTTTGATACCCTAATAAGGCACAAGTATTGAAAATATCTGAAAAATAGACCAATTGGGCCAAGTGGCCTGTTTATCTGACTGAAACCTCGAGTAACTCGGGTTAATTTTTATAAATTACTCGGGAAAGCTTGACTCGCCGATTACACTAGTTGGTGGTGGTAGTGACGGTGCCTCGCAGGAAGATACCTTTTACTTCCATTCCAGCGCTCATTCTCTGAAGTTTTTCTAGAATAGTCGGCAATGCGCCTAGGTGTCAGTAGAAGATTGTCAAATAGGAGAGGAGAATCACCACGGAGGTCCTCTTTTTTTATTCCTCTTTTTTATTTTGTTTTTTTTATTTTCATTTTCATTTTTTTGCTGCGGGGATATGGATAAAGCAAGAGAGCTATTGATGGTAATACGTAACCATAACAGGGCGAAATGAATGAGGGAGAAGGGGAAAGCATGTGGAGGTAAATCATAGAGGAAGACTAGGGACGGAAAATTACGGGATGGCGCTCGGAAGATCTATAAGAGTCAGGAGTACGCTGTGCTATCGCAGTCAAGGGTAGGTTGGTAGGTTTAGCCCTAAGAGACGTTTCCTAAAGAAGAAAAAGTGCTTGAGTTGAACAATTAATAGTCTGCGTCACTCAGCTCACCCGAACCCGGTGTAAAGTTTAAATAATTGGAAATACTACACCTTATCTGGTAGCGAGTGATTATTCGTGACGTGCTTACTTAACTGATGTGTTTCGGGTTGGCGCGACATCTTCTCCGCTAGGAGGGGAGCCATCGCGGAAATAAATATTGCTTTTCTGTTAAATTGCGATCAAAGCTTTCTTAGAAGGTAGGCTGGGTTGGTTGAAGGTGTCATTATCTGTTGTACTTTTGATTTTACTATTCTCGCAATACACCGATTCTAGGGGAAAGAGTGATTTATTTATGAGCAAAGAATTTTATGGAGTCTATTAGTAATAATTTACAATGTTTCGGCCCCTAAAAGAAGGAATTTCCTTACCACATTATGGGCTAATGAAATCAGCCGAGTGATTATCCATGACTGGCATATAGTCAATCCCAATTTTCGGCTAGCGCCAATCTCACTAACACCACGATCCACCGCAGCCGCCACAGGCCCAGACACAACACTTGGCCCCCCCTCAAGAGCACGTAGCGAGATAAGCAATTTCAATTTATGCGGGGCGGAGGGATAGGCAGAGGAGGGGATTAGATTTTCAGATAGGCGTTAAAACTTTAAATTTGAGAGTGAGGGCAAAAAACAATGCCCGCCGCCGCGGATGACTCGGGATGTCGGAACAAGCCGTATCACGAGGTGGCCGCAGCCAGCGATCGTTGATAAACGGTCCGCTGCGATTGATGTTTCTAATTGCACCTGTGACCAGACAGTTAGGCAGGACAATTGCAACCATCTCGAAGGCACTGTAGCGGCCCCCCCCCCCCCCCGCCCCCTCCCATATTAGTGATCAGGTATGTAGGTTTCTTTGTTGTCTGTGTGTGGAAGGCCTTAAAGTACATGTACTTGAACCGAGTTTGGATTGCCTGCACAGGCGTCGGTTGCCTGAACAACCGGCAAGATGAAATAACGACCGAGACATCCCTCCCCCTTATCATCCTTTTATTGCGAGGATAAAATCCATGATGTAATCAGGCCTCCGATTGAAGCTCGTTTTTATCCCTTTATCATAAACCCGGACAGGTAGGTACTTGGGATGGTATCAGGCATCAATCACCAAGCCGATATTCCGTGAAGCCCCGATAATTAAATGAATTCATACCGAAGGACTTGTCTATGTCCATGTCATGTCATGGCCAGGGATCATCCACGGAATGCTCTGAAACGAAGTATGGTGGTTGAAACAAGGAAATCATCATTGAGTTACAATTCGTCAGCGTACGTTAATGACATTTCCCCTCCTGTGTGTTCAAGGTACGAATGGTTAGCCATAGTGGGCAGTAGTATTACTACATCAAGATTTCATTTGTTGCTAATCCCGCTCTGGGTATCACTAGCACCTCTCTAGATCTAGTCGTGAAGCGTTGTGACCTGTATCAACCTCTTCCGGGAGTCCTGGTTTCCTGCTTGGGGGGATCGCCAGCGCTAAAAAGCAGTGAAAATTCCGACAGTTTAAGGGATGGGGTTTGTTTATTTCCATACTGCACTGCACTGGGCTGGGGAAACCACATTTTAAAAATGCAAACAACATTATGCTGGTTACAATAACGTCACAGCACAAGCATCACAAGAGAGACAATGATACTGAGTGAAAACAAGAGCTAAGGTTGCTTTTATTCCGACAAATAGATTTAGACAGAGAAACAAAAAAGTGTATATACTTGAAAGTATAATCCTCTCCAATGTCTCTACTAAGTAACTCTATAGGCAGTGTATTATCACGACTCCACACTCCTAGACCATCTCCGCAATCGACCCCAAAATCATAGGTCCATCCAAACGATACGTCCTTCCAAACACCCAACCACCTATCCATCCATCCGCAGACCTATTCACTACTTCCACCACCTCGTCACCTCGTCACCACCCACCGCCCTGCCAACCTTTAGTTGAAAAGAGCCCCCAGCCACAAACATAAGAAAATGATATCAGTCAACGTGCCAGTGCGTCAGATGTCAAACCATCAGGCTAGCCATCTCGCAAGAATAGAGAAACAAGAAAGGGAAAAAAATGATAGAACAAACAGAATCGAGAAAATACCTATAATATAGGTTACATGAAGGTATAGAATAACATGATAAAGTAAGAGGGGAATATAACAAGAAGCTATTTATCAGAGAAGAGACAGGTATCGATATATCAAAGACATCAATAAATGCTTACCATGTGTAATGAAGTTTTCGGGATTTTTTTTGAAGACAAAAGTGTAGAGGGAATTGAAAGGGGAAGGGAGTAAGAAAAGGAAAGGCCTGCCATCGATAAAGAAGGGTATTCGCAAGAAATAAAATACCCTCTTTGCGCCAGACACAAGACAAAACGGAAAACAAAAACCAACCCAACCCGAGCACCATCTCCCAAACATATCCGCAGAGATGCGCAAGAGAAAAACATGAAATCCAATAAGGCCCACCATCCCCGAAAAATGAAAAATGAAAAATGAAAAATGAAAAATGAAAAATGAAACATAGAACATGAAGACATTCCCCAAGAAAGACCGAACAGACCCCGAGAGAAAGTGCCCCAAAAAAGTATGAATGCAAAAATCGATGCCGGAACCCAAATGCAAAGTGCACCTGCCGAAACACAAACAGATCGCCAAAGAGAGAGAGGGTAGAGGATAATGAAGGGTATGGTGCAAAAATAAAAAAGAAACTGGATATAAGAACCTACAGGAGTTTGCCCAAAACTAACTTCCTAAAACCCGCCATGAATAAAAAATAAAAAAAAGAAACAAACACCGAAAAAAATAGATCCACGAAACCCGAAGCTATACATTGTTCACCCATAACTCGCCAGTGTCCCAAGTAGAAAGAGATAGGAACCAAGGAAACCCAAGAAACCAACCCATTCTCCAAAAATAAAAACACCTAGAAATCAAGAAGGAAAAAACACCCCTTAGTCGAAAATCAGATCATCAAAACTTTCCTCAAATCATTTTCCAGCTCAATCACACTCTGCTGAAGGACTGGCGAAGTAACAGCTTCAAGCTTACTGGCAAGAATCGAATTAGGGTTGTGATGGAAGAAAGGCGCCATTGTGGAAGGCTTGTTCATGTAAGCGGGGACGTTATTAGCAGGACTAAGGCGGGGCCGAGTAGGAGCCTGATTGGCGGGTGAAGTTCGAGGGGGATAACCCGGCACATATGAAGCGTTCTGCTGCTCAAAATGCGAAGGTCCTGAATATGGAAACATTGCCATGGGGAAATACCCAGGGCCTGCAGGTGAGCGAGGGGATTGTGGTTGATATGCGCTTGGATTCAAAGCCATAGGTGGTCCAGCCTTGGAAGAGGGCGAGGCAGCTCGGTTCGGATTCTGAGCTCGTTGAGCTCGGCTCTGGGTTGACACAGGTGACATGGGAGATGTTTGCGCCTTGTTTGTCGGGGACAGCGGCGAAAGGAGGTATTGCCTCAGAGCCTTAGCCGTTTCTTTACGTTTCTCTTCCTCCAAGGTTGATTGTGTTGGGAGGTTGGACGGAGCAGTAATGGAACGAGACTGGTTCATGCGTTCTTTGAAAGGAGGGGCCATAGGCGACGTAGGCTTGTCGAGCTCATCCATAGAGAAAAATAATGAGTCTTGCGGAATATTACGAGTGACCTTGCGATTATTACGGGTAGGGGACTCCGGGTCCACATTGGCGCTGATTGTTCAACATACAAGTAAGTCCCAAATATTTTCCATATAATAACATGGCATTTATAACATACCCAAAAACTCCAGAAAAAGAATCAATCGCTTCATCGCTAGATGGGGGAGAACATGAATCCTGACGCTTCATACCCATGTTTTCTGCCCTAGCTGCGTTGAAAAGCAATTCAAGGTGTGACTGTTCCTGCTCTGTAGAGGTCGATTCCGCAGTATTACTATTTGTATCACTTGAATCACTTTCCATCATTGCCTGCAGGCTGGTACCAGCGGGAGTACCAGGTACAGACTTTGAAAAAAACTTTGGCATAGGAAGGGCAGATGGTGCCGGCGAATGGTGAAAAGTAGGGCCTGCATATGCCTTCATTGATGGCGGAGTAGATGAAGACGAGAGCTTGCTTGGTGTAATTTGACCACTTGGAAACTCGTCCGACGACATTGGAGGTGACTCAAGATCAACTGGAATAGCTTCTGGGGGAAATCCTGTTTGAATTTTCGTTGCAACATTTTTAGGCTTTGGTTTTTCCTGCTTTGGCTTATCCTGCTTCTTGTTTTTCCTTTTCTTTCCAGATGTATCAGTACCGTGATTAGGAAAATGTTGAGCCTTAGGTGTAGTTGGAGGAGTCATAACAGTTGAACGGGTCGAGCCTCGGTAGTTGGTTGCAGAAGCAATATGAGTAGTACTAATGGTAGTTTGATTATTGTAGATTGGCTGGGCGTGGTGCTTCGGGTTAAACTGATTTGGAGCAGCTATAAAGGAACTGCTTTTCGTTTGCCGATGGTTATTTCGCCCTGATCTGGGCTTAGGAGAAGGTGAAGATCCAGCGATGCTAGTCATTTTGTATTATAGGCGAAAAAAATACGACGCCGATAAATGGTATACAATCGATCAACCGAAAGGAGAAGTAAAATATAATCAGACCCCGAAAGAGGGGAGAAAAGAATAATATACAGCAAGCGCTGAATAAACTGGAGGCGCTGTACTACTAAAGGAAAAAAATCGATTTCTTCAAAAGGAAGACAATAGAGGCGCAGATATCGGATGCGCAGTAAGATACAGAGGTATAGTGCTGGTAGGAAATATTGGAATAGGAAGAAGGCGTGTTTGAGTTTGAAGGCGATGCCGATTAGTTATGAAACCGAAGGATAAAGTCGATAGTGTATTGGCAGAAGAAATGTGGTGGGGATAATGGTCATTCTCAAGATAGGAGAAAATGAGGGGAAGTGGTCAAAGTTGAGGGAGAAGGCAGGTTGATATCGTGTGTGAGAAGGGGGGGGTGAGGGAGAAGAAGAGTGGATAGAAGGGGAACCGGGGGAACAAGCGAGTTTTGAGTAAAAGGCTTCAAGAACGAGGAGAAGTGGGAAGGGGGGATCAAGAGGGTGTGAAAAAAGGCTGGCAGCAGGCACACACCGGGAGCAACGTGGTGGCCCCCAAGATGGCGCGAATCCTAAGAGGACGCAAGTCACTCTTTCGTCTGCCCGCCAAGGACAATCCAGATAATCTTGCCACAGAGCTCTTGAGACCCAGAAGGGGGGGCGTGTCCATGCTCCCCGCCGGAAGGAGACTGTTTGGTGGATCGTTTTGGAGGGTTGACATCCGCGCCTATTGGCTGGTTCTGCTTGTTGATATTTGGGCAGGGCTGTGGAACTGTGGAACAGTCAGTGGCAACCTGCTTCTGCCTGGAATTCTATGGCAGTCGAAGAGGTGGATAGCTGATGTCCATGGCGGCCGTGTTGTTTGGCGGCGTTCTATGTACACAGGTAGTTGTATAAAGTGTTTAACTTCTGAGTACTTTTCGTAGCTTGTTGGTATATACAGTTACATATGTCGTTTTCAGAACCCTACAAAAATCTATTTCCGTACTGTTGCACCGCTGTCTCAGCATCTCCGAAGAGAGCAGAAAGAGATTGAAACAACGTCCAAGCATCGCCTCTATTTTCCCACCATCGATACCTAGTAATTTATTTAGTGGAGAAAACTAATTTTGTGCCTCGTTTTTTTTCTTTTCTTTTCTTTTCGTTCCGTTCTAGAAGCTATGACGAAGATTATTGATGACTAGCGGAAACTCAAACCAGATTCATAACATTAGAAATTGCACACACGATTCGCCTGAGAGGAAGGAGGCTTAAAGGGGATGATCTATAGTTTTGAACCAATTACTGTAATTGAGTTGGTTATTCCAATGATGTTGAGAATTAGAATCACTTAGATACAGTGATACCGTAGAGCGGACCCTAGAACGCGAATTCCCGACTAGGCTAGGTAATGCTTCTCATGGCAGGTGCTTGCGGGAAAATACCTACACTCCAATATTTCGCCCTCCATCTTTTTTGTCCACTAACCATCAACCTCCCCGCATAACCGTGAAGATGTCAACCATCAACGTCAAGGTATCCTGTTGATTTACGCATCACCAGTAACCTTGGCGATGGCGGGTTCATCAACCTCCGCTACTTACTCAAACGGTCTTATGACACAGTCTTCGCATCAGGGACCATCGAGAGGTCTCCAACTTCCCTCGAGAGGTCTTCAACTCCCCTCGAAAAATCTTCAACTTCCCTCGAGGGGTCTTCAACTTCCCTCCAAAAATCTTCAACCCCCAACTACTCAGAGGCTAATTATTCCGCCGCCGCCGCCGCCGCCGCCGCCGGTAACAACAATAACAACAACAGCAACAATAACAACAATAACACCAACTCCCGCTGCGGAACCAGTTAATGCTCATGCCCCTAAAAGTAGAAGTAGAAGTAGAAGTAGAAAAAGACCACGCAGTATCGCTTGTGGTAAGTTTCTATTTTTGTTCCAATGAATATCACGATTATTGAAACGAAATTAACTTTGTTTTTTAGTCACCTGCAATAAGCAGAAAAAAACATGTGGGCCTGCTCGGCCTTGCCCTCGCTGCCTTCATCTAAATATTCCTTGTCGACAACCCGTCAAACCCGAAGGATTTCTCTATAACACAAAAAAACAAAAAACCGCCGAAACCCCACTATCGCCCCCAGTATCGCCCGATGACCACAACGTCCTCATGGTGGCCTTGAAGAAGACGGCTGAAATACACCGTCAATTACCAAGGCCTTGTCTGGTCCAAGGTCTACCACCGTCTCCCTCGCCCTCGACTTCAACGGTGGGTACGCCCCAAGACTCCTATACGTCGACAAGTTCTTACGATGATCCAGCAACTGGCAAGAATGGCGATACAATTGAACTAAACTCGCGCATGAGATCTCACTCGATGTCTCCCATTAATGAAACCCCAAAGCCATTGCCAATACCGGATATGTCACGCTGGTGTCTGCCCGCTCTGCCCGCCCCTGCCGAAGAAGTGCCATACGATATCGTAAAAAATTCGATATTCAGCGGCGCGCCTGTCTTCGGGTTGGAGAAATCGACATATGATGATATTTTAGGGGATGATATATTTGCGGGATTTGGCGAGCCAATAGATTTGGCTGATGTATACGCAGAGGTGATGGGCAACATGGGAAGTCAGGGGATAAAGGAAGGGGAGAAGGAAGGGAAGCATGGCGCCGAGGTTGAGCATGTCGTCGCTCAGGGAGAGCACGTTGTTGCTGCAGGCTCTACTACGTCTGGGATAGCGTCAGAAACTGGTTGTGTTAGTGGGATTGCTTGGTTGGGTGAGGCGGATCTGTTTGCCGACAGTTTAGCCCTGGATGACGTGGACCTCTCAAACCTCGACATTCCCGGCTTAGACGATATCGTGATAGACTCGGACATAGAATAGCTGTTCAGATCTATCTCGAAATCAACACCACCAGCACTATCAGAATCACTCCCGCCGCGGCCTTAAGCGAAGTTCAAAAACGATATCCATTTATCGCCGCCAGGTCCGAAGTCCGTTGAAAAAAAGAGAAAGGATAAGGCTGAGTTCGCAGCACTTTACGAAGAGTTGGTAATATTAGTATGGAGTAATTCTGGGTTTGTATTTCCTTTGTGGGTATAGCGGGTTAACAATTAAAACGCGGGATATATATCCTTCTCGTTCATTGATGTTCTTCCTACGGGGGAACATTGGATGACGATGAGTGATGATATAAACTACAGTACAGAAGAAGAAGTAATGGTATCGTGAAGAAAGACGCCAGTACGCCGACACTGGGCGACCTGGTTATGAAAACAAAAAAAGGAACCAAAAAAAATCCAGGTAGCTATTACCACAATTCCCTTCTCGGTCCGAGACGTCGCTTCTCTGCTGTGGGGAACATAGGATACAAACCATACCACATCATCCACATTTCAGTGATGCATACCGGTTGCAATAGTCCGATTGCGATTCCATCGGTATCTTTCTCTCGGTACGTACGATTATTCCACCACTCCTTACTCGCCAGTTTTTTTTTGCTCGGCATGCATAGATATCGGTTGATTGGGGTTGATTGGGGCGTTCTCCGCTTTTTTCTTTTTCGAATCTCTACCACAGGACTATCACGAAGAAGATCCCGCACCCGCCCAATCATCGCATGATGCAACTCGCTATTATTACCTGGTCTCCGATTTTTGGGGCTGTCCAAGTGAAATTATTCCTATCCTGCCCGCTCGTAGATGATATGATACCCACTTTACATGCCTAAGTGATTCGTAAGTGACCAAAAAGCCACCATTAGGGCTAGGGTTGTGACGTAGGATCTAAACAAGCCAACCCCGATTGAAATACCTCACGAGACCTCGCTGGCAATTCACTTCTCCTGCTCCTCCTCGTGAGTGAGGGAGTTTCAATTCCAAGGAAGCTACATGTCGATTCCCATTATTCAATCGATGCACAGTTATCGGCTAGATCTGTCTGGGCCGATATAGGGTAGGTATGAGACCGCTACTGCTGTCTCGATGACCTGTCAAGTGAAAGTCCATCACCACAGCTGGCTGGCTGGCGTGGCTGGCATGGCATGGCAAATGAACAACAAGCACTCTCCCTTTCCGCGGGACCTGTCAACCATATCTGTGGGGGGGGGGGGTGCGCGGAGAGACAGAGGAAGGGGAAAGAAAGAAAGAAAAAGGTGAACTCAGCAGAGAAGGGAAGGAGTTTTGAGTTTTGGGCCACGGTGTGGACGGTCATTCGTCCCGCATCCTGGCAACATTACCAAACCAAACCAACCAAACAGCCCTTTTGTTTTGCTTTATTCTCAGGAAAAAGAAAAAGCAAAGGAAGAGAAATGCGATTTTAAATCAGGCTCAATGCTTCCCACCATAATGTCAGACGAATTGGGGCATATTCCGGAGGGGGGGGGGGGGCGGGGCGGTGGATCAATTGAGACCAGTTTGGTTTGTGAGGCTTGATTTGATTGATGCTCCTGGCCTTGCATTGTTTGGGGAGTGGTTGATGGTCAATGATCATTGGCGCCCAGGCCGAATCGCTAGGTATGACGGCGGAGGCGGGGGATGCAGGGTTTGGTTTCCAAATACTCTACTGGAGTTCTCGGGTTTCAACTGTCCATGGAACCTCGGAGGACGTTTTGTTTCTTCTTCTCTGCGGGGCGGCCACTGCGAGATATGGGGACGTGGAGGAGGCTGGAATGCAGCATGATGTTCTAGGCAGTGACTGCAGCTGCTCCATCTACTCTACTGGGTACAGCCGTACTCGGGTTTCAGCTTTTCGGGCTTTCTTTTTAACGCCGCGGTGTTTGTAGGGACGCCGGTATCGGCGTTGAAAAACGCTAATCTTGTCTACCATTTTGGTATGACTTATTGCACGTTGCAGAAGAGTACAGGAAGGCGCTATCCTAGAAGCACACTGCGCATCTCGAGTTGAGCTGAGCCCATCCCGCCATGACGTTGCCGTACAGCTCAAATCTAATAAGCTTAAATAGAATAACCACTCTGGTGTAGATATAGAGATAGTAGGTACTGCCGGTGGTTCCTGTTATGAAAAAAAAAGGCTGCGCTGGTTACTGGATGCCTGATCCCAAAAGAAAGAAATGATCATTTCTGCCTTTTCGCCTTGTCTTGTCTTACTGCATAGTAGTCTAAATACTGTAACTTAGCATGCTAGGCCATAAATTAAGTCACCAGTGCTCTGAGTATCTCAGGATACTGTCTCGGCAAACCAGGCTTTCATAATATTTCCATCACGTTGTTCAATCCGACCTAGTTCAGTCCATCCACTACGCACTCCCTAAAGATCAAGGGGAATATATTACACTCCACTACTCCAACCCGCCAATCTCAAGCTATTGCCCAAATTCTGCCATTATTCGCCCTTGCCCTACCTGGCAGTAAAGTCCTGTACTAGATATCATTGTCATGCTAAAAAAGGAAAGCGAAAAAGTAAATCCTCAAAAAAAGAAGCTCGTTCCAAACGCCAATAATTGGAGCCAACATTTTGAAAAGGAAAGCACAAAAAAAGCAAACCCAAGGAGGGGTAATGAACTCGGAAAGGGGAAAGACATGAAAAAGAAAAGTAGGCAGATACTAATACAGGGCGCCCACCTGAAGCATTTCCACACCATTTCCCCTCTCCATTCCGACTCATGGCCGATGATACGATAACAACCGTCCACGGTCATAACGCATGATACCCCTCCTAAGCTGCTACATCCCGCGCACTAAACAACCTCCTCCAGACCTCCGGGCTTCTCAATGGCCTCTGACCATTCCTTATCCTGGGATAAATATCCTCGAAGAAATAGTATATGTGGCCAACCACAATTCCCAACAGATCATCTTTCGGGAGTGTGTTGTGGAGCAGCAATGAAAAGCCGAGTAGGACCCAGGGCAGGTACGGCGCCGTGAATACAAATAGCCCCAGGAAGGATAGTCTTACAGCGGGGTTGCGGCGGGCCCAGATGTAGACTAAGCTGAATGATAGCGGGGAGCCAAGGAATGGCATGGAGGCTATTGGGGAGAGGATCTACGTAGAACTGTGTCAGTGGTACTGCTAGAAAGAGGCTGCGCATGGCGAAAAGTCGAAACTTTATATTGCACACCGAGGGAAGGATTTGTATGTACCAGTAGGGAGACGGAAGAGTAAAGTATCAGCCACGCAAACTCCCCGGTCTGTCCGCGGAACGATGATTCCTCAAGATTGCGAGAGTAGCGGGACATGAAGAATATGTGGAACATGAAGTCAAGACTTAATGGACCGAAGTAGAGAAAGGTTGTAATTAATCGCCAATACTACATTGAAGCGCCCCATGCATTAGAATCATCCCAAAATTATAGCCAGAAAACATGTAGAAAGCAGTCTAACCTGGCTCTTCCCCCAAACACTAACAGAGCTATAGAATAGCTGATATGGCGTGACAATCTGGCATTGGACGAGTATTGATGTGACAACAGCAGCAGTTGTCCATACGCGCGTTACGGGAGGTACCTCATAGTACCATTGTTCAAGCATATTCAGTTCGGCCATGGCGGGGGAGGGGCGGATGAGATCGCCGCAAGGTACGGGAAGGTAGCTATCGATGATATAGTGTGGTTCAAGCACCTTTAGTCTGGACAAGAGTATTAACCGTAGATGTATGTATGTCTTGGTGCGGCGATTGATCTTCGTGAGTTACAGAAAAAAGATGAAAGTTTGTGGGAGATTAGATGTAGTTAGCAGTGAGGTAGTGCTGCGATGATGTAGAGTCGCATAATGACATTTGGCCTTTCGGTTTGGCCCGCCCATCCATGGCGGCTGAAAGGGGGATGTTGGTTGCATAACGAGACATGGGGGAGGCGTTAGGTAAGCCCTGGGCAGGGTCCTCAGCCTGCAGGGAGCGGGTTGAATGACGTCCGGTTAAGGGTCTATGTATGGAACAGGCACGGAGTAGTAAGACTGCTAATCGTGCTAATCGATAGAGATTTACCCATGAGCGATGTGCACAGTAGTATCTACATCTCATATATATAAGAAACCATGTAGTTTTGGCCTCATAGCAGAGTTACATGTAGGTAATGTACCTACAGGAGCTTAAGGTCGTGCTGATACACACATTGTCTAAGGTACAGAAAGCTTTGTTTGAGAGACAACCGTTTGTATTAATCGGAGAATTTGATACACACAATTGCAATCGCTTCCTCTTTATACAACCTACCCTATGTAGGATTAAGACATCCAGGGTGCAAAGACCATTGTCTGGCAAGTTTCACCTTTGCTATTATATTGTACCATCATTCCCATCTCAGCTCCAGTACGTGTAGACTCTCGAGATCTCTTATAACCACGTTCCAGTGATCAGAACGGTAAGGCAAATAATAAACTGCAGAAATCTACCAATCCTCGCGGTCCGTTTCCGGAGAATCAACCACCGTGTCTGTCAACGCGTAGGATTCCTTGGCGGCAACACACCCAACGCGACACAACAACGCCTTTCCCCAACCCAACCTCTCCCCTTTGAACAAGCGTGTTGGCCTCCAATCTCCAATTCTTCAATTCTCAGCCAGCCAGAGTCGGACTATCTACACCCTTCCCTTCCCTTCCCTCCCCACCCCCCTCCACCCCCCACCGAGTCAAAATACCCCACTGGCCCATAAATAAAAAAAATTAGAACCACTACCGCCTACCACCACCATCTAGCTCCTGCTACCTGCTCGCGCGCCCTATAATGCCGCCAAAGCCCGCCCCCAGGCTGCGAAAGACGATCGCAAAAACCCCCGTCCGCACAAAGCCCCTCAAATCCACCGCTAATTCTGCATCGGCCCGCTCTCTCCGACGTGGTTCAAGTACGTACTCATCCTCCAGGCAAAGAGGAAGAGGGAGGAATAGAAATTGACTGAAATAAAACAACACTAGTTCGTGCTGGTGATCCTGTCCCCGCCAACATCCGTGGTGGTGCACCTCGCCGTTGGCGCCCTGGAACAAAGGCGCTACGCGAGATTCGTCAATACCAGAAAAGCACTGAGCTCCTGCTGAGAAAGCTCCCATTTGCTCGCCTCGTATGTCCCCATTCCTGCATACCACTGAGTTGATCGAGCAAACTGCTAAACAAAATGGAGTAGGTTCGTGAGATTGCTCAAGATTACACCAACGCGGCACATCTTGGGGGTCTCGGCGGTGGAGGAGTCGATTACCTCCGTTGGCAAAGCACCGCGATACAGGCGCTTCAAGAGGCTGCTGAAGCATACCTCGTGCATTTGTTTGAAGACACCAACCTGCTTGCAATCCATGCCAAGAGGGTCACCATAATGCAAAAAGACATACAGCTGGCGCGAAGGATCAGGGGCGCATGGGGAGGGTTAGGTTAGAAAGAGAAGGGTGAGATATCCTGATTCTGGCGAGCTGTGGGGAATACATATCGTTCTTTGGTGTTTGGTTCTTTTTTTTTTCTTTCTTTCCTTCTCTCTTTCTCTCTCGTCTTGATTCTTCTTTCTCCAATGCAATCTCTGTAAGGAGCGGTTTTTTTTGGGCGGAAATGTAAATTACATGTATGTCCTTTTTTTGTATGTGTTTTCCCCATGATCGACTTGACTTGACTCGGTGATCTCTCTTCTTTGGAACTCCGTGGAAAATGCTTGCTGTTGATTTTGTTTATTTCCTCGTGTGTGTTGTGTGTGTGGTATGACTATTTTTGCAAGAAGATATGAATTGGTTTATATACGTGTAAGAAGTCCGAATTTCTTATCATAACCAACATATTGTTTGCAGTGCTTTTCCTACTTCGTAGAAATATGCAATCAGTATCATTGACCTTCGAGTGATGATGTGTGATTCTATTGCTGGGTGTAGACTATTATGACTGTAATCTAGCGATACGTCATCTTGCTAACTCGTATGTAGCCGGAAAATCTTGCCGCTATAAGCATCCCTAGCCTAGCACGCACAAATTAGCGATTACATGTAATTAAGCTTGACAAAGATACATGTACCTAATGACAAAAAAACAGCTTTTACTTTCGCGTAGAATAGTCAGTGTGGTGGAATAAAGATTCTTAGGCAGATGGGGTGATAGGTACATGTATATGTACACTGTATATTTCTAGGATGAACCCCAACCTGCTCAGAAATGTCACTACAAAATACAAAGTTCCACCCTCTTGGCTATCTGCCTCTCTCTCTGGGAACCTATTATTAGAGTGTTTAATGTTTACTGTAGTTAGACCAGGGAAGAGGAAAGAAAGACCTCAACTCATCGCTTAGTTATGCATAAGGTTGACCGAAGCCATGGAAGAATCGATATAAGAATACGTTTTCTTGTACAGGTTCTGCATGAAACTGTGTAAACGGCGTGCGATAAACAAAAAGCAGCTCTTTTCGAACCTTATACTTAAACGTGTTGAGCTCATGACAAAAATCCGAGCCTATTCCAGTCTTCATCGGGCCGGCCAGAAAGTCCGCGTCCAATAGATATGTCAAGAGGCGGTTTTAGATCTCGGGGGTAGCTCAAGCTCTTAGACTTAGATATGTATATCGAGTCTCTCTTCTTCTAAGTGGCTGAACGAAGCTTTAAGCTCTAGTATGTATATCGAGTCTCTCTTCTTCTAAATAGCTGAATGAAGCTTTAAGCTCTAGTATTAGGTTGAGCCAAACTTCTAGGTCATATTTTAGGCCATTTGAACTTATATGAAACAAAATTCCGTCTAGACATGTAAAAGTTATGTATGGCCGGCTCTCTTTATAAGGATAGAAAATTCGGGACCCGACACGCTGTTTCTCCCTCCATTTTCTCCGCCCCCTTTATTCCTTATATTGGTATTGTGGGTTGACAAAAGTTCTCGTGATTTTATACGTCGAGGATGGATCATGAAATGATTATAACGCCACAACTGCGAAAGATACATGTACGGAAGGCCGGGATAATTAGGTGATTAGAAAGCTGAAGATTGATAGAACATAATTCCTAGGTATGAATCCTGATTACCGACTTTGTGAATTAGTATTTTGGGCTATTTCTGCTGGCCGCTATGCGAAAATCATGAGAGCTTTTGTCAACCCACAACAGATATCTAATAAGTATATAATTATAACCTGTATATGCAATGTGCTTTTATAGTCTTCTGATTGGTTCATTGAGAGATGTTTTTGTTTCACTTGAAACATGTTGTGTTGGATATTAACATAGGGTATTGTGCTGAGCGGTGTTAGAGTGTTAATAGGGTTGCTACTGGTTCTGGGAATCGATAGTGGTTCGATTTTAGCGGTTTGGTAGCTGTTAAAGGGATATACCTGTAGTTTTAACTGGAGAAATTGTCTGACTTATCCATTGATATATGGGGATAATATATCAGAAAAGTCACATATTGACCAGATCAGATCTAGATATAGTGATGGACTTTGCCTGCCAGGCAAATAGACAAATAAGCCGCAAAGCGGCTTGCCTGTATATTGGACTGATTGATATACATATAGTACCGGCCGAAGGCCGGAAACTACTTGTATCTCTAATAAGGATATAACATTTTTGGCCTTGGCCATATATTCTTATAACGGATGTCATCCATACTTGTAGTTTCGATGAGTTTTGGCGTTGGTAGACGGTTTTTCTTTGAATTCCTCCAATTAGCACACGTACACATGTATGTATGAGCTTCCTATGATATATCAACAGCTGCCAAACATCATATAACAGCGGATGGGTTTCACCGGCCTTGTCTCCTTGAATCGATTAAGTCTGGCTTATATATACACCTACGCCCGGTACTTTAAGAAGCCCCCCACTTTCTCTCCCCTTCCATCACCCCCACCCATCTTAATTCTCTTCAACCATCCATACAACCCGGCCTATCAACAGATGTAACGCGAAGAGGCTGGATTATTAGAGAGCTTTAGCTACTCGAGTTAGACAGGAAGTCGAGCACTCGTTCAAGAGCCTGGCCTGCATCTCTTATTGGCTGCATCCTTGCAAGTCCTACCTTTTCGACTTATTATTCAACCCGCGCAACTCAAAATCACAAATTGAGCTCTTTGCGGTATTGATGGGCCAGAAGATGATCTCGTCGTTGCCTCATATATATGCCTTTAATCACCTCGCGACTAGTTCCGGGGATTACTAATTCCCCAGCAACAGCTCATCATGGACAAGTCAATCCACAGTGTCTCCACTTCCTGCTAGAAGTACGTACATGTCAGAGTTCAATAGGGCCTTTAAGAAGAGCCTAATTCCTTGCAGTCAAGCTGCCAATTGGTCTTAAAACTCTTAAACTCGCGGCCTAATCCGTACACACACCTCACCTGGTTGGATAATATTGTTGCTTTTTATGAATCCATCCAAAAACAACTTATTATCTATTCAGATATTAGCTGGCTAGCTTTTGAAATATAGCCAATACTGCTTATGAGTACATTAGAGAATACGGGCAACGGTTTCACTAGCAGAATCTTCTTTGACGAGGGTCAAGATCTACTACATGTAGACATACAACACTAACAGCAGTTGGACATACGTTTTCTCTCTTTTGCATACACATTTAAGCTTAGCCTGGTCAGGTTAAATCGTAGGCCGAATTCTCAAGTTTACATGGATCCACAATTTTATCGAATTTCCTTCCTTGGTCCAAGATTTAAGTATGATTTACACCATTGAGTAGGAACCGGCGCCACAAATTCTCCTTTGCTTCATAAGTCTTCTAGGTATTCACTTATGAGCTGGGCCGCACCGACCCAAATCAACTGAACCGGACGTGGTAGGTGCAGGGCGAGACTACAATAAAAGCAATCATAAGTCCCTCAGCTGACGAGACAAGCTTTAGCGAGATCAAAGGTCTTATATCTCATGATCCCGAAAACCAGAGACTCGCTTGAAAGCTTGGCTCTAAACCGGCTTATGAAAAATCTGCAAGTCACGAGTTTTAACTATCCAATGTTTCCCATGTTCTGATATTATAAAATAATACCTAGGCCTGGTAGGGGTTTGAAACCAGGCGATGTTCTACACAACTTAGAATAAGATTGGATTGGATCGGATCTTTACCTCCCTTTACGTTACATTGGACTGGGCTGAATCAGACTGGTTGGCAAAAAGTTGCTTCTTACCTAACTGGCTAGTCGATGTACCGGTGCCAGAACTGACTGGCATGCATATGAGCAACCATACCTGATCCTACGCAGCAAAGCAGGACTCTACTGGTCCGATGCCTAGGATTATATTTGATGAGCAATGATTTTCGAATCTTTATACTCCCTTTACCTGTCGAGTGAGTTCCCTACCTGTATCCACCGAGCATATCGCATACAAATAATCCTTGGCCGCGGATTTGGCGCCAGTTTGTGCGTATTATAAGAAGCTAATACTCAATTCGTAGGGAACTCTCTCTCGATACGTCTTGCGGGACCCTTGTGCCACGATCGACAAAATAGTTTCTAGAGAGACTTTGCTTTTCTATCTTTGCCAGCAGGTCTGTCTCCCTTGGACATGAATACGATGCAAAACAGCAAACTATTCTGTTAAACAGAAGAAAGCATAGTTGTTTCTAGTCTAATGAAACTAACGTTTCAGCTTAATCCTTCTACTGCAAAGTTCGTGGCGGCTGAATTCACTTCACAATATATCACTCGGCCCTCAAGCTCCCACCAAAAAAAAGAGCCGGCGTCAGTACCGAGATTTCACGTGTGGATCTGGTTCAGGCAAAAAGAGCTGTCATGCATTAACAAGAACACATACGTCATATTCATAGCCACGCGGCACAGTTAACACTAAAACTGCACTGTTGATCAGTACATGTAGGCGGTCCTCATGACTTCTGTCTTGAGGGCCACATACAGTATTACTAAATCACATCACCGAGGACCCGTAATCCAAATCACACAGCCAAACAGATATGGCATTTACTATCGGTGACCTGTCAGTTTGTGGATCCGGCGCGTGTGCCTCAATTCGGTATCCTTCTAATCACTGTACGGACTGGTAGATAATCAGATCTACGTAGCATTGGTTCAGACATGGGCTTTCAACAATAATTTTTTATGGTAGAGTCTATCAATCATGAAGTAAAGATGCTTGCGTACTCTTCTACTTATGTGACATGCTTAATTAAGGCTATCTACGGAAGGGCACTCTAGACCCCACGTCAACCACGTAAGATCCCAGTATGTAGGGAGTCATAAGTGATTGGTTTCGGTTGCTGGAGCAGTGCAATTACTTGGTCAACGTATTTGAGGTATCCAAAATGTGAGGAGATAGATTGGCTCAGCTGGCCTGGAACTCACGCACAGTTCATCCCATTCTGAGTACTCGTTTTGTAGGTATGTAGAGAAGCATTGATTATTTAACAGTCTAATCAAACCACAAGATATTTCTTTCTTCTAAGCCAAGAACAACGTGTACCTCCATATAAGCTCTTTGATTGGTTCTTGCCAGTTGAAGAAACCTTCAAGACCCGCGCCACATTATGTGTCACACCAATTGGGCGACCGGGATATATTCCATAGCAAAGCGATGTGAGAGCTCATAAACAGACATCCGGTTGAAATGGTTACTGACTCGAGCTCGATTACTCCTTTTATCCCTTGCTAAGTTGCCTGACTTAAAGGCAACCCTTTAATTAACCAAATTGCAAACCCGAAATTATTAGAGTATTAAGAGCCCATGCTTATGATGGTGCTATACTTCTCCCATTTATCATGTAAACTCTACAGAGTTTGTAAATTCCACAGCTTCTATAGTGGAAACATGGTAAGAATTCTGCAGAACTATGACTACATAGATTTTGCTTCATTCATCTGGGTAGAGTTTGAATACTTTTGTAAGTTTATATAAGTATCCCCCAAAATATATATATCCAAGAGCCCTTTACCCGTCACGCATAACGGCCATATGGCGACATCTTCGAGGTGGTGTATTTTAACGCATAGTATTTCTCCTGCAAGTCGTTCCACATAATAACCCGTCCAACTTTGAGATATGTTTATATGCAACATATTCCATTAAACTCCATTTTTGCTTGAACTGTGACGCCCCCTCCCGTTTCAAGCCAGTGTGTTCGTGCAGCCGCATTACATGTAACTTTTTCCTCGATCCTCCTGAATTAAGGAGAAAAATGGGAAATAGATCGCAATATAGTTTTTTTTAACAAGCCCACATGTCAATGGTAAGATCCCACTAGTAGGTACATGCCGTCATTCATAAAGGGAATCCACCGCTGAGTGTATACACCTCTCCAGGCCTTTTTTTTTAAAGATCTCGCAGCCCAGACCCAGCAGACCGGTAAATTCCCTGCGGGCCCCTGCCTCCTCTGCTACCCTTCCTGGTTGAAGCATCTTTAACAGAGGATGCAACACTGCATAGCCGTTACCGCTCCCACCCCTCCTCTTCCCTCCCCCCCCCCCCCCCCCCACCTTTCCTTCCTCCCGGAGTGCAGTAGGCACTTTCCTGAAATATCAACGACCTTGTCCACGAGGGCATTAATTGCGTATGAGAGTACAAACATGGGGAGTACTGGTATGTAGATACCGTTTCGAGTCTTGAACTGGACCAAACGGGGGATGGGAGGGGGCGTAAAGGATGAGGGACACTGTCGTGCCCTACACTCGGTACCTACACGTTGTAGATAGAGGATAGTGTATGGCAAAATCGTTGGTACATGTAGGTGAGGGGGCGGGGCCGTGAGCAACCCAGGAAACTATATATTCCCAGGTCTTCGATTAAAATCCCCCCGAATAGTCAATTGATAGGAATCATGCATATGTAAAGGTTTACTCCATAACAGACAAGAGTTAAAGGTTATCAACTCAAGTTATAGGATGTTGGATATATACGGTAGAAACATTGCTATAGCATAGACTTATTTATTAGTACATATATATAGTCTTGCATGCATCGTCATTACCACAACGGTACGTATGTATGTACATGTAACTAGAGGGCTTGATGAAGGTGAAACAAAAATTGGTACAGTCTTTAACCAGATGATGATGGGCACTAAGTAGGCGTTGGCGGACTAAACCAAAAAGAGGGAAAGAGAGCAGCCAAGCTCTTTTCGTTGGCTTAATTAAACTCACTGTCCGCCAACACGGTCCAGTGTCCATTAACACCCCATAAACGACAGTACATTCTAGCCGTCTCATCCACTAAATCAGTACCGATCAATAACAATGTTACAACTAAATCGAGTCCGTACGATCCTTCAAGAGTGGTTTGTTATTGTCCAATAGTAACGTATCATTGGTGTCGAGGAAGATAGCCGAAAGTCGCTCAAATACCTTGTGTCAATTTAAGTATATGTATACTTACTCACGGTACCATACTTAAAGATAAAGACCCAACCACCCTCCCAGAAGCTAAGAATATTTGTTCTATTGCACTAGTATCTACTCTAGTAAATTTGAGGAAAACTCCATGCCACAAATTATTAATGCCGTGAACTCCCTCCGTTATCAAACTCAACTAATAGTCCAAAGTAAAAATCTAGCATAACACCTGTATTTATCCACCCTCGCCCAGCAGAAGAGTCCAGAGACTTACTAGGCACGGGCAAGATATAAATCATCCAGAACAATTGAAAGCCCTAAGGGACATAAACTCCCTTGGGGTTAGTGTGGGGGACTGGAATTCTCTTGGATCTATTGTTATAGCTCTCGGGGATAATCTATTTTATTATATCAGCAGCCATTTCCTTATCTTTAGAAAAAAAAGAAAAGAAAAAACAGGCATCGTGACTCACCTCAACAATCTCATTCCTCGGGAATCTCAAAGTAGGGATGTCAGAGGTTGAACAGGCCATAAGGTATCCGTAAAGAACCCTCAATACGCTCTCATGAGCAATAATAAGGAGATCATTCTTTTCCCTTTCAAGTTCGAGGATGATGGGTTCCATACGAACGGCAAGATCGTGATAACTCTACAAGGTTTATAGTAAGTGTCATGAAGGTAATTTCATAGCAGCATAAAACCATACCTCGCCCCTAGGGAATCTGTGATGATAAGGGTCCACCTGATGTCTCTCCCATTCATCAGGATACTTCGCCCGAATCTGCCTCTCTGTCATTCTTTCAACATCTCCTGGGTTAAGTTGGCTCATTTGCGGTCGCTGTTTGACCTTGAATCCACTTTCCTGCAAGTATGTTGCAGTCGCAACGGTCCTACGTCTGGTGCTAGTCCAAACCGTGAGTGGTTTAAGCTCCTCTGGGCTTCCTCCATTGGCAATAAAGGCTTCCCTCTCTTTGTTTCTATTTTCTAGTAATGCCTCGCCAAGGCGCTTAGCATACCCAACGCCCTCTTCACAGAGGTCGCCATCAGCTTTATAGGAGTCATCCTGTGAGGAAATTCCTGCCCTTGCAAAGTAAGTCTGGCGAGATTTGATATGCAGGTTCATCAAATAAAAAACAATCCTATTTGGAAGATATCCAAAACGGCAGTTGTTGACAATTATCCGTTCCCCTGCATTGATCATCTAATATCACTCGGTATTAAGCTCTGGGCAATATCAGGCCAACCGAGACTACGAACCTTGATATAATTCAACTCCTTTTCCTCCATCGTTTCGAAATGGGGAATCTTTGCGTTCATTCGAGCTATATAGTCTTTGACAGCATCTTTTTGGTCCCAACCTTGGTACTATTACAGATAAGTATCATTCTGCACTATCTTACTCTTGTAATGAAAGGGTATACTAACATCAGGTGAAGATATCTTGACACTTCGAACATTTTCCTCGATAATTTTTGGATTATCGACGTATGATTCAATAAAGATTGTCTTGAAAACACGAGTTTGTCAATATGGATATATGGAATAGAGGGATAGTACCAGTTATATCACAAAACCCGCATACCTGGATATCATGCTTCATGAATTCTTTTGCGAGCTGCTTACGCCCCATAGAGGTAGGGTTGACTGCATCATAGATCGCCACTTGGCCCATCTCATGGTCCAAGAAATGGTACAAGTCAAGTCTACATTTCTGGAGGATAGTTTGCCGCAATTTGACCGAAGAGGGCGTCGCTACAGAAAAAACATTTGTTAGTATAATGAGGTATTAATCTAAATTCGTCGTCGGCAGTTGAAACAAAATGGAGAGGGTGTCATTATTGTGCTAATGCATAGAGTATGTGCAGATATCAGAAAGTGACGACACATAGCAGTGGCCTGCGTATAGTCGGCATACCTAGCGAATAGGCATAAAGAAAATAATCAGGGATTCTGCATGTGGAGCCTCACCGTCAATGAAAAAGTAGTCATGTGGGACATCAGTTCCTGGGCCCATGTGCGCACGACGATAATCACCAAGATGGAATGCACGGGTTTTCACACCCAACCTACAATGCACACCTTTAAGCACAAATACACAAAATCCACGAGCTTTCGGTCAGACTTACCACCGTAGATATCTAGAGAGGGCCACAGAGACATGGCTAGATATAACTTCAATTGTCAACCTTCACTTTGCCCTTTTCCACTTGCACGTCGATTCTCGATAGGTTGGAAATGACAAGAACGCACGTTTTTCCTCTGGCCGGTAAACCAACGGTTACTATTGCAATCTTTCCGGAGTGAAATAACCTTCCAGACTCCGTTGAATATAACTGAGCCGGGGCCATCTCGCTGTCGAGCGGAATATTGTGTATCGCATCGATGTCGATATTGGATTTGCGACGCAAAAGGGAGTTTCCAGTACCATCACTGGCACTATAATCGTAATCAGACGCAAAATCAAACCAATCTACAGTTAGAGTCATGATTCAACGGAGTATCTTTCAGTGGATAATAATACAAGGGACAAAGACGGCTACGAGAGGATGAGAAGACATTGTGAAAGAACCTCAGGAGAGCGAGAAGGGGGATACAAAAGGAAAAGGGAGCGGTACGAGAGATATGATTTAGTTGCGGCAGCCATGATTTTTTGTATTCAGTGGACGAATGAAGATGTCAATATCCACCACGAGGTGGGTGAGCGGGTCGCGAGAATGAGAAGATAGCGATAAACGGGATGACAACGATGAAGCGAGGTGTTTTAACTATGTGCTATGTGCACCCGAAAGGAAGAGAGAATCACCTCAGTCCTTTGCCCAAAAATAGGGATAAAGGCAAAGAGCTATGTAATGTGGTAGGGTAGTAAGTATTGAATGAGTGCACGAGAGAGAAGACGGAACGGAATATCTGTGATAAGAGAGAATCGACAGAATTGCTTTTTGGGGGCATGTAGGCGGAAACGTAGCATGTATATAGCTCTTTACATACGTATTGTTTTGATAGCTGTACCTATCTGAACCCATATTCTAGAGGTGTCTGGGCACGGGGTAGCTTGCTACGAATCCCAGGTTATCTCTGGCTGCTACTGCCGTAGAGTTTGTAACTTTATTCACTTTACTCTTCCCCGCGCACCCGGGCCGAACATTAAAATGTGGCCCCGCTGCGGCTCTTGTTACGTAATTTCGCTGTGCCATTTTTGAACGTCGTTAGACAAGCCAACGACGTCAAGAGTTCCCCTCCCCGTGCCCAGTAATTCTCCCGTCGACCGGAAACTGCAGCACTGGAAAACGAGAATTCACTGAGCAAAGCAAAGGAAACGACTAAAAAAATAACAAGCCGTCGCAAAAAAAGTTACGTCGACATACGGCTCGCTTCGTCAACCACCTCATTATCAACCTCCATTAGTGTCCTACGTCGGCCTTTTGCTTCGATATCAGTTTCATCAATCCAATCCTTTAGAATTATCGACCTCGGAGGGCTTTTCTCTGAGGAAACCACTTCGCTCCCCTTCTCGCTCAACCCCGCAATTTTTTCTTCAAACACCCCGCCGCGATGTCACTCATCATGGATAAAACTATGCTCCCTTCGTTTGTGACCGAAAACCCGATTACACACGCAATTTCTACGCTCTCTGAGAATTTCCACGAACGAAGAGCAACTCTCGGTTTGACGAACCCGGGAACTATCGAAAATATCTCACGTGAGGCTCTGAAAGATGTATTCTTGAACAACTTTCTTTTTTCGGGCATGCGTGCCGATCTTTCGAAGAGTTTCAGCATGGACCCAATATTCCAGACCTCGCATTCGTTTGCCATGGGCGCCCAGGGAATTCCGCCATACACCTTTGCTGCACTATTTGGAAACAGTAAGGTTAGTCGTTTCTATCATCACCCATGATTTATTTGGGATTCTGCCGGTCTCGGGATATGGAGTGGAGAGAGAACGTATCAAAGCTATTAGTACCATGGGAAAATGCATTAAAACTTTGCTTGGGTTTTTTTTTTTTTTTTTTTTTTTTTTTTGGTTTTGCTTCATCGGGAACTCCATATGGATAGGAGCCTATCTCAAAAAGTTTTCGTGTCACAAAGAATCTTTTACTGATAGAATACCCTCACACTAGACTTTCCTTCAGGCCAATATTGACAATGAGGGTCAACTTTCTGGACGTGCCAATTATCGTTGGACCCCAGCTCTCGTTTCTAAAATTAACGTACAGCTTGCTCCTCCGGCGATGTCTAGCCAATCTGTCTTTACCATGGACACAGAGTACACCGGTGCCGACTTTTCTGCAGGCATCAAGTCTTTCAACCCTTCCCTTCTCGAAGGGACCCTTACTGGAATTTTCATCGGTTCCTACCTCCAATCTGTTACCCCAAATCTTTCACTCGGTCTCGAGTCAGTTTGGCAGCGCCAAGCTGCTTCAGTAGGCCCTGAAACCGCCCTTTCATATGTTGCACGATACGCCACCAAAGATTGGGTTGCTTCTGCGCAATTACAAGCACAAGGTGCGCTCCAGGCTACGTACTGGCGCAGAATCGCGGAGCGGGTTGAAGCTGGTGTGGACTGCCAACTTACTGTTGCTGGAGGGATGGCTAGAAGCGGGGGTGGAATGATGGGTGGTAGTATGAGGAAGGAAGGAGTTACAACAGTCGGTGCCAAATATGAATTCCGGATGTCGACATTTAGGGCACAAGTTGATACTTCCGGGAGGCTCTGTTGCATGCTCGAAAAGAGAATCGCACCCACGGTATCATTGACTTTCGTGGGTGATGTGGATCACTTTAAGGTATGTTTATTAAGATCTCTTTGGTTCCCGAATTACAGCCGCCATCATACCCATCATTACCCTGGTGGGTTATGAACACACCACTCCCCCTTGTTCCTCCCTACGTAACAATGTCCCGATTTCCTGCATGTGTTGGACTTAATCGGGTCCAACGTTGTCATCATTCTACCAGGGACTCGATGTCTTACCCCCCTCTATTTTGGTTGAAGATCACCTGCCCTTGCCCTACAAAGCTCTTTGTGCAGAACTTCCCTTGGATTTGTCCACTGGGAATACGCAATCTCCCTCCTGTCTCTTGTTCTGTTAGAGTTTCCTTTCGCGTCGCACCTTTGAGCCATCCTCTTTATCACAAGTGATCACTCCCATGTATTTTCTACATTGCGGTTTAGTACGCAAGGGTCTCTCAGCCTTCCTACACTGGGTCTTCATTTTGAAGGTCAAGTGATTTTGTAGGAAGACGCTTGGACCAGTTACCATGACGGTGGGTACGGAAGCTAACTTGGTTTTGAACCCCTGCAGAACCAGGCGAAACTTGGATTCTCAGTGTCCATTGAGGCTGCTTCCGAGGGTTTGCAGGAATTGCAGGAACAGGCAGCCGCAGCCGGTACCGGGCCTTCGTCTCCCTCAGTACCATTTTAGTCATTTTCAATATCGAGAAAGTTACGACACCCTCGCATTGTTACTTCTAGCTTCCTAATAATGGATTTTTTCTGGGCGCATAGTCAAAAAAGAATTGGACGACCAAGTCAAACTTTTGGACCCGATATACATCCATTTTTCTGTACCATTTTACGCCTTAACTTTTTGCGTTCATTCATATCTCTCTTTTCAATGTCCATGGTAGAATTTTGCACGTCATAGATGCGGAAATTTCTGTTTGTGGGCCGGCACGTGCGCAAAAGCGCTTTATAAGGTCGCGCTCAACTTTTTCTTTCTTTCTAGCTTGTGTCTATGTACGTGCCTGCAGCGTGAGTTTTTGGCGCAGCGAAGGGATGATTATGTGCATGTATATATACGATTGTATGTTTTCCTTTCGTGCCTTGTGGTAAAAGAAATCGGTGTTGTGTCCTATATTGGTGAGTAAGTCTGTTGGTAAAATCAAAAATGAAATATCATCGAAATAAAGCCTCTGATAATCCAGTGGAACTGGTCACACTCTATTCATGTTCGATCTAAACATGCCGATCCAGATATTACCGTATTTTCTCTACACCTTTATCTTCGGTAACAAGATTCTGTCCGGGCACCGAGAGATATTTCGGGATGTTGGAGAATAGTACGATATTAGGGCAAACCTTAGCACGGCAGCATTGATCCTATATTTTGCATTTCTTCATTTCTTTTTCGTCTTTACCTTTTCGCTTGCTTGGTTGGCACTCAGGAGGATATTCCGATGGACATGCATCATGTATAAATGGGGCTTGTTACGGGATCAAGATGGAGCGGCAGCGATTGCAGCCCCCTTGGGTTGATTTCTTTGGGCCCCGGCGAGACAGGTGGGCAGGTGATCACTCTGATCACCCTTCGCAATCTGCAGCCGGGAAAATTACCATTGGCAAGAAGAGGCGGTTCATGCAGGACACAGTTATGCAATCCTTGCCTACTGACGACGAACGACCACCAATCTACACATGTGGGGTTTCTTCGTTTGATTTTTTTTACTCTATCCACAACAGCGAGAGTTCTGGTACTGCTACAGAGGGCCCGTCCGTCCTTTTGCATACACTTATACGTATCGCTATTCCTCTTCCTTTTTCCCCTTTCCAATTCACGTTTTCTTTCTCTCTCTTTCTTTCTCTTTTTTTTTTTTTTTTTCGGTGTGTGGTGCCTGTCCCCCCCCCCCCCCCCCCCCCCCCCCCCCCGCTTGCTTCGCCCTTCTGCTTAGGGGATGAGAAGGTACGGAGGGAGGGTCTGCTGAGTTTTGTGGGCGCCTTTTTCATTTTTCAGAGACAGTTGGCTGCGCGGCGCATACCCTATGTCCGTACTGCGAGATTTCCTTGCGGTATGCGTTTGTTACTGTGTGCGTCGTCGGTCGGCGGGGCATGTTTCTTTCTGTTTCTTTTGCTGCTGGATAGATAGATAGGTAGACATAGATAAGTAGGAAGTAGGTAGAGGATCCGGTCGGACCGGATCGGTAGATTAGCTCCTTTTTGCTACTGTCGGACGGCCGGTCACCACGGGCGGTCAGTGGGTTTTGTACATATGTAATAGAGAGAAAGCAGGCCTAGGTGGGTGCTGTAAAAGAAGCAGCAAGCAGCAAGCAGGAAGCAGTGTAGAAAGAGAACGATATGATACGTTGTTGCCCCATTGCCCCTCTCCCTCTCTTCTTGCTCTCTCCCTCTCCCTCGTGCACAGTACATAACTTGGCACGCAGGCTTGGGAAAAAAAAGCAATCATGTGGCCCACGGGGGGGAAGTGCCCTGGTTGTTTTTCAGTTTGGTCCAAACGTACGTGCGTGGTACGTCCACTTTAAATTGCGCGTCTTCGGGAAGGAACCGCGATTAGCGAGGTGAAGGGTCTATCAGCTAAGCGACGGTGGCTGATCGCCGCTGCACTGATGAGGTGGTGTTGGTTGTGTTGAGCAGCTTTTTCTGGGATCAAGGTACGTCGTTCCGATAAGTAAATGTTTCTTTTTCCCTTTCCCTTTCCCTTTCCCTTTTCCCTCTTTCCCCATTTCTCGTTCGCTCATTCGTGTATGTGAGTGAGTGTGTGTGTGTGTGTGTGTGTTCTAGACGGAACGTTTGGTGAATCTCGGGGTACCAATGGTGGTGCACGCAAGATCTCTTTTGTCTTTTGGCAGCGGGGATCTGCAACAACATGATACGTTTGTAAACAAACGGACTGATTGACTGTCAACTGACGGGCAAAATCAAAGAAAAGAGACTTGTTTCCTTTATTTCATGTGGGACTACCTGCCTATAACACACCTTATGAGACATCATTTGTGCCGGTCGAGGCTCTCTCTCAGCTATGTATTGGATTGACGTGCAGCTGGAATTACAGGCACCAGTTGGCGGGTGGAGTTTGGTTGGTTGGCGACGATCAAGGGCACGCAACCCAAACGCGACCAAGCAATAACCGGGAGAGGACTGTGTGGACGATTTACCTCGATATGAGATGAACTCGTGCAGGGGAACGTCCTTGATTGGCCCCGTACAGGAATGATACCTACTCGGAACCACGGCCGGCTCTGACTGTTATTCATCGTTTATGTAAAGGCATCTTTCGACTACCTACCGTTGAAGAAGAAGAAGGAGGCTTAATGGGGAGAGGCGGAAAGTAAAGCAAAACATAGAAATATAACCAGTCATCAGTTTTGATCTATCTTATATCGCACGGTCTTTTATCAAAGTTACACCTCTAGGGTTCTATTACCTTGAGTGAGATGCATTTGAACGCTCGCACCACGCCTGTATGTGGGCATATGACTTGACATTTGGTGATGGTAAGTACATGAGGTATGCAGAGTTAGATGTAGTAGGGTAAAGATAGGTCGGCATGCATTTGAGAGACTGTCACTGTACAAGCAGGTATGTAGCACATACTAACAATAACTTATTTAGACGGGAATCGACTTTTTCAAATCGAATCAATGGGAATACCTGGCCGTTTCCACGAAAGAAAAAAGGGACAATTTTGATTGCCGCTGCTGCCACTCGGAGTCGGTCGGTTGGCCTTAGCGGGAGCCATGGGAGGGGGACAGCGTGACGACTTTTGCGCTTTCTCGCGCGGTTGGAATAAAGCTAGCGTGGTCCTGGTTGGTCCCGTGCGGGGTCTGGCGTTAGTTTAATCCCCGTCGCTGTATGGAGGACCTGTGTGTCGTCATGCTCAGACATCCAGGACCCCTGAAAACGGCCAAGCGTTCAAAGAAGCTGACTTGACAGGCGGACACCAGACAGAGACAGAGTGCACGAGGGAGGGGACCCGGTACGTAGGGACAGTCCAGCCACACGGCCGGGAACGAGATTTCGATGTCTGTGGCATCATGGTTCTGGGACGACTCAATTGATGTATGGTGGATCGACATACCGACGACGGGGAGAGGGCCAGGGAAAGAAAAAAAAAAAAAGAAAAAAAAGTAAATGGGTGATAGCAAATAATCTGGTTATGCTTTTTCGATTTTCCTTCCCCGGAACCCATTCGCGGAGGACGATAACCGTGCTACAAGTGAACCGTTGAAAAATCCGCGCGGACGCAGAGAGGCAGGCAGGTAGACAGGTAGACGGACAGATGTGTGTGAAGTCGAGAAGTGAGATTTTATGCAAATCCCTTCAAGGATAGGGATAAATAATTGTTTTGCAGTTCAAAGACGGGCTGGTGCAGGTAAAGAAATGCGTGTATCTATTTTCATGTCGCAGGGTGGATTAGGAGTCCGAAGGGAATGGTTTTGAGACGTTCAATATTACTTACACCTCTTGCTCTCCTCTAGTGCCATCCAGCTCTTAAATGTCTATCGAGAGAGGAACAGAGGCTCCTCTTCTGCGTCCTGTCTCTATGGCCGTGAATATCATAAAATCCTTTGATTTGATGACGGCATTGAGGCTGGGTGCACTGGTAAGATAAATAATGTATTCTACTCTAAAAGAGGAGGGCGAAGGCGTTGTTCGATTAAGATAGAATCTTGATGGATGGGTACGCTAAAACGGGCGCGTGACACTCCACGAATGCACATCCAACTTTGTCTCCGTGGACCGTGTCCCCCCTCCCTCTCCAAAACAGCGTCAGAAGATTATTTGAAAATGACGGTCCATTTGAAGAAATTTCCCAGCTCCCCACTGGTACCGACTAGACGTGGGCTTGCATCTCTCGTGATTGGTTACAAGGAAACGTTTGAGCCTGTTTGGGCTGTGTGATCTCGTCTTGTGTATGCAGACTGTTTTCCTCGAGTCGTCCCTCTGATTAACGGTGATATCTCTTGACGCATATGGATTTTGAGCAAGCTGATGCTTGTATTAGTAGAGCAGCGATCTCTCAATAGATACCCTGGGCTTGTTTTGTCTTGTCTGGGTCAGTCAACTTCTTGCTTAATTTTTTTTATTTTTTTTTAAACTTCGCCTGTTTTGGATCTCTTTACTTAGTTGCTTGATTGATTGAACAGCGACGCAGTCAGTCAGTCAGTAGGCTAGACGAATCAATCAGATCATCTGGGTCACCGCCGCCCAATCCATTATCAGACAGCCCCAATTTGCCTCCTGGCGCCCATTTTCTCTCTTCTTTCTTTTCCAGCTTTCATGATTTCCTTTCTTTGCCTATTCTCGTGCACTTTGAATTCACCCTGGTAATCTTTTTTGATTGTAGTTATTTATTATTCAACTGTCGCGAGATTTGAGATTCGACGCACAATACTTTCGGAAGCTTTCCTCAGTCGAAAAACCCTTGCATGCAGTCGAGTCCAGGTCCCCACTATCCGCAACAAGAAGCAAGCAAGCAACGTTGTTGACCCCTCTCTGCTGCCCACCAATACATCACAACCACATCCGGCACTCAAGAAGTCCAAACTCTATCCGACACTAAAAGTCCTCCAAAATCCACCCGCCTTTCTCCTCTCTCGCCTGCGCAGAGCCCTGATCCACCTGCCAACCCCCCCCTCCTTCTCTTCCTTCTTCTCCTGCTCTCCTTCTTCATCCATTATCGTCAATTCATCACTATCGTCGCTACCTCTTACTCACCTTCTCTCTTACACCGTTCTCTTCTCTCTTTCTTCCCAACCCAATCCCCTTCCGTCAACCCCGCCAAACACCCTCCTCTTCACCCCACCACCACAAAACTCATTACCACAGGTCATCATCACAACCCATTATCAAGATAACCCATCCCCTTCTGTCAACAAATCCCTTCCGCTCTCACGTCCCTGTCGTCGCTGCTGTCGACTAAAGTTACCTCACTTGCTCATCTCGATACTTGGACGTGTTGCGTAACTTTCCATCCACTGTCTCGACCATCTCTGTATGTCCCCTTGATTTATTTATCCATCCCCCCCAAAATAAACTCAAGATCTTCCCCTGTGTTTTCAGGGTCTTCTCTCCTCTTAACCCTCTTAATCATCTATTGTTAACGTAACCCGCTAATCTGCCAAACTAGCCAGCACATTCCTTGCGCCACCTAACCTTCACACTACCAGTGTCCGTGTGCAAATCATCAACCTCAGTTCTTAACCTCAACAGCTCATCACCTCCATCCTCTTCCATCCTTTACTTCAATCGTACGCTAGATTTCGAGATTCATTCTCAGTTATAAAGCTTTTGAGGTTGGAACTGCTGGTCGTTGGAGTACTCGCTACTCATCGGCTCGGTGTTGGATCACTGTCTGGTTTTCCGTCTTTGTTGAGCGTCTTTCTTTCGTGGTTCTGCTGGTGTTCGCTGGCTGTTTAGCCTTGTCTATTTCACACATCATCTTAATCGTTCCCATCAGTACGGCCGTTTCCTCAATTATTATATCCTTCAACCTTCATCCTCGGCATTTTCCTTTTTCACGGTAGTTGTCATAATGTCCCAAAACAGACCTGCTGCCTTCTCTGGCCTGCGAATGGGAGGCAAGTCAATCAATTCTTATTCATTCTCGCATATCCTTCGTGGCATATGTGTTATATTCTTACTAACCTTCATGCACAGAGGTCATTCGGGAAAAAGTGCAGGATGGCTTGACAGGGGAGACAAGAGAGATGCAGTATACACAATGTAAGATTGTGGGGAACGGTTCTTTTGGAGTGGTGTTTCAAACAAAACTATCACCCAACGGCGATGATGCCGCAATCAAGCGTGTATTGCAAGATAAACGGTTCAAGGTTGGTACTTCAATGAAGCAGAGCAGTGTATTCGATACCTTCTAACATATACGACACTTCAGAACCGTGAGTTGCAAATCATGCGCATCGTGCGGCACCCAAATATTGTTGAGCTCAAAGCCTTCTATTATTCGAATGGCGAGCGGGTGAGTGCGAGTGCTCTCATAACTCCCTTCTTTAATAGTTCCTGTTGATAGCTAACTGTTTTGTAGAAAGACGAGGTCTACCTCAACCTTGTCTTGGAGTTTGTTCCAGAGACAGTTTACCGGGCCTCAAGATACTTCAACAAGATGAAGACTACGATGCCCATATTAGAAGTAAAGCTTTACATCTACCAGCTTTTCCGATCTCTTGCATACATTCACTCGCAGGGAATCTGCCATCGAGACATCAAGCCCCAGAATCTCCTGCTCGACCCTGCATCAGGTGTTTTGAAGCTGTGTGACTTCGGTAGCGCGAAGATCTTGGTCGAGAACGAGCCCAATGTCTCGTACATTTGCTCGCGGTATTATCGTGCTCCTGAGTTGATATTCGGTGCTACGAACTATACTCCCAAAATCGGTACGGATAACCCTTTTACACTGGTTTGTGAAACGTTTCTAACTTAAGGTTTAGACGTATGGTCCACGGGTTGTGTGATGGCGGAACTGATGCTGGGACAGCCGCTTTTCCCTGGAGAATCGGGAATAGATCAGCTAGTCGAGATCATTAAGGTCCTTGGAACCCCAACACGGGAGCAGATCAGGACTATGAACCCGAACTATATGGAGCACAAGTTCCCACAGATCAAGCCACACCCCTTCTCGAAGGTATATAACTTAATTTCTTGTATTGGTGGTATTTATGGACAATGCTCTAATGCCGCTTTAGGTATTCCGCAAAGCTTCAACGGAAGCCATTGATCTTATCTCAAGACTCCTAGAGTACACACCAACACAGCGTCTCTCAGCAATCGAGGCTATGTGCCATCCATTCTTCGATGACTTGCGTGACCCAGCGACCAAATTGCCCGACTCCCGCGGCAGTGGTGGTGTGAGGGATTTGCCCCGTCTATTCGATTTTACTAGGCACGGTATGTTTTGTCTTGCTGGTTTGTATGGAAGATCTTCAATGCTGATAACTTTACAGAGCTCTCTATTTCGCCTGAGCTTAACGAGCGGCTGGTACCGCGTCATGCTCGCCCGGCATTGCTAGCACGTGGCATCGATATTGACAACCTGGTTCCGATGACTAAAGAGGAGATGATGGCCAAACTGGATTGAGAGCATTTATTCCCAACACATATTTCCATTCGTTCAGTTTTTTCTTCAAAAGGCATAACGACGCCAGATGCGACAGCACAAAGGATGGTTTACGATACGATACGGCACATTGGAAATTGGGTGGCATCTTCTTTTTCCGTTAAATGGCTGCTGTGGGCAAAGGTGTAGGAAATGAAAGGCTGTGTTTGCACGGTTGGGATGGCTCTTGGGTGGTGACGACTACCTTTTTTTCGTTTTCTTTTGTATACGGTTTCTCTTCTCTTCTCAAGCAAGCCCTTTGGCTTTTATAAACCACCCAATGTTTAACTACTAGTTCAGAGGTTTTTTTTTCCTTCTTTCTTTCTGAGCTGGCGAGCGAATTCATTAAAAGGTGGATTGCTTTGGTGTTGAGATAGGGTTTCTGGGCGAAAGAGAAGGTCATGGATTACCCACGTGTTCGCCAAACGAAAAAAAAATTCTTAAAAATGGCGTCTTCATTTTCGTTGTTTCATTTTTCATTTTTATTTCTCTTTCTCTTTGGCTCAAAAAAAGGTGCTGGTTATTGCTGGTGGAAGAAAGCATTATGAAGGGGTTAGGGCTAGTATCGCGCTCGATCGATGGCGTGGATCGTTGTTAAGCATCATAGCCAGCTTTCATCTGATGTATCAAGTCAGGCACCTTTGAATGGAACGGGTAACAGAGTAACGTTGGAGAGAGGGGTATTAAATGTTTTTCTATTTTTTCTATTTCATTATTACGGGGGGTGTATGGGTATTCCGCCTGAATTATATTTTGCTCTGTTTTCCTCTTCAGTTTCCTTTTCTCCTGCGTTTCCTTTCCCTGTATTCTAACGAGCTGTCCCTTTTCTCTTGTATTTCTCCGGAAAAGAACGCAACCCATAAATTGCTCATTTATTTTTTAAACAAAAAAGTAGGTGGTGGTGGTGCTAGTGAGAGTTGTTTCATCGGGCATATAACTACATTACAGGCACGCTCCCCTCACTCACTCACAGCTCTCCTCCATCTACCTACATACCCACCCTCGTTTCTCCTCAGCTACTATTTACCGGGTCCCTGATTTTACACCACACCTGTGATCTCCGCTAAGAGCCCGCTTCTCTTTGCTGCAGCAAACCTCGAGGTTACTCAAGTGTTTGGAATCGATAATCATACGTATCCAGCCAGTCGATCTCCTAGTTAAATGTCGCACCAGCAGTGGAGATCGACAATCTGGAGCTGATGGAATGTTCGATTACGTTCAAGTCTCCATCCGTCTCCTCCTCCTCCTCCTCCTCCAACTTGCACAATCTTGACAAAAAAACATGATATACCAGAGGAGAGTGCAAAAGGGCCGCCGAGGAGGAAGGAGGGAGGGAGGGGTGGAAGGGGCGGCGGCGGCGCGGGGAGGGGGGGAGGGGGGGAGGGGGGGTGGATAAGATAGATCTTGGAAGTAACTACTAACTAACTAAGCTACTGCTACTGATAAGTGATCTAGGGTTTGAAAGGGGTGTCAATTATTGTAGATTGACTAACCCAAAAACCCACATGCTGGGAAATTCGCTTGAAACAGTAGACCACAGCAAGCAGGGCTAGTATGCGGTTTTACGTATTGGTCACTGTCGATCCCTTGCTTACATACAACAACTTATCCGGGGGAGGGAGGGAGCCCCCGGGGGGGGGGTATTATCATCGATTAGGAATCTCGGTAATATGATAACCCGTACAAGTAGGAAAACACGTCTGAGACACACCGCATGGAAAACGAAACACCGGCTTCGATCGAGAGACTTGATAGAAAAAATGTGCATATGTAGACCAGAGGGAGAGAGAGGAAAAATAATACGGTTCAAATCACCGCCCCCCCCCCCCCCGGGGGCAAATTCAATTTCATTGGTCACACGCAGCAGGGCCTTCTGTCTGGCTAGACAGGACATAGCTGAGGAAACCTGGATTGTTGGTTTTTTTTTGGGCAAACTGCCATCCATCTAGCTGGGAGTGGATTATCAAATGAAAACAGTTGGATTCATGACATCCAGTTGATATGCTGTATCTGGTGGGCTCTAATAACCAGTGCAACCTATTATATGATGAGTATTCATGTCAGACCCATGTCCATGGAAATTTGATCCCCTCCACCACCCCCCAGCCAGAGCCTGTAATGGGAAGCACAGCATCCATCAGCTCAGCAGCAAGAAAAAAGGGTTTCCACACCGAGGCGCAGGCGGCGGCTCGCGCAGTTCGAGTGAGTGGCTGGATACATGTACCCCAACAGGTGAGTGAGAGAGAGAAAGAGAAAAGAAAAACATCCACGAGCATCATTCTTCCTTCAGGGGGGGCGTGAGATGTTGCAACATGACCCCCTCTAGTAAGCCCAAGCGAACATATCATCATTACACAGGACGGGAAGGAGAACTACACATTCCCGGTGGTAATCAATCATTCTGTACAAATTTAAAAAATAAAAATTCTGCAGCCGGTCACGAATTGGCTTGTTCGTTTTCTATGTAGGTCCTCAGGGAAATAAAAATCCAGCCACATGGTTCATCCATTTTTACAGAATCCAGGTTTTTCTGATGCAGAATTTCCCGAACCTGACTCTTATGCTTGGGGAATCCTTAATTCCAACAAGCGTTTTTTTAAGGTAAGGAGTGCTGCCCTCCTTCCTTAAGACGTCGCCGGTGGTCCCCACTGAGTTATACCGAAGCCTTAAATGTTCGCTCTGGAAGTCCCTGAGGACAATTTTTGTGTTGGAACTATGCGGTAAAGTAATCAATTATTGTGGGCCCCCAAACCACCGAGTGATTAGATATGAACCTCTAGCAATCACGTGGAGGGAAGGAAAGAGGGAGGGGGGTCCTAAATTATAAACCTTGGCCGGAAAAGGGATAGCGGAACCTAAGCAGGGGAAGTTACACGTTGTGAGAGAATACCAGGAAACACAATGAAATGATCTTCTCTGCGCATGCATTACATGGGGCCAATATAACTGCCGCTGTAATTTTTTATTTATTTTCTGGAGACCACAGGGGGGGAGTTTATGCAAAATCATTCGTGACCGGCACTTAATAACTGCACGCGCGATATCCCCAAAGGCCTTCTAGCTAGGGGGGAAAAAAAATCCACGATCCTTGCGATGGTCTCTCCCTCCTACCAAGATGGTGTTGAGGTAATTGGTGAAGCATTAAAGGGATACCCCTGCTGTTGTTGACTCTGTGAAATCACTGGTTTCACAGGATGGGCTAACTACTTAAGCTTCAATGTCATTCTTGAGCAATCATAGGTTTGTGTATTAGTCATACAGGGTCACTCGCACAGGTGCTTAGCTTATCCGGCGTACATACCAGTAGATGAAGAAGCTTCTACCACTTTATGGCCCTAGTTATGGGTGTTTTGTGTGCGCACAGTACTTTAGTGGAGCTTGAAAGACCACTTCAAGTCAAGACCGAAGAAGGCGAGTCGATCCGAACTATAAATAAGGCGCGTAATAGACGTCGTCTCAGCTCAAGAATGCCGTATATGTTCAATTGTTTGATCAGTCTGCTCATACGAGAGGGTATGCAATTTGTTTGTATCGACTGACAATATCAGGCTTTTCCTTGGCATCTCTTGTACTCCCTTGTGGTCTGCGCAAGGGGTGGAATCTAGCCCTAAAAGTATTCTCATTGCGCATTATCCCGAATTATCGAGAAGAAATTGGCTTCTGCGACAAAAGGCGCCATGGTAGTCACCGCCTCATCGATGCAAAATTGAGCGTGAGGAGAAATAAACAACCCGTAATTTTTGAAAGAGAAAAAAAAAAAAAAAAAAAAAAAAGTAAGACGAGTGAGAGCATGTGACTTCCGCCAGTATCTTGTCGGGGAAAAAGGAAATTGATATCAAGAAATGGCCCAGAACACATATGAAGTGCAATTCTTCCCTCTAGTCAGGGACGCCCAGCAATTGTTGCACCATGTGCGTGGCAAGCACTTAGAAACCATCGATGATCGTGCGTCGACATCTGTAAGAACGGTCGAAATCGCATATAGGTTGTTTACTCCATACTTGATCAATAATCAACCAAACCCTTGACTTTGAATCAGCCCACAAGGGAAATGGCCCGGCCAAACAAAAACCATCAGCAGCAGCACCCACTAGGATGTTTCAGCCCAACGACGAGAGGTCAAGGACGACGACGACGACGACGACCAGCCATATCCCATCCAGCCAGCAGTCCAATGGTGTCTTGTCTAGACATCAGGCAAGACGCCATTTCCCATCCCGCTGTTGCATATTGCTGAGCAGATATTCCAAATCAGCCTTTTTTCCGCTGAACAGGCCCAGCGGCAGATGTGGACGCAGCCCCTCCTCCTCCTCCTCCTCTTAATAACACCCTGGGGATTATCAACCGTATCGAGCTGGACATTACCGAATCGGTGATGGGAGAAATGTCTCAGTATCTCAGCAGTTGGTAGAGATCACACGATTCCTTCGAGAAGTTTTCTTTTTCTTTCTTTCTTTCTTTACCTCCCAGCTGGATAACGTACCCGCCACAAAATCGAGATTGAGACCCGCCCCCTTCCGCAGCGGCCTTGTAAGGCACGCCGACGTCATGTATGTAATGTGCGGGACATACATGGTGGGGGAAAAGCAAATAACGGTAGCAATTATAAGGAGATTGTGATTGTGCACTGCATCCATTGGTGCTGTTGTGCTGCTGCGCTTGCTGCTGGTTGGGTTTTCATAAGGTCTGGACAAAACAGCCCGGAGAACCGCGATATGATCTGGGGTGTGTGTGTGTGTGAGTGTGTGTGTGTATGTGCAGTGTGCAGTGTATGTGTGTATGTATGTGTGGAGAATGTGATCGGCTACCGAGTCACGTCGGGATAAGGGGTGTCATCCGTCCGTGGAATGATCTCGTGAAACCATAGAGCTTGTTAACTACATGATGGCCCACTGTACATGTAGGTACGTACGGTCTGTACCACAACCCTTACACGCTTTTGTTTTTAGTCTTGTACCCAAACCCATGGCACGCAGCTTGGTAGTAGGGACTTGGCGTAAGATCATGAAACCTCTACTTTAGTAGAAGCATAAAAAAAAAAAAAAAAAAAAACACTAGAGAGTAATAATTTGCCTGGCCCGTCCGTCCCCGGTACATGTATGTAGTTAGTTATCGCTGCAAAAGAACGATTCTATTTCCCCGATATTTCCTCTCCTCCAGACCCTCATACCCCCCCCCCCCCCCCTTGGCCCTACCCACAGAGCAAAGATACAGACACGGAGATGAGACAGCGATTGATTCGGATCTTGGACAGCCGATCTCTGATGGGTATCGTCATAGCGATTAATCGAGGCAAGATTATAGAGAAAGTCCATAGTGGGAGTGCGCCCCGGTGTCCAATTTAAATACAAAACCCTGTACTGTGAAATCCGTCAGCCGAATACACCTTGTGAGGGCAAACATCCTCTCGGAGATTTGCGCTTGAAGATCGCAGGTCGCAAAAGACAAAGAGGAAGGAAGTTCTGACATGACGGTGGTAGGTGCTTTTCGTTATCAGTTGATAAGACCTTAATATGCCTGATGATCATGTTGATGAGTAAACAGAACGTAAACGGAAACTGATTTACTCTAGCACAAGGTTAGATTAATTAGTAAGATAGGCATAGTAGTATTATTACTTTGTAGTACCGCAAAAACTCACGAACTTTGCTAGCGGATCTGACCAAAAACTAACTTGTAGAGGAAATATCTGAAGCTGATCTCTGCCTTTCAGCCAATCATCAATGAAGAAATCCCTGCACGGAGATAATCAAGTTGGCGAGTTTCTGCGGTACCTGATGAGCTCATCATGAGAAAATAAATAAATAGAAAAAAAATAAAAAAAGAAACCCAAGTGCAGGCACTCGGGATTGAACTTGATAGCAACACCTCGTTTCGATCGAGGGACCTCCGGGTTATGAGCCCGGCGCGCTTCCGCTGCGCCATGTTGCTGTAAAAACTATACTCAACTTTTGCTACTTGGCCCTCCTCGGACACGTGACTCATTCAAAAGTTTTTCTGTTCCGGAACGAGCCGAAAAATAATTAAGGGCGCCGGGCCCCTAGGTGTTAAACAAAGAAGCTAAAGCCTCATGGCGCTCCGTTCATGCTGTGCACATGTCCTACAGAGAGAAACACTAACTGCGAAGGTTGCGATAACCGGACAATAACCTTTTCCTGAAAGACCTGGTCCACCGAGAAGTCAAAATAGTCTTCTGTGACAACTTTCTTGAGTCCTGTGACAGGCCTCTGGGGGTCCGCACCGAAGTGCCTAGAAACTCTTTTATCCGTGGAGGAAGGACCGCCCCCCCCCCCCCCTGTCACAAATGGCCTCCCAAGCACCGAGTGACGCCTGATGAGCGATGAGCGCCCCTTCTCCGGGTAACCTCACAAACCCTAACCCTCGCCAACCCACGACGGTAACACAAGCAAACTTTAAGCCTCACGAAACTTTTCTCCAAGCTCCCACCACCACCGAGTATCCAACCGTCACCCCCCTCCACCAATTAACACCACACCCCCCCACAGCAAATAATCAACAATGGGAACCTCACGCGGCGCCTCCAAGCCCGCCGGCAGCAACTCCAAAACCCTCTCCAAAAGGCCCGGCGGCGCCAAGAAGCCGGGCGCCGCAGGCAACAAGAACAAGAAGCAGGACCTGTCGACGCCGGCGCCGAAGCAGAAGCGCAAGTTCTTGAAGAAGACACACACGACCGCGGGGGTAGCGCAGATTGGGAAGAAGAAGGACCCGAAGAAGAAGCGTGAGGCGGACCTGGCGAGGCTGGAGAAGGAGCTGCCGAAGCTGAATATGATCACGCCCGCGGGCGTAGTCCAGCCGAAGGGGAAGAAGAAGGGGAAGGTGTTTGTAGAGGATAAGGTATGTTGGAAGTCGGATTTGGAGGGGAGGGGGATTGAGGGGAGAGGTGGGGAAGTGGGGGGGAATGGGGCTAATTGGTGGTGTGTGTAGGACAAGATGATGTCGATTCTGCTGAGAGTCAATGATTCGAAGGATGGACAGATTCAGTCTAAGCTTGAGCGCTCGGTATGCCTCTTCGTATTACCATATTAGCTCAATTGCGCTAACACAGTATCACAGCGCAAACTCGAAGAGATCCGCGAAGCCCGCCGCAAAGAAGAGGAGGCGCGCAACGAGCAGAGGAAATCCAAAATGGAGAGTGCAAAAGACGCCATCCGCAACAAGCGCAAACGGAAGAGCGATGAAGACGGCGACAAGGTCAAATCTGCAGCAAAGGCCTACATCCAGAAGAAGTCTGGAGCGAAAAAGGTCGCATTCGCTTGAGACTGAAAAAAAAAAAAAAAAAAAAAGTTATTTATTGTTTTGGGTCCTTTGTTTTTTTCTTCTTCACGTTTTTCTTCTTCTCTTTGTAAAATTGCGTACCTTTACTTTGTATCATATATATCATATGCTTAATGACGTCCTGTGCGGGGAGGGGATTATGGGAGATCAAATCCAAAAAAATAAAAGGCGTTAGGTATCGACAGTACTGAAATTTTGAGTGAAAACACCATGGAAGCACTGCAGGATGTAGCCATAAAGCGAGTCAAAACCATATTTGGAACGAAGCGGTGTACTACTTCCGCATCTTGACACCCTACTTGTGGAACTACTAGTGGGATATTAAAAAGATGGTCAAACGATCATTGACCTCGACACAGCAACAACTGGAACCATCTTTGTCGCCACAAAGCACTGTATCCTCTTCTTGGGGGCCCTTCATTCTGTGTTTCGCCTTCAGAAACCAAATCTCAAACATAAGCCGATCAACGACCAACCGTCGCTGGTGTTGGTCTACATATGCGTGGTAGTGTTCGATACAACCCTAGCCCTAACCAACCGGGGAATGGTGGCTGTCAAGAGACGTCCTCCACCGAGCCGAACAACCGAGAAACATCCTGATATTGCAGAGGAGATTGACAGTTTCCCATTCCCCCAGGAGTTGGATATCAGTGGTCGTATAGTATATCTCCTCCCACTTTGGGGCCAAGCAGTGAAGGCCGGTGTTGTTGGTGGTTCTACAGTCGAATCTCGCTATTGTAATTAGGATGTTGTTTATTAGAGTTACATATCTGTAGACAGAGTTTTATAGACAGGTACATATCTCCATAGACAAAGCTCAACGTACATGCAGCTACATATTTAAGGTTAGGAGTTTACCCCCCTCGCATGTAATATTCCTACCAGAGACCCCAACACACGGTGTCAAGCCTGATAGACAGTCTTCCTCGCGATCGCCAATGATACTTGGGGGGGACGGCATTAAACAATCACTCATCTGTGATGAAGCACTCAATTACAGACTGGACCGCCGGTCCAGGAACTAGGCGGCATAACCCGTCAAATTACTTCCTACGATCATCTGGTTAATTCATATGCTGTAACCATGTTGCCCCGTATCTAGATACCCCGACACCGAAACCCGACGTCTGCACGCAGCGTAGCGTCAATCCGCTCCCACGAATCGGACGTAAGATCAAAAGGCCCGGGAGGAATTTTGCTTTTGCTCAGCCGTTTGATCTGTTGAGAGCTCCGTCTCTCGGGTGGCTTTCGTGGCTTAATTGGTAGACCGATTGGCCTAGCTGCTTCTTCACAGTTGCTCACTCGGACCATCCATCCAGCCAATGACGGTATCTCCTCCCTCTATTATTACCATTTCTTTCCACGCCTCTCTCTAGCTGGGAACTTACACCCAGTAGAAGCCACAGGCGGAGTTTGTTGTAGTTGGAGCTATATACTAATATGGAGATCTAAACCTACGGATATAGGATTCTTCAGAGCATGGCAAACCACCAGGGCCGATGAATTCTCGGTTTACAAAATCCAGCAACAAACCCATAACCTCTACGACCTGGGTGCCGCCAAGGACAGTCAACCCGAGTGACAGCGCATGAACGTGTTTAAATCCAGCCAACAAAGCTGAATGGTCCATCCGACTCCTCCATATCGATACAAGACGCCGCCCAAAACACCCCAGCAAAGGGAAAAAGCCAAGAGCAAAAAGAAAGGAAAAACAGGGAAAAAACAAAGAAGGGCGCAATCCCGGTCTATCTAATCTGGTGGTATCATAACAATAGTAATTTCATCTAGACCTAATATAGTACCTCATGTTAGTTATCCAAGTGAAGAGGGTCAGCGGGACTACATATATACCCACAATACAGCCCAATTACAGCTCTTTGGAGGCATCAGACGCCGATGCGTCCGACTGCATAACCACATCAAAATCCTCGCCATCATGATCCAGCTCCGGAGCCTCGGCCACTCCCGCAACCTCACTATCAAACCTCCTCAAGAACGCCACAATCTACCCCACCTCACACCACATCAGCAACCCCCCTCCACTTTCCAAAGGTCACAACAACAACTTACCACACCAGCAAACCACCTCCCCCCGCCAAGCTCAAACCAGCTCAGATGCCCGCCCACGCCCGTCGTGACCATGACGCACCACGGCGTCGCGCGCACCTCCTCGTACGGCGCCGCCTCGTCGCACGCAATCGGGTCGTCGCGCGCGTGGATGATGGGCGTCGGCACGCGCACCCGCAGCAGGCTGTCGACCGACGAGGCGTCGCGGTAGTATGCGCCGACCGTCGCGTAGCCAAAGACCTTGCTCGTCAGCGCGCGGTCAAAGTCGTCCATCAGCACGCCGGCGCGCACGGCGGCGACCTGGGCGGCGGGGAGGTCGAGGTTGTGGACGTGCTGCTCGAAGAGGCGCTTCAGGTTTCTGCGGTGGAAGGGTTAGTGACTTGGGTGGTTTTGGGGGGGAGGGGGGGGGGGGACGCACTCGCCCATGACGCGGGAGTACATCTGGCCGAGGTAGGTGCGGTGGAGGTTCTTGCAGCAGAGCTCGAGGTTCCAGGGGTTTGAGCAGACGATTGCGGCTTTGAAGACGCACTTGTCTCCCTCCTCTGCCAGATACTGCGCCCGTTCGTTAGCTCTCCCAGCATTCTCCTATTTAATAATTCAAGGGGGAAATGATCGCAGCACCCACATTCGTCAAAATGTTGGCGCCGAGCGAGAAGCCCATGACATACAACGGCCTATTCGGGAACGTCCTCCTCAGAAACCCCACCGTGACCCTGAGGTCCTCCGTGAACCTCGCATTAAACAGCTGCTTCGTCGTGATTGTGCTCCTCGCGCACCCGCGCGCATTGACCACACAGGCCTCCCAGCCGCCGGCGGCCAGCAGCGGCGCCAGCACGGCGCGGAGATAGACCTCGTGGCTGCCGCCGCTGAGGCCGTGGAGGGCGACGAGCATGGGCGTGTCGTCGTCGCTGGCGAGGTGGGTGGCGGGCGGCATGTGGCGCGTGCGCTCGGGGAGGTCGGCGGCGGGCGGGGGCGGGGGCGGGTCGAAGGGGGCGACGGCAAAGTCGACGGCGAAGTGGCCGCCGTCGTTGGGGTTTGTGAGGTGGCGGCGGGCATAGTGGACGGCGTAGGGGTCGGCGCGCTTGATTGCGGTGTAGCAGGTCTGCAGGTGGCCGTTGAAGAGGAGGGGGTTGGCGTAGAAGGTGGGGACGAGGGGGGGGATGAAGGTGGAGAGGGGGTGGGGGCGGAGGAGGAGGAGGAGGAGGAGGAGGAGGAGGAGGAGGGCTTTGGGTGGAGGAGGATGGTTTTTAGGGCGTGGTGGAAGGCGGGTGGGGAGGGGAGGCCGAAGGGCATTGTGGAGGGAGGGTGAACGAGTGGGGGTGGTTAATGAGTGGGTAATATAATAATTATAATAGTTACTATGTATATAGAGAATAGAGAGTGATAGAAGAATCCAGCGCAGTTATATATCCCCTCCCTCCTCTTGCTGCGATATAACGAAATCTGCAGGGGAACTCGGGGCATCTCCAAGGGCCTCCGGCTCCGGGCCGATGTCAGAACATGTGACAAAAGGGAAGCTACAACTGTATCTAAGAATGCTGACACACACAGGGGGGAACTTCTGGGGCACCATCGGAGACAGAGCCTGAGAAGGTAGGGTAGATTGATATTTTGTTGGGAATCTATCTCAGGCATTGTGGGAGGACGGGTAGAGAGTAGAGTGGAAACTTGTGGTGGAGTAGTTAGAGTAGCTGTCTCACAGATCTACCAAGAGAATCGACATCTACTCTATTAGATCTACCTCAGAGCTGCAACACGGCGCCACCAAAGCCTCTCTGCAATTGCTTTTTCCTTCCTCTTCCTCTTCTTCTTCCTCTTCTTCCTCTTCTTCCTCCTCTGCAGGTCGATCTGGCCGTGCATTAGTCATCCCCACGTTGTTGCGTTGCTCTGCGTACGCGGGAAACCACAGACATCAATCGAATGCCGAACTCTCGCACTCTCACTCATCTACATCTACAACTACATCCACCGACAACACCGACAACACCGACATCCACTCCACTCCACTCCACTCCACTCCACTCCACTCTCACCAATATCTAATATCTAGCAATACAGACAGACAGACACCCGCCCCCGTCTTATGCACCGGCCATGACAGCCCCAAACGCCGGCGGATGGTACCCCGTCGACACCAACCACAACCACGCCAGCAGCAGCAACAACCACAGCACCCACACCCACCACAGCTACACCCCCACCCGCACTCCCACCCGCAGCACCCCTACGCCCAACCTACAACCCCCCAGCACCAGCACCAGCACCAATGGCCAACAACATACACCACCTTCGACATCCCCGCGCCGGCGTCCTCCCCGCGCTGGCCCCCCTCCACACCCACCTCCACCAGCACCTCCACCTCCGCCGCCGCCGCCGGGGCAAGCGCAGACCTGCTGCTGGTGTCGCTCGCAGAGTCGTACCTTGAGGCTGCGCATGCGGGGGGGTACCGCGCCGCCGCTGCGGGTGGTGGTGGCGGGGAGAGGGAGTATTATGCGCTTGTTGCGACGGGGCTGCGGTGTTTTGAGGCGGCGCTGGGAGGTGGGGGACGGCTGCAGCCGAGGATGGAGGCGCTCGTGAGACTTAGGTATGCCGGGGTGCTGCATGAGGAGACGGAGAATGGGGATGAGGCGGAGGGCGCGCTGAATAAGGGGGTGAGTTTTTCTCTTTCTGTGCTGGAGATTTGGGGTGGGTGGATGGAGGGGGTGGAGGGGATTTGGGGTGAGGATGGACTGGCTAATGGGTGTGCTGTGGCGGGCGTAGATTATGTTGGCGCAGAGAGTAGGACTTCCTGTTCTGATCATGGGCATTGAGCTCCCCTTCTGCCCACGGCGAGAAACAGAGACAGAGGCTGACCCCGCGCGCACAGAACAGTCTCATGGACCTCAAGCACCGCATGCAGCACCTCCTAGCCCGCATCATGCTCCGCACCACTCCCAAGGCCTCCCTCAAAATGCTCAACACCTGCATCACCGAGTCCGAAACCCTCGACATGCCGCACCACACCTACAGCTTCCGCTTCCTTCGCGTCAGCATGCTCACCGACCCGACCTCCCCCATCCACGACATCGCCTCGGCCATCACAACCCTCCAAAGGATCTCCAACACAGCCCACGCGCGGCGCGACCTCTCAATCTTCTCCCTGGCCAACCTCATGGAGGCCATGATCAGCCTGCAGGCAGGGACAGACGGCGTCGAGGCGGCGCAGCGCGCGCTCGCAAAGGCAAACAGCATCCAGACCGAGGCCGACGAGCCCGTCGCGCAGCTGGCCGTGCTGCGCCAGGTCATGGATATTGTGTGTTCGCTGATGCTCGGCCGCACGGCCGAGAGCGAGGCGAAGATGAAGGTGCTGCACCACATGCTCGACTCGAAGGAGCGCTGGGCGGCGTGGGCCGAGAGCGGCGAGTTTGTGATTCCCGTGAATCCGCCGAGGGTCGGGAGGCCCGTGGAGACGCTGGGCTTCACGTGGCTGACGAAGGATGATGTGTTTATTGTGGGATACTTCATCAGCGGGCTGTGCAAGTTCCAGAAGAACGTGGACGAGGCCGGCAAAGCCGAGCGCTTCCTCCAGGAAGGGCTACGGAGCATCGACCGTCTCCTCCAGCACCAGCCGGACTCCCCCTCCACAACCACAGCAGGCCCATCGACGCTCGTGGCAGCCACAGAAAAGACAGTGTGGCGCCAGACCCTCCGCTGCTACATCCAGCTCTACCACACCTTCCTCCTCTGCGTGCGCACCGAGTGGGACGGCGCCATCAAGGGCTTCAACTCTCTGCGCGACGCCTTCTCCGCCCTCCCCACGCACCCCCCGCCGCTCAACGCCCTCATCCTCTACCTACAAGCCACAATCTACCAAGGCACCAACGCCCTCCCCCTTGCGCTCTCCTGCTACAGCGCCATCACCGCCTCCCACGCGCCCGACTCGGAGCTCGCGCTCATCAGCACGCTCAACAGCGTCCTCATCCTGCGCGCCGCGGACCCCGTGCGCGCCGAGGCGCTGCTAGCCGGCGTCGAGAAGGCGTGCGGCGCGACAAAGAACGGGCTGCTGCGCGCGGCGTACACGTGTGTGAAGGCCACGGAGAGGGGCGAGCTGGTCAAGACGAAGAATTGGCTGAGTGTGGCGCTGCAGCTGGCGACGCAGTGCGCGAATCAGCAGATGACGTATATTGTGCTCAACTTTATGTGTCAGCGGTTTTTCACGGGGGTGGTGAGTGAGCAGGCGGAGAAGAGCGCGAGGGCGGCGCTGCAGAATGCGATGAAGGGGCGGGATGGGTTGTGGAGCTTGATGGGGGGGGAGATGTATGCGGGTGAGTATTTCTTTTCCGTCCTGGGAGGGGGGGGGGGGGGGAAGATGGCTGATATATGGGTGGTGATGGGGAGCGCAGATTGTCTAGCACGCAAAGGCAACGAATTCGACGCCATGCGGCAGCGGCACGTGAATGAAGAGATGCGCAGCACGGTGCTGGCAAACCTGACGAGGCACCAGCAGACGCTCGGCGAGGAGCAGCAGCAGCAGCAGCAGCAGCGCGCGAGTGATTTTGGGTGAATATTGCTTTTTTGTTTTTGGTCCCCTTTGTGCTTTGTGCTTTTGTGTTGTGCTTTTGGTGTTTTGTGGGGTGGATGGGAAGGCTGAACTGTGCTTTGGATTGCAAGGGCTTAGGTTGGAAGAGCGGCGGTATTAGGTGCTGCGGTGGTGGTTTGGGGGGGGGGGGGGGAAGGGGAGAAGGTGATACCGGGGGGGGGGGGGGGAGGGGTGGGGTGATGGTGGTGAATGTAGTCTTCCTGCCTGTTCTTGCTGTTAGGAACGGGTGTTTCTTGTGTCTTTAATTTTTTATCACTTGCTGTTATAATCTCCTTCTTTTACTACTTTCTCAGATAGGGCTTGCTTGGAGGGCGTAACAGGCTGTTTTTTTTTTTTTTTTTCTTCAATTTTTCTCCCTTCTCTTCTTCCATTTTTAAATTTCTCTTGCTCGTTTTTGTGGTATTGGTATTGGTTGCTGTGTAGTGGCATTGGCACGGGGCATGGTTAGGTATTGCTTCTGTTTTGTTGTCGTTGGTGGTGGTGGTGGTGCTAGAGTATCAGATCAGATCAGATCAGATTAGTCAGGCAGCGTAGGAAGGTAGTAATCGATATGGTGTGTTGTGTGGATTTGTAGAATGGATGGTGTTGGTAGATTGGATTGCGGTGATTTATGGGTTGGCTGGGCGGGGCGGGGCGGGGCGTTGTGTGGCGTGTGCTGGGCAGCGGTGCGGGTGGAGGAGTGGTAATGAAGGGTAGAGGTGAAGGCGAGATAAGGGCAGTAGAGATTAGTATGGGCTAAAGTATAGGTTTAAATATCATTACCACCCCCCCACCTTTCACCGCCGCAAACATTTCCCCCCCCCCCCTCCACCACTCCAATATCATCCCATCTCCAAACGTACCCGTCCCTTGTATAATAACGCAAAAATCATACGGGTCAGCTTTGCAAGGACTCTGCTTCCTCGGCTTGCATGGCTAGCTAGTCGGGGCCGAGTGAGCAGCCATGAAGATGGTTGTGACGGACTATGTGCGCCTTTCTGCTTGACTACATGTGTAGATGTGTGTAGTCCTGATAGTGTGCAGTGACCCGTAAGCTGCGTAAGCTACTGTGATCTATGTAGGTATCGAAGCAAGATACGAGCTTGAATTGTGGAAATGAAGCTCATGGATATAATTGGGCTACAACTTCTTACGCCATTGGCTTACCTCGCCGGTCTGTGTGGGTTCCGCTGGAGTTTGTTATCAACCCGTGTAGTTTGCCCAGAGCTACAGTATACGGCTTGGTGTTTGTGGAGGGGCTGAGCTTAAAGCACGGCGTTTTGCAGGAAGTTAATTGGAGTAAGGGTGTTCATGAATCAAAAGCTACCCTCGTGAAGCCTGTTCGCCCTATCCGCCAGCTATGGAGATAGAGCTGGTCTGTTGGCCAGCAGGAAAGTTTTTTTTTTTAATGATGCCGAACATCAGAAGCATATTTCGCAAACGACCCATAGAAGGTGTGGATGTTTGGGTGGCCTAGGTGGGACGTTTGTTTTATACTCACAGGATATCACTCGCTACATTGGTTGGAGTCAAGGATCCTTGAGATTGGTCCCAAGAAGAGGCTTGAGTTTTTTTTTCTAAATACGGGATATTATACAGACAAGATATGGTCATGATGAAAAAGAAAGGCTTTAAATCCCCAAGTTCGAACCGATAGCTATCCCCCGTGCAGAGTCGAGACAAAGAGGATATTATCCCCTTTCTCAAGAACATACTCATCCTCGCCCTCCAGCTCCCAATCGGCATCATTAATCAGGACCAGTATTCCATTCCGACTGCATAACTAGGTTAATCGCAACAACACAGACACAAAGCGTAAAAAGACAGAGAGAGAGAGAAAGAGGGAGGGGGAAAAAAAAGCAAGAAAGAAAACATACACAGTGCCATCCATAACAAACATATCCTTCCGCTTATCCACCATCAGGTTATCACACAACCAGCCCACCAAGAACCCCACATTGGCAGGCTTCCCCGAGGGGTCGCTGGCCGGGATTTGCACCTTATGAGTCTTCTGCTTTGAGAATAGTAGCTCCAGCCCACCGCTGCAAGAAGGATGTAGCTTAGATTAGCCAGCCTGCTAGTCTAGTGTGAGAAATTAAGCAAAAATGTCGATCGCACCTGAACTCGACAGTTATTGGCAACGTAGCTTCCTCGCCCATGATGTGATATGTTTACTGCACAGTTCGATATTTGTAAAAAGGGGTGGGGATGAGAATTTCCCAGAGGGCAGAAACATTTGTTGCTTCGTGAGGGAAGAAAAAAACGGATTTTTCGAACCTTGCTGACTCAGCATGCAGCGCCAAGAGAATGCGCGAATACCATTCGAAACGCGGTTCCCTACTAGCCAAAAACGCCCTTCTAACACACAGCGAAGGACAGCAGCGTAACCATCACAGCCGGAGGAAAAAAAAAAATCAACAACACAATCCTCCTCACAAAAGGGTCAATTACGAATCAGAAATGGGCGACTACTACCGTAGAGGAGAAGGCGGCGGCGGTGGAGGCAGCGGAGGAGGTGGTGGAGGTAGTGGAGGAGGAGGAGGTGGAGGAGGAGGAGGCGGCGGCGGTGGTGGTGGTGGGAGACGCGGTGGAAGAGGATCTGGGCAGAGGAAGCGGTACAGAGGTTCGTCCGAATTCTTGAAAAGAGAATGACGTGCTGTGGCTTACTGACAGCTCTGTGAAGACGATGACGACCAGCAAGGGGAATACCGGCGCTCGAACCGTTACGAGAGGGAGGATGCGTTCTCGAAGCTCCGGAGGGAGCTCACGACCATCGCGGAGTCTGTATGTTGTCCCAAGACCCCCGAAGAAGAGAATGGCATCTTCAATACGAAATCTAACACGCGAATAGCCCTTGGCCCGTATTGGTGACGTTGTGAAGAACATCGCAACCACGTTTACGAATCACTTCGAGAACGAAGACCTCAGGAACGGTTTCTTGGGCACTCTTCTCGCGCTGTGAGTTCTAGAATTTTTTTCGTATTTGATCCCGCTTACAAAGTCCTGACGCGTTCTCTAGTGTAATCGAGCAGCCTTTCAAGATCCCTTTTGTCGGCGCGGTGGCTCTTGTTGCCAATTCCCAGAATCCAGAGGCCGGAAAGCTCATTGTCGAGGAAGCCGGAAAGGCTGTCCAGCAATTCCTCCTTGATGGCCAATTCACAAAGTTGAAGCTCACCCTACGATTTTTGGGATGTGTCCATGGCATGCTAGAGGGAGAGGGTGTATTCCCATTGCTTCACAGTGTTCTGGACAAGGCTGAGTCCGCGATGGCCGATGGTGATGTGGGATTGGCGCTCGAGCTCACAAAGTCGGCGTTATTCTCGGTCCCATATATTCTGGCGTCGTCAAGAGCGGATATTGAGCCGATCAACAAGCTACTGGATAAAACCCGTCCTCTTACTGAGGTCAGGCATAAAATGCAGTCATTACTAAACCCATTTACTGGAGATGCAGCACCATACGATGATCGGGCAAAGGGGACACATGTAAGGATTCTCCCGGAATGTCTTTTCAGGAACATGTCAAGTGTCTAACCTTTGAGGAAAAGATGGTGCGAATGCTCCAAATAAACATAGAGACACACCTCAAGGGAGTGCCGGGTGGAGAACACACAGGTTTGGGTTGTTTGCCACGACCATGGGAAACATTCGATGAGGTACTCAAGGAGGCTGCGCAGCACGCCTTGCCAGAAATAACCATCCCAGAAGAGTTCCCCGTCGACAAAAACGCAATCCTCCCAGACGTGTACCTTTCCGTCTTTGCGGATCCAAAAGTCGAGGTAAGCATTAATGAGTTTCTCCATGATATTTGGATTGTTTCTAATCACTCTTTAAGACTGTTCCAACTCCTCTAGATCTTGCCTCAACGATCTTCCGAGACAACATTGTAGATACTATTAACATTCTAGACTGTAACCGTCTTTCGGTTTCTCGCTTCTTGATCGAGATAGATTGCTTCTTTTCACCAAAAGCGTTCATCAAGAGGGCAACTCCTTTCGACAGGGTCAATGAAACTGCAGGCGAAACCGGGTCCTCATGGAAACCCGAAGATGTAGCCGTAGATGCGATTTTCAGCCAGCTTTTCAAACTTCCTGCCCCTAACCACAAGCTAGTATATTACCACTCGATTCTGACAGAATTGTGTAAACTTGCGCCGGCCGCTGTAGCTCCTTCATTGGGAAGAGCCATCCGTTTTATGCACAGGAATCTGGAGTCCATGGACACCGAGTTGATCTACCGGTTTATTGACTGGTTCTCGCACCATCTGAGTAATTTCGGATTCACCTGGAAGTGGGCGGAATGGAACGAGAATCTCACCCTTCCGGATGTCCACCCCAAAAAGGCGTTCATCTTGGGTGCTTTGGAGAAGGAAATCCGACTCTCGTTCGCAACACGAATCAAAGGAACAGTTCCGGAAGCATACAAAGAGCTCATCTCGGAGGCCAAGGAGATGGAACAGCCAAATTTCAAATATGACTCTCCCGGTAGATAACCTTTACACAATTTTTTGCTTTTTTACGATCGAGCTAACAGCCCCAAAGATGAGCCCTTTGCAGAAGAAGCCAAGGAGGTGATGCACGCCGTAGCAGACCGCAAAGAAATTGAAGAGGTCGATGAGATCCTCGGCCGCATCCGCAGTCTCGCCGCTGAAAGTGGCGTTGCAGATCCAGATTCTGTCACCCGTGATGCCTATGTAACCGCTATCTGTCACGTTGGAGCCAAATCGCTCTCTCACGTTCTCTCCTGCATAGAGCGCTGCAAAGAAAAACTCGTCGCCATCGGCCTCGAATCCCCCGATGCCCGCCGGCAAATCGTCGGCTCCGTTCTATCTTACTGGGAAGACCAGCCGGGTATTGGAGCAAACGTCGTTGATAAGCTGTTGAATTACTCTATCGTGACTCCTCTCTCAGTTGTAGAGTGGGTACTTCACGACGCTGGGAACAACGCCCTCAGCCATACACATGCCTGGGAGATGGTTAGCACCACTATCAACAAGGTGAACAACCGTGTCCGACAGATTGCTGCCGCTAGACCGGCGATGCTTGGCAGTGGAAGCGGGTTCACAGAGGAGCAGTTGGCAGTGTACGACGAGACACTGAAAGGCGCTGAGGAAGAGCAAGGTGTCATACTTAAGGTGGTCACAGAGTCTCTCAGCGCCATGGCCGAGAGCTCGGAGGAGATGGACGGCATCGATGTGGAGAGCAAGGCATGGATGCAGTGGTGGGCGAAGGGTTGGCTCAGAGCTTTCAACAGGAAGTTCGGTGTTCCTGATGAGGAAGTACCAACAGACACCACTGGGCGCTTAATGAAGGATGATGAAAGTATGGACACCTTGTAGGATGCTCGAGGGGCAGAGGGTCAGTGTAGTTTTAGGATACGATAGGTTAGGATAGCACCGCTGGTATTGTCCAGTAGTTGGCGGCGATGGTTGTAATGCCTTTACGTCTCTTGTAATATTTCGTATTTTTCAATCAGGTACGAGCGGGGGGGGGGGGGGGGCAGGAGAAAATCTGCTTTTAGCATGTGTTAAACCTCTTTTTTTATTTTTACTTTCATACTCTATTTCTTTTTTCTGGCATTTATTCTTTTTGTTTTTTTCCTTGGCTCGATGTATAGGGGAAGATAGTGATGTGTTTTTGTGCAGCGTGCGAAGGTGCGAAGATTCATATCATCATCCAATTGCAATGATCATGAGCGATCCTAGTGATACCACACACTAGCGCGGCAGCACGTGAACAAACGAGTGATACCTTGTGCGACAGTTTCACGCTTTTTGGTTTGACACAAACCCTTCCCCTCATTTTTGGCCACGTACACTCTAAAATGTTTACTGTTTATATATTCGGGAATCGTACATTCATCCTGGATCTACCGCTATGGAATTCAAGACAAGGAAAATGAAGAATGGGGGAAAAAAAGAAAATAACTGATAAAAATTAAACATTTTAAAGGTCCACCGACGATGTTGGCCTTCGCCTAATACCCTCGGTCCCGCTTTCTTCGCCTACATCACCAGCTCGGCCCTGTTCCCTTGTGGTCCGCTTTCTAGGCCACAACGAGGGCAACACTATCTGCTGAAACTTTGGTTCAACACATCTCTCATCAATCCAGCTATGCAGCCTGCTCTCTACCAACTGAGCAATTTTTGGAACGTCCTGCAATCTCGACCTGGACCCCACCAAACTACGCACAGAGATCTCAAGCCGGTAGTCGTCAAGGAAACTAAATGTCAGGGTGGTATTTCCTGTAGAATTCTCGGGAGATGGGACGAAAGATATCGACAGTGTTCCGGAAAACCGGACTATGGACACAGCAAGCGCCACTGGCAGTACGGCAACCATGGGCTTCGGCCAGTTGAGTAGTAGTTTGGTTTCAACACCTAGCGTGATAAGGTCGCTCAGGTCTACGTCCATCTTCGCCTGAAGCTTCCCGGGGTCTTCTTCGCTGGGGGTAATTCTGCAATTGGAGAATATGGGGAAGTCTTCACCCAGGGATACTTCTGTTACGCGGATTGAGTCTAGGAAGTCTGGCTTTTGGGGCCCGTTTAGGATTTTGTCTAGGGATTTCAGGATTGCGTCGTCGGTTCGTGCATCTTCACGGAACTGAGCGAATGTTTGCGCGAGGAGTACATTAAACCAATCGAGCGATTCTGGCTGGTGGGAGTGCACATTGTAGTATGTCTTTGAGAGGATGGTAGCGGTTGTTTGCGGTGGTGGGTTCCGGAGAACTGAGGATCGTTTCTTGCGGAGGTTTGAGGACCTCCGGGAGCGTTTGGGGGAGTATGCTGAGGCGTACTTTGAATGAGAAGGAGAATCTGGAGTTTCACCAAATATGAAGAATTTGATGAAGCACCCTATTATGAAGATGACTGATATTTGCCCAAGAAGAAGACCTTGGGTGAACGACCAACTAGGGGGGCGGGTGTTAGCTGAAATTTGAACAGGTGTTCAAACGAATAGAAAGAGAGCCTCACTTTGAGCATTGCTTGGTCGTTATCGCAAGGTATTCTTTTAGCGGAATCTGAATCTGTCCTTCTCAAATGGCAGTCAGCAGCTATTGCTATGCAAGAATTGATATTGCGAACACACCTTGAGACATTTCTCTTGCTGGACAAATGTTTACGGGGAGCTGAGGAAGTTGGTGATGGTCACAAGTAGACTCCATCTGACGTCGGCGTGGTGTTGGCTGGCTTTCATCCCGCAGAGCCCCAAACGAAGGATAGCTTGGCGAAACATATCTTAGTCATTGGTCCCTTATCGGTCTATCGAGGCGGGGCCAAGCTTTTTTTTCTCGGGCTTTCTTGACTTTAGCGACATCATCACCATAACGACACCATCACGACCTCGGAAATTCAAGATACGCGATCTTACTACCCCCCGTCAGTTGCCCCTCCTCCACCACCTTTCTGAAACTACTATCTTAATCTCATCTATACCCCCCCTCGAACTACCTCAGGTTTCGCTTGATATTCGACCTGCTGACAGACAATGGATAACAGTCAAGCGAAAAGCCAGCGTCTCAATCGACTGATTCCAAGCATCATGCAGCTCTCAGAAGAATCCAAGGTATTCCCATAGCTTCCCCCAACATACGAGCGCCTTTCCGTATCCCCTCTGCACTCTCTTGTCTATCTGTCTCATGACATCTCATGATAATTACCCCTCCGCTGACGATGTGAATCAACAGGAGCGTATCTCCAAGGTCCTTGAAATCTCCCGCGTAGCTATCCACTAGTCAGTCATTCCTCTTCCGCAGACAAGCAAATATTTTTGGTTGTATAAAATACTTACATATATGGACGGCAACAGTGGATATCTTCCGCTTGTTCTCTACATCGGTATATATATCTATCTCTACCATCCAATCCCTCTATAGTGGACATCACTGCATATCGACGGATCTGCTTTCGTATGGAGGGACTCGCTTGCTGACCCTGTTCATTAACGCAGGATACACCTGCAGCACCCCGAGACCTTCGTTGATCCGGTAATAAATGCACCCTCCTGTTCTCTCGATAATCATGAGTTGCAACTAATCGGGCCATTGCATAGCTTGATCTCACCATTGGCGTAGAAGATGTATGTACATTTGTTACGTGCTGAGTTCCGAATGGATGATTAGGAATATGGTAGGGCGTTATTGCACAACTGTGATGCTTTCTTTTTTTCAGGTTTTTGTAAAAAATTAAAGATATTTCAAGAAAAGCAAGCACTCGGTAAAAAATAAAACATTCATCTCCCTTCTTCTTCCCAATTGCTTTTTTATCGCATTTTGTGGGCTTTATTGGTAAGGCAAGATACATTTTTTTTTTCTATGCGGTGATGTCACTTTGCGGCTCTCACTCATGCTAGAACACATCATTCCGGAAAAAAATTATTTCCGACGAAAACCCTCCCACCCCGCAATCCCCCCTCGCATCGCACCTTGCACTTTATTCCAACATCCTCTCTCCTAGGAAAACTTCTCCCCCGTCGCATATTCTCACGCCTCAAACCTCACCGGACCGCACATTGCCACGTGCACTCAGGGAAAGAGACAGACAGACAGACCGAAAGCACCACGCGACCTTAACAAACCTTCATGAGCGCACCCCAGAATGGGATCCCCCCGTTCTGGTGGAGACCATTTCCGGCCTGACTGCTGGCCTGCTTTCGACACTCGTAGCGCACCCTCTTGATCTCATCAAGGTCCGGCTGCAAGGTCCCTCCCCCAAACCCTTCATTCTTTCCCCCCACCCCCGGCCAACCTCGAACGAACCAGGACGCTGAGATATAAGGGGACTTCGAGGTCAACAGTGAACAGGGACTACAAGGCACCACGGCTCGGGGCCTCCTGGAGAATCGCCCGAGATGTGGCCATGAATGAAGGGCGTGGGGCCCTCTATAGAGGTCTGTCACCGAACCTGGTTGGGAATATGGCGAGCTGGAGTATGTATTTCATGCTGTACGTCTACCACTACTCCTTTTGGCTTTGCATCCTCATTCAATATTTCACCCTCACCCCCCCAAAATACAAAGAGGTTTATACGTAATAAATATGTATAAAAACAATTACCTATTGTTACTCCCCCATTGAAAATATCTTTGATGCAGAAGTCCAGTTCCTAATTAATATGTTGTGACACAACAAATCACACATATAGTTACGGCGAGTTCAAAAATATCATAGCCGGCTATCGCGGGATACCAAGAGATGAAGGACTGGACTCCCTCGATTACCTTCTCTCCTCCGGGGCCGCGGGGGTCTGTACAGCTGTATTATCAAATCCTCTCTGGGTCATCAAGACTCGTATGCTCTCCACGGGTCGGTCATCTCCGGGAGCGTACTCGTCCATGACCAACGGGCTTCGCATTATAATCCGGGACGAGGGGACCAGAGGTCTGTTCCGGGGATTGGTGCCGGCCCTTTTCGGCGTTACGCATGGAGCACTGCAGTTCATGTTTTACGAAAGGCTGAAGATCTGGCGAAAACACGCTAAAGAGAACATTGACCCACCTTCTACTGGCAGCGGAGGAGGAGCTCCGGTATCAGGAGAAAATACGAAAAAGGGACTGAGTAATCTCGACTTCCTTACACTTTCTGCAACGTCAAAGATTATGGCCGGATCAATCACATATCCATACCGTGTCGTGCAGACGCGGATGCAGACTTATGACGCCGATGCCGTGTACTCGTCCGCTCGGGACGCCGTGATAAAGATATGGAGAAATGAGGGTGTTGGGGGATTTTACAAAGGGTGAGTTTCGATCTTTTTCTATCACTATCTTTTTTGCCTTCCGTTTCACGATTTCCGTCCAATTCCACCTATCATCGCCTCTTCGGAAGACAAGCCGAACGGATGAACAAATGGGCTTTCGCCAATATCCAACCGCAATCGCTTGTTTCAAAAAGCAGAGAGCGTCGCTCCACAAGAAAAAGAAAGGGGAGGAACCCACAGACATAGACAGGCAACAATCAGGGTCCACCCAACAAGCAACCGAAAAAGCAAGCTCCCTTAAACATACGGATAGGAGATAGAGAGAATCTGGGTCAGGTCCGAAATAAAGACTTAAAACAGTTTCTCGCTGACAATTTGTGACCTGGGAATTTTTTAATTCCTTCACGGGTCTTGGGAATGTAAATAAATAGGTTGGCGCCAAACCTGGCACGGGTCTTACCGTCCACTTGCATCACCTTCCTCGTGTACGAGAATACCCGGTATTACCTTCAGTGAGGCGAGTCGAGACACACACATTTCACACCGGTCACACACACACACACACTACGATTCAAAGACACAACAGGTAGACAGACGCACGTACGGGCGCGGAAACCTCGGCCAGGGCTGTGTTGCGTTTTCTGGGCGAATTGCTGGAGAAGACCGAGAGAAAAAATTAAAAGCTACATGGATGAGTTTATGGTGACTACAGACGTGTCACCATGCTTGCGACTAGGATGTTGAAGATCTCCTGACGGGGGTGGAGAGAAGTTTAGCTGAATCCAGGGGAGCTTGAAGTGCGAATGTTTGGGGGGGGGGGGGGGCAGATTATTCATCTCTCGTGTAAAATATCCTTGAATCTTGGAACCTCCTGTAAGACCCCGTATGTGTCTTTGGTTCCCATAGGCTGCGAAACGAAACCTCTCATCATGCTTGATTCATGCCTCCGGCCTCGTGGAGACGAAGCGGACCCAAATTAGTGCAGCAAGTGTCCTAGGACACACAGCAGCAAGAAAAATAAAACAAAAGGTGGTGCGGGTAAATCTCACGTACCAGTACTTCAGATAGCTGTAACAGTTATAAAAATCTATTTCCAGGACGAAGGATCCCCAATGTTCCGATCCGATCCATTACGTTTTTCTTTTGAAATTTCTTCATGTCTCTTTTTTTCAGTTTCATCATGATGGAGATCGCCCTTGAACGTAGATTTCTCTGGTATATTTTGAATGCTCCCGTCCATCCCACACGTTGATCAGACAACGAGCAGCCATATCCCACGGTTCACCCACCACCATCAGGCCTGCCACTGCGTCAATTAGTCAGTTACAACTTACAGCACAACATTTACGCCCGCACGGTACTTCTTTAAAATCCCACCGGAACGGTCGAAATGAAAATTTCACCAGGGACGGAAGGGAAAGAAAATTTCCAGGGAGAGAGAGTAAGAGCTAGGACTAGGAGGCAGCAGGCAGGCAGGCAACGAAAAGCTCGGAGCCTTCAAAACGTAACAGCAACAATAACAACCCCTCCCTCATCAACACCACCGCCCCCCCTCCACCCCCATATATGTGGTGAGTTATATGTGGTGTGTGTGTGGTGTCGTGTGTGTCGTTGCTTGCTTGACTCTTGTTGTTAATGTCGGGGAGGGGTGAGGGAGGGGGGGTGGTTGTGGCCGCCCGCGCGGTCCTTGTTGGAATTATATTTCTATCGCCATTTCCGCTCTTGTCCGTTCCCAGCGTCGCTGTTCAAGTTTTACTTACACCTTGGATCATATCATGTGTCTATTATGGGGGGAGGGGCAGGAAGCAGCAGCAGCAACAGTCAAGGTAGGTAAGGTAGAGAGTACTGTAAGTAGTAGTAGTTTGTATGTAGTTCAGTGTCAATTTGTTAGTTCAGTGTCAATTTGTTATCGAAATTTCGATGTCCCACGTGATGCATAACAATATGTATGTGGAGGTTACCGTGCGTTGAAGAAGCTCCCTCCACTCTCCTGCTCTATCCCCTTCTAATCTACTGTGCTTGCATGTGTCTACTAATCTATCTACTCTGAGTAAAAGAAATAAAGCGAGATGAGAGCCGATGCAGAATCGTGATCAAATGGAGCATATATACTGTACATCAAAAAACCAAGTATATCCTGGGGTTGGGGTTGGGGAGGGGGGTTAGTGCGTTAACGGAACGCCCAAAACGGGTGTAAGGCTGGGAAGGAGGGGAGAAGGTGGCTAGCTGTGATGTGCTGTTGTCTCGCCCGAAGCGACTCAGGCACTTTTATTTGCTTTTTTCGTTCTTATGAACAAGAACATGATGCTCTCCAGTACCCGCAGGTTTGGGTTTCTTGAATGTCATATCATATCATGATCAGTGGAGTTAGATATATTTTTGCCCTGCGGCAACACCCCGTGACTAGGCAGGCAGTGAGTGTCTCTCCCCAGCTGCTCACTTGCTTGCTGCTCCCCCCAAGGAAGAAAAAAACCGCGATTCTTCTTGCTGCTTATTGTTTTTTTCTTAATCATATGGGTTGTTTTGTTTTTTCTTGTCCTTAACTGATCTTTCCAATAGTAGGGTAGTATTACGTCTTGACTTGTGTGGTGTAACTACATGTACCAAGATATTAAGGTACAGGTTTCCTAAAGATACGAAAGCTAAGGAGAAACTTAAGCTAGGGAGAAACTTTTGGTAAGAAAAAGGAAAAAAAAAGAGATAAAAATGGTAGTTAAACGCCCCCCCGCTGCCGCCGCCGCGGACCCCCCCGCCCCTTTCCCAAAAGAAATGCTAAACCCCACCCATACATCCCACGTGCTGTGCAGAACAAAACAGATAAGATCTGGAAAAAACCGAAAAGTAAAAAACAGAAGACATCAGAAAAAATAAGAAAAGAAGGATAACCAAAAGCAATGACCTCATCAAGAATAAAATGGAAATGGGACAAATAGAGGGAAGAAAGTATGGAGTAACGGCAGATGTAGAATAGAAATACAGATATGTGATAGAGCGCGTGCGGCGAGCCTGTGGCCGCCCCACTGCGCATGCCCCCTTCCTTTCTCTGACTCCCACACACACAGACAGGCCGGAGGGACCCCCACGACCCAATCAATGAACCCGAGAGAGGGATGCCGTGGGGAACGTTATCAGCAAGCAGGGAAGATCAGCAACAGGGAAAGCGTACTTCTTCCCCGCCCATACAGATTAGGAGACACCCACACCACACACCAACCACACACACACCTGGACAGACATCCATCACACCCACACACCACCAGGATCAACCACCCCACAGACTGTCCCACACCCTCCCCCCCCTTCCTTCCTCTTCCCCCTCCCTCCCAGCTGCCTAGCTGCCAGAACGAGAAAATGAAAGCAAATCAAATCGAGTAAAAATCAAGCTCTGCGGAAACTCCCCCGTCCGAACCAACAAGCGAACCAGTACCCAAGTACCGGTGCTCCGGTATTTTCCCCATTTAAGAAAAATGATGGGAAAAGAAAAGAAATACCGCCCCCAAATGCGCACTCACACGCGATAGAAAAAATAAAAAATAAGGAATTTTTGGAAAAATAAAATAAAAAAATAAAAAATAAATGCAAGATTCTGTAAATCATTGAGCCATGGGCCAACGCCTTTTTTCTTTTTTGCCTAAAAGATTTTTACCCCGGATCCGAGCCACAAAACGGGGACCAAAAAGAAAATAATAACAGGAAACCAAGGGAATAGGTAAGGGGTAAAAAGTTGACCTGACCGTAAGGAAACAAAAAAGGAAACACCAAACCATGTCGCGCAGGTAGATCCAATAAAGTGATATGATGCAATCAATATTACAGAGCGACGCCAATACAACCCCAGGTATAAAAAAAATCAAAATCAAAATCAAATCAAGTAATCGCTATGAAGATGAAGGTAAAAAAAATTTGTTACAGCTGGAATTTGCGATCCAGGCTGTACTTTGCCATATCGGTGTGTATTGCCATCGTGTCCTCTGCGTATCCGCCCAAAGGTACCATTCCGACGTTGCCTCCAGGCCTCATGGGAGGCAGCTGCTGCTCGTAAGAAGAAGAATCCGCAGAGCTTTCCTCATCTTCGTCCATGTGCCCACCTGCAAAATCAAATCCATCCGGGTTCGAGTTGCTGCCGCAGGAACCGTTTGGCGATCCCAAACTGTGCATGTCGCCTCCTGCACCTCCCTGGTGATGACGTCCATTTTGATGGTCGTTTCCACCAGCTTCTCCATCGTTCGTGCGGGCCTTCTTGGTTCCTGTAATTTTTCGGTCCTTGCCACGGCCCTTGATGCCACGGTTGGAGTTCTTGTATAGCTCCGCAAAGTACTCAAAGAGTTCCCTGTCGGCCGGCGACATGTCTTCGGGTTCCCGAACGCCCGCGAACTTCTCAGTCAACGTGCGCAAGGTTACAGCGTGAAACTTGTTTTGGTGCGACTATAAAGAAATCAAGCGAGTTAATAAGCATTAAATTTCATCAGGGGGAGGAGCCCAAAGCTAGAAGGAAACTTTAAATTAAAATTATCGGGGGAATTTTGAGCGCGCCTACCTTGAGATTCCCTAGTTGGGTGAATTGTTTTTCACAGTTATCCAGCCGGCAAGTAAATGGTTTGGCACCGTCATGCACAATCTTGTGAGCGCGAACATTGCCTCTTTGGGCGAATCGCTTGCCGCAGAAGTCGCAAGAGTACGGCTTTTCGCCAGTATGTCTACGTTCATGCGTCTATAAAAAGTATAAAATAAGTTTCATGTTGATAGCCGCAAATAATCGAATGAGGGGGTCGCATGGGTAGGCAAGGTAATATGGGAGAGAAAAAAACGGACCTTGAGATTACCCAACTGGGAGAAACGTTGGCCACAACCAGGCTCACTGCATTGCTAATGGAAACGATCAGCGCTACGAACAATGGAAAAGCTTCTATATTTCAAGAGATCGGAGAGAAGGGAGATAGCGGGAAGACCAACAAATGGTTTGTCTCCAGTGTGAGCACGAGAGTGAATATCGAGATGTGTCTTTTGGAAAAAACTCTTGTTACATCCTGGCACATCGCACTCATATCTCTTCTTCGCCTTCTGCGACCCCTTCTTTTCTTCCTTTCCTGCCCTCTGGACCTCCTCTGTTTCTGCCAGCAGTTTGTTGACACCGAGTCCTGAACCCTGCATATTACTGCCTAGTTGGTGTCCCGAATATCCAGTTGGCACATAACCACCGAATGCCGACCTTTGAGCGAATCCGCCAGGATGTATCGGGGTCACTGGTGAAGATTTTAGTTGCTGAGCGGGATAACCTGGTGATGGTGAGTTTGGTTCAGATTTTAGTGTCACCGAATGCTTGGACTGGATAGCCTTCATCAAAGTATCCACATCTGTCTGAAAATCTACTTCATTATTCGGGTTTGCAACTTTGGTGGTTCCTGGACTACCGCGGGGTGGTGAAGACTGTGGGTATGGGTAGCTCATAGATCTCGCAGCTTGCTTCTGAGTCGGTACTGAAGGGTTCTGCAATGCCGGTCTAGTTAGAGTTGCTCTCCGCTGACCATTAATACCCCTGTTTTCCTGTGGTATCTGCTGTTGCTGTTGCTGTTGTTGCTGCTGTTGCTGCTGCTGGTGTTGCTGGTGTTGCTGCTGCTGGTGCTGTTGTTGCTGCTGCTGGTGTTGCTGTTGTTGCTGCTGGTGCTGTTGTTGCTGAGGAGCACGCTGGGAAATGATTGCTGGTGTAGGTTGTTGAATACCCTGGTGATGGGCGTGAGGATGAGGATTATGCTGTGGATGCTGGTGATGCGGTTGAGGATGCGGTTGAGGATGTTGATGATGTTGATTTGCATGGGGATGCGGATGCGGTTGATGGTGAGCATGGTGAGGGTGCGCTTGATGGTGAGCAGCATATGATTGTGGAAACCCGTTCGGAGGGTGCCCTACAACGCCCACGCTCTGATAGTGAGGAACTTGGGACGTATCGAACCCAAATTGTCCTTGATACGCGTCAAAGTTTCCCATCTGATCCTGAACAAACGGCTGCGAGTTTAAGGGCATGTGAGGAGCCATGATTCCCCGTGACGACGCCGAAGTCGAGACTGAATGGTCTGTACGATATACCAGGCCAGAGATGTCCATTGCCCCAGGTACAGGACCGCTGAACCGATGCTGCGTCTTGTCACGATGCCAGACACGAGCTGGATTTGATGCTACTGCTGCTGCCAGAATTGCGGTTGTTACTTGTGACTGTGAGAGGCGTGCCTAGCTAGGTGTTTTTGAGGATTTAAAAAAAGGTGAGACTGTGGGAAACCTTTGCCGGGTTATGATCTGTAGTATCCAGGAGGCCGGGGCTAGGCGTCTCGGACCGTCGGGCTTGCTTTTCAATGGGATTGACTAGGTGTAGCTGCGCCTTGCTTGCTGGTAGTGGTGGGCGAGCTGATGCTCTACACCTTATAACAACCTTTTCCCCCACGAAGAGAGAGAGAGGCTTGAAGAAGAAGAGTATGTAAAAAACTTTTTGTTCAGTTTTTTTGAGACTCTGTCACCCGCGCGGCATTGGTATTGGTCCACTAGAAGGGTGTCCTATACATGCAAGGCGAAATGCGGGTTCGAGAGGGGGTGTGTGGGTTTTGTGACCTGGGCAGAGGCAAGTAAGAGTAGAGACCAGGTGACGACTCGAGCGCGGCGTGGGAGATCCCTGGTCAAAACAGGAAAAAGGAATATCAAAAAGAAGTTACTACCGCTGCTGCATGCATCGCAGGTCGGCGAATCTTCGATCGAATATTTGCGGGATGATGTATAATCCTCTGTTGAGGTAAGGAAGGGGGAGGGGGGGGGGGAGTGTTGACCGGGTGTGTGGTGATTGATTATGATGGAGGATGTGGTGGTATGGATTATGGGACGCAGCAAATCAGTTCGTTCAATAGGGTAGTGATACTTTGATGTGGGATCAGAATTTAATGTTTGACGGATCCCCTACCCATTTTTTTCAACCTTGAAACCGCTATTTGGGGTCTTCGGCAGAAGGTGGGGGGATTGGAGTGGGGATTAGGGGGGGGGAGGGAGATGTTCAAGGGGGGGGTTAGGTTAGAGAGAATCACCGCACATCATCCGTAAGAGAGAAAGGCCATTCAATTGTAGCCCAGTACTACTGCTTGTAGATATCAAGTACAAGGACTGTACCTAGAAGAAGGGGGGGGGGGGGGTTGGTAGGGCAGGGAAGGTCCATAAGAGTCGGGATGGAGGGTGGATGTATCCAGGCATTCGGGATACAGGACATGACAGACAGGCAGGCAGACAAACAGAAAGTAGAAGTGTTCCGTCTGTATTCCATCAATCTCCTACTATCGAGCACGGCGTTACGGTGTACGGGGACGCTCAATATTCATACATGCTACACTAGGTAGCACCGTAAGGTAGTCCAAAGAACAAGCCCGTTCTCTCGTTCTTCCCTTTCTCTTGCCTTGCCTTCCCGGGTGCGTTCTCCCTCCCGACCTCCCGTCATGTATGTAGTATGTATCGCCAATCCAGGCTTCGTTCACTAACCTTCAGCCCCTCCGTTGGGATCTGCTAGGGCACGAATGAGGTGTCCGTGCCCGCAGAGACTTCGTAATCTATGGGACAGCAAGAGAAAAAAAAAACGGGGCTGTCCGGGCACATCCAGTGGCCTACAACAGGGCCCATCATTGGCAGGTTGAGTCGTGCTCAAACACGCAATACCACTTTATTTCCTCTCACGGAATGTATATACCAGCACATCTGGGCTAGATATGATTCTAAGACGACTACATATGAGCTGGTTTAGCATATGATGATGCTGCTGCTGTTGGCGATGATGATGATGATGATGATGCTGATGGGTAATGATGAGGGTTGTCGCTTTTGTTGATTGCACGGACTTTTGCTACTCCTTGTCGTGATATGTATGGATGGATGGGTTAGGTTGACAGATATACCTAGACAGCTAGCTAGGTAGGCAGACAGATAGGTATTTCTCCGTCTCCGTCTCCGTCTTCGCATCTGCTATCTGTATCTCTCTCTCGCTCATTCATTCATTTATTCATTGATTGATTAATGACCACCACTACCAACTAGTAGCTGCCCGTGCTGTTTCTTCTATTGCTCCTTACGCGCGTGTGTGTGTGAGTGGGTGGGTGTGAGTGAGCTGTGTGTGCGGAGAAGCTGAACGAACGAGCAGCAGGAGCGGGCAGTTAGGCAGGGTGTCTCTGACTATCTAAGCTAGCATCGTTGGATTGGGGGAGACAAATATTAATGGACAGGATAGGTAGTGGTGACCTACCAGTACCAGAGTAGGCACCTGTACTAACCTTCCTACTACTCTAGTTGCTGCCCACCATTCCTACTGTTGGCTGTTGGTAGTGCATGTGTTGGGCCCGAATAGGACGTAGCCAGGGGAGAGTATGTAAGAGCATATTGGGGGGTGGAGTAGAGGGGGGGGGGTCAAGGCCTGCGCGACACTTACTGCACACCAAGCGAGAGGATGAGATGCGCACACATATTCCAACAATTTTTTTGTAGATCTGCGCCGGGCCTTGAACGCATCCTTCACTCTCCTCAGATTTACTGGTACCTACTCTGGGTAAGGTAAGCCATGTATCTTTGACCAGGATAGTATTAGGAGTACCGACAACGACCTGTTGGATGGAAATGGATGGACGTGTTACTGGGGTCAATGCGAATCCTCATTATCTAAGTCCATGACGATGGAACACCCGTGCCACACAGCGACAACACAGGTAATAATCTACTTCACTTTACCTAGATTGCCTGGTAGAGGAAGTTCCCTGTTGTAGCTCTTCTCTGGCGTCAGCAACTGAGTACCAATCTGTGAGCACTCTATCTCCAGTACCGTATCTGTGTGGTGCTGCTAGCTGCCTACATCTGCTACATACTTACACTCCCGGTAACTCTACCTGACCATCCACATCATGGCTGACTGACTTTGACTATCATCTTATGGCTGACTGTCTGGCTGTCTGACACTGGGCTGTCTCTGTATGTCTTGTCCGCGGCCCTACAAACTGCTACTACTACCACCAAGCGATAGGGAAATGGTCCTTGTTGGGACACAACGCACGGAGCAGCACAAGTCAGGGACAAGATTATCAGGCAATGAATGTCTCGGTTCGGTTTTTCTTACTTACGCTTACTTTCACTTCGACCACCACTACCCACACCGCAACTACCAGTGTCCACCACTACCATCACTACCACCACCACCATCACCACACATCACTCCCCCCCCCCCCCCATCCGGCTCCACCACCGGAATAACCCCCCCATCCATCTACAGCTATCTGGCATCCATCTCACACTCCCCTACATACATGCACTTCATACATGCCTGCTATCATTACTCCTGTCTGTCAGTCTGCCGGTACTGTATGCCCTTCCTCGGTAGTCAGAGTGCCGTCGAGCATTATTTTTAGAGGGTGGGCAACCTTTCCCGCCTACCATACATGTACATACACACACCTCTATGATCTAAAAAAACAACATTTCTCTGAACGTTGAGATTGAATATCTCTGGGTCCCCCCCAATAATTCTCCCTCCCCCTTTGTGTTCCTGCTCCACAACATTATTACGCATCGAGATGAGATAAAGCAACACGTACATATACCTACATGAGTAGAGCACATATACCCTACATAATAGACGCTCACTCGGTCCTAATGTAACTCACCACAGAGATATTATAATGTAGTGACTTGACCACACTCACACACACACACACCACACCTCATCCGTCCGTCACAACTCACACCCCCCCCCCATACCACACGCAGCCCTTTCCCTTTCCAAGTTGCGCGCGCCGCTTATTCAACACACATAAAGTTATCTGCATGGGTGGCCGACCAGGCTCCGCGACTCGCGACCGCGGACACGGGTCGCAGCATCGGGACCAATAAAACTCTGCCCCGGCCATCACCTCACTGCAACTGCAACCGCGGTACATGAAGTACTTTCATGTAGCCATGCAGCAAAGCAGCAGGAATTGAGAGAGGTAAATCTCGTTGATTACATATGTAGGTATGTTGTATGTATGTACAATGTACCCCAGCCAGCTGTATGTGGGTAGGTACAGTAACTCTAGGTATGGCATGGTATGGTATGTAATGTATGTAGGGACGAGTGTTCGGCCACATGTAGTTAGAGAGTTAGTTGACATTGAAATAGCTCTACACATAGATACACACGACACACCGGGTACACACAAAAAAAAGGCGCGCCAGAGTCGCGAGTGAGAGAAAAAAAAAAGGCCGCCGCCTCTTCTAGCTGTCTGTCAGTGTCAGTGTAACCCAAACCCACCAACGCACATTCCCAGGAGTTTATTTGCGGAGGAGCGCCCAACGGCGCTCCTTCAATTACGAGTTTTCCCCACCCCAATAACATTACTCCCTCCACCTCCACCTCCACCTCCACCTCCACCCCCTTCTACCCCAATCTGGTTATGCTCGGGCGGTTCCAAGCGAGTCTTCGGCACATGGGGTTCGTCGCAAGCAGTGTCCGAGAATGCTCATATAAGAGTAATATCGAAAAGCTATTGACAAATCTTGCCTTTTCCATGAGGATCCCCCACAATGGAGATCATTATGAAATGCACGGAAAGGAGCACGCATTGCATTCTTTTAACGCAATAGATTTTCCGCCCAACCAACTGATAAAAATAATGTAGACAATGAAGACAAAAAGCTAGGTAGGCAGGCAAAACGGATGCAGGAGGAAGAAGGCCCCGAAAAATAAAATAGCAAGACAAAAAACGTAGATACTTGTAGGATGCACTGAATTCCAAGAATAGTATGTGTCCTCCTCAAGCCTTTCTCATTAACATATCGAGGGTTTCGTCTAGTGGCTTGCATGTTGCGGGTTCATCCCATAATTCCCGCCATTGTGGAAAAAAGATTGCCTCATCGACATCCTTCCCGCAATGCCCCGCATCCGCCACACATCAAGAGAGGGAAAAAGGAAAAGCTCGAAGAAAAGCAAAAACACAAAACGATTTGCCCAAAAACCGGGTACCAAACAGGGAAAAATTGGAAGCTTCCAAACGAACAAGGAGGTGATAAAAACGAACACGATGAAAGAAAACGGTAAAAAGTAAATAAGCATCAGAATTTTCGATCGTTTTATCCCTTAAACGGTCCTTTATTTTTCAATATGTCGATTTTACTTCACACCAGATCCCCCGAATTTGTCTCCATTATCATAGAGGAGGATGGTGATAGGGTTCGTAACTGCAGCAACCGCCCACGTCAGTAAACTGTCCAGAGGAAAATTTTCATGCCACACCAAAATCGGATACGTGGAAAACCATGCGTGGGGGGGCTTAAGTCCAGGGACCCCCGTTTTGTGGGGTAAAGTAGGGCGGGAAAAAAGAAATTAAAAATAAGAAATAACGAGACAAAAATAAAATAATCCGATCAGGGCCCGGAGGCGAAAAAAGAAAGGAAATTGTGGGGAGATGTAAACAACAAAAGGTACTGACCTCCAAATTCTTGCTCTCATGTCGCCGCTCCCAGTTGCAAAGAGACCCCCTGAAGGACTTGGGGCAACAGAGATAACTGTTACGATGACAAACAGAAACTCATCAGCCGCAAGCTCCATTGAGAACAAAACTGGAATCAAAGAGCCCGGAACCACCCGCCGATCCTGTCCTAGGTCTCGAAACGAAATTTCTAGGACGACTAGAGGCGGGGGACCGGTTTGGGTGTAATTGGAGGGGGGACTAACCTGAATTCTTGTGACCCTGAAGCATAAGTTGCGCGTTCGCAGTTCGGGGGTCCCAGAATTGTACTCCACGGTCCTTGGAACCACTAAGAACCCAGTTGCCGTCAGGTGTCAAAGCGACACTGAGTACAAAGTCCTGTATAATTGTACATCAGCTGATCTGTCCATTTGGTCGACTTTCAAATAGGCCGATAGTCATGAAAAATTTGTACGTAGGAGTCTCCCGCGTGGGGAAGTATTATGGAGACTTACCTTGTGTCCCTCGAACGTTTTGACGCATTTTCCGCGATTCGTACCGCCACCCGGCATCAAACCCCTTGCTGCTGACAACTCCCACATCTTAATTGTTTTATCCAAACTTCCGGAGACTAGATCCCTTCCGTTCGGTGCAAATGCGACACTGTACACGCTGTCCTTGTGTCCCTCGGCGCCTTCGAGTCTTTCAACAAGATAACCTGTCTGGGCATCCCACACACGCACACTCTTGTCAAGAGATCCGGCGGCCACGTATCTACCATCAGGAGATATAGCGACAGTCGTAACCCCATCCTCGATACTAAGTGTGAGAACATTCTGACCAGATTCGATATCCCAGACACGAACGGTGCGATCACCACTTCCTGAAGCGATATGTCTTCCATTCCTGGCGAAATCAAGAGAGTAGATATCTTGCTCATGCCCGTGGAAAGTGTGCTTAATCACACGACCTTGAATGTCCCACACCTACAAAATGTAAGTTAATCTGCGTCACCAACGTGGGAACATCTGGAATATTTGAATATAAGCTTACCCGAATTTGCTTATCTTCAGCACCAGTAGCAAGATATCTTCCATCAGGACTGAAGCAGACACTTCGGATGTACAAGTCCCCATCCCTGTCCACACTCTCATCTTGTAGATGCGAAACCTTGTTTCCAGTCTTCACATCGAAAATCTGAGCGCTGCGATTGCAGCCCGTGGCAACATATTTACCGTCTTGGCTGAATCTCACACAGCAGACAACACTGTTATGTTCAAGGGTGTGAACGAGGTCTACATCTAGGAGACGAGGAACCTTGGGGTTGAACAGAGCAAACCAATCTGCTCCCTCCTTCTTCTGACTAGCTGGCACACGGTCCGGGTCTATGCCTGAAAAATCATTGCCGTTCATTTGCGCCGTGTTCAATGGCTGCGGAGACCTCGGACGCGTAATTCGGGGCGATCCACGTTCGGGGGGGAATGTACACATGTTCTGTTGAGGTGTACCCGGGCCGCCGCCGACTGGACCAGCTCTTCCACCCCTTCCACCTTTACCAGGGCCAGGGCCGGGGGAGGCAACTGGTTGTGGAGTACCACCACCGTAACCTATTATAGTTCAATACATCCAATTAGCTTCAAAGGCTTCTGACCAATGAATCAAAGGCGAAATGAAGTGACCAATAAGTATGGTTTAATCATGTCACCCAATATAAAGTGACTTACCATTCACAAATCCGGTAGGTGGCTGGTACGCCTGTTGTGCCTGTGGCTGCTGCGGCGGTTGGTTTGAGGGGCCTTGTGGGATGGCTGCTGGTGGTGGTGGGGGTATTTGGGGGTGATGCTGCTGCTGCTGTGGATCTTGCTGTTGTGGCGGTGCTAGCGGTGGCCCATTGGGACCCCCGCCTGCCATGATTGTACCAAACAAATCTCTTGGTCCGTGCCCAATAGCTGGAGGGGGAGGCTGCGAGGGACCGGCATTTTGAGAACCATGTTGAGGGGCATGTGCTCCTCCGCGTGCCTCCAGCTCCCGTGTGAGACGAGTGATCTCCTCTTCATACCTAAGACAAAAGAGTAAATCATTAGAATCTTGATCCCATAAAAAGCTCTGAAGAATAGACACACAGCGCAAAAGCCCTAGTGATGGGCAACAGTTATATGGATAAAGAAACGTACTTTTGTTTCATTGTAGCATGCGCAGCTTCTAGTTGAAAAACAGTCTGCCTTACTAGATCCATCTCCTGAGTCTGGGCATTGACTATCTTCGAGTCAGCAAATCTCGTGAACTTTGTTAGAGCTAGCTTCACTTGCTAACAAGCAAATTGACTAGTTTAGTTTTCACAAGTGATAATTTATAGACGTACTTTTGTGTTCGTACTCGCTGGATCTAGCCTGCTGCTGATCAAACTCGGCGCGGACCTGATCCAGCAGCTCATTCAAGCGGCTGTTTGGAGCAGGCCCCATTCCACGGTGTGAGTTGTACATCGTACTCATTCAGCGACACGCAATATAAGTCTTTTTTTTATTGTATTGAATGTTTTTGTTGTGGTGAAGATCGCAACGGGTACGGTCGCGGGGGAGCAGGTTCGCTGTATTATGTAGGGACGGTCAGTAGACACGCTTTGCTTTTTATTTCAACTACCAAACACTAGTGGTGACTAGGTTGCGCACAGCTGGGCGCGACAATGTAGGGTTGGACAAGGATGGTGCAGCAGATGAAAACAAAAATTGTGAAACCAACTTTCAGGGGGCCTAGTGAAGACTTAGATAACAACGGCGGGGATGAAGGTGATGAAACTATGGGTTGATGGTGGACGGAAGTGGTCAAGTATACGATGGTGATAGTTGTGTGGGGAAGGAGATTGTTGTTGTGTGATGATGGATGATGATTGTGGTGGTGATGGATGATGATGGAGGATGGGATGGATACGCGATTAAGGGGATCGGTAGCAATAGTGGTAGTGGTAGTCTTGATGGCTATGTATTTTTGGATTTTTTTTTTTTTAGTTTCAATGGGGGGAGGGGGGGCCAAGGATAAAATGGACGCGAACGTGAACACAAATACGCAGGGCTCAGGAGAGAGCGATGTGTTGTGTTGTGTATGGTGCGAAGGGAGTGAGAGTGAAAGGAAGAGCAGAGTGTAAAGAGGAGGAGGGAGGAGGAAGAGGGAGAGGGTGCGAGGGAGGAGAACGAGGGTTAGGAAATATGTTAGAGTGTAGGTAGCGGCTACCCAAGTACGCGAGCGGCGAGACGATCGAACAGCAGAACGGTGGACGGGGTGTAGTTGAGACAGGAAGCCTATCTTCACACGAGCCTTTGCCTACATGTAAGTATGCCTATGAGCAGGGCTGCCGCTTTCTGGCCCGCTAAAATGGTTTTCGCAACGACCCGGAAGAAGCTGCGGGTGTGGGTGTAATGGGTGGGGAGCTGCATATGCTCTAAGGGTTAGGTGTGCACTAGAAGCTCAGGTGCAACCGCAACAATTTTTGGCAGCGGCCGCGCTTTCGATGCTGCTTGGCAGTGTTGGAAAACGTGTGTGTGGCTAGTGCTCCATCAAACCTTGCTTAAACCTCAGCCCAGCAGCAGCATCTCTATATAATACAAAGGAAACTGCGGTAACTACATGTAGGGCCAGCATCAACAGAGCTTCCCTTTCATGGCGGATAGCATGCGCCTTATTACTACATGCATTCTACATAGATACAAACAATATGTATGGGGAACTATGGGGTGCACGGTTATCGCGATGGTAATTGTTTACCCGCCACCTGTCTTGCGATGTACGTGCACGGCGTTTGTCAACCCCCAGTGATAATAACACAAGGCATGACTGTCGGTACATGCTCCGTCACTAGCCACAGCCAACCACACCTACCCCCCAAACTGGAGTTCCCGTTCCTTACGGCAAAAAAAAACAAATACATTATGCGGTACACTCTACCTACACCCTCGAACTGGTGGCCAACTCTACATCCACGATCGCACACAACTAACACTCCACCAACCGTGGGGTCATGTCGAAAGAAAAGAAAAGAAAAACGGGAAACAAAAAGAAAATACCAACATCAGCAACGAAAGAAACGCGCAGAAGAAAATCAAGAGAGATCATGTCTTAATATTGCTTTTCACTTCACACTCGAGCAAAAACAAAGCAATGCAGGGAAGGCGAAGATGTGGTGGATCTTGCGAACTGCAGTTTGTATGGAAGGAATATGTGTGTGCTTTTCTCTCACGGCTGCACGCATCCGATATTTCTTTCCCTGCTGAGAACTGCATGCATCCCGTTACACCACCAAAGATATTCAGATCACGGGCTGACGTCTGTTTCCCAAGCTCCTTGGTAGTAGTCTAGTAGGATGGCTCTGCTTATCAACATGTGCTGCGATGCCTCAGGGTCACATATCTAAACCAAAAAAAAAAAAAGAGAAGAAAAGTAAGAAAAAGGAATAATTGATGGAGAGGATCGAGGCTAGATATCCACACCAAGAAGAAAAAAATGAATATCAGAGCTTAAGCATCCCCAATACTACATACACGATGGATGAGATTACCAAAAAGCGCAAGAGGTTGGACAGACAGTCTGTGGGAAAAAAGCAAAGAAATGACGCAAACAAATAGCCGAGAAACCTTCTTCTCGTTGCTGCCGAGAAACAGCAAAGCCGTTGGTACAGCAGAGCCTCAATTACATAATATCTCCGTGATTACCGGGGAAATGTTTTTCCGAATACCAAGATATCTCGCTCTAGAATCTGGCCTTTCCCGATCAAAATACTTTATAACTGCATGGATAAATGCCTTCTATTCTCTCGAATGAAAATCTTGCAAGCTGCACCGAATACCTGCATAAATACCCTACATAGATAGGTAAAGGTTTCTGTATCTGCCGCAGGAGAGACTACAACTTAAATACATACATGTACTTACCATGACATCGGAGACCCTGGCCAACTTGCCAACCAAGTTAGGGTTTGTCGACAGGTCACTGCTCACTAAGCTTGGTTGGCCGGTTTGTTAATATCAATATTCTAACGTCTTTTAGAGTCGTGGCTTGTACTAAGCATCCAGGAACCTCAGGGCTCATTACTCGGCCAAATCCGTGGAGGATCAATCGGGAGGTGAACCGAGCGGCTTCCATAAAAGGTTATGTAATCAATTATTATATTGGTCTTGTCACATGACCATTTTTAATCCTGCCGATAGGAGTCAATTCAATTAATCTTTCTGGCCTTATCTCGTTATCTGTAGTACCCGTGGTCTTGGGCAGGCCTGATTGCCTTCCGTGGAGCGCACCATTCACATTATTATCTATTTAACGTGGGCCTATCGTGGAGTCATAGCTGGATGTGTTTGCCAGGTGTCAGTTACAAACTCAACACCTGCAGGAGACAAAACTGATGCGTTCGCTAGACCACGCAAAAAGTGTTTGGTTACCAAGAATTGTTCTCTTCGCTTGATAACCAAACTAATCGAGAAGCGAGTCACGCCTACCCCGACGTTGAAATAACTTTTCATTGCGTGGACTCATCAGGTCAAGCTAATGTTTGACTCCTTTGGACTCAGCCTGAGTGTCTGTTTCATTGTTTGATAAAGTTTTCAAACGGGCCAATGGATCTGGAGTAGGATCTTTACTTAAACGCCGCCCTTCTTTACCAATACCAGGGCTATTTACAATAATCGAATTTGACGATGTTCTTCAGAGTAAACAACTATGAAACGCTACGGCACCTTTCGTCTTGATTATTGGATAAAACTTTAACTGTTATCGTAAGAGACACAAGGTCAATCGGGTGCACAGCCCGGCATTGAGAAGCGGGGTTTTGATAATCGGTCAGATCGAGTTTCTAAAGTCTTCACAGCGCCTTGTCGCAAGAATTTGCGATCTCAACTGTTTCTTGTGTGCTTTTACGCCTGAGAGTGCCGTGATCGAGTTGTTCATAAACTGAGTTTTGAATTCCCCGAGGAAATATTCAAGCAGGCAGTGAAATAACGGGATAGCTATCAACAAGTTTCAGCTAGAGATATACCCAATCAAACGTTGGGCCCTGGCCCGTGTCAGATACTTGAAAAGCGTACACACTGTCTTGCCAGTGATACTTATACATCGCCTCCAGGAAGACCCTTTGATAGGGTAGGGTGCTCATAACGCAATCGAACACCATATCTCATGAGGTCAAAAACCATTTCCTAACCATCTACTCGGGTTCCTATCGACTTATAGTCACTGTGTTGTATATGTGGTACCCGTTCTAGGCTTTAAACTATTAAATCGGCTATTATATTGAGGCATCTGAGTTTTATTCAGATTATATCCATGGGTGTCTTCATTAACTTTGCCTTTAGTTCACCTCATTATTCTTGTAGTACGGCAAGAATATCCTTTAACATATGAGGCCCGTGCGATTGTTGTTTAGGCAATGATATTCACTCGAAGATATGGACATGGAGAGGTTAGAAGCAGGTAGTTATCGGTGGTTCCGGTTAAAACATTCTATATTCAAAGTTTGTTAACGGCCCCTGCAATATCACTTAGATGGGTTCTTTATACTCCATAACATCGAAAATTATTTGAATATATAAATTTAAACAAGCGTTTGAGGATACTTCCAAAGGAAGCTATATGTACTACCTTTCTGGCGGTAAAAAACTGACTACATTTCCTGTGTTTTGTAGCACATTGGTCCTGGTCCGATACCTAAGTTTGTGGGGTGGTTGAATCTCTCTTTTAGCTGTTCCTAGTCGGAAACCTTCCGAGTCTATCATATTACATGCATAAAGGAGCTTTGTCACTCCCCTTGCGTTGGTTAGAGGCCAAGACGGATCTATCAGTATAGGGTTCAAAGGGCATATATACAGCACTAGCATATCTATGCAGGAGATCTAAAGGATATTGTCCCCGTCTACTCCGGCCGATCAGGATACAAAAAACGTATTAGGAAATTGAGACTTTTGTGCTAACCGGATTGACTGCTGGATTCGTACTGGTATCACGTGATTAATATACAGGGGGATTTATTAGCAGTTTGGTAGGACTTGAGCTCTTATTATTTCGAAAGTCCTGGGAGGGGCTTGTCGATGTCCTCTGATTAAACATAAGACCTGTCCAAACGTTGAAACAACCCTGGGTGTAATCACAAACTCCCACACTCAATTTCGCATCCGCAAAAAATATATTCTGCAGATTGCGATTTGTGCAGGCAGGCTGTACCTGCTGACCAGAGCAGGTAACACCAGGGCAACAAGCGTTTAGCTGCGTCAGAACTTTAAGTAATTGTGCCTCTTTTACTGCTTGTATGTGCTCGTAGTAATTAACAAAAATGCTATATACCGCCATAACTCGAAAAATTGGCTAGCTTCCAGAGATCAAAATTACTTGTATGGGAAACTTCTGATGCAGATCGATGCCATTCAACCAATCACTCGAGCGATAATCCCTGGCCGGAGATAGCCAATTTTTCGAGTTTTGGCGGTAGCTAACGCTGCCTCCCTTGGCATGTAATATGACGTACATATGTACTCTACTCGCGACCAGCAACAAGAACCCGAATATGCAGCTGCAAGTCTTTGGTGTATTTTTGACTTCTACTCCAATGGAAATTGCAGATTAGGACGTGCATTTTCGGGTTCTTGTTGCTGGTCGCGAGTACTTCTAAAGTGCGTACATAAGTCAAAGGCCATATTGGCTTAGTAGACACACCACTGCCATCGATACCACTATCACACTGTTGTGCGACAAGGCCTGGATTCTGGACAGAGGCCTCCTTTGAGAAATAGCTCCTGTGTAACTACATACATACATAGCCACATTGAATAAGAGATGAAAACCATGTTTGTGGCAAAGACACAGACACCCCAGATCTTCCAGCCCCAGTTTGGAGGTTGGGCAAAAACCGTTACTCATACTCTAAGTTCCATGCATAAACACAGTTGCTGCAGTGCAGTGATTATGTTTACCAACCAAAATAACCTCTTGCGTTCACTATTCCAAATTCTTCCAACCGAGTGACACCACCCCAGGAAAGCACAGAGAATGAGGAAGGAAGGATGAAGCGAAGACATGACACAGCGTGTTCTAAGGCTGAAGTCTTTGTTCACATATCCTATATCTACTACGTCGAGGAACCAATAGTTCGACCGACATCCTGCGCAGAAACGAATTGCACAGCAGTCAGCACCCAACAAACTCATATTAGTCTGCAATGTGGTTATGTAATCTACATCATTCTCGGATTTTGTCATGCAGCGATAGATTGAAGGTATATTGCATCTTAAGAGGTTAGGATTTCAGATTTGAGTGCTGATAGGATCTTAAGGTCAGAAACCTCGCCGTTCGGTATTCGGAATGCGGGGTCAGGCAAACACCCCGCGAAATGTCTCATCGCATTTTGAGGACTACATACTCTGCTCAATGGTATTAGTACTAGTAGCGGGCTAGATCTCCTATGTAGTCCTAGGGACTAGTAGTACAGAGTGTTCCTAATGAGATGGATCATGGATGAATCAGCGCACTAGCTGACTATATATAGCACCCTTCGATTTACAAGATGGCAAGCCTTTATCATCGCGTTTATCCGCCGCGTTCCCACAGACCCTGCAACTACCCGCATGCTTAAAGTTAGCTGGAAATGATGTACATATTATCCGCTGTAGGCAGAAGGCTGTTGCGCGCGTTGCTCTTTACCATATTTCACTGTGGTTGTCGCACACACACGCACAGACGACTCAGACCAGCTAGACACACACAGAAAAGATGCAGAAGCAAGAGAGAAGGATGTGGAAACCGATCAGTATCGGGACTTTTCTCTCAGCGGTTCCCTTAGCGATCGTATCGTGTATGTATGGACGGATATGTATGCGTGCTCGGTGTGTGTGCTCGGTGTGTGTGTGTGCTACAGAGGTAGAGCACGTACGTACACCCTGTATCGAGTAGAATTAAATATTAGCATGACCCAGAGATTCTGACTTGATTCGGCTAAGTTTTCCCCTCGTGGTGGAAAGAGAGGTGAAAAAGGCACCGCCGGTGGGTGTGTATGTAAGGGTATGCCATGGGTTAATCCTACAATCCTTTTTTTCGTTCTTTCTTTGCTCGACGGTCGAAGAAAACGAAGGCTTAGAAGACCCCCCCTCCGAGATAAAGATAAAGGAGCATAATAAACCATGATGCCACCTCTTTCATTTTTGAAACTTATTTCATGGAGACCCCCCGGGATCGTACGATATCTTTTTTTCCTGTCTAAATATCTACACTTCTCCGTAGCTCATGCTCATGCTCATGCTTGCGCTGCATCAGTTACACCGAACCGTACAACCCAGCTAGGTTCAGATGGACCCCTGTTTCTCGTTCTAGTCTCTCTCTTTCTTCCAGATCAGTGTTCACTCACCTCTTTGAGTTTCTCGGCCCCCTGTTCGAGGTCTCGGCTTGTCTCTTTTCAGGCGTTATCACATACCTTTTTTGCCATTTACCCCAGGACAAATTCCACAGGAACCACATTATACCCCTGCAGGTCAAATCCTATCTAAGTTTGGCTGCTGCCAATCGGCTGTTGGCTCTATTTGCCGAGTATCAAGAAGATTAACGCAGAAAGCTTTGTCCTGCATATGCCCTCAAAGCGGAATTCAGGAAGGGCTTATTTATACACTCATATATCATTATGAGCATCGCCCCCTCATTTGATCAACCACATGTAAGCTGTCACTCCAGAAAAGCCCTTCTTAACTGCCCCTCTTATACTCGTCGATGGGGGTGAATTTCTGTATTGCCACCGTGTACTCACAATAACACCCTCCCCTCCAGTGAGAAGACTTATTTCCGGATACTTTTGATGAGAAGATAATAGTAAATTGGTCCGTTATACTTCACCATCCCACCAATAACTCTTCTTTTTATTTTTTATTTAATCCATTATCTCTTTTATAGATTCCCAGAGTACCAAACCCAAGTGTTACCGAAACATCATGGCAACACTCGAAGGAAGAAAATTGAAGAGGGACTTCATCTCGGAACTTCCCCTGGAACTTTCGAGACTTGTTCTCTCACTGCTTGATATTAAAGATATCTTCATGTGTTCAGCAGTGAGTCGTACATGGCGTTCACACACGCTCATTGACGACTCATTATACATTCCTCATCTCCTAAGGAAGTACAACAACGTTACACATGGCCGGGATCCTATCCCTCTCAAGGCAAATGCTGCCCAGGAGCTTCTTCGGAGATTTCCGCGTCTATCGGCATCCACATATTTTTCGGATTTATCGACACTCCGTGACTTGGCACTCCGAGATCTCTACCTCTTGAAGCAATGGAACAGTGGGAAGTCTTGGCGGAAGACCAACTTGAATGTGTCCTTTGAGCACGCAGACGTACTTCTCTCGGCCTTAATTGATCCGGTGTACAGTCTGGTCATAAGTGGGGACCGCTCGGGGAAGGTGGTGTTTTGGAGTACCCAGACGGAAAAGGCGGTTAGCAGCTTCTGCTTGGGCGACGATCGTAGGGAAGGGGACATCCGGGGCCCACGTCCAGCGGCTTCTGCTATGGCGTTAGCCGGCGATCATCTGGTTATTGGAACATGGGTATTAAACCACAAATTCCTGGGGGTAGTGTAGTGTGTATGTGGGAAGGGGACAACGTATGCTAATATCGGGGGGTATTGCAGCACATGATGGTGCACATCGCTCGTAGAGATGCGGAGGATGTACCTGTCGAGAGTCGAGCCTTCTCGTTAGTCGCAAGTTTCCCGGTCCCGTCGCCTGTCGTCAGCATACTGTTAGAGGGCACGATATGTATTGTGGGCTGTCATAGTGGCGAGATCTCATTCTGGGACATAGGTGTCCCCAAAGCCAGCGGCCTTTCGTCGGAGGAGGCCCCCAAAGTGGAATACTGCCCTAAATGGCTTCTTAACATCCAGATACCAAATAATGGTCCCTTCCAGCAAAAGAACCTTTCCATGCACTACCAAAAGCCTTTCCTCTTCACATCGTCCAATCTCGTCTCCCAGGTGACACCAAGTTCACGAAAGATGGACCGGAACAACAAGCGTGATCTGTGGGAATACGGCGAGCGGGAAATAACCATAAAGTCCTTCTGCGGCTCCACACTGGACCTACCACCGGAGCACCTTTGCCTCTTGCATCCCTCACGTGACGAGGGTGACCTTTTCGTGGCATGGCCAGACTTCTCAGTCTACAGTGTGGGCAACTTCAATGCGAAGATCGTTTGGACTCCAAAGTCGGACTTGCTGGTGGGAAAGGCCCACGATCTGCCTGTGAGATGTCTTGGCGCCACGGACGGTTTCCTTCTTACGGGTTCCTTTGATCATGTGTGTATACTCTTTCCTGTGCAACGCGCATCTTCTTTTGGTATTCTAATAATAGGTAGACTGTCCGGTTGTTTGGGGAAGATGGAACTCCTATATGTGAACCCTTTGAGCACAGGGGCGAGGTTAATGCTTTAGCCGTAAGTCAATGTCTTGCAGTTTGGTCTTTGTGGCATGCTGAGCCTTTTGTGATTCAGGTGGATCCATGTTTTTTCGCCAGCGTGTCGGATGATAAGACGGTGATGCTGTGGGATTTCACGTCCCCTGCTTATGCGGCGAATTTTGGCGCTTCGTCGGCTGCTATATCGGATTCGGAGTCGGAGTCGGATACTTCGTCTCCAAGTTCTCATGTTACGAGCCCTCCTTCGAGCCCGGAGATTTAGATATTCGTAACCCATATCGACCCAGGCCCTCCTTGGAATCGGAATATGGAACACAAAGATTTGGTTATATTATTTTTATCCAATAGGGCAAACATAAAGACTGGTTGACAGGAACAACTCCCTCCCCGCCCCCAATACTATTTATCGGCATATTGACATGCAGGTTTCTAGTCATATATTCTCACTCTGACAGTTTTATATATTTTTTCTTTTCCCTCCCCCTCTCTCTCAATATATGCATGCATGTCGTTACTCAGCATCGTTTTTCTTTTTCCTGTACGTAGGGTTGCATTTCTTGGTAGGGGAGCATATATAAACTTTCGTGCACATGTAGTGATAGGTGTTTTCTGGCATATAAAAAATCATTATTTTACTTCTCCACTGCAAAAAAAAACGTATGTACCATCGTATAAGAAACGTGCATTATAGGTAGAGTAGATGATTGGCACAGGCCCCTATAAGACAGGCTCTTATAACGTAGCCCAGCCCAGTCCAACCTAGCCCAGCCGATCACCCACCACGCCTTCGGGCTGTGCTGCCATGGACATCGTATGGCGAACCGCGGCCGGGAACCACCCTGTTCCCGCCCGTGGTTCCCCCCAGAAGAAAAAAAAACAGCGACTCGCTAGTTTTGAAATGATACACACCCGTACCTGGTAGAAGTACCTACATGTAGGTACATATTATATTGAGATTGAGATTAAAGCAGCAGCAGCCATGTGGCGGCGTGGTACGCGCTAGTGATATGTAGGTACCTGCTGCCTGTTAAACGAGATTGCCTTGTGTACCTGAGTTGCCTAGCTACCGCACTAGACTGCATGTACTCTAGAACCCGTTACTAGTGGCGATTTCAATTCGTCTGACAGTGGAATGGAGTGTAGTAGTGTAGTGTAGTGTAGCAAGGTAAGGCAAGGCAAGATAAGGCAAGGCAAACAAGGCAACAAGCGGGGATGGGGGTGGACGATGGAGGTGGAGGGGAGGGAGGGGGGTAGTTAAATGGAATTAGATAAGCAGTAAGCGGCACAGCTAGATATGTATGCACGAACGCGGCCGAATTGGGGTGACGTTAGTAGTAGGTACATAGATGGGGTTTGGTAAGTTGGTAGATGGGGGGTTAGTTGATACTTGTAGCCTAGTGCAGCCTACTATTCCCCGCACTTGGCTGCTTATGGGTTCTTACTACTACTATTATTATTATTTTAGTAGGCTTACTATTTTTTTTAGTCGCTACTAATACTGGCTACCGTAAAGAGACTAGCCTGCTTTGTTGCGAGTGATGGTATGTGATCTAAGTCGGAATGTCACTCACTCGTTGGTTTATGGATTTGAAATATTATATTACGAAGGAGGGACTAGAGTCCGCCCCGTTCAGATATATCCGCTGTAGCAAGAAAAAAACAAAAAAAACAGAGCTCTAAGTGTACGTTTAGCTACTCTGCGCCCTCACCCATGTTCCCACCACCGTCTTCGTCTCTACTGGCATAATTGAGGTGTTTCCAGTCCTCAATCTACTCCCATCACAGCATATTAGTACGCACCCTAACCCCCCAATATACTCCAAGATAAAAAGAAGAAGGAAACGAACCTCCTCAATCGTAGACCTCAGCCGGTCTCTAATCGCCTCGACCGCATGATTCCCAATAAACAGCCTCAATGGCGGATGCACACAATGCGCCAACTGCCTCCCGCGTCAGCGCCCGCCCCCTTAGTCAGCCCCCTCATAGAATCAAACTCACCTCCCACACAATCTCCGCACACCTCACCGCGCTCGTCGGCTCCCTATACTTCAACCAGTCAATCATCCTCGTCGCATGCTGCGCCGGACTACTCGTCGCCCTATACGCATCCTCGGGCGGCTTGAGTAGAAAGTGCCCCCACATGGGCGCGGGCCCATGGAGCGCCTCGTCCGGCTCGTCGCGGCGTGACACCCCCGGGATCACGATGGTGACCTTGATTCCGAGCGGCTCGACCTCGTACAGGAGCGACTCGGCGAGGCCCTCGATAGCCCATTTAGTGGCACAGTAGGGGCCGAGGCCGGGGATACCGAGAGTGCCGGCCGTGGAGGAGAAGAGGAGGTAATGGCCGCCGCCGCCGGGGCGCGTGCGCAGGTAGGGGAGGGTGCTTTGGAGGATGTTCAGGGTACCGAGGGTGTTTGTGGTGAATTGGGCGCGGATTTCGTGGTTGTCTTGGTCTTCGCAGGCGCCTATTATTCCTATAGGGAGTGGGGGAGGTTAGTGTTAGTGGTATTGGAAGGACGGAATAGAGTATGATGAGATAGATCAGAAGAGCTAGTCTTTAGGCACGAACAAAGGTCACATCATAGCACGGAATCACCTACCATATCCCGTACAACTACTCCCTCAAAAAGAAAAAACCTTTGCATCAATCATTACCCGCACATCAACCATTACCCCTTCCAACCCCCCACCGAGGAGGTGCAAACTTACTTAACAACCCTATCCACCCTCCCCCAACACTCCAAACACTTCTCAAGTACCTCCTTGACCGTCGACGCAACTCTCACATCGCACACAAGCCCTGACAGTTCTTGTGCCATCCATCCATGCTCGCCTCTTCACCGGGTACGGTACGGTTTCCAACCGCCGTCACGAGATCGCCGCGCTTGAGCGCTACGCGGCAGATGGAGCGGCCGAGGTGCCCAGTTGCGCCGAATACCTGTGTCTATTGTGAGTATTGTTAAAATCAAGGGAGGGGAGAGAAGCTTACAAGCCATACCAACTGCTGTGGCGGGGAGCTGGCGGTCGGGGGCATGCATGAGGGAGGGAGATAAGTGCGGGGGGTTGGCGCGGCTAGGGGGGAGGAGGGCGTGTTGGACATATTAATGGCGTGGTGTTATGGGGGGGGGGGAGTTGTAGATGTGGGGGAGGGACTTGTATTTATTTATTTGTGTACCTGTTGGTTGTATGTCGTCGACTCTTGTGGGCAAGATGGCGGCCGCGGGTGTATGACGTGGTGGGTGGGGGCTAGCCCGCCAAGAGGGCTAAGCTTTTTGGAGCCGCAGGGCTTGCAGGGATATCCTTGCCCATGGACGGTGCTTACCGTTCGTGAGTGGAGCAGCCCTTCGTGAGCTGTACCTACTTGCTTGTTGGCGTATACGTACCCTATGGACTATCACCAGATCGCTCAGCATTGCTCTGCCCTCCACCCCTGTGTGTTTGTTTTCTGAATACTGGATATGTTAGGAAGGAGAGAGGAACACTGACACTGACACTGACACTGACACTGACACTGACACCGTGAATAAAATCAACTCAGCTGGGTATGGGACTCGAGAGCTAGAAAGTGTCCTAGGGGCAGTGAAAATTTCACGTCTTCTAACCTCCCAGAAACACACACGTCTATAACGTGCCATCCTACCAAGTCTCCTGCCGTAAGACGAAGCTGTGGGAGGCTTGATACTAGGCAATGTCCTCCTCTAGTATAAATCCATATATACAGCGAGAGGTAAAATTATTGTAGAAACAGGGGTCTAAAAACAGGATTTCTGTGGCTGGGCAAGCCAATAGGACTCCTCCCATATTTCTACAATAATCTTACCGCAAGCTGTATAGGAGGTGTTTCCAACTGAAGTTAGATATGTGATGATTGGATCAAGTGGTTCGTAAAAAACTTCGCTAAATAAATACCCTAGTGGTGACTACGTTTCGGCCACGTCTCTGCTACGATATCCTTAACCTCTATTGCATATATTGCTCGTATGACTACCAACGGCTCTCTACAAGACACCTTGAGTATATTGAATTTTGGCCACTTACTTACTTTATTGGGGTGCCCATTGCTTTGGGGGAACTTTCGACTATGTACCAGCTTCATTCTCACTACATGTATCTATGTAAGTGTATATACTGGGTCTCGTGATGCTGAACTAGGAGCTTAATACGGACCCAGTGCATGCGAGGCTTTCGATCCCCAGCCTCGAAGTTGGCACCTCCTACAGAACAGTAAGACCCACGAGCCCCGACGAGCCAGAGGGACCTGCCTCAAAATCCTACCAACCCACCACCGCCAGGATTCATGCAATTAATGAATTAAACAAAAAAGAAAAACCGCCAGGATTCCACAGCGGAATGTGCCGAGGGTCAATGATCGTAGTGCCATATTTTCGTGCGCACATAAACTAGTCATGTTCGACAGGTATAGTGATATTGATGCGAGACACAATAGTACGGGAGGGTCTATCTGTAGATCACTTGTCCCTGGATCTTCCATTGCGTCCGCCCGTGCAGTCAATGGTCAATACCCTAGGCTAGGTATTTACCACTGTAGCTAAGGACTCTGCCCATCCAAACTCAGTGGTCTCTCTCCTGTAGTCCAAGGTATCAGTGAACTATTTGACTACCTATTTCCGGACGCTTAACGTGTAAGTTTTAGAAGCCCAACGATACCCTTCGTAGTCGATGTACTCCTGCTCATATCGAGCTATCGACCTAGCTACAAACCCTTGCAGCTAAGCAGTGATTCTATAAATGGCGCAAAGCTCCCTTACAAGGTAACCACGTATCTAGATATAATGATCTATACGCGGCCTCGAGTAAAGTGGGCTTACCCTAGTGTCTAAAGTGTTGGTTGGGCCGAGGCCAGTGTCAATGGTCATATAAGGGTTAGGGTTCAGACCAGTGGCTTAAAAAAGGTCACTGGCCCACCTCAAGGTTAAGCTCAAATCTACGAAACTCACATTGAATCATCTCGGACCAGTTGCTGCAGGCCAAACTCTCATTTCAGGAAACCATAATATTGATGTCCAATTGGTATAATGTTAAACCAGCCTTCAGGGCAGTCTAAAAGATACATTCCCATAAACAATACCGCCATATTCCACCCAGATACCAAAATCCCAAGATTGGTCCTATAAGAAGGAATGGAGATAGAAAGGGGGGTAGGGGGAGGTAAAATATATAAAATACAAGTATGTAAAAAACTAAACTAATTGCATGGCCACTAAAACGCCCCTAACTCATATCACCTCGGTTTTTTTTTTTACTAACCACCCATATATCCCCCCATATAAAAAATACAGATACAGATACAGCTGTGTAACTCCCAGCCCACAGAGGAGAAAAATGGACAAAAAAAGATTCCCGCTGCACCCGATATAGGAACCCACCACCCGGGTATAAACGCCACACCTAACTAGGGGGTGAGAGACCTCCTACCTCTCTTACTCCACTCCTTCGGCGTTGACCGATGATCTGGGCTCCGACTTTGATGACGCTCCCCCTTCTCTCCAAGCGCGCCTGCATCTTCACCTTTTTATGCTCGTCCTTGAGATCTTTCCTCCTGATTTCATGAATCTCCGCGAAGAACCACGGCGGGCGGACCCCACCTAGCGGCTCCGCCGGCGTAATCATGGGGACTGGGACGGTTTTCTCAAACACCTCCAGGCCTAGTGGTTCAGTGCGCGCGGGGACTGGTTCGCCGGATAGCGTTTGTCCGCTGGATTGTTCTGGGCGGGCAAATATAGGAATTACGACACCGCATTCCCAGTTCTTGCATTTGATCTTGATCTTTGGCACGGCGACTGCGCGGTTGAGAATCAGTTTGCCCCTGTTGTGTGTTAGTCCCTGGCCGGTTCGAGCTTGCTTTTATATCCTTGGAGTCACTTACCAGGCGCTTTCACTGAGATTGGCAGAGCCTACATAGGCCCATGCATCCAGCTTACCACCGGCCGTTTCTAGCTGCACTGGGGGTCTCACAAACATGATCTTGCTGTGCATAACCAGGCCCGTTCTGACGCTTTCACAGTCCCTGAGAATGCTCTTTGGGTATTCCGGATCCCGCCACTGATCCTGAACAAAGGTGATGGTCCCTCCGCCATTCAAGCCACCAAAGCTCCTCCGTACCGTTTCGCGACTGGGGAAATATACACGGAAGCGCTCTTTAACGCGCGTCCAGGAGGTCTCCTCCTCATCGATCTCCAAAGGTTCTTCGGATGCTGTTTCGTCTGAATCCTGTGCCGGCCTGCCCTTCCCGCGCGGCGGAGTCTTCTTCCTCTTAACTCCCTTCTTCTTCGGTTCTTGGATCAGTGGACGTCGCAAAACCTCTGCGGTCCCGTCACAGCCCATGGCTGTGTTGTACATATTCACAATGAAGTCATTATGGGTCGCCCCGAGGGAAGCTGTGACGAAGTCAATCTCGTGGCCCTTCGGGGAGGCGTAGCCAAGCTCCTTGATTGCCTTTCCGAGGCCTGGGTATCCGGTGTTGAGCCGGATATCTTCATCGTAATGGGCGCCACCGATGGAGTGGATGAAAGCCATGTGGGCGGTTGCCGAGAAATCGTACTGGGAGAAGCGTCTAAGAACGTCTTGCGGTATTTTCTGTGCTTCGCAGAAGCGGAGGAGCTCCGTGGGGAACTGCAGACGCGATACCTCTGGGGTGGGCAGACGTGGTAGGTCAATGATGAAGACCATGTTCTCCATGGTACCGGTTTCACCCCAGTCATAGCTTGTCAGATTCGCCGTGGGGAGTACAATGCGCAGCCAGTCTTCGCCTGTATCGGCGCGCTTGTGGAAGAGAAGTTGTAACTTGCTGTGCATGGAGCTGATGTCTTCCATATCCGGGAAGACGGCATCAGCCCGCGGGAATTCTTTGAACATTGAGATATACTGCTGCTTATCCTCGTCGCGCCTTGCCTGCACGATCATGATAAACCGCTGTAGCTTCCTTGGCGGTATCTTGGAGAATACCCACTCAAAGTCCCACTGGTAGGCAGATAGGACAGCGCCGTAGATGGTATTTGGGTCAAAGATCTCTTCAAACTTGATATCATCTCCATTGCGCGGCTGGCCAAGTACCCAGGTCTTCTTAACAACACCCTGAGGGAATGGAAGATTCATCGGGTTTGGTCCAGTCAATTTGGTACCCTCGCTCTTCACCACAGAACTACTGGTATCGGAACTGGTTGTCTTGGTTCTCTTAAGAGATTCTACTGTTGCCGCCGCCGCCGCGCTGCCGGTGATGGTGATGGTGGATGAACTTGGATTACGATCCCCCCGCTTCTGCTGCTCCCCAAAGCTCTTCTGCTGCCCTCCTATTGCAGAGACCAGATCGCCCCGTCCCAAGCGTTTAAGCCTCTCACGTTCCATCTGGGCTCTATCCATACCCATCGACGACATGCCACCACCTTCCTTTGCGGGCTCTGCCTTGCTTCCTTTCGCCACCTTCCTGCTCGATGTCTGTCCATCCGACTCATCATCTGAGATCACGATAGCCTCCGACTTTCTCTTACCCGAACTCTTCTCTGGTGACTTTTCTAGCGATAGCTTGATCGCATGCGCTAGCATATCTTCACCATCCGAGTCGGATATAACGTAAGGATCCTCATTTTCCAAATTCTCCATCCTCTGCCGAAGATCGTCCCAATAATTCTGCTTCCTGACCTTACGCCTGTAGTATTCGGGTGATTTGCCGGTCTGGTTATTTACTGGCGGGGCGCCGGTATTTGCGTTGAAGATGGTGGTGGTGGTGGAGAGGTATAGGGCGTTGTGTGTTGGGAAGACGCGTTGAGTTGCGCTGCAGAGCACAGGCCGTGGGGCCAGTCGTGATAGCAATGATGACAGCATCGCTAAACCTCCCTCTTGTTGTTGTTCTTCTCCTCCTCCTACTGCCCTCTACCGGAAGGTTCGATTGAAAGTATTCAAGCGATTGTGATAGCAGCTTCCTCACCATGAACGGAAGAGGAGTGATCAGAAAGGTGTAGACTTTTTTTTCTATGTTTTGGAGGGGTCACACTAGTTTGGATAAAGCTATTTTTTTTTTTTTTTTCCGATAGCGACCTGCAGATTGTTACTAATATTGGTAGCCGCACGCCACTACAAATATCACGAACCATGGAACAGCGACGGAAAGCTTAAAGGTATCCTATTTTCTCTAGACAACTCGACATCTATAAATTACGGTACTTGAGTATAATCGGTCACTACCCACAGATAGAAATAAACGCCTACTACACCTTAATCTTTAATTGTATGCCCCGGATTTACAGCGCTTAGAAGAAATGATACGGGCATACCCTACCCTCAGATCCTTATAATCATGCTCTAGATGAATCTGCAAAACCCGAAAGGAAAGTTCCTTATAGGGTGGAGCAAACTTTTGCCACGGTGACGATTGACGGCTAGGTTATTCCAGAGCTGCCACTAGACAGACCGGTAGACTAGAAGCCTAGGGTCAATGATCAAAAAGCCAGATGGCAAGTATTTGACTCGCACTTAAATACGATTTAGCGCGCGATATAACGAGTGATAAATCGTGATTTCAGCATCAATCAAAGTCGCAACAGTTGGAGTTAGCTATGATTCGGTGGGGCACAACCAGAGTAACCCAACTAACCATAACTCAATTTCTAACCGGGAGTATTATCAGTAAACACGTTTGGGTATCAAGAGTATCTACATATTTACACAATTACAGAAAGCGTCTATACAGTGCCAGGCGCGGGGCAAGTTCCAGAGCCTAATACGCTCGGTTTGTAGACGATAGTAAAGTATCTAAGGAAAAAAATTGAAATAGGAAAAACCCGAAAACCCATTATCCCCACAAAATGAAAGAAAGAAAAAAACGCCACTTTTTAAATCAAAGATTGGGTCCATGTGTACCTTATTCGGCACATATCCCGTCAAATGCGCCGGTTCCATGCTCCTTTTCTTCTCCTCTTTTGATCTGTCATATGCCCACTCCATGCAAAAAAATAAATAAAATGGAAAGAAATATATATAAGTTGAAATTATGCAACGTTCCGCCAAATCTCCCTGTACTTTCCCCACTGGGCAAACCCTATACAAAGATTCATATCAGTAAAGTTCAAGAACCTGGGAGCTGAGATGGAATATACCAAGTTGTTCGTAGGTTCCTTCAAGGTCGACCCAGTCTACAAAGCATGCACGCATGCCCCTTTGTTTCAACTCCAAAATTGCCGCACAAATCAAACCCAACCCAACGCCCTGCCCCCGATATCCAGCTATAAAAAAACAAAGATTAGTGACGACCTAGAAACCATTTAGAACAGCCATTACTTACCCCCAACACCTAAACAAGCCAACCCTCCAACCCTCTCCCCTATTACCTTCGGCCAAGGTACATCCCTAGACATCTGGTTGTTCCCTACAGGACTAAAAATAAAAGCAGCTCCGACAATCCCTTCGCTTGTGTAGGCGATCATAGCGTCTGCAATATCATCCGTTGCTTTTAACGAGTGGTATTTCTCCACCCATCCAGTGTACGTGCTGAAGTTCTTCTCTTCAAAGTCAAGCAGCGCATCAAACTGGTTTGCGTTACAGCAGCCGAAAGAAACGCCTTTTTCTTGTAGTGGACCAAGGATACCTTCAGGAACCGTCCAATTATCGATTTTCATCATTAAATCATAGATAAATTTGTCTCCCAATTTCCAGCCTCGGTGGGAAAACCAAGACAGGTCCTCAGCAGGCAAGTCTACAGGCAGACCTGGAAATATACGAGGAAATATACTTCCAAGCTGAAGTGATGTCATTCCTGGCTGCTTTGATAGATGTCGAAGTGCAACGTCATGTAAAGATCTTCCAATACCAGAGTTTCTGTTTTCGATGCTTAGCTGGGATGACCTGGATTTATCATATCTAGAAAGTAAATAAATTACATACCTATGTGTAGGCCGAACAATAAGCAGGGCTAAACTCCCAATCAACTCATCCCTTCCTGACTGAATAGTGTACGTAACAGCGAGTCCCAATAGCTCCTTTGTCATTGTGTGACGCACAACAAAATGTTTCGATTGTCCGGGACGGTCTAGCAGAGCACTGAGCGTGCTTGCGTCCAACGGCCATTTTCGCCCTAAGCAATCTCGCCATAAGTCCGCTGAGGCAAAAAGGTCTCGTCTTTTTTCCCATACCTCAACGAACCACTGATGTTGTTGCCTCAGAGCAGATGTGCCTGGTATACTGACAGGAAGAACACCTGGTGCGTGGCGTCCACCAATTATTACTTCAGCCGCCGTTTCCAGTGCTGTTTGCGAATATTCGTATGTGCAGATGTACGTCCCAACTGGAGATGATTAGCAATAATATAAATGAAATGCACTTCGAAACTCTGCTTACATGTTCTATCAATCAAAAGATCATAAGGGTCGCATGCAGCAAGAGTTACTAAAGGCTTGTTAAGACACAGACGATGAACCGCTCCAGCAGTCTCTAGTTGGTAGCTAGTGTTTGGCCTATTTGCATTTACAGTAACAAATATGACTGCTGAGGCTCTCTTAATGAGGGCAACGTGAGTTGAGGTGATTCCATGCACAGTGTAGGGAGCGTGCCTAATTTTAGGGTGTTTTCGAGCAAGTGCCTTGCCAAAGTACTCAAATGGATCTATTGGGGGTTCTCCAGGTGCTCTCTGATGAAGAGGTCTCACAACTGGTGTAAGAAGTAGAACATTTTCTGAGGACCTTATGCGCGCAGATAATGGAATAAGGTTCTTTTCATCCCGAACCACCGTTGTCGAGTTTTCGTAAATCTTTCGTGCGAGAGATTGATGTTCCTGCATCAATGAAGGTAGGCGATTTGAATCCGGAGTAGCAAGAGCTGTCCGCCAGTTCAAGTAGTGTTGTTTCAACTGCATGACCCTCCCTGAGGATCGGTAGATCTCGCTTCTGATTATATTCCCATTTCGAATGGCTTCGTAAATAGCCTCAATTGCCTGCTTCTGTGTCTCAGGTTTGCCCAAAATCTGCAACATGTCACACCCTACTCTAATTGCCATAACGGCGGCTTCTCCAATATTTGAGCGTTTGGTGAAGGATGGCATGTCGGTAGTATCACATATAGTGAGGCCATCATATCCTAATTGTCTTCGCAATACGTCATGAATAACGTGTTTAGCATCTGCCATGCCGCCATCCCCACTCTCTTCCCACACAGACGAGGTCAACATTACACTGTCCAATCCTGCCGCAACAGCTTTTCTAAATGGGACTAGTTCTGTCATCTCCAGGTCATCTCGAGCTTTGAAGTTAAAGGTTGAACTCCGACTGCCATCCTTGTTTGTCGTTCTGCCTGTGCTCGGGAAATGCTTTACACAATGGCCCATTCCTCCAGCCCTAAGACCTTCAGCAAATGCAACCCCGTGACCACCTACTAGTTGAGGATCATCCCCAAAAGCTCTCACGCCAACATTAGTAGAATTATGTTCATTGATCACATCCAAAACGGGCGCAAAGTTCCAGTTAATTCCAACTGCGACCAGTTCTTTGGCAGTCGCTTTCGCGATATCAAAGGCTTGACTTTGTGATCGTGTTGCCCCCAGAGCCATCGCGCCTGGGAACTGAGTGGCCCGTTTTCCGTCGCCTAATCGACTGAGCTGTGCATCACATTAGTCCGACTCTTGTCATGGCGGGATGAAAGAGGGCTTTGTCTGTCTTATCTGCATACCATTCCATTCTCTTGGTCGATTCCAATGATGAGCGGCCTATCGAATCCTACAGATTGTGCAATATTTTGTAGCTCCTGTGTGAGGCTTGCCAATTGAACCCCATCTACATACCGTCAAAATTGCATCATGCAGAAAAGCATTTCACCAGGGACTAAGAAACCTACCTTGAATATTTCTTCGTGTTAAGATTATGCTTCCCACATAGTACTTTTCTATCATCATGCGGATTTCTGGAGTAACGCTAAGTCCATCAAATCCCACCATGATCATTTGACCAACAAGCCTACAATAGCATTCCTTTAATTTAGCTATCGCTTAAAAACTTGGGCGGCCAGCGAGCTTTCAACCTACCGTGCTGCTTCTTCATCATCGCGCTGCGCAATGGGCTCAGAGGAACTTCTACGAGGCTGCGCATATTCACCGTTCGTCTGGCTAGGAATTAGCTCAATTCTAAATAGGTTGTTAAAATGTATGAAGGAGGGCTAACTGTGGCCATAATTCTGTTGCGATTCCTTCTACTGGCGCTAAAAGGCTTAGTTTCTGTCGATTATTTGAGTCCGTTTACAGATATTCTGATAGCTTTGGAGGTTTATGTGCTGCTCGTGAAGAATATTGTGCGACACAGATGGCGTCGAAATTTGGTCTGGCAGATTGTAGTGGGAGGAGTAGCAAGGACTGCTCTGGAGCTGAATACACTCAACCTTATGTTGAGGGCATGCGAGTGAGGAAAGTAGAGGGGATAGCTCAGCTCGGAAGTCCGCTGTAAATAACCAAGTTGCGTGCGAAATAATGTAGGACTCTGTAGGCGAGTGAGGCTCAGGAAATGAGGCTGTTACGCACTTACCAACGGGTGCAGCCGAATTCGACGCAACGACAGAAACACAACCAAACAGCGGACGAAGATCCGATAAACCCCCGCAACAGGGAAGAAGAACAGAGGCAAGGGCAGAAATAACTACAACTGTAGCCCTCGCACAAGGAAGTATTCAAATCACCAAAGAAAGTAAACAGAGGTAGAAAGGGATGAAGAAGGGAAAGTGGGAGAGGGAAGGAGTTCAAGTACAACAGAAGCAGCAGCACAAGCACAGTTCATATTGGTATTACTGATTGTGTGCAAGGTAACACAAAGACGGCGACGCGTGTACAATAAGAACGAATAAGGCTCTCGGGCTACAAGCTTCCCCGAGAAGGATCCACCTTGCTTTGCCGTTCGCAGGTGGGTAAAGTGACAGTCTACACACATACAGAGGGCTTGGAGCTTGCTATGAGCCGCTGTAATTGAGCGGAACTATAAGTTTAGGATCTATTGGGTTATCCCTATCTCGCCCGACATGTACCTTCACATTCCTACTCTAGAATGCAGTGTGTTAGGTACATGTATGTGCTGTGAGTGGTAATTAGGTAGAAAGACAGCGGCTCAGTCGTGCACTAGGGCCGTCGTACTTATGTTGCACCGCATACACGCAGGTAACACAACATAAAGTGTGCACGGAAGTGTGACACAGAATGAGAAGGAATCGCCTTCTCAACAGCCGCGTTGCCGACCTTAACGTCTTGACTGGCTTGATGATCGTTTTTCAGGATAGATGAGGGCCCCGAGTAAGGAGAATTCAAGACCTCGCGGAACAGCCAGCGTTCGTTCTATGCAAGTGGGGTGTTGAGGAATCCTAATATGTAGTAAAATATGTAAATACAGTACCGTATATTACGAATTGGGGGTAAGAAGCAACCATGAGACTCTCGGTCGATGTGCCCAGATTGGGCTCTGGGCATCTCGTCATTTTCTGCTCCACTTATAACTCAAGGTGCCTATATGGACGTCGATCGCCGTTGTAGACAGACCTTCTCCTCCTAAACACGTACAGGTTTTATCGGTCCCGGAACTCTGGAACTTGTCGAATACTTGCCATGGATAGTACTCTAGGTACAGTACCGTAGATACATGTACTCTGCTGACATTGGTGCCAGTTAAAGTGGTACTAGGCCTAGGGCTTACCTCATCCTTTGTAAAAAAAAAAAAAAAAAAAAAGGTAAACACGAATAAAGAGCGGAGACCTTGACATCTGTACAACACTTTACCAATCCTTTTCTTTCTCGTATTTCGTCCCACCCGAAAGTTCCAAGAGATGTCTTGTGGCAACGTTACTAGGAGTAAAAGTTCTCTAGAACGAGGCAATTCAAGCGGGCGGTGTCACGAGAGCAGACATTTGTCCGATGACTTGGGCGGAAACCCAACGCAAGATACAAGGCTTTTGTTGAAATTGGGTTTAAAGGTCCACTGTGATGCACCAACCTCACACCACAGGTACTGGGGCAGACTTCCAGGTATCTACGTATGTACGTTGAAGCTGAGCATGTTGTGATATATGATAAAAGCCGCATGAACGGTTATCCTGGGTCTACAACCCAGCACAAAATATGCCGTGTAACGTTCTAATTGTCGTTATGAGTACTACTAACTACAGTTGCTCACCTACTGACGGCGGGTCCTGTCTGATGGTTCTGTTTGCAGTAACTTGCCCTTGGCGTCCATATCCTAACTCTGTTATTGGCCTCAAATCCCTGACCGCCGTCAGACAGGATCCGCCTTCACCCCGTGAGTGAGTGTAGCTGCAAACATAATCGCCTGGTTGTGCGCACAATTGCGGAAATTGCCATGTTGAACGATTTCTCCGTTTGGATCTTGGGAACTTTCTGCAGGGGAAATTCCTTGGATTCGATTTCATCGTAGTAACGGGATAGAAGGGGTTGTTTGGGCCTGCAGTATTCCTATCCCTTACGTTAATATAATGTGATTCCCAGATTCCAACATCACCACTTTAGTCTTGGAGAGCATAGGGACATAGTGAATCGTTTCATGGATGCAAACCAATGTAACACTGAATGAAGAACAGGCATTATAAAACCTCGTAGTCGTGATGCAGGGGATAATGTGGTACCAGTGAATCGCGGTTACATCTGGCGGCGAGTCAGTTGTGTTTCAGATGTCGACAGTGACTGTTAAATCGGTGCGAGACAGCCAAAAACGCGGAGCTGGGGTTACAAGGCGGTAAAGCTGTCTAACTTCAAGCGGGAAATCATATCTAGACGAGCATCGCGTCAAAAACAACTGACACCAACGACACATCTCAAATTCTGTTGTCCGACTTCCCCGCTGGTGGCTACCCCGCTAGATCTCCAGACCCGTAGTCCCCGTTTCTAGGAGTGGGTATCGACTAACCCACAAGGATTTACCAATGCCTTCAGCAGCTACAAGCCACGGTACGCGTCCTCCAATTGACCGAAATGCCACCAGCTGATCATTCAAGTTATTCTAGAATTCGGTGGCGGTTTAATTTACGAGAACGATATAGAGGAGTTGGTCAATCAACTGCGAGAAGGTTTGTGGGATGTTCTATTTAGAATCAGATCAAATTGTTGATTCAATACAGCTGCCTCAACTCGCAACTCTCTTTCCAAAAGTGATATCACGGACGCGATTGAAAAGCTCTCTCAGCACGCGTCAGTACGTGGCTTAGCCGATGATGCATTGGAGAACCTTATTGGCATATTGACTAAAACGCCCTGCTACCTTGACCAATCAGCCATTAGCAATATCGTTAAAGTTCTCTTTCCACAGAGGAAGGTATCAGAGGATGTTGTGATCAAGATAGTTGGGTGCTTCGGTCAAGGACAAAGCAAACCATCTCTAGCAACGCAGGTACAACTTATCAATGACTGATAGTGGAGGTCTTGAACAAGAGGCTGACTATTCAAGGCACTGTTGCTCCGTTGGTTGGTTATGGTATATGACATACTGGAAAGCTATACTGCGCTTTCACAGCTGTATGGAGTTCTCTTCAACTTATTGGACATGATCACCTTGAGGTACTCAACTCAGATGTCACCAATCAAAATCAATTCTAACATAATTTCAGGAGTCATTTGTGTCATCTTCTTTCTCTCTTGACAAGAAGAAAGCACGTGAAGCCTTTCCGTATCCAAGCATTGTAAGTACATGTATCCTTTGTTCGTCGTTTAGGCTATCGTTTACACCATAACAGGCTGGAATTTAAGCGGAACCTGGGGAATGAACAGCCTCTAAATGGTCTCCTCCAGGTATTCAAAGATTATTACCCGGATGTGATTGTGGGCGACATCGCCCCCACGAAGGTTGGGTTGTTTTCAGTGAGTCACGTGAAGTTCAGCTCGATCACGCGGTTGTGTAACATTCCTAATCGGGTCTCCAGCATCCGAATCCTGAATGGATGCAAAAGCTACTTTTGATACAAGAGTCAAGCGCAGCAGATTATTCTGGCCCTTCGGAGGCTTCTTCCTTTAGGATAGTTAGGAAAGTAGGCGGACAAGGCACAAAACGGCAAAAAACTAATCATTTGGCACTTCCGGAAGTGCATACATTTCACGCCACCGAGGTGAGTGTTCTAGGTTCCAGTGACTTTTAAAACAGCATTTACTGATTTGCTGCAAAGGCTTCAGTTACTCTCGAAGAAGTGGAAAATGTAGATGACTTTGTGAATAAGTTGGATAAACTAGAGCTTCCGAATCAGTTGGTAGCGGCTTTAGAAGACCCACTTCTCCGAAAGCTGCTACAATTAAAGCCTTCAGGTAAATAATGCCCGATGTATCGAAATCAGAAAGGCACAGATAAACCTGACTCAAACAGATGCGGCAACCTCACGAATCAACAACTGGCTAGCAGCATGTTTATCAGACGAGCTTCGATCATCTCAGACACCTACTCCTGGAAGCGCCGATCGAACAGCAAAACTCCTATCAAAAATTCTAGAATATACACATTCCACAAAGGTAAATTTCCGAAGAAACCAATAATGAATCTAAACTAATGCATTCACCATTTAGAAATTGTTGCCAGCGGTCGAGGGGTTTTTGTATCAATATCTTCAGTCCTGGGATGGGAAGAGTCACAAAGAATATATTTTGGGACTACTGAGTCTTCTGTCCCTTCGCGGGTTTGAAGGTATACATTAAAAAAGATATTCGAACCGCTTATGCTTATTGGGCTAACCTTTTATAGAATTATATGATAAATTTTTTGAGCCCGTCGATCTAAGATTGAACACTACAGATTCCTCAACTTCTTCCTTGATTAATTTTTACACTGAACTTCTTCACCAATGGAGGGTTACTTATAGAAATAGCGAGATGCTTGAGGTAGAGGGGCTAGCCCTACGCAAGTACATGGCCCATGTTAGTCAGATATGTTTGGCAGGACAAGTGGTGAGTTTTGATTGCTCAGAGGAATGCATAATATGCTAATACGAAACATAGGCTTTCCCTGGGTCCTCTTTCATACCTAATGCGATACTCTGCTTTTACGAATGTGCATCCTCGCTGCCCTGGCAGAATGGGTTGTTTCGTATTTCATTGCCGCCAGACCAATTGGTTTACATCTTTTTATTTGCCGGAGACGTTATGATGCTCTCCAGGATAGCTGGCATCCTTTCAAAGTCTGTATACCCCACACCAATGATCTCAGAGAACGTCTGTTAACATGTTCGTGTAGATACAAACGTGCATTCGAGCTTACTCTCAAAAAATCCTCGTCGGATTCTGGGCCAGAAGAATACCCCCGAGAATATGTGAATCACTTTAACGGATTCTTAATGGATATCTGCAATCTTGTATGGAGGAATCGTGCGTTCAAAGCAGGCGGACCAGAATCAAAACAGGATCAAAATGCACATGGATGCACCCTTCCCGAGTAAGAAGCTCCCACTATACTGCACTTTCTTTTCGGAGAAAAAATTAAGAATATTTCTGCACTCACGTGGACGTTACAGGATGAAACTAATTCGAAACATAGGAATGTTATATCGTTACTCAACAAAGCTGCGGACTCACGTGAAGAGTCCCTCATGACACTTTTTTCGCTTTCGCATTCTGCAGTGTTGGCACAGCTTTCTGCAGAATGTTTACGCGGAATGGAAAATGCACAACCAAATATCAAGGCTCGCCATTCAGGGCCTGTAACACAGAAGTCACTGGCTTTACTAGCTTCGGTAATATATGACTACCCTGTTTATTGTATTAAATGCTGATTTCTTTATAGAACGGTGGTTTGGTAATAAGTTGGCCAGATTTCCGAGTTGCAGTCCTAAATAGTTTAGGTAGAGGGGGTCTGATCGGGATATCAAACTTCATGCATAGCACGATGATATCCTTGATACAATCCTCAGCAGCTAGGTAGTGGCCCAACAATGTCTCATATCTAACTATTGACTATTCCCGATATGATAATGTCTACATACTATGCGTTTTGTACGACAATGCGGTTTAAGAGTGGGGGAGGGTACATAGAAGTACAAATTTTGGTAGTTTTAAGGCACAGCAGGTACTCCCAACTACAGCTGAAGTTATGTATCTACCTGTAGTTAGAGTAGGTACTTTCCTGTGGGCGTGGTATAGCCAAACCCGATTCATTCGTTCTGTTGCACAAATATGCACCCGCTAAGAGCTGTTGTGACACAATTCTTCCCTTGTCTTGCCCTATGGATACATTCCTTTCCTTGGCCTTAGGTATGCTTCGGTGCTGCCGACATGTCACAAGGTTTCACTAAAAGAAAGAAAAAAAAACGCCATGTTTTTCTGAGGATCACTGGCTCCTTGACGAGCCGAATACACATTACAATGAGCCTCATTTGCTCGCCCAGATTCGCTTATAATTCCAACCACGGGTCGTCGATCCAGCCGTGGAGCATATGTAGGAATCGGTAAAATGTATCTCGATGGCTGTGATCCTCTCGGGGGTCTCGGTCATGCCATAAGGGCAAGTATTACCATGAACCGCAATTACCGACTCAATCGAAAGAACATGATGGAACAGGGAAAAAAGAAAAAAGGAAACACAAGAAAAGTTCACGTAGCACAACTCCATAATTCACATGTATCCATCCCGATATCAACACTGCACATCCTATAAATAAACCCGGAGGAACGAATAGTAATAAATATAAGCATATTTTGAAGTAAGGTAGTGTATAATAGGTAGATCCCCCCGTCACATAAGTCCCATCCATCCATTAATCTATATAGCCCGCATTAAATCCAAACGAAAAAAAATTTAACCCATTAAACCCGCTCCACATATATATGTCACATTCGATTCTCCTCGGGCCCCCACGTCTTGAAAACATAACGCCTTTCACACACTTTATTCACCCGTCATAGCTCTGAATGGGCTGTTCCTTGTTGTGTAGCGAGCATATCCTCGTCACCGGCATAGTAGAACCAAGCCCTCGAGGCGATGGTGTGGACGTGATGAGGAAGGTATAGTGATGCAGCGAGGATAAGCATCGAGAGGAAGATAAAGAGGAACGAGTCTACAAGGCAGTTTGTTAGCACAGCGATAAGGGGGTTTGGCAATGGGGGAATAACACGTACTAAATATGATCTTCTCTGTGGGCGTCAGCATGTACAGCGAGAATGTAACCTCATACTGGTACCGCTTGCGCTGGAGAAGCTTGATGAGTGATGAGGCCATTATAGAAATTGTGTGGAATTAATCTCTGGAGCTCTCTGAGCCTGAGTTCAAGCAAAGTGCGAAAAGGGGGTGAGTCTCCGAACGAACAACAGCTGCAAAAAAGGAATTCTGTCTAGCTAGAGGTAACCAACAAACAAGCGAACGTGAGGCGAGATAGGAGATAGGGATATCGACTGGGGTGGAGAGTGAGTGAGAGGTTTCTGGTTGTTGTCGAGTGATTGCTAGACAAAAGGAGGTTAATAAAAGAAAGCTTCAGGCCCGGAACCTTTTTTCTGGGTGGCCCGGAATTCGGAGCTTACCTTGCTGTTTCGGTAGCCGTTCCCGCAGGTAGGGTAACGTAGTCAGTTCCGAAGCAACTGTCAGCTATGGTGGAATGTATCACGACGGACAAATCATTTTCTTATTACTCTGCTCATGTCGTAGCGCAATGTAACCGTAACCTTCGACGTGCATCCGAACATTCCCAGGTGTTAGTGTGTTTCGACTTACACAGTGCATTCGTATCACCTGGCACAACATTGATGGGCGGGTGCTGCTCAAACTTTACACTTCTCCTTCTTGGTGTTACTTGCCGGCCGGTTGTTACATCAAATTACTCTATTGCGGTATGGCACGCCGATTCATCGTGTGCGGCCCGTGCTATGCGTAGAATTCAATTGCTTGAGGCGATAATGAACGGATAAACTTTGAGAACGCCTTGAGACGCAAGGGCGATTGTCTGGGCAAATCGACTTCCCCGCTTGAATAAATTCAGCGTCCGGCACGGCCACAAGGCGCTGCGCGTGTTTCAGCTTTGGCCTGGCTGCATTGTGGAACATATCACGTTTTCAAAGTGCAATTTTCCTCAGAACTTAAAGTTCACTAAGTCTAAGACAAAACAACAGCAAACGAAGCGTGCACAAGGCGACGTTATTTGGGGGGGGGGGGGGGGCTTGAGACAGCTAGTAAAGATGATATTGGAACCGAGTCATTGATCATGATCTTCAGCATCCCAACCCCTCACCCCACCAACACTGGCCAACCAAACCGCGTTCGTTATCGCTAGTCATTATCAGTACTCCGTACGTACATTGTACTTTACTCTGCACTCATGCGCTCACCTTCACCGAAGTGATCGCCTTCAAAGTACAGTAACTCGAGCTTTAGCCTTGGTAATAACCCCACAACAGGTGAGACAATGCATTCGTCATCACTCTGCTTGTACTCTCTGCGGTGCGACATGACAGTAGGCTCGAGGATCTGAAGCTCAGCCTCCACCACATGCAACAGCGACGTATGTTAAAGCTGATATATTGCGGGGATTGTATCCGTACTATTTAGCACCGCAGTTGAAGGGCGATCCTTTGGCTAAATACTGGCCTCTGGGAGATACAGTAAGCATATCTCGAGGTAGAAAGCTCCACGGCTGTTACTAAATCATGCAGGAACCAGTCAAAGAGCCGACTTCATCCTTCAGGACGTCGACAAACACCTGATGAGGTGGCGTACATCCGCTTCGCATCTGCACGGATGTCTGACTTGATTTTTATCAGAGTACACACGACAGCCTGCGAGGCATTAAGTTATGGGCTTGTTGCAAGGCGGTTTACGGATTCAGAAAAACATAAAAAATGCTGGTATATACCCCATAAAGTAATTTTTCCCGAAAGGCGGCACTTAAATCTTCACCATGAGCTTCTATAGCGAGGCTCGAAAACCACAAAACCTAGCCATCAGTCAGGTGATATCCAGTATACTTATATCACGCTTATCTCAATCTCGCATGAGCACATAGTTAGAAGCACCACCTGTTACGTGACTATGTGCTTATAGGGCATCTGAGATTTGATATCTCCCTGTAATCCACACCTTGTGGAGACTGGAATTAATGCAACCACCACCAGCATCGAGTATGTACTTAACGGGCGGCTGAGTACGAGCACGCGTGGGGATTTTCCGGACAGCTTCCCGCTCAGAGTGCAATACAAAGTACATCTGCAAAACTCGATAAATTGGCTATCTCCAGGCAGTGATTGTCTCTTTAATGATTGGTTGAAGGCTATTGACCAGTTTCAGAAGTGTATTAGCAGTAATCCTGATCTTGCATGTAACGTTTTAGACCGGGTTCTGTGTCAGACATAGAAGAGTGTCAATCCCATACAAATTTGTATGGGGATTTCTGTTGCCAAAGCTATCTCCACCATCTCTTGAGATATTTACTGCCAGATTTTTAACAAATGAATTCCATTTAAAAGCACACGGATTAGGATGGTTTCCAGATGGATTATCCTCTATTATGGTGTTATGGGGTCTTCTTTCTTTTTGGGGGCTTTGTGTCTGGTTTTGGTGCCGTTGCCATGCGACACACTTCTAGGTCTGACACAGTACTGGGTCGAAAACGTTATAGCCGATACTTCGAGTTGAAAACAGTATGTGCAACTGTTTGGTAGGTGTACTAAGTTTAACGTGCATTTGTGCTAATACTCCGCCAATTGATGCGTCATAGCCCTAACCCAGCCATATTATTCGACCTCATAATATGACAACAATTTCGTACCAAGCCTTGGTCAATTGATCTTTGAAAAAAAGAACGGCTTGAAAAACAAAAACTCTCACCTGTGGGCTATGAGTCATTACGCTAAAATTCAATAAAGTTCTCGTTGTATCATGATGGAAGGTTACGTACCAACTTGACACATATTCTTTACCCGCAGGACTAAGTCTATCGACATATGGTTATTAAACCTGTCAACTATGATAGTGATAGATCATGTCTTCTCGCGTCATAAGGATGGTTTGCATTGTCACTGTTCAAAAGAGTCTATAATTTGGAATGCAATATTTTGGACCTTGTACCTGCCCAAAACGGTGCATATAGGGAGCATGCAGGTAAAAGACCATCTCTGATAGTTGACCTTGACACCCCTTCTCGGAGTATTAGGTTGTCACTATACTGCGAACAATCCTCTAGATAGTCAGTATAAACAACAAGATAGCGACGGTTCCTGAACCTATAATATTTTGGGCGTGCTCCGTAAAAGTCTTGCCGCGAATTTCCGTCATGAAATATCACTCGAAACTACTCGGCCTCGTATCGGTTGAGTCATGGCCTCTAATTCAAGGGCACCAGTACTATGAACAGTGCCGGAACACGCCTCGAAGACTGAAAAATGAATATAGGGCCATTTCGCAAAGACTATCCGTTATTTTAGAAGTCTGATCTCAATTTTCCCATATAGCCTACCTGTGATTACAATTAACTGCGAAAGTCTTGACCTTTTTGTGACTTTCCCGGAACTATTTTTATTTCCTTTTTCCACCAGCAGCGCTCTAGTATTACCATACCTATAAGAAGTAAAGAGGGGTAGGTAAAACAACATTTGAGACTACTGATTACTACCCTTATAACGATAGTATTACTATATACAGTATTATAATAATAAGAGTCGGCTACACTGGCTCCTCCTCATAGTGTAATAACTAAAGGCATCCCCGCTTTGCATGTTCTTATCGCTATAAGATATGCACTTTCCACCTCACCTGATCTTTAAAGCCCCACAGTGCTGCTACCCCTCAGCAGCACGCCCCCCATCTTTCCCCGAGCCCTTTTATTCTCCCGACTCAAAATCATTTTGAACTGCGAACATGGCTCTATCACCGGTTTCCCCGTTACCATTTTTGAGGTGGGGGCCGGCGAAACTACAATTGGAGTGATTTTTGGTGGGTTAGGGTTTTTTCATAGGTAGGCAGTCTGTTTGTATTTGTAAGTAGTTTTCTTTTGTTTGCTTTTTTCTGAGGACGATTTTTTTACCAGGGAGCTGGGGATTTCCTAAATTAATAAAGACCAATCTTTTAGGTAATTTGGATCGTCCCAAAAACTCATATGCATTTGGTGGTGGTGGTGGTTGCTGATTATTTTTATACCTGTGTAATTTCCAACACACCAAAAGTAGAAGATAGGTAACGAGATATCGTTTCCAATATTGCGGAGGTGTGGGAGAGCGGGAGTGGTTATGCCCCGAGACCCGCCAATGTGTACCGAGTGATACTTCATGATTACTCAACAACCCCACATACACATACAAGTACGTAATTGATTGATTGATTGATGTACAACCTAAGTACGGGTTTCTTTTTACAGTCAAATAGCCTGTACAGCTATATTTTCAGGAATCAACTACAATATACGGCCACTCTGCAAAAGCGCCCGTGACCTCGACCCCGGAGTGAGACATTTTTCCATATGTAACCGTGGCGGATCACCAAAAACCCCCCAAGAGTCGAAGACTTTCTCAGTTACCAATGGCGCCCAAATTAATGAAAAATAAGGTCAATGACCTATCTTCTTTTTATATATATATATAGTCACGAACTATATTATATATTTTTCGTTGTTTTGGGTCTCAACTTTAATAACATCAGTATTACGGGTGCGCCATACTGCGCACTGACATTAAAACCATATCACGAACACTTTTGCTGAGTGGCTGTACATGCTTACCCAACAGTTCTTCCAGTAATATACATACGCCGGTTGGATGGGTGATGTGTACGGAGACGTTAAAACATGTGGTTACAGTTACATAATATGTGTACAGCCGAGGTTCAGGATGTCATGATAACAATATGACGTCAAGAGAAGTTAGTAGAGTATTTAAAGAGGTTTCTTCCATTGCCATACGAAAGTCTGCATGTACAGCGAGAGGTAAAATTATTGTAGAAACAGGGGTCTAAAAACAGGGTTTCTGTAGCTGGACAAGCCAATAGGACTCCTCCCATATTTCTACAATAATCTTACCGCAAGCTGTAATCAATGGTTTCTTCCGAGCCACCTAATAGAATTATTACCAAAGATACATGTACTTCTGTCGAACAACCTCCTATAAATACGGATTTCTGCTCATACAATATCAACGCTGAATGTAGCTTAGAATCCGAGAAAGATAGCCCCTCGAGGCCCCCTTATTCCTTTAAACCACTGTCCTTGTATATCATGGACGACACGCCTCAGAGGCAAGAATACATGAACACTCGCCCCCGCAGACCACACTACCTACGCCTCTACAGAGGCATCCGTCCCAGCACGTAACTTACTCTAACTACAAGAAGCCACAGAACACATCATTACCACTCTCAGATACGAAGGTACTTATACCACGTCCCTCCCACCCCCCAGAAACACCCGCAATACGCCCGGCCGTCAATTATGCAGAGATCCAGAGATATAAATTACAAAGTCGCACCGCTAGCTATAGCTCGACTCGCTAGCCAGCGGCCCTAGATACAACGACACATACACTCGGGTACTCCATTCACTAGATAACATCTTTTTAATGGCACCGGGATGCTCTGATATTGCCTGATTGGCGCCATGTGGGGGTCCCTGCACGTAAGAAAACGTGTTTGAGGAAAGGTTGTATATTTATCATGGTTACTTACCCGCAGGGATGTAGTGGACTGGGGTTTGGAGTTCAATTCTAAGGCTTCAAGATAGCTATATAGCAGTACTTTTTTTTGTGATTCGGGTCATGAGGTATCACTCGATTTATTCTATTCCTTGAACACACGAGATCACTCGACGTAAGATATCCGGGCACTCGCTTCCCCATTCCCCTCCGTCTTCCCAACCTCTCCAACCCCCGCCAACCCCAATCCCATCTACAACTTATGTCTCTTCTCCCCACTCGCCAACCTCGCAAACTCCTTCTGCGGCGCGCCCTGCACAAACCTCTCCAGCCCCGCAAACGCCTCCCTGACGCCCGCCTTCTCAATCTCGTCCCTCCACGGCTCCCGCATGAGCGCCTTGACGCCCAGCATGCTGCCGTGGTTGAGGTGTGCGCCCATCACGTCGTCCACAAACTCGAGCACGCGCTCGCGGAAGCCCTCGGCGGGGAAGAGCTTGTTGATGAAGCCGCAGGCCACGAGCTCGGCCGCGCTGATGCGCTTCGACAGCAGGAGCGCCTCGCTGGCTTTGGCGAAGCCGAGGCGGCGTACGAACATGGTTGAGGCGATGCCTTCGGCGACGAGGCCGAGGGAGGTGAAGGGCGTGAGGATGAAGGTGCTTTCTGTGGCGCTGGAAGGGGGGGGGGGTTAGTATGTTATGGTGGAGGAGAAGAAGGGGGGAGTGGGGGAGGGGTACTAGATGAAGTCGCAAGCGCCCAGAAGGGCAGCAGAGAGACCGACGGCGGGGCCGTTGAGTGCGCCGACGAGGATCTTTGGGTGCTCGTAGAAGGCCTTTGCAACCTCCAAGTTATTCGCCGCGACTATTCCATCCACCCAGCTAGTTAGCAAACACACCCTATCCAGAACACCCCAGATGGGGGGGGGGGGGGTAAGGGTGCGGGAAATAGCCCTACAGCGTCGCAGAAAGTACTTCCGCTCGTCCTCGCTCTCCTCCGGCGTTCCATCCATCACATTCACCGCGACATCGGCACCGCTACATGCACCGCACCAATTAGCCCCCCAGCACCAACCCCAACCAACCAACCGCAGCGCAGAAGAAGAGGAGGAGGAGGAGGACATACGCAGAAAAGTATCGCCCCGTCCCCGTCAGCACCGTCACCGTAACGTCGGGCATGTCAGCGACTTTGCGCATGAGCTGGGCGAGCTCGTAGTAGAGGGGGCCCGAGAGGGCGTTGAGCTTCGTGGGCTGGTTGAGGGTTATGAGCGCGACATTCTGCGGGGGGTAGATACTTGTTAGCTAGCTGTCTCGGGGGTGCTGGAGTGTGCAGAGGAGAGGAGAAGGCACTTTCTTGACCTCGAGGAGGATTGGGTCTGACATTGTACGGTGAGGTGTGGTGAGGTGTGGGGTGGTTGATAGATGACGCCTAGCTAGATATGTTGTAGGTAGAGAGCAGAGCACGGGGTATCTGGGGTAATGTACAGACACGGACAGAGAGATATATAGACTCCATTCTCCCCCACGCCCCCCGGCACCTCGGCCCAGCAAAGTGTAATCACAAATCCGGGGAAAGCTCTCTTCCTTAATTGGCCCCTGTTGGTTACCGTTGTGTTATCCGCACGAGCAGCCGAGGCTCACGCAGATCCGCTGGGCGTCGACTTTGTCAGGCACGTGCGCCACTGTGGCACGGTCTCTGTGGCTCAAAGCCTGTGGCGTGTGTGTATATGGGGTCTAGAGTAAAGTGGGGGGTTTGATCATTGACAGGTATTTAGTTTTTGTTTTGTTTAGATGGCTAGGAAAGTGGTGTGTGATCATTGGCACTGGGAATGTCGGGAGTGGGTGGGAATCGTGATCATTGACCGTCCATCGGATTTGAGTGAGGGAGGGAGGTACTGTAGTTACTGTCTGGTACGCACACACCGTATATCATCACTCTACTCTGGAACTGTAGTTATTCCAGTTCTCCTTACCCTCTAAGCCCCCCCCCCCCCTCCCTTCAGCTAGTTCTAATAAATCTAGCCCAGACTATTATTACGCTAGGCCCTCTACCCAACCGGCCAAACCAAGGCCAAACCAACAAGCCACAGCAAGAGAATTTACACAAATAGGTAAGTAGAGTATCATCTAAAACGCAAAGAAAACCAAACACAAGGAAAGAAAAAAATAAAAAATAAAAAACACCACCACTAGCTAGTCAGCCATCATGCCTGCCTGCTCTCCCCCGCATATAACTTAACCCAACGAGACAAAGCTAGCCCCCGATGAAGACCGCGTGCCTGGGCCAGGGTTCGCAAGACTCTCGGCCAGCACGTCCGCCGGGACCAACCTGCTATCAAAGTCGTGGGTGTCGCCCTTGTCCGTGTGCTTCTCGCCGCCAGTGCTGGTGCTACTGCTGCTCTTCTTCTTGTCCTTCTTGCCGCCGTCGTTGCTCATGCGGATTGACGTGACGACGAAAGCTGTTCAGCGTCAGCACCCACCCCCCAAAGAGACTGCATGTATAATAAAAACACCAAAAGAAGAAGAGAGCACATACCCGCCAACGCCGCAATGGCAATCAACCCCCTCCTCGTCGTCGTCCACCTCAACTTCTCAATCTCACTCCTCACCTCCGAACTAAACAGCACCATAATCTTATAATTCAGCTCCTGAATCCTATTCTCCATCGCCCTCTGCTCCGCCCTCGTCACCATCTTCCTATCCCCAAACAGCCCATTCAGCTCATCCTTCAGCCCCATGACATCCTCCAAGAACCTCTGATTCAGCAAATCATAGCTCCCCTGGATAGCGGCCCCCTCCGCGCGCAGCGCATCAATCTGCGTCTTGCGCGTCTGCACAATCTCGTTGCGCAGCTCGGCGCACGCGGCATGGAAGAGGTACGACTCGTTCTCGACGTTGCTCTTGGAGACGAGGTTTGCGCGCGCGAGCTCGAGGTTGGTGGACAGGAGGCTGCGGATGGATTTCATGATTGTGACGCTCTGGGCGGGGCGGAAGCCGGCGCGGGTGAGGGATGCAGCGAGGCTGTAGGTGTCGAAGTGGTGCGTCCATTCGCCCGGGGCCAGAGTGGTGGTTGTGGTTGTGGTGCTGGGGGCGGGTGATGGTGGTGATGCTGGGGCTGCATTATCGGGCGTTGGGGAGAAGGAAGAGGAGGCGGGTGCAGTGGTGTTGGGGGAGGAGGTGATGGTTGTGGTGGGCGGGTTAGGAGCTTGTGTGTCGTCTTTTTGGGCGGCGGTGGAGTCGTCGGCGGGGGTGGGGGTGGGGATGGGGGTGGGGGTGGGCTCGACGGCGGTGCCGTGGCGGTAGCGGCGGAGGGTTGTGGCGGCGGGGCGGGAGAGGCGGAGGGCCGGGTAGAGGAAGGGGAGGCGGAAGGGCGAGAGCGGCATTGCGGTGTTGTGCGTGGTGGGCGTGGTGCGGTGCGGTGCGGTGTGCGGTACTGTGGGGGGTCGAGCGGTGTGCGGTACTGTGGGGGGTCGGGCGCTTTGTGCGAGACGCTGGAGCCAAGCTTTTAGGATCGCCCAGGCATGGGATATCACTCGGTCACAGCTCGGAGGTGAAATGGCTTCCGAGGCTAGGATAAAGCATGTGGTTGTCACTATGAATCATCACTATATAATGACATTATGGTGTCAGTAGTGTTTTCAGAGATGATCTTTGTGAAGCAAAGGAAAGAACCGAATGTATTGTATGAATAGATGAGTGGAAACAGGAAGAGAGATCGAAAGCTCTCCTTATATGTACAGCGCCATGCCATAAGTCATGGGAAGGCGCGAGGTCGCAACGCCTGAACACAAAATCTTTCACCACCACCGATGGCGCCCAGAGACCATGTACCCCGCCAGACAGCTAGGAGGGAATGACCAGCCTCCCTGCTGTGGCAAAAAACCGGAGTCTTACAACTCTGGTTGGAGGGGAATAGGGTAGATGTTCTGGAGGACTGGCTTGCCTATTCCATCCCATTGAACATGTTTGGGTACACCTCAAGAAGCTTTACCATCAACAGTACCCCCATTTGGCATATGGTACTGGATCACCTTAAGTATTAAAGCCCCTCGTGGAGGAAGGTCTAATTCATTGCTGGGAACTGTTACCTGATGATTTCTTTGGTAGCTAGTTGAGAGCATGCCTAGGAGAATAGAGCTGTTATAAAGGCAAGGGGTTAGTACACAAGATATTAAATGCCAAATTATTTTTATTTAGCTACTATTTAACAACTGTACAAAAAACCAGCTCTCCAAAGGATCAATTGTGGTTGCTGGGTGGGTAGTTGTGGTGGCCCGGGAGGTTGCTACGCCGCGCCTTCCCATGATTTATGGCCTAGAACTTTACATGTAGTTACGGCTTAGAGGCCGGACTATTTATAATACAAAAATACAGATACGTAGTTTGGAATAATGTCTAAACTCCATAATAAACCGCTTAATAATGAAATTGTTAACATCGATACAGGTTTACGCCTCTCACTCACATCGGTATTAAGTGAAGGTTTTTTTTTTTTTTTTTTTTTTTGATTACTGATTACTACCGAAGCACTCAAAGCACCTGAAATCGGCATAATATCATTCATAACAACATACATGCATCGCTGGGGTATCTATACATGTATGCATAGGAAGAAGACCCATATTCATATGAAAGAATGCAAACAGGCTTTAATTTTTAGTTCATTCTATAAAACATTTGCCTCGTTCTGATATCAACCTGACATTGCCGTGCTTAATAACGACCTACACCTTGTTTTAAATCTATTGCATATAGCTCCGCAACATGTTTTTGGCTTCCTCTGGCAATTCGGCCTTGATCCATTCCTCAACCTGAAACAGCACACCGAGACATCAGTATCTTGCAAAACTAGTAGGGAGCGAAAAAAAGAAGAAAAAAAGACGAGAAACATACCTTCCCACCCTTAGCTGCGCTCCCCTCTCTGATCCTCGCTCCACACCATCTTTTCAGGTCACCTGTCACCTGCGGGAACATATCTACAACCCTCGTCTTACAAGTGTTTAGTCTAGTGTAGGTGCTTCCAAAGTTCAAATCGTCAATGTCTGCGTCCACAAGCTCCGCCGCATTGTCACCCTCCTGTACAGGCAAAGGCGGCATCTCAAGCAGTTTCAACAGCGCCATGACAGTGCTAGGCCAAGTCTTGTGGTAACGGTTTTCAAGCTCACTGCTAAACGCCACAAACTTGGTCAATCCGACAACAGCGATCTTTCGGTCCACGGGCCTCTGGAGCTTCTGGGTATCCGGGAGAACGACGGCTTGGTATAGTTGTCCAAAGATTCCGTCCTGCACGGTATCAATTGCCTTCACGACAAAGTCGGGTCCGCAACCTTCTGCATCGCGAGAGGCCAGGAAGTAGAATAGTCTTACAAACTTCTGGGAAAGAGCTTCGGTTTTTGAGCCGTTGAGACGCGTGAGCAGAATAATGAAAATATCCTTCAGGAAGGGCTCTAGAGACTTGACGGGGAAGTAAATGAAGCAAGCTTCGAGCAGCTCGAATGCGTGGATTTCAGTCAATTTGGATGAAACAAGTTTCTGGAATATTCCCAGAATCGGGGAGATCTGGTTGTTTTGGACAAAGTGATCCGCGCCCCGCGCCATGATGGCTTGGAGAAGACGGACAAGAGCCGGTACATTTCCGCGCGACTCGCAGAGAGCTGGAGCAAGGAGATGAGGGACGAGATCCTTGTACCGTTGGGGGATTGGTGCCGAAGGGTGGCTTTCAAGAAGGAGGGAGAGGAGCTGGAAGACGTAGGGAATGAACTCGGTGATGTATAGGCCAAGAATACTCATAAACGGATCATGAAGGGCGGTTTCAAGGCCTTCTGGATGATGAGGGGCCACGAACCTAAGCGCTGTCAGAAAGAACCCTTCAAAACACTGAACATCGAACCATACCTAATGATGGCACCCAGACTCTCAAAGTGGTAATGGATAAATCTCGGATTACTGGGGTTCTTTGCAATCTCTCCAGTAATCTTGATCAACTCGCCCAAGACAAACCCTACAAGAGGACCCGTCGAATCCTTTGCTACAATTAAACATCTCATCACGCAACGCATCAAGAACTCGTTCTCCTGAATCTTCTCAGGGGTAACCCCGGCTTCTATCAGTCTAAAAAGGTGCTGCAAAAGATCGTTGGAATAAGGCTTCAGATCCTCAGGGTGGAACACCGGCTGCCCATCTGCAGTCATCGCAAGCAGCCTCTCCACGGTGATAGCAGTGTATGTGTAAACAACATAGTTAGGCGAGGCAAGATGTTTTGCAAGAAGTGGGAATGCACCCGACAGTTGTTCCTTGGTCAACTGGCTTCGGAAGGTATACAAGTACTTGATTGCGTCAACCTTGAGGATTGGCTCCACATCGTCAAATGGAGCAATAAGGTCTGCTGCGACATTGCTTTGGAAAAAATCGACTACATCAACCAGAAGGTTAGTATGAACAACACCCTTACGCTCCGTTGAACCCTTGGCAGCGATGGACGAGAAAAGGTACAGAGCTGTATCTTTTGACCTCCAGTTCACCTTGGGGTTCTTGTTATAATCTTGAAGATAGTGGGTAATGTATTTCCAGACAACTTGAGTAACGTTTTGGTCAAACTGTTCAAGGAGTTGCCGGAGAAAGTCGGTGGCTGCTCTTCGGCGAGTATCGCTATCGGAGCCCTCGAGGTCTCGTCGAATAAATTCAATTGGGTCGTCTTCAAATAACTCTTCGTCTGAAGTTCGTAGGGCCATGTTTGGAAGAATAATCTTTTCCACAACCTGCTCCAAAACTTCCGTTTGACTGAAATTCTGTGCATGCCTACTTGATCCCGCAACAGACGTCAAGAATTGCAAGGCTTTGCTAACCAGCTGTTCATTTTTTTTCATTTATTACAATCAGCACATATTCCCCCGTGATTCGAATCAAGTTCTGAGTTTATACTCACGATATCGTATTTTGGCTGGGAACCAAGATTTGTCAATAGCTCCCAAGTTGAATTTACAAAGTTCTGAAGCATCTCTTCAAACACATCTTCATATTTGTGTGTAAACAACTGTAACAATTCACAAATACCAGCTTTCACCCTTTCAAGTGGACCAGCCTCGTCATCATCATCAGTCGTAAGAAGATCGTTCGAGTACGTGAGGTACTTGTGGAATAGTCCCATGATGTTAGGAAGACTTTCCTCAAAACCGGGTGCCAAGTCTTGGCAGTTGAGATCGAAAGAGATCTTAACAATGAGATTGAGAGTTTGGTAGAGGCCTTGTAAGATTACTTTATCGTTGACATTTTGTTCGATGAGCGAATCCGTGGACTATATCCGTAGGTCAGTCGTTCGTACGGTTTGATAAGTTTATATGTGAGCGTACTATGAAGAGTTTGAGAAGTGGATCTGTGAACTTTCCGAGAACGTGGTTGATTTCTTCAAATAGGTCGTCAGAGCGGAATAGCGGCCTCCAGCGTTTGAAGATTGCGTGTGCAACTTGAAGAACACCGTTGTTGACTTGCGGGTTGTCGGGGGTGAGCCGAGAAACAAGATCCTAAAAACAAGCGCCGAATGTTAATTCTCGAACCACACACAGTTTGAATGTCTGGAGGTATGCACATCGATCAAGGTATCCCATCGTCGCCAAAAGTCACTTTCAGCGATAATACTGATCGCTTCTCCCAACTGCACCTGGAGCGCTGGTGGGGAGGTGATCATGAGCCCGATTATTTCCCGCTTGACGGCGACAACATCATCGTTGTTCATTTTGTAACGCCCTTCCTCATCCTACATACAAAAACTTTATTAGTAGAGATATTCAATTTCATAGTGTCATCCGTAGAAAAGCTCACAGTCCAGTTCCTCCCTATCAAGTTCTTGAAATACAAAGCAGCAGCCAATCGTGTGTTCAAGCCAAACGTGTTGGACGCCACAATTTGCAGCAATAACAATGGAAATCCTGGAGCATTCTCGGAGGCTCTCAGAGATTTCTCAGCTGTTCGAAAAGCGACAGTCAGTTACTATTGGTGACTTTATGGGCCGTATTTAGACCAAAGGAAAACACATGCTCCACAATTTGGATCGCGCGGGGAAATTGATGTACAGCGGTAGGTAATAAGTCATCGGACGTCCTAGCCACAATTTTGCCTGCAAACGCGGGTTTTGGTGGCGTTCCGTCTGATGACTTATTACCCATCGCTGTAGAAAAATCAGAAAGCACCGGAAACCCAGGAAAAATAAACACAAAAACATTGATGTGGAGTTGCTGGTTTACCTTCTTTGCTCTGATGAGGTATCAATGATGTGTCCAGAAGCTGGGAGATAGTTTGAATGTTTGAGGCCATGGTTGGTTGCGGTGACAATGGTACAGTGCAGGATATGGGTAGCTTATGGTGATCGTGGCCGGGAGTATTGATAGTGGTCCTGGTTGTGGGGGGTTGGGTGTAGAGCAATAGTGGGGGTATAAGTGATCAACCCAGGAGCTAGATGTGCCGGATTGAATTGTCTTTCAAACTGCCTAGGGAGCTAGAGAAAATGAAATCGGTGCTGCCCCTAAGTTCGAAAAAAAGAAGAATGTGGGGACGACATGAAGGAAAACAATGATGCAACTAAGACAACCGTCCACAAACAGAAGAAAAGAAAGATATCCCCCGCTACAGAGCTCAAAAAAAGGCCTGGCCTGCTTGGCCTGCTTGGCAGGTTGGGACGTGACGGTACATACACTTCTTTGTCTGGCGAGTACTCAATTTAGCGTAAAACGAAGCACGCGGAGCACATGCCAGGACGGCAACTTAGCCGGCATAACCCGACAATCCCAAAAATCCCACTAGACATCATCATCGCTGTAACTAGAGCCAGTGACGATTGACATCGAGTGACAGACCCCACGCCCACGTCCAACCTCACCTGCCAAGTGCTGCTCCCGTCCTCGTGCCTGCGGTGATGGTGGTGGTGGAGGCGCACTCTGCCATTGATTCTGGAAATTGTTGTTTTGTCCGTTTCCTTTAGATGATTCTGTAACTTTTTACAGGCGTCCACAGCATATCTCTCCCAGTCATCCGTCTTTGATCTAACTGTTCATTCATCCGTTCGTCATCCCCCATTCACATCAACAACTCGCCCAAAAGAGAAAGTGAATACAATAAGAACGCCGGAAGGAAAAAAAGAAAATAGGGAAAATCTTCTCCCTTCACACACCACCCTCCCGAGTGAGCTACCCAACACCCCATGAGCCATCCCTAGTCCAACTCTGCACGGTGTTTCTGCACCTCAGTGGTCCCTGCTTTCCCTCCCATCTCCCGTTTCGCTGAACCCCATCGAAGATAAAACTTCAAACAACGATAACAGCAGTAGCAGCAGAAGCCTCGAAAATCCAACTTTGAACACCTATTAGCCTCGCTCCTGGTTGTACGCCCTCCGCATAGTCTAGTCACAAAACAAAAAAATATAAAATATATAACCCCATATCTGTCAGACTGGTCCCGTAGTATCATCCCGACTGGTTGGTTTTCTGGCCTCACCCCTCCTCACCCCTCCACCTCTTTCTCCTTATCCCTCCACCTTATCCTCACCTCTCCCTCACCTCGCCTTCAGTTCCCTCCCCATGCTGTTTATATGACAGACTTCATACTTCAATTATCATACTCGCTCGCCAACTTTCAGATTACTCCTACCTCTACGCAAACCCATCCATCCGCTCTCTCCCGCGAGTGGTGTTCTCATCCTTCCGCGCTTCGTTCGGCGCAGGACTCGCTCACCCGAGTGTTTTGGGCGATAGGTTCGTTACCATACTATCATTGGTTCTTTGTCGTTTTGGTTCGATCAGGTGACCTGATTGGACGTTGTCACTGCACACCCTTTTTTTCTCCGATCCAATAAGCTTTCGGCCCTGAATGACGCCAATTAAATTGTTTCCTCTGAAAACTTTGTTCACCTTCATGTCACCGGCATTTACGCTGACTCCCTATCGTCTCATAGTTACTTAATTAAATGCCTTCATCTTCTCAGAGTAACGTTGATCCGCCACAGCTACATGACTCGAACAAGCCATCTTCCAGTATTGCGAATGTATTCCGGAGTTTCGGTGGACGTCTAAACCGTACTGGTTTCTCCATCCCTCCATCACCAGCTGCACCAATAACCAGTAATGGACACCGCTCGAGCTTGTACGGGGAATACTTCGGGGAAGATGCTGTCACTAGCGGGCAGGTTCTGGTTGACAGACTGAAGGCTAGCAATCCCCTGAGTGATCGTGTAGCAGCGGCAGAGGCGTTAAGAACGATAATTGCGGATTACCCGGTCTCAACTGTAACGGAAATCTGGGCAAATGCCCAGGACCTACTAGACGCCGATAATCCACCTGAGGTTCGGCAAGCAGCTTTCAAACTCCTCTCGGCATGTATCCAGCAGCATGAACCTTCACCACTAGATCGACTCAAGATTTACCGTACCATAGCACTCCATGTTTGCATGGATGACTTCTATCATCAGTTACAGGCACTGACTGCACTCACTAATGGAGGAAGGGATGTGTCTACGTTTCACAAGGACCTGGTTTCTCTGTTGTCCAAATGGTTGAAGAACTGGTTCAAGGAAGCTACTTTGGAACGATCAATACGCAAGCGGGATGGAGGTAACCCAGAGAATATGTCAGGTGCGGAATTTAACTTGAGGGAATTGTTTCAATTCACCACTCAAGTCATCAAATTTAACTTTAAATCGTTTGAGGAGCGTGAGATAAACCAGCTACTGTTGGACGTTCTCCAAATTTGCAAGAAAACGACTCATAAAAAGGACATCGAATGTTCTATTGGCGTCATCGAGGCTCTCATCACTTATGGCTACGTTCCACGTGCTGCACTCAAATCTTGTATAGAGGTACTGTGTGGTGCCTATGCCACACTAAGAGATCTTGCCGATGCTACCTGGAATGCCGTCAGTAACCTTTGCAAGAGTTATATGGCTCACAACTCGGTTCTGGTTCTGCTTGAAATTCTCGAGACGCCCGCCAAAAATCTTGTTACCAGCTCTGCTAATGCAAACACAAACACTCTCAAAGGTGCTGTCTGGTTCCTAGAGAAACTTTTGATAGCGGACGAGCAAGATGGGCTTCCTCCAGTGCAATTCCCTATTGTCATGTCAGCATTCCGGTCAGCGCTTGCCGCTGATAGCGCACGCTTGGAATTAGAGATTTGCAGAGCCATTAGTGCTATTCTTGCTAGTAAAGACGTCGTTTCGCAAATCTCCTTCGACGAATGGGCAGTGCCTTTAGATATATTAGTGGCCTGCTCAAACAGAACGACAGAACGAGCAGACGGGACGGTGATAGAAACCCGTGCTGGTGCAGATGAGACCTCTTCGCGCCCACAGAAAACCGAGCACGGCGGATTGAACGCCGCTATAGCACATGCCATCTTACAGGTCATAACCCAGTTGGAGATTGCGTGCCGCAACCCCGAGTTCGAACAGACAGATGAAGTAGTTGATTTTTTCGTTCGTGTTCACGAACACCTACCGAACTCGGCAGCGGAGTACGTTATCAATCACTATGCCACAGAACACCTTTGCTATCCATCGTGTGGTGAATGGATAGAAAACTGCAGAAAATTGCTTGATATATTCTTCAAGGCCCGATCAAGACCAACAGCAATGCGGATTAGTGTCCTATCTTTGATCAAGGATGTTTATGAGACTACAAGAGAGTTATGCGAGGAAGATATTTTACGGTCATTGGTTCTTTCTATTTTTGAAGATTTCCGGAATGAAGGCGATTTAAAGGTCTTGGAAGCATTAGTCATGTTGGCAGTAGATGTTGCAGGGGATAGCAACATAGATCTATTCAATGTATGTCTCGATATATTGGTGGATTACATTGGACCAGAAGAGCCCGTGAACGATCAGTCTATACCGGAGGAGGACGAGGAGAATGAAAATCAGACAGCACCAAAGAACTCCTCCGATCGACCCAAGCCTGCGGTGATTCCACACTCCCAGCAACATGATCACCACCATCACCACCTTACTTCCCCGGTCAACATCGTCACTCGGGGATTAGTAAGGATATTTATGAGAAGCATGAATGTCGATGCTCTAAAGACGGCTCGGACATACGAGGAAATTATTAAGATAGTAGGATCTAAAACGATAGCTGCCGATGCACGATTAACAGCTATGAAGCTTTTATTCAGAATCAGATCTGATTCAGAGAATGCTATCTTCTTAGTTGAATCAACAGAGTCAGAAAACCTGGCAGCGGTATTTCACAGAATCACAAAGATCCCGGACGAAACGCCGGCTCCTTCGAAGCCCGAGGAGGACTCATCGTCGACATCTTCGAGATCAAATAGAAGTAACTCGATATCCCAAACCTCGCAACAGACATTTCTATTTAGAAGTCCGAGCCGACCTGTTGTGGAAAAGTATGACCGCGCCAAACGCAAGTCACCGATCTGGGCATACCCTGAGACGAAGGCGCTTCCAGAGAAGCCTTCGTATGAAGCAAGCCCAATTCTATGCACATTTTACGACCCGCCGAAGGACTACCCAGTACAAGAAGGGCCGTCACTGGATCCAAAGACTTGCATCAGAATGTCGTTATGGATGGAGCAAGTGATTCCGATTATGCAGCAAGGTTGTGATTGGGAAATATACAGCTACGTCTTGGTTCACCTAAGCTCCCAGCTTGCCAATAAGACAGCATTCCGAAACTGTAAAGCGCATATCAACATGCTGAGAAGTTATATTTGTCATCAGTTGCATACAGATAAAATTCCTAACACGGATCTTCCGGAAGAGGTTAAGAAGGCCGATATTGCTATAGCTCTCATCAACATACTCACGACTTTGATCAGCTACAAGCAACACTTTGCCAAAAATGAGACCGAAGGAATTGTTAAGGCTTTTCAGTTGGGGCTCTACAAATGGCAGAGAACCGCCAAACCCTGTATCCACGCTCTATCGATATGCTGCTACGAACTACCAGGATCAACAAGCAAGTTCCTACCAGGTATCCTAACAAAGCTCTCCCAGATTATCACCTCTTCCGCCGTCAGTGTACATATCTTGGAGTTTCTGTTGGCATTGGCGAAGCTACCTACTTTGTATAGCAACTTTACAGAACCCGATTTCCGTAATATCTTTGGTATTGCTTTCCGTTACATCCAGCACACAAAGGAGAGTACTGCCTCAGGGCCAACGAGGGTAGGTTACCCCTAACTACTTGGACTCATGAAACCTCTAAAACTAATTTTCTATAGGCGATGCAATCCCAGCCCGAGACTGAACCAAGTCTACCTCAATACGTCCTCACGCTTGCTTACAACGTATTGACAACATGGTTTTTATCATTGAGGCTGAGTGAACGGCCAAAGTACGTGTCCTGGATCACCAGGGGGCTGGTCTTGCATGCCGAGAGCAATACAGTCGACGAGCAAAGCCAAGCGTGTATGGATATGTTGCAAAGGTTCACCTTTAGCGATTTTGACTTGAAACCGCCTGCAAAAATTGGCAAGGATGCAGCGATAGTTACGAAGAATTGGTTGGTCGGAGGAAGTATTATAACTGTGCATATGACGACGGAGACTGGTGTAGCAAGGCTCGTTGTCAGAAGACCAGTAAGTTCTTTTCTCCCACAATCTTCCTCCCTTACCGCCCCCCTCCCCCCCATATAGAAGGGCAATGTTGGTTGATTGTAGAAATAGTCTGGTACAAGCTACTACAGTATGAAGCCGGAATCAAGGGATTTACACAGTACTCTACAATCGAAATGGGTCAACATTCTTGACACGAAGTCAAGCTCTCTAAGCGAAAATAATTCTCTGGAAACAAACACGCAACCGGATAAAATTCTACCTAGTCATGTATTATTGCAGCTGGCTGGAGGTATAGGAACAACCGAGATGACTAGGCCAGTACTTCTCCCGGATGACGACAAAACCACTAGAGCGTTGGACGTTTTTGATAGGATACCAGTTGTCGATTTCCATAAGATTGGTGTGGTTTACGCCGGCCCTGGCCAGTCTACAGAACTTGATATCCTGACAAACCAAATGGGATCACCCGATTATACTGACTTTGTAGATGGACTGGGAGAACTCATTACCCTCAAGGGCACAGACCGAAATACCGGGGGTCTTGATCGCGAAAATGATTTAGACGGCCAATTTGCATATTTCTGGAGCGACAGAATCACGGAGATTGTGTTTCATGTAACTACCATGATGCCAACATTGGCAGAAGACCCCCAGTGTACCATGAAGAAACGTCACATCGGTAATGATTTCGTCAACATCGTTTTTAACAACTCTGGTCTTCCCTGGCGCTTTGGAACGATACCCTCTCAGTTCAATTTTGTCAGTATTGTAATCACACCGGAAGCTAGGACAGGGTTTATTTCGTCGCGTTTGACGAAAAAGGGACTACAGGATAAAAAGTATTACAGAGTCCAGGTCTGCCGCAAAGAAGGGTTCTCGGATATCAGCCCGGCACAGGAGACGAAAATTGTCTCAGATGCGTCACTCCCGGCTTTTGTAAGGAATCTGGCGTTGAGTGCGAGCGTCTATTCGCATGTTTACAATGAGGGTGGCGGAGAACATATCTCCAACTGGAGACATCGACTGCGGAATATTAGTCGTTTGCGTGAGAGAACTGCTACGGGCGGTTTGAGTAATGGGGGAAGCGTTGGGGGCGGGGGGGCTGGTGGAAGCGGCGGAAACGGTGCCATAGGTGGAGCAGCCAGTCCTTCTACCATGCCAAACTCCAGGAGAGTCTCAACTATGAGTGGACAAACAAGTTTGGCGGATCATGGTTACAGCAGAAACTCTGTACAGCTAAATGGTGCTGATCTGGAGAAGGATCTGGAGACAGAGGATCTGTTGATGAGTTTGGACTTTAGTAGGTTCACATGATGTGGGTTCGGGATACTTTCAAAAGCGTTTTATTTTTTTATTTATTATTTCTTTCCAAGTTTTTATTATTGGCGAACTCCATCTTCCATTCCCTCAGAGCCATGCACGTTTCACTTTTAATCAATCTCTGGGTTGTCATTCTGGCCGTAACTTGGCGGACTTTCGCCAGCCGTCCTTTTTATTTTCGCCTGCTTCTTATCTTTCTTTTGTCTTCATCTTCGGGGGTCTTTTGCTTATTCTCTCTTTAAACGTTGCTTATAAAACTAAAAGTTTAGCGGGTATTGGAGTGATTGGTTTGGTGCATGTGTGTGGGATGGATAGGGCGGGAACTTGATCCCTTATTTTGTGTTTTCGTTTTTTTGCTTCTTCATATACAACTACCTCTTCTTGTAATATTGCTATTCTTTGTTTGCTCAATGTGTTGTGGAAGTGGGATGATTCGGTCTTTTCTCTCTTTTTGTTGCATGCTTCAAAATCAGTGTGTGGTTGTTTAGGACAGTGTCTGTCCTAGTACAGTGGGAATGCAAGTTTACGACTGGACATGAGGGGAACAGGGATTTATTGGACAGGAAGGCTTGGTGAAGGGAAAAGATAAACTTGGATATTTTCTTTTTAATTTTGGGTTGGGTCTATTTACATGCCATATCATGGGGGGAACATTGGGAACTTGTAACAAGAATACATAATTGTATTGTGTTGGTACTCTTCTGTGGACTCTTATTCACACACAGTCCATGTTTTTGAGGAAATACTGAAAACTACGCAACAAAGATTTTAAAAGGCAACTGTGTAATGGTGCACCCACTCAATACCAAATTGTGCAACCATAATGGTTGCAATGTATACTGATGAGCACATATGCAGTAACTATCTCTTATAGTCTTTAACAATCCACTCATTCCTCGAGTGATACTTTATGATACAAATTCCTTTTAATACTTTATATGTTTATTAATCAACTGATTATATGTAGTTAATTGATGTTAATGCTGCAAGAATGGTTTCCACTACTACTTTCGTGTTGAAACCGCATTTTCACGCACAAATTTGGCGGAAACTTATTCTCGCTACATGTACTTTATATATATCATATTAAATTCCATCAATAAATGACTATAAATGATTTATCCTTAACACTCCGTTTGCACCTACATATTACTCACATTTCAAACCCGAAGACAAATCTCCTACCAAAATGCCAGGATTTTTTTGTTAATGCCAAAACACAATGGATTATGTCATCTAGTCTTCAGGGTTAGGCTTAATTACATCTACTGCATAAGAGAGAATACGAACAGCTGTCAAGACCCAAAACAGGTGGGCCAATTTCTTCCTCAGCCTAAAGAGATAGTATTTAACCGCGAAAACAAGATTATCTTTTGGAGGGGCTCTCCCCGTACTGGTGGCCCCTACAGAACGTGCTAAAGTAGATCGAAGCCCAAAACCGATAATCCCCATTTTGATCGCTCAGAAGTGCGCAGATAAAGATCAGCAAAGGCGCATAGATCAGAGAAATACTGACGTAGTTGTCTCCCAAGTCTCCCGTGCCTAGATCTGAAGAGCAAACGTGGAGGATAGGTATCTTAGAAGGGGATTGGGCTCTTTGACCTGGTGGCGATCCCGTGGGGGTAGGCGTGGGGACCGAGTTGTCTCGAGACTTTTATGAGACTTCATTCAGCTCTCGATTTTTTCTTGGCAGCGAATATGTTTCATGAAACTACAGAAACGAGCGTTCCAGTACCTCTCCGGTGGTGACTCAGCAAGTGATACACGGAGATAGGCACCTCTACTGTTGCAGATGTCTCGCGGGTCTTTATGCAATAATTGTCATTGGTGTGAAGATTTTTTACATGATAGGATCGGATCTGGAGAGTCTCACACCCCATCACTAATATATAATTCAATTATGCCAGCGAGTCTTCTCTAGCTCTCGAAAACTCAGCAGTGTACTTTTCAGCTCATACTGTAGCAGGGGACCCCAGGTAGTAGCTATCTGTTGTTTTTTGGAGGCATTAGCCTTCAAAAAAGGATACCAGGACAAGCAGGTACAGGCTGCTTTAAACGACGCCAATCCAATGAAGTTGACAATGTTGACGATGTTGATGTTGACGATGTTAAATACCGAATCATGAAACATCACTCGGCCGTGAGACAGGTTGACCAGCAATTCCGAGCGCCGGCGATCGGCGAGAATAAATTTTCTGAGACTTGACGAACGCCAACGAAATACATACATAATCTCCATATTGAGCAAATCAAAGGACCTAATCTATTTCCAGCTGTCCCCGCAATTTCAGATCTGAGTGGTGTGCTGTTTCAAGACCTGCTCGATTTCCAGATACACCTCTGCGTGCACAAAGCTAGGTCTAGCCTAGTCCACTACCACCACATATTTACAATCCATAGCTGTAAACCAAATTCGGCTTAAACGCCGCCATAGCATCAAGCACAGGTTTCTGCGGCACCTTGAACGCCGGTCACTTGTTAAGTAGATTGGCAGACAAACGAACATGTACAACATCTGAATTTCTCAGCCCCTCCCACCCTTGAAGACCGATCCACCAGCAAATACAAAATACAGCCGTACTAACTGACCACTGTGCCCACCATGGGCTTTAAAAAAAAATGAATGTGACAAGAATTATCAAAAAAGCAATATCCACAGAAAATAACTCCTCCAAATGTACAATTCAGACTTTCAAGTCTAGAATAGGAAGAAGTAAAGGGTGGGATAGTATAAACCGGGTATATAGTAGGTAGAATAGAAGTCGGGGGAAAGAACATTAAGGTCATGTATTTACAGAGAATTTAACAGGGGTAAAAGGGCTATTACACGTTAAAACAGGTGAAACATAAACAACAGCGGCAGGCGAGGGTAAATTGAGATAGATGAAGTATGGCGGTATACTTGAATGAGGAGAGAGATCGATGTCGGAATGTAGTGTTCGTAAACCATCGAGGTATTTGATGTCGTTTCTTCACGAACAGTCAACTGGTGGGAGTCAATCCGTCATTACTCTCCTTTGGTGCTTCTGCTGTGAGATATGCCTCTCGCGTAACACCGATCCGTCTACCATTTCCGTTCCCACGTATGAAACAAATCCCTAACCTTTAACCAAAAGAAAAAAAGAACGTTTCGTGACAGAAAATAAAACTCAATATGCATTTCAACAAACAGATCACAAACATAGCCAGAGTGAGGGAAAATGGACTAGACTCCGTACGTTTCTTAGCACCTGCGCCGAAAAGCAGACAAAAGCAGTTCATTCGAGAACAAAGAAATAAGAGTCGTCAGAGAGAATTGACGTTGTCGTCATTCCCCTTCCTGCAAGGTGCTCATTTATGGGGATCTTGGGGTGTCCTTCTCCTTCAATCCTCCAATTCTCTCGAGATCGACAGACGCGAAACGATCATCCGACCTCTGTTGATATGGGGGAAGTGCCTCCTCCTTCAAAGGGCGAACAAATCCAACACCGGCCTCGCCCACCTCAACTACCATGACTCTTGAGATCCTGCGACCAGTTTCCTTGTCGGTTTCTTCGGGAAATGTAATTCGAATCTCAGGGACGTTCTCAGGGCTTAATGGCATAGGAGAAGAGTTGTCAAGGAGTTGTTCCTTCTCGGAGTACATAAGTGTAGAATTGCGAGTAGAAATCGTCAGGCCATGCTGGTTTTTGTTTGCAGACTCGTATGTTGGTAAAGTGCCGGCTGCCTTGCGCTGCTTGCGAATACGGTTAAGAACAAAAAGTGAAAAGCTGAGGACCAAGGTGAGGGCAATCAAGATAACCAGAGAGATGAGGAGCGAAGACATGGTGTGGTTATTTGCTTCGTAGTTAGCGTCAGAGTTGGGATCGTTTATGTTGCGACGGTTGATCAAGGGCATGGCAGGCATTGTATTATATTATGGTATTCGTATTAGGGCTGTTGCCTTAGGTTCCTGTTGAATATGCTGTCGAGAGAGCTGAATGAGTGGGTAGTACCGGCAAATCGGACGTAACGAATGGGTCGGTTGTTTATTGGCCTGATAGAGATCGTAACGGATTATGCTGTTGGTAGTGTCTGGTATTAGTGACAATTGACAACGAAGACAGGAGACAAGTGTGCCTTGAAGTTTGAAAATGAAACCAGAACATATCGGGGCATAGAATGATATGGAAACGGCAGAAGGTGGGGTGGTGTGCGGGTGGTGGTAGTGGAACATGGTGCAATGATTATTGATTCATGCCATGAATGCCATCATGTCACAGATGATAGACATGGTACTCTAAAATTGGGTACAGACTGAAGGGATCAAGAACAGGCACGTAACCCTTGGAGCAAGGAATGCACGGAGGGGAAAAGCGAACGAATCATGGAGGAAATGTCAGGCACGTACATATTACTAACGTAGCGGGTACTAACAACGCAAACTAGGTATGCAAGGGCGACAGGAAAAAAAGAACAAGAGGACAAAGACAGGACAGCACTGAAGAGTACGGGGAGAGAGAGAATGTGAGGTTGAGTAAGTGAATGATCGGAAGGCAATTTGCAGGCCAGCAAAAGAGTGAAGCCGGACAATTAGAATCGCTGCTGAAAGGAATGACAGGTAGCGAGAAGTGGGAATAGCGGGGGGAAGGGTGAAAAGAAGGAAAGAGGGAAAAAGAGAGAGAGAAGGGAAAAAGAGAGAGAGATGGGAGAAAGGGAGAGAAAAACGACGTTTGGTATCAATTCTTCGCTCTTGGGGAAAGGGGTATAAAAGTGGTGAACGGGCGTGTAATTTTACCTACATAGCCCTTTGTGCTTTGTTTGGCAGAACATTACACCCTAACAGGCGCCAACTTCCACTTTCAACCGTCGTCTAACGTTTTTAGGCAACATCCCGCCTCGGTTGCCGTTCCCCCACGGTCTCACCAGTCTACTTTAGGCCAAATTCCATGATCCATGTCGGTCAATCAGCCAGTCAACAGGCTACCCCAACCGAAACTGTCACCTCGACATTTTGCGAATTCACTAGGTTTGAGATGAGATCATTAAGATGCACTTCACCTACCAACGATACAAACAATCAGTATGAGATATTGCCTGCATTGAATGAAAAGACCGGAACATGGGATGAAGAGAAGGTGAAAAGGGAAGGAAGTGTGTGTGTGTGTGAAGAGGAACAGTATAAGAGGAATTCCAACACTTCCAAATATAGAGAGTCCTCTTGCCGCTGCCATTATCGAGCACCGGACAACGTTCGGTACATGTACACACACATAAACAACATGGTTGTGGGGTTGTGGCATGTTTGCCGCCGTCAAGGTAATCTCGTCCCAGTCCAAAGACGATAAGATGAACGTTATGTGTCATTCGCTCTCACGTTTATCCCTCCAGGTCCCAGCAACCCCATGTCGCTACTATTAAGAGTAGCATGCAATACTTGATTACTTTGAATCCCGAATTCCTGAGGAAAGTACAAATTCATTTCGAATTTCGAAAACGAAGATGTTTGTATGTGTGAAGGCTTCACTGATAGCGGTATGCCCCCCGTCTAGAGCTGCGAGAACATCAGTAACATAATTCAAGATATAGTGAACAAAAGATCAGATGACGGGGACAGAGAAAACAAACATCAGATGACGGATAGAATGGTCAATGGCTTCGGTACGCAACATGTATTGATTCCCTTCGATCACCCGCCAAACAGGGCTGTCAGGAGTTGGTATTCGCCTGGTTCCCGAAAGACCGCGAGGTTATTCAAAATCACCTATTTTCGGCAGATACACCTCAGAACACAAAAATGTCCTCTTCGAGTTCTAGTAAAGTTGAACTCAGTGGTGTTTTCGTTTGGGATAACGTACCTGGTTCCTGGATAACCATATACATAAGTAAACCTTCAGCGTTTACAAAAGGCATGATATCCTTTTGTCATAAACTCGTCACACTGGTAGACGTAGCCAAGTCTTTCGGCTAGCTGCCATCAGCTCTTCGGTCTTAGGGTGGCGTCGGTTATCGTGGAACAGTTCGGTTCTCGACAAAAATGGCCACATGCAAGATGAAGGTCGATAGCGATGTCAAGAGAGCATACTCAACAAATTGAAGACCTGCGCATTGGGGCGGAGCATCCTTTGTTGTATGGATCGATGGGAGATGGAGAGGCAAGGAAAGGGGGGATCTGAAGAACATCTCTGGCAACACTAAATGAGAGAGACTAAGATTGACACATGATTCTGTTGCTACTGGCTGTGGTTTCTTCACTGATAGGACCTCTCGCAAGATGAACCGGCACCTAAATTCGCTCATTGCTGCCTGGATTCATGCATACATGTATTCATGTCCATCACATACGCAATACTCACATACGGGCCGAATAAATGGACAGGCGGGATGGTCGAATTGTTTCTCTCCCTTCTTCTGCGGGGTTGTTTGCCTTGTCTTGTGTGTCTCAGGCGGGCCTAGGTATGGCAATTCTGCACCTTTTGGGCTACCGCAAGGACTGTAAGGCCGTCTTATTAGTTGACCTTATACCACCCTTCCAATGCGCGAACCCGCGCACATTCGTCATCCTGCGAATTAGAAATTTGACCACTGGTAGGAAGTCTATTCGCTCACAGAGATACGGAAAGGATAGAGGCCACGTGGGCAACTACTCAGCGAGAAGATATCGTATCATACAGTACTTTTTTTTCTTCCCATTCTGAGTCTCTCGGCCGGCAGTCAATTCTGGGGAGCTGAGTGTTCCTGCGCCTAGCTAGACCAACCTCTCGATAGTAAAATGAGATATGAAGAGAATAATGAACTCTCATGGATCAGACAGGTGGACCAAATGACTGGGCTGTAAGAGATCAAGCTGGGGTGAATCCGATCTTCCAAAGGATAAACCATACGAAGTCAGATAAAAGGTGTGGTTGAGGTCAGGGGCTGATCAGTTGACAGAAGGCAACACAGGAGTCTTGAACACGGGCTCGGATGGCTACATTCGTTAGTGCCGTGATGGTTTCAATAAATATGAGCATAATTGGTATCGTTTGTTTCATTTTGTTTTTCGTTCACAGCCTGTCACTCACACCATAACCCCACCTCACGCTCGGCCAATGGTTGGAGGAATTTTAAAACAAAGTAACATGGTCCGGTATTGGTTAGAGCGGTCCAAAGGCAGGCGCGGAAGATCGAGGATCATCTTTTACGTATGCAAGGAAAATCGATGCGGGTTTACATACATCCCCAGGATTGAATATATGGCCATAATATTGATGAAGCAAGTACACATCTGATCTGCTTGTTTGAATCACGAAGTCAATAGTTGTCGGCAAACCTCTGGGTAGAAAGTTAGTTTTGGAGAATTGGCTGAGGTTTTGGTGCTACGTAATATGGTTGGGGTCTTTCAACCATGAGTGCTACAGTACGGTATGTATAAACATATTACTGTACATTACAGTGCACAAATCTCAACCAGAGGCACTTATTTGTATCCCAGTCTGGACAACCGTAATTTCTTTAACAAGAAGACGCATCTTACTCCCTAGTTAGTCTATTACTCCAATTTCCAAGCACATTTGACCAAGTATTTCTATAGGATTATGATAGGCAGCTGCCTGCATAAATGGGGCTAGGGAGTGAAGATCATATCTGATTTCCAGGCTTAGCCCTGAGGCTCTACTACTGCGCGCATAAGGAATGTGTACTTTACATACATAGGGCTCATAAAATACCGGGTCACGCTCATATCTTAATTACCGTTACACCCCAGAATCACAGCTGACTCAGTGGCGTTTAAAACGGACGGCATATCGTTGCATATTATCATTCCCGTTTCCCTGTCGACGACGACAAGTAACTACAGTACAACATCGGCAAGTAAAGAAACAATTGTGCATAACAGAATCTCGTGCTAAGTGCTCGCACGCCAAGTCCTAAAATTGGTTCGTCCGCTAGCTCTTACTAGAGTACATGCGGAGATACCTAGTCCTTCCCAGTGCCCATTTCTTCGGGTTCCTAGGCAAATCAGAATTCAATGGAGCTGTCGAAGCTAGTTAGGTACTCTGCTTTTAAATTCACTTTCGTTATCCCGCATCGTGCATTGTGTCTGTAGAGTATATCTAGAGGCCTCTCGTATGGATTTGTAGGTGTTACGCACTCAACGCACTAGGGCAGGAAATGATATTTTTTGTAACTATCAGAGTAGAAATTCCTCTGAGATATTTCGCGCCTAAAGCATTTATGTCTATGCCGGTTACTATTCCCGCGCACAGACCTCTCCAACGAAAAGGTTATCTCGGCTGGTGTGACGTCCACTGCGGAACCGTCCGCTCAATCGGACAGCTTTTGTTCGACCTCCAGGGGTTTAGGAAGCGGGAAGGTGGGGCCACATCGTTTCTTGGAGCCCTAGATCTTCAGCCGTACCGTCGCACCCCGATCTCCTCTAGAATTGATACATACTGTACTTCTACTACATGCCTGTCTACCTTTCCTTCGCCCTCATGGCTTGCGCGCACTGTACGTACTAGTGGATGAAACGAATGGTAGATAAATGAAACAATTGATTGACAGCAGAAACACCCCCCCCCCCACCCCAGTAAATCGAAGGTCGTCAAGGATTTGTCTCCATACAGCAGGTTTCTCAATACTGGCATCATGTAAGGTTTATCACCACCACTTTCAGCTCCTCTTTATGGGCTGGAACGACAGGGCATGAGTGCTAAGTAAACATTTGTTTCCTACCTCCGCATGTTTCTTTCTCGCTGTGTTTTGGTTGAAAACGGGAACGGGAAGGGGAAAGCGTCATGCAACGGCAGAAGCATGCAATTGATTGAGGTTCAAGAAAGTGCCTTCATTGACTCCAAGTAGTGTTGGAAAGGGGGGGGGGGGGGAGTCATACCTCCACACCACTTGACACGTAGCGAAGGCACAGCGCATAACCCTTCCATCAACCGCCTGTTCGTTAAGTCCTGCGATAATAAATCAGAGTTTCTCTTCTCTCAGGTTCCTCGTTTTGTATCTGGCAAAACAAGATATGAGATATGAGAGTATGTATGTATGTATGGATATATGTATGTACTCGTTGGGATCTACTATCGATTAGGGTTAATATATTGACTATGCTTATGGGAGGTCGTTGACGAATGACTGCAGGGTGATCAATTAATTGAGTGCACTTTACTCTAATTTATGGCAAATACCTTTTGATAGTTGGGTACTTACGCCAGAATTTGGCTTGGGAGGGGAGCAGCCTTAAATACTGGTGTAAATACATATGTACCCACATATTTGGTATTCTCATCGTTGATCATTGATACCTAGTGGTTGAAAATGTTGTCTGTCCTATGGCGGCCATGTCCAAGACTAAGACATAAAATTGAACTCTATCTAGGTGCTCTATGCTGTCGGCTGTTTTGAAATGCTCGATATCAATCAGATTAGAGTGGGTGCATCTTCCCGCCTTATGAGGTTACTGGGCAAAAATTATCGATATCGCAGTTAATAATACGCACTAGTATTCTGCATATCTGCTTTGGGGTGCATGTGGTAATAGGTAGCACTCACAAACAGGTCACGATTGTGCAAAAAAAACCCAGATTCCTCGAGTCAATAATCAATCAATTGGAGAACCTGAGGTTATCTGTCTTTTCACTTTACTCACCCCAGACATCGAGTCAAGACATCAAGCAAGCCAGCCCAGACCAGACTCTCGCTTCGCCCCATCCATCCCCATCTCATCAGCATCCCAGCACCACCTAGCACAACCGTACATACACATACATCGTAGCTGTGCCAGTGCTCAGCTACCTTACCTTACCTACCTGGTACCACACCCACTATCCCCCCCCGCACTCTTACTCACGACGAGTAGCGCCCAGCAATTGGAAGACTAATAGATCTACCTTTCCTTTTTCCCACCGCCCTCTCCCTCCTTTCGTGCGTGGGCCCTTTCGCTTTACAAAAAAGTCCCGCAAACTTTCCTTCCCGTCGGTCGCTCTCTTGGTACAGTCAAGTCGGGGGTCAGAACGTAGTGGCAGCAGCAGCACGGACGGGACGCGACCGCCTTAAGTAAGTGTGCGAGACAACAAGAAACAAGAGACATTGTATGTAACGGCGAGAGAGCAAGCAAGCGGACGGAACAACATCAAACAGAAGATATCTCAAGGATCAAGAACTACAGGCATAAGCCCAGGAATGACAGTTAGAGATTGTGCCTATAAGAAAACAAGTACCTAGAGGAATAAGAGAAGACGTGAGAGTATGATAGAGTGCAAGGTCCAGGCAGGCCACCACCACCACCGACGGCAGCAGCAGCAGCAGCGAGCAGCCTTACATACTTGACTCTGAAACCAACACCGAGTGCAGCCCACACAGAGGGGCTTCAAGGGTTTTCGTTGAAAAAAAAAAAACACAGTAATAAAATAAAGAGAGAAAAACTATTGCTCGCGACATTTCTTTTCCGAATAACATCGTCTACTGCTCTCTCTCTCTCTCTCTTCTCTCGCTTTCTATCCTGTTCCTCTTACCCTCGTCCACAGCTCTCAATCCGGCACAATCCCTCGCTCATCTCCATCTTCATCCACCTTCTTCCCCTCCTCCCCCCATCCTCGTCATCCCACATCCCTACAGAGTCAATCAAACCTTCAAACCTTCTCGCTCTGCTCCCGGCGGCCATCGTCATCCCCTTGCATCAGCCCCTCCGCCGCCGCATGACTACAACTTGCTGTTGCTAATCAATCCAAGCGGAGGGCAGGATACCACGCTTTCTAAGGCCTGGCTTGCGCTCGCTCCTTCCCTTCCCTCTCTTCCATCTTTGAAGATAATAAATCTGCCAATACCTCCTGCAACGTCTCCTAAAATTTGACTGACGTTCACAACCTTTCCGCCGCCCGCCTACCTCCCTTCCTTCCTTCTCCGCCCCGGCACCCTTCTACATTCGATTGTACATCTTTTTGATTAATTTCTTTCCTTTTTTCCCGATTGCCCGTTAGCAAACGACTACTACAGCTCCAGGTCTTTCTCCCGCTACTGTTACCGGCCGAACCTTTACAAGATAAGTGCGTAGAACCAACAAGCTCAAGCAACATCTCTCAATCGTTCCATCGAACCTGCTCTTTTCGGAAAGCTTCGTAGGGCTGACTTTCTAGCTCCCCGCGTCAATTCAACAGCTGTTGTAACATCCAACATAACGTTCTACGATCTGTAAATCTCAAATAAAAAAAACCCTCCTGTACAGAAATCGAAAGTCATACTTCTTTCTTGCGTCTCCTGGATATATATCTGTTGTCCGTCGCTACTTCTGCGAATTTGTCACTCAACATTTACATAGTCAATTCCGTACATACACACAACCTCCGGCAGCAAATATGACGGACCATCAAGCTGCAGCTACTGCTCGAGCAGTACCATCAAATAGTGTACGTGTTCTTGTGATTTAATGGTACCGACTGTAGTTGTGTAAGCTATCGAACTGATGATTTGTGGTGTTACAGGTTCGAAACACTCGATTTGGGGATTTTGGAAGGTCGCCCGGGACTCTTGACGAGAACTCATCACAGAATCCAGGCCAGAGCCTTGGAGCAGGTGGTGCAGCATGGGGCATCTGGGGTAACTCCGCTAGGGGTACCTCCGCTATCGGTAGCACGACTATCGGCAGTGGTTTTACAACCAGTAGCAACAACGAAAGGAGAGGTGAGCTTTCTGCCCCATCTAGTTTGGACTCTAAAGAATTTATCAGGTAGAATTGAGAGCTTTCGTTATTGATGTCATCATTTTCCATAAATAGGGTCTTTGGAGGGTAAACAAGGTTCTTCCTCACTTTTGGCAGGATCTGGCGAGCATGAGCCGTGGAGCAATACCAAACCCACTGCAGTAGGATGGACCGGCGAATCCACATCACCAGCTCTTTCAAATGTGGCCATAAGCCAAGATCATTCTCGTTCGCCAGCTCGACTTCGCAGTCAACAATACGATTCCCCTCAGACTAGCTCAGAAGTCCCACGCACCTCATCGCCGTACTATTCTATCCCCCGTCAAGCAGCTGTTGGACAGGGACCATCTATGAGTCAATCTCCAAGTAGTAAATCTTATTTGGACCCTGCTTCGGCGGTCAGCTTTGGTGAGACTCTTGATTTTCAAAATGGGGGTCGAGGGCGTGGCCTTGAAATGGGACAAGGCTTTGGTGACAGGAGACATCTTGGCTCTGTTCTTGGTGCTATCGAGGATGAAGATCCTAACCACACAAATCGAGGGCGTGTAGTATCAAATCCACGTGGTGTTAATACCGGTGCCGAGATTCTGGGCACTAGCGTATCATCCGCTAGTCGTAGTGAGAGTCTTCCACCTCAGCAACGGGCAAATTCAACACCACCCACATATAACCCCAACCAGACACCGCAAGAGGCCGCTGGGTACGGGGCTTACACTCATGTCCCAACTTCTCATCCAGCTTCGCATGGCCCCAATCATCCTAATGTTGGCAGTTATCCGGTTGGTGCGCAGGGTAGATATACTGACTTAACTCGAGATACTCGGCAAGCGGAGATGCTTGCACAGTTTCGTCAGGTTTCAGTCGAAGATGAGAACGATCAATTTCCAGATAGGCGTCGCCTACCGTTCACAGGATCATTTAACCCCCAAAACAATCCAGGGAACTTGAACTACCCTTCACAGCCTTTGTTCGCCGACTATCAGTACCAACAACAACGTCAGAATGCCCAGGCCGTACCTCCAAACTCATCTCCATGGGCTACAGAAGAGGGAACCTACAACCGTGGACAGGAAGGGTTTAGCAACGACCAATATAATGGGGATGGGTACGTTGAGGGCTACAACGAGTTTCGGACTAGGCCTTATGAGAGAGTTGGTGCAATGTCTCCAGGCGACCAAAACGTTGATTTCCAGAGAAGAAGTTTGGCCAGCCCGTACTATCCAAGCGGGACCACTCCTCCGCCACAGGGGGACTTTCGCTCTGCTTCTCGTGGTGCTACTGCGCGCACGCCACCTTCGGTACAGCTGGGATTGAACCATGAGAAATTAAGGCAACGGCTGTTAGTCACCCAACAACAGCAGCAGAGCCCCCATTTAGGTCAAAGCCAGACTATCATGCGCGATCAGCTCTACCGTACTCAGCAACAGCAGCAACAGCAACAGCAGTTCCCTATGTCTGGGCCGTATGATTACACATATAGCAATTTGCGAATGCAAATGCCCACTTATCCTGGCGGTTCACCAATCAGTCCTTTGGCTGCACCTACTCATCCAGCTGCTCGGAGACATGATGACATCGGAAGCCTTAGAAGCGCATTACTGGAAGAATTCCGTTCAAACTCTAAATCCAACAAACGTTATGAGCTCAAGGTAAACTAAGCCTCTAAGTTATTCCAAGCCTCTTACTAACACAGATAGGACATCTATGGTCACGTTGTTGAGTTTAGTGGTGATCAACATGGATCTAGATTTATCCAGCAAAAGCTTGAAACGGCAAACAGCGACGAAAAGGATATTGTCTTTGCAGAAATTAAACCGAACTCTTTACAATTAATGACAGACGTTTTTGGGAACTATGTTATTCAGAAGTTTTTCGAGCATGGAAATCAGCTGCAAAAGAGTGTTCTGGCAAAGCAAATGGAAAACCACGTTTTGACGCTCTCTTTACAGATGTATGGTTGTCGTGTTGTTCAAAAGGTAAGGAAGGAAAATATATCTGCATGGTATATGGGCTAACACAAATCACAGGCTCTTGAGCACATCTTGACCGAACAACAAGCAACCCTCGTCAAGGAGCTAGATGGACATGTTCTGAAGTGTGTCAAGGATCAGAACGGAAACCACGTAGTCCAAAAAGCTATTGAGAGGGTCCCTGCGGAGCACATTCAATTCATCATCAAGGCTTTCCACGGCCAAGTCCAGACTCTTGCAACACATCCTTACGGCTGTCGTGTAATCCAGAGAATGCTTGAGCATTGCGACGAGACTGCGCAGGCATCTCTTTTGCAAGAGCTTCATTTCTGTACTCAGGCTCTAGTTCAGGATCAGTACGGCAATTACGTGACGCAACATGTGATTGAGCACGGGAAGGCTGAGGATCGGGCTAAAATCGTCAATCTGGTTACCTCTCAATTACTACACTTTTCAAAGTATGTTCACCTAAATCCAAACACCTTTCTGCTCTCAAGTAGCTAACCAAACTGGATTAGACACAAATTTGCCTCAAATGTCGTCGAGAAGAGCATAGCTTTCGGGTCACCAGACCAGAAGCGTGAGATTGTGAAGGTCGTTTGCGCAGCTCGACCTGATGGCAGTTCTCCCCTGCAGATCTTGATGAGAGATCAGTACGGCAATTATGTGATTCGTATGTGAGATCTAATACTTTGGTTGGGTTTAAATGCTAACATTCAGTTAAGAGAAACTTTTGACCTTGCTTTCGGGCCAAGACCGTGAAACTTTGGTTGAGCAAATCAAACCCCAACTACAGGCGCTGAAGAAATTCACATATGGGAAGCAAATCAATGCGGTATGTGTTAGTTCCTACCTTCAGCCATATTATACAACGCCGTAGCTGACAAATTTATAGATCGAAAAACTGATTTACAACTCTTCCACGCCATCGCAGACAGCTTCTCCACCGCCTGGCTCAGTCGCTGCCACCCCGCCGGACCACACCTCGGAATCGAGTGAGGTACCATCTACAAATACAAGTAATGCTGGCGAGGTTCCCGTAGTCGAAAAGGCTATCGAGTAAGCTTAGCTAGATCATATCGGCATTGTGGTCTAGAACTGGGAAACAAATTTGGCGTCAGGAAGTGTTTCATGGAAGTGTTTCAATCTTATTTTTGGCTGAATATTTTGGGGGCCAGTCTTCTTCAGTATATTTTTTATATTTCTTTTGGGATGCGAAATGAAGCATTTATAATCATGTGTTTAAAATACCCCTTTATTCCCCATTTCTTCTATCCAGATCCCCTCTTTTCGCTTCTTGTACTTTCAAACACCATTAAAAAAAAATGTAGCGGCATTCACGCGGGGCGCGGGGAAAAATAGCTTTACGGATGTTTTCAAATTGGGGTTTATTCTTTTTTTTTTTTTTTACGGCTATCGGCTTGGGTTCGGCATGAGAACTTGTCACAGGGGGTTGTGATTTTGTTGATTCTTTATATCGGCATCTTTCATTATTTTATGTTTATGCTTTGTGAATTTTCTTGGAGAAGGTTAGGATGCCTTGGGTGAATTCGTTTTCGTCGTGTTGTGTTCACAAGAGGCGATTTTTTGTCCTTGTTGAGGTTTCATCCGACTACCCATCATCGTGTTCAAAAACCCCCGTATTTCATTTTCACGTAACGATATTATTATTATTATTATTCCTTTATTTCTTGTTTTATTTTTTTTTCTTCTATCGCTCTTACCCACTGTATATGATTCCAATTTGTCAAATTTTCTCTTTGTAGTTTGTTTGCGCATTGTTTATTTTCGATAGTTTTCCCTCGTAGTTATTTTAGGCGATTTATTTATCTATTTTTGTTATGTGTTGGCCAAAACCGGGAATGAGGGAAAAGAAATTATTTCAACCCGGCTTGTATATACGTATGTGTTCTTGTTGGTGTCAATGCGATTATAATCTTTACTGCTCGAAATTTGCACCAGACTGGGAAGCAATGACGAGTAGATGCAATTATCTCCATGGACCCTGAAGTCTTTTTACGAGGTAACCCGAGTGAAATAGATTGAGGTTAAAGGCCTCAACAATAATGGTCTCACCCTACCGGATTAGGTTCATTGATCAGAACAGTTGTAATAACCCTAGCCCACTATTATCATTCTTCGTCTGCACCTTAATGTCAGTGCCAAGAGTGTGGCTTATGCTAAGAGATCTGCTTGTATTGATCTCACACTCAAACTCTCCACTATTTGGGGAAGGGGGGGAGGGGAGAAGGGATAACAACACAAAGATTCCCTTCCTTCCGCGGAGGGCTTCACTTTTCGTCCTCCCCCCCCCTACACACAAGATAGTAGATCCAACAATCACCCATCACCTGACGGTCGAAATCTCCCGAGGAGTCACCGCTGGAAAGAGCCCAATATTGTTTTTTTCTTCTTCTTTTCCCTTCCCTGCCGGTGATGGAACAGGGGGTCTTTTGCCTTCTCAATATTAGTTACGTAGGACCCGGTTAATTGATGGCGCGGCCCGCTGATAGGGTGCGCGCGAGAATGAGAGAGAGGGAGAGCGGAGAGAGGAGCGAGAGGGTCAGAGGGGGGTGTTACATTGTGCGGCGGTTGAGTACATGCGTTGGAGTGAGGTATGTGGTGGCTTGTTGTCGGTGGCTTTTTTTTTTGCCAAGGACAGAACCACTGGGAATGCTTCGTGGCCCTGACCTTCTTCCCGCCCCCCACCATTTCTCCCCCCACTCTCGACGTTGTGTTGTGTTGTGTTGTGTTGTGTGAGTGGTGCGCCAGGTGGTTCGTCAAGCGCCCCCTTCCCTTCCAGCCGCGTGGGTTTGTGTGGTTTACTGTGCTCAACCGGTGGGAGCTATTTTAATCCCGGGAATGTGTCCTACGTGGTTGGAGTGGCTTGCAACGGTCATGGAATATCACTCGATCGATGTTGCGTGGTGGGTTGGGGTTGCATGAGATATCACTCGGCGCGCCCCGGAATATTAAGGTGGCCATATGTGGAAAGGCGCTAACGGTAACGAGAGCGGTTAGACTGAGGTGAGTACGGATTACAGACTACAGCTGTGAGGTTATTGGCCTCAACTTTCTACTCCTTCTGATAACTCTGCGAAGACACCCATTAATCTTGCGTTCAGCCTGGGGTGCTCCAGACAACCAATCAACCCATCTGTGTATCACGGTGGTGGAGCGATCATTGGGTACCGAAAAACAACTGAAAATTTATTTCCAAAACAAAATCCGTACAAAACACCCAATCTAACTAAACGAATGCCTTGATAAAAACAGAAACGGGAATAATTATACAAAACACCAAACCATCTACCAAAATACATGAGGGAAAAGAAAATATAACTCGGCGGTAAATGTACAAGCATTGTCTTGGGGTTTTTTTCCTTTTATTTTACACAAACACGTCATCTGGTGACTTCTCCAGCTTTTCGACACCTAGTGCGCTTCTTCTCGCTCTCTCGCTCTCGGTTACAAGAGCTTTGGCCTCTAGGCGTTTCTTTTTCTCGACGTACTGGAGGAGGCGGATACAACCGGTGGGGGTTATCTGGATTTTCATTAGATGGGGATAGTGTGGAAGAAAAGTGGGGGCAGGCGGGGACATACCCCTTCAATACGTCTGGCTTGGCCAATGCTTTCTGGTCGGACCTCGCTGAGGAGAATTCTTTCTTCTGTTGATAATCCGACAACCCTATCACGTGCAGTTGTCAGTAAGGAAGAATAGACAGGAGTAGAAAGAGAGAGGGCTCTCACTGGGTATAATCCAAATCCGGAGTCAGACGCAAAGCCTCATCTCTCATGAACATCTTAACAGCGCTTGCCTGTCGCACTACATATGGCTCATAAACACCTTCGATTTCAACTCTTCGCATGATGTTTTCTGACCACTGGTCCTTCTCCAACACACCGACCTCGACAAGTTTCGCCGTATCTACACCTGCTAGTCTGAGGAGTTGAAACGCGCTTCGCTTCTCGCTGTCCTTGTTCACTCCGAGACCGCGCCGGGTCCACTCGTAGGAGCCGAAAACGGTAGTCTCAAGCTTTGTCCGCAGATCCGCCATCTGCGATGTCTCACTCTCATAGTGGGCCCACCTTTTATCCCCCACAACGCCATGCGCACGGCCCATGGGCGTCAGTCGTACATCTGCATTATCGGCCCGTGCGGACATTCTGAACTCGCTGCGCGAGGTGAACATCCTATATGGCTCGCTAACACCCTTCGTGATGAGATCGTCGATCATGACGCCGATGTAGGCGTCACTTCTACTTATGATCATCTGTGGCTTCCCTAACGCGGACAAGCCTGCGTTGATTCCCGCTACTACACCTTGTGCAGCTGCTTCCTCGTAGCCAGTTGTTCCATTGATTTGCCCGGCGAGGAACAGGCCCTTGATGGGCTTTGTCTCCAGAGTTGCACGGAGGTGCCGTGGATCGACGTAGTCGTATTCAACGCCATACCCGGGCTGTAGCATGTTTACCGATTCGAGTCCTGGGATGGTTTTGAGGAGGCGCTCTTGAACTGCAGCAGGAACGGTCATGGAGATTCCGTTAGGATATACTACGTGGTCTGTTACACCTTCTGGTTCGAGCCAGATTATGTGGTTTTCCTTGTGGGAGAAACGAATTATCTTGGACTCAAGAGAAGGGCAGTATCGCGGTCCCTTAATTGTCTCACGAATGTGGATGGACTCATGAAGGTGCTGACGAAGGATATCGTGAGTGGCCGGTACGGTGTTGGTTGAGTGGCAGAGGTTCTGCTCTTCAATTTGCACACGCTCGTTGAGATAACTGAACGACATTGGCGGTTCATCGCCATACTGCGGGAGAAGATTCTTGTAATTGATAGTGCGTCCGTCAAGACGGGGCGGCGTTCCAGTCTTTAGACGTCCCATCTTGAAGCCGGCAGTCTTGAGGGATGCAGATAGGCCGAAAGTGGCGGCCTCCCCCATGCGTCCCGACGGGAATACATCCATACCGATATGGATCTCCCCGCCGAGAAATGTACCCGTGGTGATTACTACGTTTTTCGCCTTTATAATTTCCCCAGACTCAAGCTTAATGCCCTGGATCTTCCCGTAGTGGCCTTCTTCGTCCAGGTGCAGCCCATTCGGCGCCTGGTTCACCACAATATCTGCAACGCTCCCTTGAACAATCTCCAAGTTAGGATAAGAGTTAAGCTCGTCTTGCATATACTTCTTATATAATACCCTGTCTATCTGAGCTCTGGGGCCCCAAACGGCAGGTCCTTTGCTTCTGTTGAGCACCCGGAACTGGATACCAGCTTTGTCTGTGATGCGCCCACAGACGCCGTCAAGAGCATCGACCTCCCTGATCATGATACCTTTCCCAATGCCGCCGAATGAAGGATTGCAGGAGCATGTGCCAATCGTGTCGATTTTCTGCGTCACGAGCGCGGTTCGTGCGCCAGCTGCATACTAAGCGAAATGCCCGTGCGGGTGTGAGGAGAGTGCAATTTCTTACCTCGCGCAGCGGCAGCGCAGGCTTCAGATCCAGCGTGGCCTCCGCCGATAACAACGACATCGTATTCTCTGGCTGCACTGTACCCCATAAGTCTGGTGTCTCCGGGGGAGGATGTGGGGGAGGGTGGCGGGGGAGACCCCACGTACCTTGGGTCTGCGGAAACGGAGGCCAATCCTCGAATTCGGTAGCCCCGGGGTTTAAGGAACTTTGCGCCAGAGCGGCGGAGTAATTGGCGGGTGTGGAGGAGTGAGTTCATTGCGAATGTGGGGTTGGTTGGTCTGGGGTTGTGTTTGGGGATAGGGAACTTTTTTTTGGTGTTGAGCCGCAACCGTTGTGCAGGAAGAAAGGCTTGGCGGGTGCATGGATGGCCATCGAGTCAGATCCTGTGATGCAACCACAACCTCTTTGTTCGTGGGGTTTTTGTATTTCATTTCTTTGTCTCTTTGTTTCTGGAGATGCATCAAAACTCGAAGTTAGTAGTCAAGATGTTCAATATTCTGCACCTTCCTTACCGTAAAAATGAATCGCTATCTTCCCGGAAAACCTACGGAGGTTCTATATGTCGATGAAGAGGAGCCACAGAGGCTATGGGACCCCGAAGGTGATATGCTCGCGTTCAATCTACCTTATGGATTTGGCTTTCTAGCACCCGTGGTGGATGCATGCCATCTCAAGGCGCTGGACATAAAAGATAGGTACTTAACCTGGGACGAGGCATCTATCAAAGCCAGGTTGGGGGTACTCAGAGACATCGAGAGAGAGGACTACTCAAGCGACATCCTATACATGGATGAAGAAGGTATCAGTCTCCAAATCTCTCTCCCAAACACCTACAGAATACTAACACAAACACCCTCCCTACCCAGAGCTCGACCAACTAACCCGCCACTACCAACGACAAGACATCCAGAAGAACGAGCAATACGCCAAAGCTTTCGGTCTCCTCATTACCAACCCCATCCCCTTCATAGCGGCGCGCGCCTGGGTAAACTGGCCAGATACCCTCGAGATCCTCTCACTCATCTCCCTCATTATCTCCGCGTCATGCGTCCCCGCCGTCTACACCGACCGCCTCGCGCTCGACATGCCCACCCGCTGGAAGTACAGGATCATCAGAGCAAACATCTACCTTGCGGGTTTCCTTGCATTTGTGGCCGTTATTTTCCCAGCCGGCGGCAATCTAGTGGGGTACAGGGCCGCGGAGAAATACTGGACGAATGATGGTTCCATCTTTGGCGTGTTCCCGCTAAGTATGTTATCCTTCTTCGGTGGAAGTGGCCAGGTCGATGGAGTGGCTGACCGGTTCGATGTAGTTATGGCGCTTGTGTCCCATGGGATCAGGCGCATGATGGAGGCGGTGAATCACTTGGAAATGGCGCATATCAGGTATATGTATCTTCGACCGGCCCGCTGGGAAGAGATTGGCTTGAGGGCGGCATTGATAGAGCAGGGGGTGGAGGTCCCGCCTCTTCTGGAGGCGCTGCCAGTCCCGCCAGTCCCACCAGCCCCACCAGCAGCAGACGCGGCACCACCAGCGGCCGCGGGGGGCTAGTCTGGTTTGGTCAAATGTGTATTTGCAATTTGGTTATTTGGTGTCGAATCGTTGAAGATTGGGTGTGTTTAATCTGTGCAATCTCATTATATTATGTGACATGAATAGCATATGCTATTTGTGACTAGCAAGGTCATTATGAAGTTTATTTATTAGTACTGATAGGATTTCAGTTTTATAATCATGAGATATCACTCGTATAATTGTTCGATACTTCGGAGTACAAATAAGTCTTAGAATAACCTAGCATCCTAAATAACTCTGGGGACGCGGGAAGCTATATTAGCCTTATATGAGAAAAGGAGCACGGTGCACTTGTTTAGGAGGGGGGGGGGGGGGGGGATTAGGAAAAAAAAAAGCATTGCATCGTAGGGGACTCGAACCCCTCCCAGTTGCTTGGAAGGCAACTATGCTACCCCTGCACCAACGATGCATGAAGAGTTTTGCAGTCTCAAAAACTTTTACGCACTAACTAGCGTAGGTTTGAGTATTAGCGTGATGCTTGTGGTTGATGCTGCAGGAACCTCGAGTAAGAGGTGTTGCAAACCGCGGCCTCTTCTGGAGCGGGTAAAAGATGAACAAGGTGTGAATATAGACATTACTGTATCAAGACCAAAAAATGAATTGAAAGGAGGGGGATTCGAACCCCCGCGGGCTAGGCCCATGAGAAACCTCGCTTATTAAGCAAGAAAGATAATTATCTTGAGTCACACACCTTAACCACTCGGTCATCCTTCCATGACAGTTTTGAAGTCACTATTCTTACATAAACAAATGTCTCTATGAGTCTCTATGAAGCTCGACTGTACCTTGGTCATGATTACTCTAGCGGAGTTCGGCTTTCTATTGGAACCCTTGTGGGCATCATCCACAAGAGTGAACTTGGATATGACTGGCTACTATATTGATCCTTTCAGGTAGTCTAGACATAGATTTCCGACAGCGTGTAGCGGAAAGGATCACTTCGAACAGTTTTGGAGGCATAGCAAAATTTATCTCATGAAAACCATAGTACGTACCGTGCTGCTGTACTTTGATACAATTTGGAGAAATTATACTCACTAGAAAGGAATAGACTTTCTACTTTATGACGGCCCTGATTCCCAGCACTAGGCACATATTATACTCAGTACAGGTTGGTGGAAATCGATGTCTGTTGTGCTCAATATATTTATGCCAAGCGATTCGGCGGGGTTGTGGGCAGAGTGGGTTAGGGCTTCATAACGTATCACTCGATAGCCATACAAGTGCCAAGATCTCAGTCCCAATTAAGGTTTAACGTTTAGGTTCGACTAGCCATCCACAACAGCTACAACGATCAACCAAGTGAGCCCAGCCGAGATTATCTGTCCAACCTCACACTCAAAGACACTCATGTACACATCTAAAGGTCAAATGTTTGGCTTGTATGCAGTGCGACAGTCCTGAGTGGCACATCATAAGAACAAAGCTCAAAGTGGGGGTATTTATATAATATCTCGAGCTTTGATCTATTTATATCTACTCTAGCGAGCTATAAGCCTGAGTATCAAGTACAATATCAACCTGTCCTGCGCTACAGTTACTACTTTTACTAGTTAACTCCCTCACTAGAAAAATTAAAGGAGCCCTAAAACTATTCCGTTCTCTTGTCTAAATATATATTATGTACAGCTCAGGTAAAATATCCATTTTACGCCCCAAAATCCATCTTCAATGCAATGGCTGGGGCATTCGACTCATGCCTTGTCGTTCCCTCAGACATCTTTGCGTTTGATCGCAAAATCTCCTCCATAAATGTACGTTGTGAGGGGTTCAGGTTCGCCACAACATTCTTGAACGCGATCTGGTTCACTACGACAAGTTCTAGAAGTCTAGCTGCAGTTTCTTGGTATGCCTGTGGATTGGAAGCAGCTCGAGAGAGGAGAGTTGGTATGAAAACCGCCATGGCGATCTGAACCTGGTCGCCAAAGAGAGTAGATACGAAGGATGTCAGAATATGGCAAACAAGCCCTTTCACGTTATCTGCATCCTCATCGGTCGAGGTTGCAAAGGTTATCATGCGGGGTATCATGTAACGGACAATCTCCTGGTCACATGCGCTCTTAGGAGTAACCATCAAGATGGAGCGGTAGCACTGGATAGCCACTTTCATAGTCTAGGTAAAGTTAGCAATATTACACTTCATGCGCACCCAAAAGATCTTGGAATACCGAAGAATCCGAAAAGGCCTCTAGGATATTATCACAAAGCCTTGGTACCAGCTCGTCGTTTGGAGCAAGTACGTTCACTCCGGCGGTGATTATTATTGTTGATGCCATTAAACAGTTTTTAATGCAAGGCAATGCAGCTTCGCCCCTTAGCCTATCCAATAAATTAGCCTGGATAAAGCTTGGTTCGAATGAGGGTGTACGTACTTTGCATTATCTAAAACCCTCAAAATGGTGCTTAAGCAGCTCCGAACCTGCATGATGACTAGCTCACCGTCATTACCGCCCCCAGATTTGGTGATAATATGGATAAATCGTTTAAATATAGGTAACGAGCGAGGCACAACCTCTGACTGACAAACGCCAGTGCCGAAGATAGCTTAGGAAACAATCAGTCGATGCTCGCCTCAAATATAAGAAGGAAGGTCCATACTGGTGAAGATGTGGAGGATAGAGGCATAAAGGTCCATTCTGATCACAGCGGGGAACACCTCCGCCGCGTCGACTAAGGCGTCAAGAGATACCGTAACAACATTTACTGCTTCTTCCGAAAGTTGGTGCCGAACTGTAGTCTTTGAGTCTACCAGATTGGGTAGCAACCCAGCCAAAACTAATACTATGAGTCTTGTCAATTCGAATAGTTGATCAATATCTTCTGTTAGTTTCTCTCCCTGAGATCCTGCTCCAGAGTTAGATCTGGCAGTTGGATGTGCCACACATAAGCTCCTCGCAATATCCACAATTGCAGACTGCACAGCCAACCCTTCAGTAAGAACCAATCGGTCAAGAAGATCCATCGCCTCGGAGAAAACAACGCCTTGATAAATTGCATGACCACAAACGGATGGGTGCAAGATCTTTTTCAAAGCCAGCAAAATCTCAAGTGTCTGTTCTTTAGTTGCCAGGCTATCAGGTCCTCCAGGTCGCCCGACAAGTGCCTCAAAAGCAATTCCGAATAGAACAAAGAAGAATGCTACAGGTTCGTCGCGGTAATTGATATCATGGGCAACACCGTTCCCATTGGTTTCGCCAGCGGGTGAGGCCTTACCATCCAGAGCATCGAAAACAAACTGACTATCTTGCTCAATTAGGCTGGCAATTGCATCAACCAGTTTCAACCAAGACTCTTGGTAAAACTAAAAGAGTGATATTAGGATTAGTATTGCCGTCGATTAACGATGAATTTTCGAACTTACCTTCAACAGGGTCTCTCGGTTCAGCGCTGAGTATATTGTATCGATTGACCCTCCTAAGGATGCCGGGCCCGTCGAATTGGTCGAGATATCAGGTTCGAACCGCAATCTCGCAAACTCCCTCAACGAAGACAGCCATAGGGGTGCTAGGGTAGCAATATGCGGTTTCACGACATCAACGAGATAACTTTGTTCTTTGCTAGCAACCTGCAACTCAGCCCAACCTCTAAGAACCGCCATCTTCACCATAACCTGGGCATTCGAGCTGAGCCCTTTCAAGTCACCGATAGAGGGGACCTCAGAATCACCTTTGCGTGTCAGTTTAAGATACCTACAAAAAAAATTCACTGATGTTACCTACTTGAGAAGTTCTCCAAAGCTGAAGTGAGAAGCCTTAATATTCTCCCCATCCTATCAACGTCCTTCACAATCCCGGTTGCGATGAACCCGGCACAAACGTTCACCGCCTCACTGGCCAACTCTGGACTTGAATCAGCTGCAAATGCTGGTGTGAGCGCCGATCCAATTTGGGCCTGGTACTGTTCTAGCAATGTCGCTTCCGGAAAGTCAGGATCTGGAGTGTGACCAAACATCTTTAGGACTTGGTCAACAATCTTCAACCCTCCTAACCTGAGCTGTACTACGTTCGCCGTACTCGCCGAGAAAGCCATTCTAATGATGTCGGCAATTTTCACTACTAATTTGTCCTCTACCGGATGCTCCGAATCTGCCTGCATCTCCTTGGCTGCCATTGATAGCAATTCCCGGAGACAATTTATCGCGAAAGTCCTGACCTGCCATCTCAACGGCTCTTGCCCACTGGGCTGCGAGCCTTCTTTCTCACCAGACGCGCCCCCGGCAACAGCGAAAGATGCAACCTCTTCGTCGTGCAGGTCTGTGGGTACTGACATAATTGGCTTTTCGTCTGTTTGTTTTGGCCCATCCCGGCGCTCGACTGTTTTTGTCATCACCATCTGGCATTTATCCACCCATTTACCTGCATCGTCAATACCTGTCTGACTTAACCAATTTCGAATTATGTTACGAATTCCTTCATGATTAGGATTTACGTCCAAGGCAATCCATAGTTGTTCCTCGAGCCCCGGATTTGCAACATCAATGATTCTTTCTGCATCGCTCTTCATGAGTTGATACAAACCATCGGCAGCAACATCCTTCAGCTCCATATAAGGTGAATCCAATTCTTTCTGCAATCGCTTAACGTAACTGCTCATGTCTACATGGCTCGCTGCAAAGAGAGATAGGTGCTCGAGACATCTCAAGGCCTCCAGCTGAACCGTATAATCCGGCTCCTTCAAGCACTGCCCGACCATGGTCAAGATGAGTTCTCGGGCCTTTGTCATATCCTGGAGGTCAGGTCCAAGAACGCCAATCAATGAGTCAATGCATCTGACAATAATGCTCGTAGTCGGTAGCTCCAGCTCCAAATTCGAAGTGGCGACAGTGGCGACCTCTTCATTGTGAGTCTCCGCTACATATAGCTGAGAAAGCATTCCTAAAGTACTAGTCACATATCCCGAGAATGTAAGACCAGCAGAGTCAATTGTCCTCGCAAGTCCGTCTAATGCCCAGAAATGGACCGTCGGGTGGGGATCGT